CATCCTTTCTCGCCATCTTCTCCTTCACACCACCCTCCACCCCCCAGCCGCAGCACCCATGTCTTCTCCAGGCCTCTCCACCATCCCACCCACGTCGCCGCGGCGCAGAGCCATACCCACACCCGGAACGTTCGTGTCCCAGCTGCTCGACACCGTGCGCTGACCGCTGCTCTCAGTCGTGGTCGTCGCGCCCTCAATCGTCGCAGGCGCAGTGACGAAGCTACCTGCGGCGGTGCTGATATCTGGCGGGCTGCCACTACTCGCCGTTCCTTCGTCGTGGGCATGATGGTGCAAGGATCGTTGATTTGGAGGTGCGAGGAAGCGCTGTGGACTCCAAGGAATATTCACACCCTGGCGTTCGGGAGAGTGGTCTGCAGAATGCGGCGGCGAAGGTGAGTTTGAGGGTTGTTGACCGGCATCGTGCGTCGTTGGGCTGACAGTACGCTCTGTAGGCTGCTGCGAGTAGTACGACCCCGATATCGATGTCGAGAGCGACTGCGGCTCGCCTGAAGCATGGGCCTGAGCTTGAGCCTGATCGTCCATCCGGCTAGCGATGGGCACGCTGCGCGCTGCAGGCGTTCCTCTACCTGCACTACCAGTCGATCGTTGTACAAGAACGATCTCATCGTCGTCGCGCTCCTCCTCGACCTCCACCATCGGCGGCGGGTGCTGCTCCGAGGGCCGCATGAACGCTACGGGGCGGCCGAACGTATAATTCTCCCCGTTGATGCTCTCGCTGCCACTCCGCGAATGCGTACCGCCAGACGAAGAGTAACCCTCGCCCTCGACCTCGCGGCGTGCGCGTCCGACGAGATGGTTCATGGGTACGGCTCCGGCATGTTCGCCGCTGCTCGCACTACTGCCACTCGCATCACGCATCCTTTCGCCCATCTCCGTCACCCTCGGAGAGTAAACCACATCTTCTTCGAGGCGCGCCATCGAGGAATTGACACGGCTACGCGGGCGGCTGCTCGAGAGACCGCCGATACCAACACCGAGACCAGCAGCAGGGCCGGTCGCACCACGCATGACGGCGTCGAGCTGGGCGGCGGCACCCTGGATGAAGGAGCGCATCGATGTGCCGAGCGATTCTGCGCGCTCGCGCACGGAAGGGGCTTGGGAGGAGAGTGTCCGTGGTCTTGAATGGGCACGTGTCGACGAATGCCTCGAGCGTGAGGAGTGCGCGGAGAACGACGAATGCGTCCGCGAGCGCGCCTCGCCGGAACCGTGTCCAGACGATGAAGAATTGGCGAGCGAGACACGACTACCACCGACAAGCGAGGTGCGTGGGCTGTGTGGGACGCTGAGCAGACCAACCTGATCTTCATGTTCCGCCCTCTCAGACTCCGATTCCTCCTCTTCTCCATGCTCCTCATGAGGACGCTCATTATCATCGCCATGGAGTTCATGCTGTGCCTCGATGTCGGAGCCCATACCCTCGCCATACAACGCCTGCGGATCCACAATAACACCTGCTCTTCCACTTTCTACCCTCCGCCTTGTCCGAAGAGATGGGAACTCAACAGGGGCGTAGATATTGATGCTCGCCAATGCGGCAGCGGCTGCTGCAGACGAGGACGAGGATGAAGGCGTCGGCACCGTCCCTGCACGACCACGGCCTTGTGCGGGTGTGGGTGGCGCGGAGGCATTGGAATTGGTATGCCTGCCGCGCTGCTGCCCTGGCTGACGCCTCGCTCTCGTCCTTGCTCCTCCTCATCATCCGTCGTCTCGAAGTTGCCCGTACTCTGCGTGATGACCGACATGGCACCAGCACTCCTCGTACCGCGAGAAGATACGCTATGGCTATGCGCATGCGAGCCAACGCTGTGACTGTGTGCATGAGAGCCGCCCGACCCGCCCTGGCCAGAGGAGAGCGCAGAGGAGACACCTGACATGTTGCGGTGGTGTCCTGCCCCGGGCCGGCGCATGCCGAAGGGATATCGCGCAGGAGAGCTGATGGGCTGCCCGAGCGACGACATCGAGCCAGACGGACCAGACGAGACGCCTTCAGAACCAAGGTCTTCCTCTTCCTCCTCTTCATCGTCCTCTTCCTCTTCTTCCTCTTCTTCTTCTTCCTCTTCCTCCTCGCCTTCTCCACTGCCACTTCCGCTACCACTTCCACTACCAGTACCACTCGCACTCCGACTTCCGCTCTGACTCGTAGTATGCTCCTCAGATGACGAGGTACCGCTCTCCTTACTCGACGCCTTTGCCTTCTTGCCGCCTGGGAAAGGCACCGACACTGAGTCTTCTGACGACACATGCCCCGCGCCCGGACTTGAGAAGGGGTACGGAATAGCACTCGAGCCAGGGATCTTGTCCTTCGAATTACGTTTCGCCATCTTTGGTGCATCCAGGCCAGTATACATCCCTGACGAGGGCCCAGGTTGAATTTGCTCGTACTGGATGGGGTCGATGGGTTCCTTGGCGAGACCTTCGGGTGCGGAGAAGAGGTCCTTGGAAAGTGGCGCGCGGCGGGAGGGCGAGGCGGCGGAGGCAGCACCGGGAAAACCGACGGCGGCGAGGACGCGTTCAATCCCTTCGAATTGTTCTGATTCGCCTGTTCCAGCTGCCTTCTCGTTCTCATGTTCAGTCGATGGTTCCTTGCCTTTGGCCTTCGACGACTTCCTTCTGCGGTGCCGATATCTCCTCGAGCCGTAGTTATATCCAGCAGGAGTAGCCGCAGACGCCCAACGCAGGGTACTAGCACCACCCGAGGACGATCGTCTACGTGTGTTCAAGCAGAACTCAAAGGCATCCTGCACACGCATCCTCGTCGCCTCGCGCCATTCCCATGCAAGCTCATCTCCTCGATAGCTGGCCGCCTCTCCATCACCAGAGTTATAGATGGCGGCTCCAGTGGGATAGACCGAACCACGATAGGCGCCGTATTCAGAGGCAGCCTCGGAGTAGACAGAGCGCGTCTTCTCCTGTTCGGACTCTTCCCAGGTGTGTCGTGGTCCGCAGAGGCCTGCGAGGCGCTGGTTCGAGAATATCCAGAGACCGAGCCTATGGGTGACTAATCAGCTCGGAGTTGAAGTGGATGATCGGTTGGTAGGAGACGAAACGCACCATGAAGCAAGAAGCACCAACACCCGCCACGCTGTCCAGGCAGCATTTGCGATCAATACGCCGCGTGCATAGCCCGTCAACGAACCATCTTGCCTGAAGAACGTCGCGTCTCGCCTTGCCAGGTTTCCTGCACCTGACGTTGTCACTCCAAACACTGAGAGTACCTCTGGGGCACTACCAAACGCGAACAGCAGTGCCAGACAAAGACCTGCGCGCGGCAGGAGTAGGGCGACTGTGGGTAGATTCTGCGAATAGAAGAAACACGTCTCGGCGAGGCCTTGTTTCCATGAACTTTCCTGGCCGTAGTAATCTTGGTCTTGCTCGTCGGCAAACGAGTAGTCTGGGTCCGAAGGCGAGAGTGGCGAAAGTGCCCGTGCGTGCTCGGGGAAAAAGGCAGACAAACGAAGATGTTGGAGGAAGGAAAAGGCGTTGTAGGAAGTTAGGGCAGCGAGGTTGAAGGCAGAGGATGACAGGTAGATGGGGAGTATCAGGGGTCGGCCTATGTGGACACGGAGGCGGAATAGAGTTTGAGTTTGGCGGATGCAGGGAAGCAGAAGGAAGAAACGTACGCAGCCGCCATCGCCTCGCGAAGGAATACACAAGCTCATACATGATACACACGGCGAATATCCAAGCCAGCCAACACGCAATGTAGGCTGCGGCGCCCAGCGCCCAGTTCTTGCCAGAGGTTTGGGGGTTTGGAAACCTTGCGACTCTGGAGGACAAGGTTAGCCCCAAATGGACATGCAGGGAACAAAGAACGCCGAAAAAAAGTTTGAGTGCGAGCAAGAATGAAGACGGGACTCACTGCAGCAAGATGTACACCGCATTGAAGTCGAAGAAGGATTGCAGCGGGAGGTGGTAGAACACAAGCAGCGGCCAGAGGTAGAAATATGCCTTCATCCACCGACTAGGGTTCCTCAACAGCTGCAGGTTGAGGTGCTTTGCGTTGAAGCGCGGTTGGGGCAGAGGGAGGAATCCGTCGTCATTGTTGGAGGCGTTGAAGGCGACGGGCACCCCCGCGGCGCGTGTCCAGACCTTTGGGGGGACGTGCACCCCGACCCGTGTCTGGTCCGTGGGTTCGCGCCGTGAGGGCTCCTTCTCGACGGCGCCCACGAACGAGTCGTGCAGGCTGACGATCCGTACAGACCGGGGTGTTGGTTTGCGGCCAGTTGTGAACGTTAGTTCGACGGGGCTGGGGGACGGGTCTGGTGGGACGCCGCCAGCGAGGGCGAGCACGGACGACTGGAAGGTCGACGCTGGTGCTGGCGGTGGTGGTCTCTTCGGCAGCCATGACGGATAACCCTCGGAGTCCCTTGAGAGTCGAGAGGACGATGGAGGGTTGTCGTTGGTGTCGATCGGGGATGGGCTGTCTGTGACGCGGGTGCGGGAGTGCGCCGCGGACGAGCCTGGGGGTGGAGGCATGGTTGGGGAGAAAGGGACAGCGGATAAGATAGCAGGCAGCGAGCCAGCGTCGAGCAGCAGACAGACGCGCCTCGTGTTGAACTCGATGATCGTGCCCGTCTGCCTCGTGTTGGGGAAGGAACAGAGCCGTTGATCCACGGAACGTTTTCTGTGCACAGACACCCCGTTCCTGAAAGACAACCACGCTCCATATGCGGTTAGTCTGTCTTCGTCTCCCACGACCGCGCTTGTGGGTAATCAGAAGGATAATCAGAGAAGCCCACAGGCGTCTATATATCTCCCTTCATATCTACCGCTTCAACCGTTGTTCTCCCTGATACGGCGCTGGAAACGCACCTAGTCCACCTGCATCGCGCGGTAGCATATACGGCATCAGCGCATCGGCGATAAATTGGTGGAAGAACGAACGCGCGCTTTGCGCGGCGATGCGCACGGGCTTCACCTCCATGCGCACTTGCCTTCTTCTGCCGTTAATGTCCGTCTGAGGATAGGGATTTCGTACCACTTACAGCACCATTTAGCCTCTGATATAGCTAGATTTGCGTGCTTCACGAGCGTCCGTCTGACGGGATCAGTAAGAAGTTGAGTGTAACCTCATAAGATGGGTTCAGCGGGCGAGGGACATCGGCCGCGAGCTCCGGTGACCGAGGGGTGAAGGAGGGAGAAGGGAGGAGCCATGGTGGGACGGCGACGAGGGAGAGATGGTGGGCGTCGAGGGGAAAGGTGGGGAAAGGTTGTTTGGAGGAGGGGCGTCCTTATATGTGCGCTCGACGGCCAATATTTTGGGGATGATCACATGAGCGCTCTGCGACATTGAGAGATCGAAAAGACACATTGGGCAGTTCCATTCCCCAATTAGGAAGAGTGGAGTGTCTCTCAAGTCTCGCCCCAACACAAGCAGAATACACGTGATCCGATCTCCAATGTAATCCCGCGGGGATAATGGATGCAATCCGTCGGAGACAGGGGAAGAATGGCGGGAGTAAGTCTGAAGGCGGTGATCGATATCATCTCGAATTCCTCAATTTGTCAACTTTCACCAGATCCGCCCCCAACGCCACTGTGCTAGGTGGTTTGAAATAGTGTAATTGACCGTTTCTATCACATAAAATGGCTAGTCTTCGATTTGATTCCGCTATGAGGTCTTCCTTTAATTGACAGTCTCGTACTCCTTCAAACTCTCAATAAGCGCCTTCCACCTGCCTCCGTGCCACGACTCAATATCCTTCCACTCCCGACTTTCTTCTCCCCATATAATCCTCAACCAAATCAAGAACCCCGCGACCGCAATATCACCCCACGACAGCGTCTCACCCAACAAATAGTTCCCTTTCCCTCTATTTTTCTGATACCACGCATCGACCTTCCCAAGCCCCTCCTCAAACCCCTTCCACGCCCTCACCGCCTCCTCCCCCTTCGGCACCATCTCCTCCATCGTCTTCCCATACACCGCCTTCCTCGTCCTCCTAAAGTACTCCTCGCTCACCGGGTTCAGCCGAACACACGCCGCCGGGAGCGCAAACGCCCACAACTCCCCGAGATTCGCCATGAACGCAGCGTCAAATGCGGCTTGCAGCCCCTCAGTGCCCTCGGGGAAGATGCGCGGCGTATCTGGGTACGTCTTGTCAAGGTACTGCGCGATGGCGAAGGAGTCCGAGACATATGCGCCTGTGGCTGGGTCGTGGATCGCGGGTAGGGTGTAGTGGTCCCGCCCGGAGCCATCTTCCTTCTTGGAGGTCGGCGCGATGCCGAGTTTCTTGCAGAGGAGCTCGATGTCGGGGTATTCGACCCATTCGGTTTTGTAAGGGACGCGTTTGTAATTTAGACAGTACCTGAGGAGATTAGACGAGCCTCAATTAATTCCCCTCGATCGTCTTCAGGAAACTGCAACTCACCTCGTTTTCCAGGTATTGGGCGACCACGCATTGTCGGGGAGTGTCGACGGGATATCATAGAATATGATCGTCATATTTCGAGCCTCGAGTCCGAGATCGATACAAAATCGAAGGTGGCAACAACGGAAGGTCGTTGTCGTCGTCTTCCTAAGACGATCCCTCCCAGTTATATAGCACCGTGTCCTAAGAATTCCCAACTACCCGAGGTACCCAGTATATGTACCCATGGTTGTGGGGAAGGCTGGTCAAGCACCCCACCACGGTGTGACCTTCTCACAAATCGAATGCGCTTGCTGAGTCAGTCCAGAGTCCTGGGTAAAATCTTCCTTCTGCGGGGTCGCCTATTACTATCGATGGAACCTTCCCGGAGTCGAAGCGCAGCGCGGGCGTCCGTTCAAGGAGGTCTATGACCAGTCGGATGTGAGCGAGGTCATGGGGTGAGAGAGCGGTACGTCACTGACGTGCTCTGCCAAGGCAGAAGCCCGACCTTCGACTTGTTTTTCCTTGAATGGTTACTTATGATGTGCGACAATATCAAATATCTGAGGAAGCCTGTAGATAGCATTTACCATCTAAAAGCAATATAATCACGTACGCACGAATCTATCACAGAACGCTCCAATCTTCCCTTATCCACCCCTTCCACTTCGAATTATAATCCTTGCCAGAACCGCCAGCATCTTTCCCTTTCCCCTTAGCCGCCAAAACACCCTTAGCCGCGAGGATCTCACAGCATTCTTTATTTGTCCCAAATAAACGGTGAACTTGACTCGCAGAATAGCATTGCGACCGTCGACTCTCGACGCGTCCAAATAGTGGATCGCTGGTAGAACCTGGGGGTACTTGGCAGACAGAAACCTAACCTATTCAGCTTTGTAGTCGATCTGAATAAGGAGAAACAGACGTAGATTAAAACGGCGTGGTGGATTTCAAGTATGACAGTCAGCGGAGTCGGAGACGTGCATTCTGAATGCCCTGACCGCGTAGAGTTTTGGGACCTTGACTAGACAGGATATCCCCCAAAATCGTCTGCGAACTTGATTGTCGGCCTCTTTGCGCGCCGCTAAGACACAAAGAGGGGTGGACGGCTTGGCCTCTATGAAGAATACGACGCTCTCGGCATGCAATGCCTCTACGACGTAGGTGATCGTGAAGTTGACGGCGCCAATACCCCCCCCATCTGCGCCTATTAGAATTTAGGAGTGGCGTACTGAGTACTGAGGGCAGATGGAGCACCAATCGCGTGGAAAGCATTCATTGAGGATGTCGTTGTATAAGGGGTAGAATTTATTCTCAATGATTTCGGTGTCCAGCAGGCGCTTGGAGCCTTGGACTTGCGAATTGCGAAGGATGCAGGCCAAGGCGTGATCGCCCAATGGGGCTTCAACCAAAGGCGGCGGGTCGAGGGATGGGATGATGAGGAGGGTCGTTTAGGTGTAGCCTACCTCCAAGGGACTGTGATCGAACACCCTATTTTTTGTGTATTTGGAGTACGATGTGTTATCGAACACCCTATTTTTTGTGTATTTGGAGGCCAAGGCGTGATGGTCACTGATGTGAAAGACCAACATTGGATAAGATAAGATCGGCTAACTTGATCGGCTAACCCCGAGGCTCTGGAGGCCGAGCTTAACTTGAACCAGCTAACTTGGCCCGAGGGTGTCTGTGGACAAAATTCGAAAATAATTAAAAATTAAATAAAAAAATTGAAGGAGGAGAGGAGGGAATTCAATACTTGTCTCCCCTGTGTGGTCTGAGTCTGCAACCCTTCTAAACGGCTTCTGAGCTCTCGGAGCATTCCCTGCCCTTTATAATTTAATTTTTGGATGGATTCACAAGCGAAAATAGTGCAAAAAGGGTCGGAAGAGGGTCGGATTGCCTATTTTACAGCTGGATACTCGCCTAGATTTGATGCTTCCTGGCCAACATCGTGTGATAAGATGACACCCATTGTATCTAATCGGTTACCTCGTTGTCCGGAACCTCGGTTTCGGGCAACGAGGCGGGCTGATGTACCTTTCCAGCTGCCCTATTCAAACTGCAATGATATACCAACTCTGCTAATGCAGGAAAATGTGGTCGTTTGTTTGAGTGATAAAAATGGATGATCACACAGGAATATTTCGGGCGTCCTCCCAGAAATAAGAATAAAAAATGGTCAAAAATTGCGATTTTAAGCTTTGGTAGCGGCCTGCGGCGCTCCAAACCTTTGACGCAGCCGGGATATTCTGCGCAAATTATTAAGAACACAATCATACATACATATGCACTTCTCACAGCAATTTAAGTAGCCCAATGACGAACAACAAGTGCGAGAAGGGTGGATCTTCCGAGCACGGGCATGAATTACTTTGTTCGGTCATGATACATGGGGAATTCACGCGCGCGCGCCCTCTAGCTACATATTTCCGCGCTTCTCTCATTCTCTCGAAATATTTTTTTGCCCACAATTTCACGATAGCCCTGTCCTAGCCAGGTCGCGTCGCATTTTGAGGTCGGACGGCGGAAATATTACATAATAGTGTTATGTAATATTTCAGTATCAGTATCAGTATCCTCCACAGACATGGATAGCGAGCCGCTAATTTGACCTTATACCCCTTTCGTCTACCTGTCGTTCGAAATCAATTGGCAATCCCAGACTCCGATACGACGCTTTTACCAATGAAGAGGAAGCTCGGTCATGACATCGACGATGGGATACTCAATGAAGGAGGCAGTGACGAGAGGCGGGCACCAGCAGCTATTCAGAGGTGCGTGCATTCTGTGAGTTGAAATGTTGCAACGAAGATGGTTTATCCGTTTTTTAGGGCTGAACCTTCTCCGGACGTAAGAAAGTGTCAGCGAATACGATTCCGGCACTATACTAACAACGTTTAAACATCTAAACAGTGCTTCAAGCGGCTTGAAGAGTCGAATTCCATTACGCGTCTGAATCAAGGTCACTTCGAAAACTTGCGCACAGATACTCGGTTGCCTCCCAAAATTCTTGGGGCAATATTCAAGCTCCTCCAAGAGGAAAATGCAACTCAGCCTTTTCGATCACCATTCGAACAAACAAAGAACTTGCGCAACGCAAATGCCTGGATCGTCGTCTGCCACGTCTGCCAGTACTGGCGATCGGTTGCTCGCAACAACAAAATTCTATGGCGCCGAATCCCCCTCATGGATCGTTTGAGCAACCCAGCAGGTCTTGCCAAGACTTTTTTCGACCTTTCTGATCCCCTTCTAGTCGAGTTTGAGCATGAAGTTGGGTGGTTTGAGCATGACGCTGCCTTCATGTTCCAATCAGAAGTTAAAGAAAGGTTCTACATGGGCACATTCTACGACACCTTAATGCAGCACCCAGATCGAATTTCGGCTCTTTATTTGCGAGGGGACTAGCCCCACTACGCCTGGCGATTGCTTCAGATGCCTTTGCGTAACATCACTGCAATTCGAGTCCTCATCGAGAGACCGGCCCAGCCTGTGAGAGAAACTTTTCAAAATTTCCTCGGCGGCCAAACCTCAAGCCTCAGGAAGCTATTCCTCAAAAACTATATCTGGCCGGTGCAACACCCGTTCACAAATTTGACTCATCTGTACCTCAAGAGCAGCCTGCAAGATTTCCTCTCCGTTGAACAAGCCATGGGTGTGGTGCAATCTCTATCTTCCTCTCTTCAAGTCCTACGTTTGGACTCTACGGCGTCACCGTGGGCAATCCGCCGATCCGCCCTCGAGAGAGCCGGGTCGTTATGCAATCCCTCCACCACATTGAAAATATAATCCTTCTGAACAAGACAGATCATATCCCCCCTCCTTCTTGCACAATCTGCTCATACCGCACCTCAAAACATTGATATGGGATGTTGGCACTACGCCGGACTTGGATGAATTATCCCACCTTCCAGGGCCAGATACGACATGGTTCATCCCAATCGAGCACGTAGCACACATCAAGAATATGGTTGGCCGTGCCACCCAACGCAGTGCTACGTCAAAACCGGAGCGACCCTCTTCTTCGACCCGGCAGCGGTACGCTTGACACCTGGGGCCAACTCACACCAGAGGTGGAAGTAATCGCTTTGCCCTCTCTGTCCTCCTTCAGGTACACCGATGGGTACTTGGGCTTTCTACAAGACCCTGCACCTCGGCGAAATCCAACCTGTCAAAATCCTAGCCGCCCTGGAATTGGGTTATACAAGGGAATATGAAACTGAGGCGGTCAACATTTGTCCTCAACTCGAGGCGCTTTCGGTCTACACAGGTTCTGTGGACATGAATATCTCAGCTGAAATGAGTCGCATCTCAGCCGAATTGAAAGAACGAGGACTCGAGGGGCTCAATTTTTCGGAATCCCAGAGCGGGGGCTCTGACGTGTTCATTCGGTCACGAGCAGCATCGAGAGCGGCCCCAGATGTTCGCCCAACGTATACCTTGTGTTTCAAGACCGGAAATATTGACGGACTAGTGTTCGATGAAATACCTCCGTACCTATAGATATGCAACCGACGTACACTATCATCAGCAGCGTGTACTTATATGTAGATCTTCGGCATCTAGCACACTTTCAGCACAGCGAAGTCAACGGGATCCCCTGGTGATGCTTTTGCTCAAATTTTCACCAGCTTCTTCCGATTGTATCACTTTCTGAACATTAGTGTATTAGTCGGCATATTGATACTACGAATGAAGAACACGACAACCAAAAACCTCAGAAACCAACAGAAACCACAAGTACATCACCGTCCAAACCAGGCCGACCATGCCTGTGTTTCCCCGCTCTTCTTGCCCGACCGGCTCGTCGTTCTCTTAAGCAATGGCGTCTGCTCAACCGCCTGCGTCTGGCCATTAGCCGCCTCCGCGGGCGATTCTCCAAATCCAGTCTCCTCGAGCGTCGCCGCCAGCGAGCTCTGCACCACAATCGGGGTCGTCGGCTCTGTCGAGAGAGGGTTGCCAAAGTCATCGATGTGTAACTTCCGCTGTCGGATTTTCCATGTGATGCACATGAAGAGCAGGCAGCCTTGCAGGACAGCAGCAACAGCGAACGTTATCCAGCCTGAAGTGAAGCGTGAAGGATAAGTTTCAGCCTGAGAAAAAGTATGGGGGTCTCTAGATGGAAGTAGACTCACTTGTCCAGTTCGTGCCCGGCCTCAAGGCAATACTCGTCACCATCAGCACTCCACCTGGCGTCTGGATCATCATCATTGGGATGCTGAGGGCGCCAACGAGTTTCGCGCGATATGTGTGCAGGAGCTGTGGGGCATACTGCACGGTAGCGAGCATCGCCGAGCTCACGCCCAGGAAAGTTGCCCAAGCTGAGATCGTAAGAGCAATAGTGTCGGAGGGCGACTGAGGCGTTGCACAGAGGAGGTAGATTGTCGTGAAGGCGAGGAAGGTGCTGTCGGGGAGGTCAGAAAAGAGATAAACGGAACACAGATGGATAGTTGCCGCACAAGTGAATAGCAGCAATCCATGCCACCACAATCGAGAGACGCCATTCCGCGCTCTTCACTCGGTCCTTCGTCTGGCTCGGTCGGAGAAGAGCTTCGTTCTCTTCAGAGCTCGAGTCAAGGTACTTGAGATGTTCCGGGTAATATATCATGTACAGCACAAAACTTCGTGACGGGGCGTAAGCACTCTCAGAAAGTAGCGAAAACAAAGAGCTCTCACACAAACGTAAAGCAGATCCACTGGAGCCCGACCTGGATGACACCTGCCGTCATTTCCATGCAACTTCCGAAGCTCTACCAGCGAAATGTAACGTTGCACCATCATCAATAAAAGCCCAAGACGCACCACAACACGACAGCATTTCACAATAGGAGTCTGTAGCGTGATCCTAGCCACCCAATCAGCACAAAGGAAGTAACGAGTGAGGTGTCTTCGTACATATTAAACATTGCGGATGCCGCTGACGTCGTCCCGAGTAATAGAAAGACGGGACTGAAACCCTCTGAGGACTTGGCATGGATAATGCGGAAATGTTGGGGGAGGTAGGAGATGATCAGGCCACAACAAAGGCCGAATGTCAGGAGAGCATTAAAATAGTCGTGATGCTAGAAAATAAGGTCATAATCAATATTCGCAATTGACATTTCGGAAGGCTTACTGGGGTGCAGGGATCCGACATGGTTGACCTTGTCCAAGAGCACGGACCGCGAAGTTGTCACGCATAGGACCATCGTAACAGGGCATCACACGTAACATATATCAGATAAGATAATCCTCGTGATAACAAGCATCGTGCCGATGCTTTTCTAAGTTCTCTTTCAAGTGACACTTGAACGTTGGATGATGACGCCCGTGCCAGCTATCGTGGAAGGACACTTCTCAAGGCCTGACTCTCCCTGGAATAACGAAGAAGCTAAGGTATGCACTTCGTGTATCTGCTCAGAAGTTGCCAGCTCATTGCTTTCTCCGCGTATCGGCCAGGTTGAATTTCTAGAGATCCTGGGCCCATCTCTGAAGAACAATTTTCCAATTTCCGACGAACTCGCTATAGCGCGTGTTCATTAAATCCAGAAGAACGTAGAGGAGTCCCTCATTGGTCCTGAAACAGAGCTGGCCTCGATACCCTAGATGCCCAGATCGTGACTTTACAACAGCGACAGCAGGAGTTCGTTTAACTGACCATGCCAAGGTGGACGACATTAGACGCATGCAAGACCTTATTCGCCGTATCCCAATGGAAATACTCCAGGAAATCGCTCTACATGCTCTTCCCTCCCAACCGATTTAACACACGTCTGCAGAATCTGGCGAAAGGCTCTCCTGGCTCTTCCTTGAACTTAACCTGTCGACGGACTGGCGACGGCCACAGGTCATGGTCAAAAAATCTGGCTCGTCAGAGCAAAGAAACTTCCTATATCCCTCCACCTCCACTTTGACGGTTATGTCGATGAGGAGGGCAAGCCCATTGCAGACTTTTTTCATACAATAAGTCCATGTTTTTCCCGTGTTCGTCACCTCGGGCTCAGCGCAAATATGGTCCTTGGATGTTTCCTTTTTTTATACCAAATGCCCAACCCTCAAGCCTTGCATCTTAATGCTGAACATTCACAATGAAATCCAAACCGAATTATGCCTCGTACACCGCGGATAGTTGGGAATCGGACGGCATTTCTGCGTTCCGGAACGCTTCCGGTCTTCGGGAGCTCTACCTCGGTGAACCTATCACCTTCGACGGAGGCGGAAGGAGGATGTTTCCATGGTCCCAACTAACCGTCCTCTACTTCACTCAAGCGATAGACCTCCCTCTCTGGGTCTCCCTGCTCAAGCTCTGCCGTTAGCTCTGCAAAAGCTGTTTCCGAATCAGCGAAGACGAAGATTCCCTCGAATACGACTCAGATCACGAGTCGGACGTTGCGATCGAGTTTGCGATGAATCCCGTGCACGCTCACCTCGAGGACCTTCTCGACATCCTTCTCGACAAGGAGATACACCACAAGCGGTGTTTTGCCGCGTGCAGGTTTCTTCGCCTTCGAATGCTCTACATTATAAACGACTACTCCCCGAAAACCTGCCCGGCGTCAAATATCCCGCAGAGTTCGGCACCATTACGACGTTAGCTTTGGCAAACGATTGGTCGGCATCACCACAAATCCTAGAGGAGGAACCATTCGCCGCTACTCCTTCAGTCGCAAAGCTCGCTTCGATGATCGACACGCCAGAAACACCAGGCCAATTGAAGGTTTGACTCTCACGCATCAGCCCACTGACGACGACAACAATTCAGAGTGGTCTGACGTGGACTCTGATCCGGAAGAGTCCACTATACAAGCATCAAACTTTATACTACCGAACCTTTCTTCATTAATGCTCTCCATCGCCGAACGCATTGCGAATGAAGAAAAGGACTTCCCAATAATCCTCAAGGCCATGGAATCTATACTCGGGTCTCACACTGCGGAGGACCTCCCGTCATCCTGCCGCCTCCAGAAGCTCCGTGTCACGTTCTCCTATCCAAGTGAATCGATAAGTCTAGGCCTTAAATCCCTTCTCGAAAGGTATCCCTCACCGCGTTTCGACTTCGAAGTCGTCGACCTCCTCGTGGACACCAGTTCTTGTATCGACAGTCTCTAATGGCGGCGCGGGATTGATATCAGGACGTCGAGTAGAAGGGCGACTCGGGCGAAGGAATCCTCGGGATACAAGCGTCATGAGCAAGCTCCTTACGACGTTTTCCCGGGCTATTGATTCCAGAGAAGACCATGCATGATGAATATGAGATATCATTTACGTCATGAAGGATGACAATTTATCGTACACATTGAGCCCGTAACGAATGCTTGACCACGGGCGCCAATATCATTTTGTGTCTGGCTGAACTAATGTTACTTACGCTATGGACTGGTTGAAACTACAGGTTTGCCCGTGCGGGGCTTGAGGAAGAAAGTAAATTTCTGCTGTGTATTTTGGGGACCGTTCGCTCTTTGCTTGTGAAGGTGGATTTCAAAAGATAATATTTGATTCGAAATACTTGTGTCAATTCACTCGAGGCCGCTCGCTTTCGCCCCTCGTCGCGCGGGGTGCTCCACCTTGAAAGGTGTCCAGGTTATAAGCGCCCCCGCTCGACGAAGGGACGAAGGCAAACGGCCTCGAGCGAAATTCAAATAAAATAAATTATGCACGTATTGAGTATTCATACTCTCTCAGATGAGAATTCTAATGACCGAAGTATTGACAGAGAGTTCAAAGAGTGAAAGCATGCCGAACTTGATGAAGACGAATAGTGCGTATATATAACATTAAATTTACACTTAGACGGCCGAACGAATGAGCAGGTTGTACACTATTGATACACACTGGTGGCTACAAATTTGGAACGTTTGTTTCGTGATGCAGTTTGTGATCATGGATGCTTCGTTTTTGTCGTTTGACTAGAAGAATGGGTCCAAAGCTCCGCTTGCCAATGGAGACCACCGCAATGAAAAAGTTGGGTGATCAAGAGGTTGGAAGCGTCAAAGCCAACAGCACCAGGCTTGTCACGTATAGTCCAGAAGTCTTGACTTCGTTGGATTTGGATACCCGACCCCCGACCCCCATGCTTGGACTATGGCATGCGGAGCGGTGAAGTGCAAGCTCTTCAATGAAGTGAGCGATGATGTCTTCGTGAGCGGCCTTGGCTCGAAGGTCGTTACGATCTTCTTTGGGGCGAAGGCCGGGCGGATAAACGCCCAAACATATCGGCGTCCGATATAGGGGCGGATGGTCCGATGAGGAGACAAGAGGTGCTCAAAAACTTCAAGGTCCGGCGTGGCTGACTCGCGTGCACTGCTAGAACGGTGCGAAACTCGGCACCGTCTTGTAGGGGTTCGAGTTCTTCTTGTCAGCCGAGTTGTCGAGCCTCGCCAGGGTCGCTGCCCCTCTCGAACAGAGGGCGGAGGCTTACATCACTTCGCGGAGGTGTCCATGGCCACACGGGCGGAGAACACAGCAAGCTCAGAAGCGGGGGTGGAGTTGGAAGAGGAAAGGGGAATGGGTTTGTGTGGAACCATAGCTCAAAGTTGACGATGGAATAGAAAGGCGAGGGGGGGCTGGTATAAAGGCAGTTTCCAGGTGGGTAGGCAGCCAACGGGAGGAGTTCGTTCGCAATTGGGGCGACCTCCCATCCGAGCGCGGCCTTTTATACAATTTCCGTCTTCTGTGGCCACCCCTCGGCCACACATGGGCTGCTGTCCATTTCTGGGAAACGTCTTCAGCGGCCGATCGCGCTTTGCTTGTTGCCGGTACTCACTTCAGCTGGGCCCCCGACCTGGCATCAAGCACCGCAGAACATTGCCTAATCAAGGCAGCGCGCGCCACAATGCCCCGGCCACAATTGGCACTTGGCCTGATTCGATGATGCTCCTGATGACGAACCCACAGGGGTCTTTTCCCTGCCCAGAGCCTGTTATTACCGAGTATGGCTTTCGTCAACTCTTTTCTTCCACGAGAACGTATTTCGCTCATACTTAACTTACCGCCAAATTGTGGATTAAGTTGCGAAAATGCGAATATGCGCAATGAAGTAGAGTACTTTCCGTTGTAGCGTGTAGCTGTATGTAGTAGCTGTAGAATATCTAACAGACGGAAATACTGTAATGGAGTGCATTTGCTGCTGCATATTTCCACGAGAGGTTTGCCCGTGCTCCGCACGAGGCTTGGGGAGAAAAGAAAATTTCCGCTTTCTTTTCCTTGGGGTTGTTCCCTCTCTCTCATTGTGAAGATGAATTTCAGAAAGTAATATTTCATTCTGCTTGAATTCACTTGAGGCCGCCTTCACCCCTCCGTCGCACGGGGGCGCTCCATCGGGCCGAGCAACTTCTGGTGGGTTTAATTGGGGTCCGTTCAGACGACCCAAATCGAATCTCTCTCAAGTAAAACAAAGGAGGACAATGAAGGGTGACTCGGTAGAATTTTAAAGTTAACTCTCGGACAAAAACCTTGGATTTAGTAGGTAGATAATCATAGGTTCGTCAGTGTCTTGTTGGAGAGCTCGTTACCACCCATGAATCATCCAGGCGCGTCTCCGAGATTCGCCAGCATTTCGATGGAATCCTTGTTCTTGAAATGCAGAATATCAAATCCTGGCCCATAAGCAGCTTCCCAATCAAAGGCGTTCTTATGATTCTCCTCCCCAAACCCCAACAACAATTTCCGCACTTCCTCCTTATCATACCTAACCAATCCTGCCTCCTCCTTTGTCTTACTCTTAGCCCCCTGTCCCCAGATCCTCTTCTCATCTTTCGACAAGAACGTCCCGATGTGGCGGAATGTGAGGCTGATCCTCGCGCCGCCCTCGACCTGTTCCTCTGGGGACTTCGTTTTGAGCGGGCGGTTGTCGGGGTTTACGGCGTGAAGCCATTTCGCATTCGTCTTAACGCCCATGACGAACATGGAGTTGTGCGGGAGGGGAATGCGCTGTGCGACGCGTGGAGTACCTGTTGTGCCAGAGGTTGAGTCAAGGGTTCCTTGGTCTGCCCCAGCTGGTTCCTCCAGCGAGGCGGCGTCCTTCTTGTCCCTCTTAAGGCGCAGTGTCATGATTCTTTGGGCCCCGAGAGAAACATTGACGATGTTAGAGCCGCGAACGACGTCGATCGTCTTGTCTGAATGCTCAGAAATGCAGTCTTTCCCTGAGCGGTAGAACTGGATCAGGACGTGGTTCACCGGATGATCAAGGACCTGTGCCACAGGTTAGTTTTATTTCTCGGGTTTTGTAATAAGCTCAGATCCTCCCTTTTGGACGTGGTCACGAATCTGAGAAACGGTTGGCGAAAATGGTGATAAAGGGGGAGTCTCATCCACTGGATGTCGGTACACTGGAAAGCTAACATTGGGCTTAGTAAACGCAAGTCGATTGAAACATCAAAAACTTGCCTGCCGTCCTCCGCAACTTCACCTTCAACAGCTACGAGCCTTGGTACTTCCCCACCTAATCACAAATCCCTCGGTAAATGATATATTAATGCACGACAGATATCTCACCTCGGCGATGCATAGTCTTCCATTTGACCTCTGTCTTAAGCTTCTCGAACGCCACTTCCGCGAGTTCCGGAGGGAGTATGTCGGTCGCAAGATATGAATCTCCTGCCCCAAGAACGTCTCCTGCCCCAAGAATTGGAGTTCGATGCGGCCGCTTGCGAGGCATTTGTGCTGTTTATGTTGGCCGTCTTATGAGAATGGTTTCTTTCACGAAGGAAGGGGGACAAGATTGTCCATGATGTCGAGTAACTGCGGATCAAAAGGCCGGCCCGATTCTCCGAACCAGACCTGCACTGCAATTCACTTCCTCGTTGCGAGAAGCGCCCGCCGGTGGGAGGAGGCAAAGACGCTCGCGATCCTTATAGACAATTCCTCTAGACGTTGGGCACTTCTTCCTCAAAAATAACGGCGCAGGGGCAATGCCCGCTCCTTGATAAAGAATGCAATATGCCTTCTTGAAGCTGTGCGTTTGACGTTAGATGGAGCTGTGGATTCTACGTGGAGGTGAGGTTGATGTAATATACAGTCCTGAGTGAATGGAAGCATGCAAGTACGAAATGAAAGGTGGATGAGTGAGGAGTGTTTGACCTGACGGTCTGATGAGATTTAAGATGCTTCCGGAACGCGCTATGGCCTCTATGCAACGATCTCCACGGAAGGGTCCCTCTTCTTCAACGCCTCATACACAGCAGAAACCTTGGTTTCGAATGCGGCAGCCCGCGATGGGTCGACATCTATCACCGACTCTTCCGTAATTTCGAATGCATCGGTGCGAATAGTGATGGACTTCAACGCCGGGAGCCAGTCCGACCTCTTTGCGCACTCGATCCACTCATCCAAGTCGGCGAGCATGCTTTCGGAAGGAGAGCAGTGGAAGGCGAGCATTTCAACAGAGTTGGGGATGAATTTAGACAGGGCAACGTCGTTTGGCTCCGGTCGCTCACGAGGAATCCGAGCAGCCGGGGCGACGATAAGTGTCAGGTCGCGCAGGTGTGAGTTAAAAATAGTAGCTTCGTTTTCTAGCAAAATTTTTTAAATTTTGACAATTGGAAAAGCATAGCTTTTTTATTAAAAAATAAAGAACATTTGACAAAAGAAGGATTGCCCTCTGGTTTGTTCTGCAATTTTAATTATTATATTATTAACTTTAAAAATAACGACTAAAAATAAGTTATCCTTTCCTTTTTTATTTTTTATTATTAAAGATATGATCTAAACCTATACTGAAATGTTAGGATAAATGCATTTGGAGAGACGCTGCTTGAATTTCGCAAAGTCGTTCTTGCTCCCACCGAGGTCACATCCGTTCGTGCTGGCGATGTGCAACATCTCAAGACAGTCACCAAACCCAGGAACGGTGTCGTACGTGCGGATGAAGTCTCCATTCCCTCGTTCCCGACGACTTTGAGGTTCCTGACCTTGACCGGGAGGTTTTTGGGCGAGAAGAAGAGCTGGGCACAGTAGTCCAGAGTGAGCGACTTGACGCCGGTGATGAGTTTGAGATAGTTCTTTTTCCAGTCGCGTTCCGTGTCGTAGCATCCCATCGACCACCGGCCTTCTGGGTGCTCACCGCAGATCCAGACGCTCTCGAGCTCGGTCCAGGGCTTTTTGAGCTCGCTGATGCCGTCTAATAGTATGGCCTCCTCCCACCCTGAGTACGCCAGGAAGAACTTTGGAGAAAGGCCATCCAGAGCTGCGAGATGTTTAGGCTCCGGTTCGGGGCCGATGATCACAGCGTCAATGCGATCCTCTGGCGAGGCCTTCTGATCGTCTTCCACGATCTTTTTCAGATCTTCGACTAGTCGTTTGTTACGCTTCTTGTATAGCGGGCCGCCAAAGGAGTGCTCAGAGTCGCCGTCAGCGTCCTGCGCGTCGTGGTTGGCATCGTCGTCGGTCCCCTCGTCCTCTTCACCACCATCGTCCACCACAGCCTCGCTACCATCTTGCTCATTCTCACCCGTATCAGAGCTGCCCTGGTCTTCATCGTCAATGTCATCACCATTGGCATACGCGACACTGCCAGTCGTTTCACCACTAAGGTCGGGGTTGGGTGATTTCTTCGCCTCGTTGCCTGCAGACGGCTTCACAGCGTAGATCTCCTTGTCTTCCTCCAGCCTTTCAAGCGTATTGGCAGCCGGACCCAAGTCGTACGACACGGCCGTATCGTCGTCAGGATCGGGCGCATTGTATCTCTTCATGTAGCTCGCACCCAGGTCCGGCTCACTCGCGTTGAGTTCGATAGCCAGGATCTTCTTGCATCCTGCAAGGAAGGGGTCGGGGGGAAGTTTGGTGATAACAACGCGTGGAGGGTGAGTCAGAGAGGTCTTGATTTTCGTGGCCGTGCGGAGGACGGTACATATAGCGGACACCTCGCGGGAGAGAGGCAAAGTTCATGGCGATCGACAGCGATGCCTGACTGGTGCCGTGTTGAGATCTTGAGGAAAGCGCTGTCGTGACTCAATGACAAGCGCTGGTCCCGCCGCCGTACTCACGCCACTCGGCAAACACGTCCAATATCAGACTCAAATCGGACTTACATTGCACCAAGACTACATAAATATGCTAAACTGAAGCTCTGCAGTGGAAATGGTTCTCCGTCTTGAGTTAGCAAGATTTAACCCATGGAGATTTTGGGACAAATTTAGGAATTGCCCAGCTCGCTCAGGTAGCATAAGCGCTCGCCATGAGAGGGTTACGGAAGAAGCTGTAACTGCCTGCGTGTGCGTGTGCAAAAACCATCTAAAAACCAGTAGAGGAAACCTAGATTCCTTCTCTTCCGACCCTTATCGTGGTTTAACTGCGCGAAGAGTAGTAGAAAGAGGAATTTAAAGGGTTGGGTACCATTGTAGCAGCCCCGATCTTTCAAGAATCTTTTTTCAGTTTACCTCCAGTGTTCCAGCTCTCGCTTTACTAGTCTTGAGCTTAAATAATAGAGAGGGGTCTCTGAGCGAGACCTCAAGTTCAGGGAGAAACCGACTGAAAGAACAGTGTGATGTGAATGGGGATAAGGTAGTCGCCGCAGTGGCATGATTCGGCCACCATTTTGTATATTCGGCGTCGTCGGAATGAATTCATCTGAACTTCATATCAGGGTATTCGGCTTCAATTGAGCTCAGAAGAGGCTCATTTGCACTCCATATAAGCCTCGGCATACGTGCAATGAGCGTGGAAGTCTTTCATTTGGGGCTTGCCGAGTGACATGCCGGCCTGGAGCAACGAGGAGGGGAGTGTTCTCGTCATTGTCCTGCCTTACACCTCCTTCCCCTCGAGAATATTATACACGAACATATAGGAAAATATACTATGAAAAGATAACATTTCGATTCTCTGATTTCTTGAATTTTTGGGAAACCATTCAGTACACACTTCAAAGCGTTGCGCGTGGAGAGACAAGTGTGTACGGTAGGAACTGGAAGAGCTGAGCCCTCACTTTGATTTGGTGCTTTACATGCGGGACACTCAAAAGTTGAAGTCGGATTTTGTCATCGCCATGCGGCCGCTATGCCGCTGCTAAGCCGTGCTTGTGCCATAGTTCGAATGAAGCCCAAAATGAAGCCGAATTTAAATGAAGCGCAAGTACATGCCCACCAGCTTGGCGCACCTATAAACGTTCTTGCCTGAAGACGCCGTCTTCATTTTCCGGCCTATGAAGACAAGTCAATGGGAAGACGAAAAGTAGAATTAAAAATGTAAACTTCGCTGCATTGAGCAAGTGCACACCCGGGCGGTGCACGCAGAGTCGACCATGTGGCCATGATATAATGCAGGAAGCTTCCTCCAGCGTTACGACTCTGAATCAGATCAGTGTTATCAACCCCTCTCTTTACACGAACGTTCTACATCTCTGAATAACGCCCTGCAAACCCTGGTGTCCGCATAATGTCAGAGTCTAGTAGCCAGTAAGCAGCAGACTCAGCAGCATTGCAACCCGAAGTTTTTCGCTGATGAGTCTTTAGCGACGGCATCACCTCTGTCGCCTCAGACGGTTCGAAGTCAGCATGTGTCTACTTCCTACATTCAAAATACCTCATAAATCATTCGATATACAAATAGCAGGTATCTCACCAACAACGACTTCGTTTCTATCGATATGTGAGCTGCAAATTACTTCAGCTTTTGAACATAGCTGCCTTGCTTGACTGTCCTCACGACATAGGGAGACTCTTACCGTTCATGACGCGATGCAGCGCATTATCGACCGCAAGTTCTGCGAGAACTTGGCGGATAGGGAGATACCACGCCCTGGCCAAAAGAGCATCTCCAAAGGGAAGAAGTTCTTCTCGTGTCTCCTTTGCGCCTACATATCACCACACAAAGCGACTATGAGGCGGCACATGAAGAGACAGGACCATGAAGAAAGAACGCTCTTCTATTGCGAGGATTTTTATTGTCCCGGCGCGTGCGCCACCCACGAGGGGTATTTCTTCAGCTTCGCGGAGCTTGCCGTTCATCTTCTCGAGAACGATATCGTTGCACGGGACCAGGCTTACGCGAATGGAGATCACGAACGCGCTCACAGCTATGAGCATTGCATCCAGGCCCTCTTAACGGCAATGCCGACAGCCGTATATCAGGGAGCTGCTTAGGGTTGTAGGGAAAAAATGAATCAGATATGTACATGAGGAGAGTAGGGCGCCTCTGAGAAATTAGTTCACTTAACGAGGTCCGTTGTCTATGGCTGTTGAAATAAGCGCCCATCACAGCACTGATTATGTCATCTGACGTCATCTGGACGCCGCCGATATCAGCAAGCTGCAGCGTGAACGGCTGTGGAAGCATAAATGTCAAATTCATCACCGACATCGAGTCTAACCCGTTAATTCGACCAGGCCTTCTTGTCGCCGAAGGACCTCCCACTCAACGTCAGGGACCTCAGGACTGTCGGTACGGAGGCCTTCTTGGTGATCGTCTCGATATACTGCATGCTTTCTGCACGAACGGGTGCGACTTCTGAACCGGTTGCGAGAGAGTCGGTGCGCCTTCGTTTTCGCGTAGTATCTTGCATCGACCTGCAAATTGGCGACGGCCATGCCTCTTGGACGATTGCTAAACTAGGATACTTCTTCCTCCGACCCCTTCCTGTGTTTGTGACAGTTGAGACTGCCCCCAGGTCCTCTTCGCATGTTTAAGGAGAGAGATGAGCGACGTCGGTGTCATGCCCTCCATCCGTTTCGCGGCGCCCTGTAGATGTATAACTTCGTTAGCCCGACGCGACGGAGGTGATAAAGGGTAGACATACAATCGTAGTGGGCTTGATAAGGTAAAGTTTCTCAATCACCTCAGAGCTCAACCCCGGAACGGCGTCGTACTCAAGTTTAGGATCGAGGATGAGGGATTCGTCCTCTGCGAAAGCGCGTAGATCTGCTTCTTGGCGTACTAGATGCGCATCATATTGACCTAGTGGAAAAAAGGAAGGTGTGTTAACACTCGGGAATGGGATCCAGAGTTATGAATGCACCATCGATATTGATTCTCGCCAGCACGCTCGGAGGGACAACAGCAAGTTGTGGCACGATTGCCTGTAGCGTCTCGGTCGTCACAGTAGGATATCTCAACATCTGGAAGGCACTGCATGACCCAAACAAAGGATCAGAAACCAACCACGAAGGGCAACGCGACAGAAGTTCGACACACCTCCTCATAACGCCGTCCCTCTGAACTGTGATACCATGCCGACCCCATCCTTGAGGGCTGAATACTGTTTGACGGAGGATTTCCTTCGTGTCTTCTATGGCAGTGCGAGTGTCCTGAAATCGCCACCAGCGGCTGTCAGAGACCGCGCCAACCAGGCGACCTCAAGAAAGATGGATATTTTATAAGCACAGCAAACCTTGAAAGGGTTCAGGATATACACACCCTTCTCCGTAAGTCGTAAATCGGCATTATCACTCCGGATGCTCATCCTATATTCCGATCGTGAGGTGAACATTCGATCTTCCAACCAAAAAAAGACTAAGGTGAGGAACTAGCATAATCCAACCAGGACCTCGGAAAGCACTCACAAGGCTCCTCAGCCCCTTTTACGATAAGATCGTCAATCATTACACCAGTGAATCCGTCTGCACGCGTCAGGACGAGAGGAGACCGCTTGAGCGCTGCGAGGCCTGCGTTGATCCCTGCAATGGTGCCTTGGGCTGCGGCTTCTTCGTAGCCAGTCGTTCCTGAGATTTAAAGAGAGCTGAGTAAGATGACAAACCAGAAACACCGAAATGCATACCATTTATCTGACCTGCAAGGAAGAGACCCTACTGTACATAAGACAATCGCATGAGAAAGGGTAAGAAAGCTGTATGTACCTTGACACGATTCGTCTCAAGTGTTGCTAGACAAAACCGTCAGAATGAGCGCTATAGATAACAAAACAGGCGACTTACGACCGAGCTCTCGAGGGTCAATATAGTCGTACTCAACACCATATGCTGGTCGAACCATCTTCACATTCTGGAGACCAGGAATCGTTCGCATCATCGGTTCTTGGACGTCCTCTGGAAGGCTACAGGATATTCCGTTTGGATATATTACATCTAGGGAAGATGTTATCGAAAAAAGACTTTGGGACTTGTATGTAAATACCCGAATCGTAGCCCTCAGGCTCAAGCCAGATGGTATGCTTCGCCTTGTGTCCAAAGCGGATGATCTTGGCTTCTAGAGACGGACAGTATCGTGGACCTGATGAACCAGAACCATTAAGAGGGGGCGCCAAGTGACTACGTGGGCTAAGACCCACCTCGTTTCGTCTCCTGGATATGACAGCTCAAGTGCATATTGTCCTTGACCACTTGATGCGTTTCAGTAGTTGTATGGGTCTGGTAGCACATAACTTGATTATCCTGTGTCACCTTTAGCAATGAGAAAGAAAGATTCTAACGAATAGACTGACTGCGTTGTCCACCGTGTCGCTCAGATAACTAAACGGCGTCGGTTGGGCATCCCCGACTTGCTCTTTCATCCCAGTGAAGTCGATCGTGTTCTTATCCAAACGAGCCGGGGTTCCGGTTTGCAGTCGGCCAAGCTTGAAACCAGCAGCCTTTAGAGAACCAGAGAGGCCGATGGACGGGTCATCACCAAGTCTACCTGCTGGAAAGCGCTTCATCCCTGCAAAAGAAAGCAGTAAGATAGCGCCTCCGCGTGTATAGCTCACTGATTCACGTGCCCATGTGGATTTCCCCAGACAAGAACGTCCCGGTGCAAATTACCACTTGTGAGCACGAAATGATGTCGCCACTCTCTACTCTACGAATAAGTGACAAAACCTGAAAACGAGACGGAGTTCCTGACCAAGTTTTACGCCAGCCACCTTGCCCCAAGGTCGGCCTAACTCATCCGAATCAAAGAGAAGGTCGAAAACGCTTCTGGCGCGGACGTCCAGACTTGGGTAGTTGAAGAGCAATTCCTGCATGTTCTTCTTGTACAACCTGCGATCGATTTGCGCTCTTGGTCCCTGTCCTCAAGTGTCGCTTGAGCGACAGAAATGGGATCCATCTTGATGATTACACTCACCCAAACCGCGGCACCCTTCGACCTGTTGAGTATCTGGAATTGAATCCCTGCCTTGTCTATGAAATGGTGTCAATACACTCCTTTGAATGCGAGAATCTTTTCAACTTACCAGCGACCTTCCCCATAAACCCATCCAACGCGTCCACTTCTCTGACTAGCGTTCCCTTGCCTACACCGCCAATCGACGGATTGCACGAGAGTTCTCCGACAGTCTCCAATTTTTGGGTCAACAGGAGTGTCCGCGCACCCGTTCGGGCCGATCCTGCAGCAGCTTCGCATCCTGCGTGGCCTCCGCCAATGACGCATACTATTTACCCATCAGATATAAGCGCCTCAATTCGAGGACACGAACTAACCATCGTAGTGCGCCAAACTTGAGCTCGAGGAAGCGATTGGGCTTTCAATGGAATACATCCGCGACAAAGCTCTTCTAACGCATTTTTTGGACTGTGTACGAAGCATGACGAACCGTGTCTCGCTTTGAATTCTTGCCGGCCACACTGCTAGAAAGTTGGATGGTGGACGCAGGAAAGGGAACGAGAAAACCTTTGCTGAGTCAGCACGAGTCAAGTATGGCTACACCGGCCCGGCCTTCATCCATATTCCCAGCCCGTCAAGCTTTTGGTTTCGTGCCTCCATCATGTGCGACGCCTTTCTCCTCCGCCTTTCTTGTCCACGAAAATTGCAAAGCGGAAACTCCCGATGGGCTACAGCTTTCTGCCTCTGCGAAGATACCTGACAGTCTACGACTAACGTTCGCCTTCTGGATGAATGGCTAACTCTTGCTCTGATGGAGCCAGTCAACGGAAAAGGGTTGCCTCCCGACGCAGTGAAACGGAAGATCCAGTGCCATCAGTTACGGGCCTTGTCCAGCGAGGCAAATGCCCTTAAATCTGCCACTTAGCCCTCATTTTGATGCGAATCATAATGGATTCAGACGATGTCGGGTAAGACACCGCTCTTGAATGTATTTTTAAAAAGGGTGTTTCCCTTCTACGACGGTGCTTTCCCAGCGGATCATGGTGGGCCACGATTGACGCGTCCACCCGAACCCCGGGATAGGTTCAACTAGGATGTTTCATCAAGGAGCGGGCCTCTGAATCTTGGGTGGCTCGCATTTACCTTCCTTCACTGTTTTTGTCCGCCACGCGCTACTCGAAGCTATCGGGAAATCTAAGTATGGCCAAACGAACAGTTGTTTAATATTCAGGCTATGTCCTGGATCAAGGTCGGACGCAGTCCTTTTCGTTCCGCCCTCACGAAGTGATGAAAGCGTATACATAGTCTGCATGCAGCTTGGTGGACATATGGTGTGTGGCTAACGGGCCCCCTTCTAGTCTCTTTTCTCTATGATCGGGTCGTCACCAAGGTGTTCTTCGAAAGTCTGACAGTGTTATAAGTGTGCCTTGGACACTTCTCGCCGCTGATGCTTTCCCTTCACCCTCTACCGGCGCCCAAGATGCCAGTAATACCTGGCACCGACACCCCTTTTCCTGTGGACGTGACGGTGGGCGCTTGCTTGATAGGCTCACTGCTATCTTGCATGTGAGTACCAGCTATTCTTGCAATGTTTGACCCTCCGCTGATAAATACCTGGCCGTTATAGCTTGTACGGATTAACTCTATTACAGGTCTACCATTATTTCTGCAAGTATTGGGGGAAGGACAAGACATCTCTATGCATCCTAGTAAGCAATCATACTCCCATCGTCAATTACTTCTCCCATCTTTATTTCAGGTAGTCACCTTAACGTGAGATTCAATTTTGGCTGGTGGTTAACGCCAGGCCGACCAGTTGAACCGTCAGGACTCTGGATACTTTCAGGGTCATCTTGAATTTCAAAGGCCTTTGGCACTACTTTGTCGAGGGTTTTGGGTCGGTGTCCAGTCTTCTACTTGTTGATTGGACTCTCGCCGTAAATAAGGACCTTTTGCGCCGCAGGATCTCTGATGCCTCAAAGACCCATCCAGATTTTTGTCATAGTGTCGGCTTTGACCTCAATTCTCGTTCAAGCATTTTACGCATTCCGCTTATGGATGAGTGAGTAATTTGTTAGTTCTGAGATTCGAGTGACAATTAACAAGTCCATTTGCTCTGGGACAGTTAGTGAAAGACAGATGGTCGTCCTGCCGATGGTTATTGTACGGAGGCCCCTCAAAAAATATGGCATGATTATCAATCCTTACTTCTACGTGCAGTTGCTGCTTGGCCTGGCAGCTCTTGGACTCTGCATTTGTGCGTACTTTCCCCCTTTTCCCTCAGAGGGAGGGTTATTCCAGAAATCCCAGTGTACATGGCTCTCATGCTTAAAAATGGAGGGATTTTATATCTCCCTACAATTAAAGTGAGCCTGCTGCGAATCCTCCTCTTTGCGCTCGCTTACACAGTAAATGACTAGTACCTGCCCACAACTGCCCTCTCATTAGCCCTTGCCGCTGATTTGCTTATCACTTCGAGCATGACCTATATACTCATGAAGCACAAAGACGGAACACGAATCAGACAGTGAGTGTTCTTCCCTTCGTGCAGCAAATATGATGCGACCATTTGAATTAGAACACGGAATATTCTCCGCAAGCTCACAATGTACACGATCTATACCGGATCTCTGACTATGTACGGGTCTATCGACCATTCTACATCAGGCTGACTTGATTTTAATAGTGTGTGCACCACTTGCACGTTGATCACCACCCAAGTCTTCTCGCACACGCTGTATAACGCAATATTCTTCTTTCCGCTTGGCAAGTTCTACGTCAACTCGATGCTCGCGTTGTTCGTTCGTATCCACAATCGTAAAACCGAAATTCTGACATCCATCCTCGTAGCTTGAATGCGCGCGATTCACTTCGAGGGAAGAATACTCTTACAAGTGTCAATCTGACAAACGTATGGAGTCCGAACACTGGCCGCTTTGAAAACACCATTGGATCGGAATTGAGAGTTGCTCAGGCAGCAATCTCCGGTATAAGATTTGCTCATAGCCCAGACGTTATAAGCAGTGCAAGTGAAGGGAAATAATCATACCACCCAGCACGCACTACCTCGTCACGACGAGATAATTTCCCCAGTATCCTTATTGATGTTGGCGTGCAAGGTGTGCATTGGAGGGGCCCCTGGATGAAGCCCCTGGATGAAGCCCCTTTCCAAATTAGACAAGTGCGCCGCACACTCGGCAAAATCGGTAATTGGCAATCTCGACAAGGAGCATCACGGACATTCAAACCTGTATGCTTTAATTGATCAATTGGATTCATTGGCTATAATTGCGTGGTCCAACAAATCCTCAACGTTTCGGATTTCCTTGAGGGGAAACTTGGGTTGTCATCTTAGGCGGGGCAATACTCTTATGCACCCTTGCAAGAGGGAACCGGGATTTAAAAATTGCACGAGGTCGGTAAACTTTTTTAAGGCCAGCTGTTACCCCGCCCCAAAATCGGGTATTTTTTGATCCAAAATGGTAGTTCTCTGTGACGGGAGGTCTGCAAGAACGTATGTAAGCATCTGCGATACGGTTGTTGGGGCTTTGCAGTGTTGGAAAGGCTGATAATTCAGCCAATTGTCTAGGGAGGCTATAGAGCCCATTTCATGTTTTTTGAGTCCTCATCACCCAGCCTTTTAAATTCATCGGTCACGTTGAAGCTCGGTCGGGGTCCAGCCTCGTTTGTCGCAGGAAGAGCGAGGTGCGAGCTTAGTAGGTTGGGCTGCCGGCCTGAGCGTCAGCTCAGATCGGAACACGGAGCAAATTGGGCCGCTGGGTGGGCGGGACCAATTTTCTCGATGGCGATTTAGCTCGTTCCCTATTCTTCCTGTGACGGACATCTCAAGTGATGTTGTAGTGATTTGAGCACATCATGTGCGTATGTATGATGGTAGAGCAGTGTGGTGCTAATAATGATTACGAATAACGGATGATAGAGTAAATCTAGGGAAGGGTGGGCGGGCGAAAAATGAGTGTTTGCGAGAAGTCGGCAGCTCTCGAGTTGTGCGGGCCGCGACTTCGAGCAATGGAAAGTGGTGGAAGAAATAAGGCAATGTGGCAAAGGATCCCTCCTCTGGCTTATGCTCGGCTGGACGCAGGTGCCAACTTCTGTTGGAATCGGGCAATCCGGCATTGTCCCGTAGGCGCCCATACATACTGGAATGCAGATTAGTCATCATAGCACAGCTTCGTATAGGTATAGTATTTAGTAGATAGTTGTAGAACCTACTAGATACAAAGTGTGTACAGTATATAAGGACCTCTGTAGGAGGCCTAAATATCAAGTTCTCTCTTCCACTGCGCCAACAACTTCCACTTCGGTTTGTCGGCACCGGGGCTAACGAACATCGTCGCAAAAGAGCAATGAATATAAATTATTGCACATACTAAATGCGAGTCCGTTGTTGTACATGTCATGAAGCCTGCTGATCTTCCATTGGTGAAAACATATCAGTTCCCTGGCGATGTGAAGACACAAAATGATTGTTCTGTGCAGATTTGGGCGACTCTTTGACTTGTATGGTAGGCTTTATCGGTCAGGCGTTGCTGGCTCGGCTGCCCGGGAGCGCCAAGCAAGGCCAAACATTTTAAGCCTTGAAGTGAAGAAACGGTGACTCTGTGGGCAGACTTTTCGAACATCAGATCAACTTACCAGTTAATCGTAACCGTCATCGGAGGCGTCATCGATGCACCCCACAATGACAGAGAGGGAACATGTGGTGGTCGATTTGGTGAAAAAAGGGAGAGCAGTCTTCACTTGGGACTCGATTTGCCCGTAGAATGTGTCGCGGGGCCTACGGGAAAACAAGATTGACACCTCCACGTTGGCGATCTGCGAGGACTTGAGTGAAAAAAAGGTGTTTAATTTGATCCACCCATTGGCCTCAGGAGGTGCAGAAAAGGATTCAAGAAAGCGCTCTTTGTCTCCGGAGTAGTGGAATTGGAGGGAGAATGCTTGCAACGAGGTTGGAACCTGGAGTACGTCCAGAATATCAAATCCAAGACCTGGGAGCTGAAGAGTGGAGGAGAATGCTCTGCTGCCTTGGTATCTCGAAAAACGAAGGTGCTGCAGCTCTTCCAATCGAGTTAGGTTGAACGACGACTGCGTGAGCGGGGGTGTCACCAAGTCTGGCAAGAAAAACAATCAGCGCAACATGAAGTTCATACGAGGAAAGTCTTTACCATTAAATTTCATGTCAATATATGTAACCGAAGTTTTTATTTGAGTCAAGAAGGTGGAGATTTCCTGCCCTTGCCCGGAAGAGTCGAACGGGATCGCCACTTCCGACACGGTCGAGGGTGTGGCGGCCTCACGATACAGTGGATCTGGAACTCCGAACAGGAGTTGGGATGCCGCTCCGACATCGTCCACATCAATCTTCCTCACACGAGGATGTGAAGAGGTAGCGGTTGGATATCGTGCAGAAAAATGAAGGCGGGCTTTCACCTTGGAGACTGAACAATTCCGCAACCTCAACTGCTCCACATGGCTTCCCGCTGGCAGCGCCTTCGGAAGCTTTTGAATCCCTGAAAGAGAGAGGCTGACCAGATGCGGGGAGAGCAACAGATCAGAGGGCGTGCTGAAGACCTGCCGAGTCGTGTGACCAGCTCATGCCTTCCTCGAAGCTGAAAGACAACCCCAAATGTTCAATCCCATAATCTGTGCTGTGCGCTGCTTGTAGAATTGCGCAAAACTGAGTCTCCCAGCCCCGTCCTCTACAGGCAAGTAGGAGACGAGACTGAGTTTCTTGACATAGGGCGCGATAGAGGTGAGCCCGTCTTTCTGCGGTTGTCTTGGTTTCCAGGTTAAAAACCCTTGAAACACGAACAAGTATTCTTCATTATCCATGCCTTCACAATCGTCATTCCCCTCCGCTGTGAGAAGGACCTGGCGGAAGACGTGTTTTCGTGTACGATGCGCAAAAGACCGCGACACCAGTGCACACTTGCTCAATGCCGCGTCCTCCTCGCCGTGAACTGGTCCCAATGCCGCAACCGAGTCGATAAAGGAGTCGAGGATCTCTTGCGGGAAGCGAGGGGACTGTGCGAGCAAGGACATCGTCGTTGATGGTGGTGAGGAGAAAAAACGGATCCGGACCGATTAGATAAACAGAGATGATCCGTCTCGGGCGGAATTTTAGACCTCGGCCGCATGCGCAAAGTACTGTCTGTAGACTCGAGGCCAGCCTACAGGCGCCCAATTGTTTTTTTTTGGAGAGGGAGGGTTACGCAGGAGAGGTAAGAAAAGATCGTCGTTCCTCATAACTGGGAAGAGGCAAGGGAGGAAGCGGGTGACAGCGATGTGAGTTGACGAGTTACGCACTGGCAGAGTCGGATAGGTGTGCGACTCGGAGGTAGATGGATCGAGTTGCACTGCGATAATTTCGATCATATGGTCCGCAATCTCTGAAGCTCTGAAGAAGCGAACAGCTCCTTGAGTCCTTTCATAGCTTGGATACTTTAGTCGCGTCTCCGAACCGACAATTATGCCGAAGTTCTACGAACTGAAGGCTGGGGCACTGCTTAAAGTACCCACTTTCTTTGGGTAGGCGAAGATCGGACAGATCAGGACAGAGCAGACAATGAGTTGGGAATACTTATGAAGCTGGTTAGTGCAGGGCATGGTGCTGACGAAGTCGGACTCCTGTTTCTGTATATAATTGCTTTGTTCCGCGGGTAGCGTTTAAATGAGCAGGGCTGTGATGTCTGGCAGTAGGAGTTGAAGGCCCTAAGTATGCATGATGTTTGATCCGATGGATCTTCCTTTCAATTTGGAGGAGACGTATTGGTCTGGTGAGGGTGAAGAACCAAAGTGATGGTTTCGCACGGAGTTTGGGCAAATCTTCATTCGGAACAATAGGGGGAGTCAGAGTGCCCGATTTTGGGACGGTTCTGGAAAACGATTTCGACCAGAATCGTTTGCCCCAGAACCGTGTGAAAACCGTGAATCGTCCCGAATCGCAAAGCGCCTCTGGAGCCGCTTTTGCAGTCGAGAATCGGCGATTCTGGTTCTGTGCACTCGCCTCCCCCTTCTTAAATATGCAGATTAATTCATTAAAATATATTTGCCCCTTCTTCCCGTTGGTCTGGACATTTGGTAAATCATATTTTGTGATGGTGAATACGATCTGAACGCTCTTTCATCATCTCGCCCCTTTTTTCGGTGCAATTGATACAAAACTTGACAATGCGGCGAGGGAAAAATGCCAAAAAAATATAGGAGCCCCAGGCAGTTGAATTATCCATGAATCGCAGCTTCCATACTCAGGATTCTACAAAGGGCTGCTTATACCAAGGGAAGACAGCACCGAAACAGACAAGACGATGGAAATTGCATGAAAACATGAGTTTCCAGAATCGGGGTGGTCAGAGTCTTCCGCCGGTTTTGGCCCGATTCTTGGCAAAAACCGAATTTTAAATCGTGTCAAAACCGTCATCAGAATCGCCCCAGAATCGCCCCAGAATCGTCGAAAATCGCCCACTCTGACTCCCCCTATTAAATTTGTTGAGCATAATTTGTCTACACTTTCAGAGGCATCATGGCGTCTCAAGAATTTCCCAGAGCTGTGGAGTAATCGCAGCCTACGATGAATTGGGGACGCGATGCTCTACATTCTCCTTCAGGAAAAGTAGCACCCAGCTCCTAGAGATACCTCAAATCGTTTCCTCGATCCCGGACCCTTCCCTCGCCGTGCGAGCGATCATGTCTATCCGCTCCTGATCAGCGTCAATGAAGCGCTGAGGCCTCTCCACCTGAGTCGCTTCCTTATTCCGGAAGACGAAGATCGATCGCTCTTCTCTATACAGTCTATCAATGTCCTCCAAGTGACGGTTGGCGGTTTCCGGGTATACGAGCCAGACGAGCTGTTGCAGGGAATGAAGTCATTTGAGTAGTGTTATAGTCTAAAGAAACACGCACAGGAACAAAGAGAGCGTTGAATACTGCCCAGATTATGTAGAATCGCCAGCCAAGGTTGGCTATTCCGGTGGGGGTGATTTGGACGACCATGTAGTTGGATATCCTATCACCATACCGTCAGGCCTCTGATCATATCAACACGATATGAGCATCAATACCAATTAGAAGCAGTGCCTAAGGCAGCCCCCTTCGTCCGCATAGCAAGACTGTTGATTTCAGTTGGGTATAACCATGGCACGCCCTATATGAGAAGAAGTCCTCAGAGATTGCTTTGAAAGTAGAAGGAGAACGAAACACCCACCTGCCAGCAAACTCCAAAGAACACATAGTACAAGAAGAAGAAAGCAGTAGCACCTGCACCGAACGTCTTCCCATTTGCTGGATCGTTCGTGTGCGAAAGCAAGGCCGTGATGAGGATATAGCAGAAACATTGGCCCGCCGCGCCCCACATCATCAGCTTTCGGCGTCCAACCTTCTCGATGAGGAGTAAGCCGAAGAAGGAGAAGAAGAGGTATGAGACGGAGTTGCATGCTGCTAGAAGGCGTGCGAGGTTGTTCGAGAGACCGACGGAGTTTTGGAGGACGAGAGGAAGGCTATGAGGGGCTCCTGTTAGAAAGAAAGTTAAGGAGGCAAGGGATCGGACAAACTAGTAACTCGTAACGTTGATTCCAACCAATTGCTGCATCCACTGTGTCCCTGCGCCAAGAACCAATCTCTGAATCATCCCGGTGCCTCCTGTTCTACCCTTCATTATATCCTGCCACGTAGGGGCATTTTCCTGCTCAGCTCTGACAGCTTCTAGGATAGAGTCTCTCTGGTTGACGATGTATTCGTCTTTACTCGTTGCATGAGCGCCTTCCAGAGCTACGAGAACACGAACACCTTCATCATGGTGACCATGCGCGAGGAGCCATCTAGGACTTTCTGGCAGCCACGGCACCGTGGAAAGAAGGACGAAGGAGAAGACGAGTTGGAAGGCGATTGGGAAGCGCCATGCGATGCTACCGGAGGCGAAGCTGAAGCCGTATGTCATCCAGTTACTGAGGGAAAATCCGGCGACGTTCATGCTATTAAAAAATCAACTTCAGTCAAAGAGACAAAGCAAAAAGGAGCGTCCTTACATCATCTCGAATATAACTAGCTTGCCTCTCCACGCTGGCTTGGACGTTTCGCTCTGCCATACTGGCGCCGTGGCAGTGTTGATTCTTTAGAAGACAAGGGTCAGAAACGAGCCCGTTCGCCAAGCTACCGAACATACCCATTTCCTACGCCTGCGTTGGGGATTAGAACCATCTCGAATTTATTTCAGAGGCAGCAGATACCTGTGACGAGTCGGGCGACGATCATTTGGGCGACGGTAAAGGCGCACGTTTGCAAGATTGCCCCAATTGACATGATGATAACGCCAATCATGAATGTCTTCTTCCGCCCAAGGGTCTCTCCAAAAATAAAGGTGGAGATAGCTCCGAAGAAACTGCCAATAGTCACTACTTCGCCTTGAAGACTTAAAGAGGTAACCCTCACCATCCGATATCGTACAGGGATACGATAGTGCCCTGCAGATCAGGACCCGGGTTGCCCATAGTTTCTAGAAAGTCGGGAGTGACGATGATTCCTCCAAACACACCCTGGTCGTAACCTACACACGAGGTCAGCTCGGAGGGACGCGGGGAAGGGGTGCCTCTTCACCGAACAGGGTCATAGCCGTAGTACACGCAACAGTGACCCAGATATTGAGCTGAGTGCCCGTCATACCGAAGTACGGCGGCTTTCCCTTCGTTGGGGACTCCTCGGACTCGAGCTCGAAGCTAGCGGAACCCATGATTCCCAAGAAAGAGGAATAGGCAAGTTAGAGAAAAAAAACCAGGTATTGAATGCCTTAAATACCCAGCGTCATCCTCGGGCCCCAACCTCGTGTACTGGTACGAAGTCGTAGAAGCCATCCATGTACGGGAATAGATCGTCTGCTGCTCCGCCAGAGGCACTGGTCTTCCGGGCTGAACGTCAAACTATGAGGCTATCAAACCTTCGAGACAACTGGCCACCCGCCAACAGTATTTGACGAGGGGCTTGAGCTACAGGGGGGAACAAGAGACGATGGCAATGGTTTAAGTTCAAGTTGGATGGTCCATACAGAAGCACAGGATCCGGCCCGTTGCTCCGCTTCCCTCAACACCGGTAGACTCTCGGAGTTCAAAACACTTCACCTTTCGTCGAGCAAGTCAGCCCACGATTGTACGGACTGAGAACATAAGAACTATTCATTATTCTTCGTTATGTAGTAATTGCCCCAATACCTGCCGAACGGACTGGCGTACCGATGATAAATAAACAGCATAGAAAGCCTATGTAAAAAGAAATACGGGACTCGAAGGACATCGCACAGGGTAAGACAAAGGGGAAAGCGAGTGGACAATCATGCATGAAAACAAAGAGGAACGAAAACTGACAATTAAATGATTAGGAAGAGGTTTCATTCGTCGGAGGTTAGAGTTGACGTGTAGTTGATTCGTAAAACGAGTTGTCGGCGGCGGAGGAAAGAATAAGTATGAGGTGGCATATTGCTGTCCGATAATCATAATTTGAGCTCAGTCAGGACCCGCCTAGCTAGCATCTGATATTGCCATCCATCTCCACCAGCACGACGGAACTGAATGCCGTGAAGAGGCAGCCACGGTACCTAGAAAATGAAAGACGCTGAGTTTTCGGAGAGAGAAGACAAAGACGTCAGACATACCTTGACAATGTTGATCTCAAAGCGTACGCTTAGGCTGTTGTTGCCCATGCTCTCAAACACCTCCTTGTCAACTTCGCCAGTTGGCAGTGGGCTTGGGCTGCGTGGCAGAGGAGACGTCGCTCGACCACCAAAGTCGCGTGGGATGGGTGGCAGCACTTTTCCTTTCGTTGATGCAATGGTCGACATTGCTGCGGGCGAGTGCGACCGAGGAGGAGACTCTTGCTCAGGTTGAGGTGTTGTTGGCGAGAGCCCGTTTGTTTGTGGCTGTGCTTGAGCCTGTCCGTCAGCTGGCGCGACCACGGTGTGGTTAGACGACACGTTGAAAAATGAAGAAGAGGCGCTACTTGGTGTTGTGGTCAGCGTCGTACCACCCGAAGGTCTGCTCGGTGTCTCCTTCTCCTTTCCCTCTTTCTCCTTCTCCTTATCGATAGAATGTTCGCGCTCCTTGCCCTTCTCGCGCTTCATACCAAAGGACAGTTTGGATGCCTTTTTGACGATGGATGGCCGACTCTGAATGGGGGTCATAGGTGACGTCTCGCCTGACGTAGAGGATGGATGCTGCTGATGACCTCTAATGGTTGGTGTCTCGACCGACGAGAGGTCAATCGATGGTAGGTGTATGCATTCAAAGCCCGTCTTCGTCTCGCGATATTGCACTTGCATGCGATCGAGAACCCGCCGAACATCAGCCTTAATTACAGAAGGCGATTTCGTTGATGTAGTCGCCACACTGTAAGGTGGAAGCACAGTCAGTTGCCATGTCGAAAAAAAAATGCAATAAGCAACACACCTAAACAACCCCTTCAAGAACACAGGCTTGAAGTCCTTATCATTTTGATGCCTCTCGCTCTCATCTTTGAACGTCTCCGCGACTTCCTCTTCAACACCATTTTGTGCATCCGCGCCCTCCTCTTCTTCCCTCTTCTCGGCCATATCGCTCTCCGCGCCCGGCTCAGCCTTCGAGAATAATCTCTCCGCAGCTGGCCGACCCGAGCTGCTGTAGCCAGTCGATGGCCGTCTATGACGACCTATCGTGCCACCACCAGTAGGCGACGTGTTTCCCATGAGTGCTGCGCCTGTGCTGCTCCGTCGTTCGTGTCGTGTTGTCCTACCTTGAGGGTCCAAGATAGTCGCAGCGCGGCGATGCAAGCTACCAGCGGGCTGGCTACTGCTATGAGAGACCGATCTGCTGGGTGATGTCGGCGTCGGCGTCGTATCCTCCCTCTCGTTGAGCTCAACTTGCGGCTGATGTTGAGGCTGCGATGGCTTCTCATCGCCTGGGCTGAGTACCGACTTCGAGTCGCCTGAAGGTCGTGGAGATAATCCACCCAGGATCGTGCCGCGTTTCGTGATTGTACCCTGTTTCCGACTGTCATCGCCTCTTCCACCGACAAGCAAGCTACCAAACTTGCGAACAAGGGTCGCTCCGGAAGATAACGGTGACGCATGGTCGTGCGAGTGCCTCTCCTTCTCATGATCCTCCTCAACCTTGAGACGGTCCCCAAAGTTCGACGTATCAGGACCAACGGTCTTCGGCGGCTCGGGCAATGCGCGATTCACGCCGACCTCGTCAGGAACCTCGCTGGCACTGCCGAACATCCCACCCCATCCGCGAGATAGAACAGTGGGCCGTTGGCTCATGCTGTGACTGCGACGATGTGTGCTTGGAGGAGGTGCACGAGGGAGATTTCGTTTGGGACCCAACGTTGACGATTGATCAATCTCGATATGCTGCCTCTGCTGGGCCGAGGGTGATGGTGGTGGCAAGCCCGGATCTCTTGGACGAGGTTGAGCGAAACTCGGCGTGGTTGGTGATGGCGCAACGGTATTGTCATACGACAAGCCGGAATAATGTGAGGTTTCTGGAGCAGGAAGGCGGGGTAGTGGCATGCTGTAATCCGCTTTGCTTTTCGCGGACGGGACTGGGTCTTTCCTAGTGGCGGCTGGAGAAGGAGCACTGAAATGCGGTTGATTGGTGGCGTTGTATTGCTGTTGACGCAAAGATCCATCCTCTTGTGGGGTCATGACGCTCGTGGCGATGGCATTTGCTGGGTCTCCTGTGATCGAAAGCTGCGAACTCGCAAATTGACCAGGACCATACACACGGTCGCGTTCCAACTTCTCTCGAGCAAGGTAATACATCGAGATGAGAGGGTGGAAACCCCTTGTTGGATCGAGGGGTTCGCGGTTTGGATCTGAAAACGAGGGATGAGCGAGATGATGCTGAGAATTGGGTGGTGAATGACTAAGTGGGCTCCCCGGTGGTGATGAAGCTGGCGAGAATAGCTTCTTCCTGTAGTAATCGAAACCAGAAAATCGACGCGACTTCTTCGGCGCGAGAGACTCGTTCTTCGCACTATGGCTATCGAATGAGATTGCGAGACTCGAATTCGACACCGACTCGCCCCACCGACCGCCGTTCCCATTGATGCTTGTGTTGGCATTGCCGTTCAAGTTCCCGATGCTGCGTTTCCGTTCCCAATACTGAACAGCACGAACATACCCATCCGATTCGAGAATGTGGACCAGTTTCCGTTCGATTTCTTCCTCCGTTCCGAATTCAAACCCCTTCATGCCTTTGATCACTTGTCGATCGAGTTCATCAGGTCGAAGGGGTTCTCGATGGACCAGATGGATAGCTGGAGGCCCTGTGAAGCCGCGCACCATCCATGGATGGCTCATGACTTCAGCGAGCGTGGCTCGGTTGGCAGGATTGGTAACCAATACCCGTGACAAAAGGTGCTTGCATTCTAGACATCGTGATGAGTAAAGGCAACGATGAGACGCAATGTACATTACCAGCACTCAACCACACAGGATACTCGACGAGGCCGCGCTTGATCTTTGCGTGCAACGCTGGCATGCTCTGATCATCAAATGGAACTTTGCCACAGACCAGCACGTAGAGGACGACGCCAAAGCTCCACACGTCGACCTCGGGTCCGGTGTACACCCGAGCATTGAGCAGTTCCGGAGCTGCGAAGTAGAGAGAGCCGCAGAACGTCGAGAGGTGGCCGATGGGGTCATAGAGATTTGAGAGGCCGAAGTCGATGATTTTGATGTTGCCCGTCTGCGAAATAAGGATGTTTTCGATTTTGAGATCTAAACATAGGCGTGTCAAAAGCGTCGGCTCTGCGGAGACCCGAGCACGTACCTCGGTGAACAACGTTGTTTAGGTGGCAGTATTCGAGCGCACTCCCAATTTGCCTCGCAAACTTCCTCGCAACGCGTTCACGCAGCCGCCCATGACTAATGATGTAGTCGAGCATCTGCCCGCCATTGACGTACTCCGACACCATGTAGTAGTGGTGTTGATGGACAATCATCTCGCGCATCCCGCAGATGTATGGGTGGTAGAGAAGCATGGAGAGGGCAGCTTCACGAAGTGTCCGGATCTCTTTCGAGGCGTCCCGCGAGGCCTGGCGTGTGGCGGAGTCGTTGTTGGCGGTGGTTCCGTTGGTCTGCGGAGGGGGGTTGGGATATACTCGTGGTAGAATTTTGACAGCAAGCTGCGAACAAGAAATGAGCGCTGGCATCATGAAAGCTGGTGTGCGTTACGTGCCTTCTCCCCAGTGATGTTATGGATGGCAAGCTTGACTTTGCCCATACTGCCAGCCCCCAGGGTCTTGCTGAGCGTGTAATCACCCAGAATCCGCCGGCTCGACCTCCCTGACGAGCTCTGATCCTCCCTATGCCTCCTTCTCTCCCGGTTTTCATCGCCGGAGACTTGAGACCGCTCTCTTGAATCTTGAGCTGCAGAGTTGGGTGCAGCAACCACAGCGGCAGGGGTGTAGGACTGTGGCGGCATGGAGACCGGTCTTGGGCGGTGAGAATTGGTTGTCGAGCCTCTAGGTGCAGACTGGGGGGTGTTGTGGGTGGGTGTTGTTGGCTGGTGTTGGGGTGTCTGCGGATGTGGTGGCTGCGAGATGGCCATATCAAACTCGTGTCCTGCAATCATACCGCCATGAGAAGGCGTCGTGTTGCCCGCGACGGCGTCCTCTGGGACCTGGTTGAGCTGCGGGGCGAGCGATGTTGGATAGGTGGCCATATCTTTTCGTTAACGCCGGGAGGCGGTGCGGGGGATGGGGGTGTCACTAAGAAGGTCCGTGCGCTGGGACCTACGTCGCTGGCAGCTGGGTGCCGTCCTGACGATGAAACGAGTGCGGGGGACGAGTTCGACGATGGAGATGAAGGTCAAGAGCGGTTGTGGGATATTCGGACGGGTCTGGGACCGATTTGTACACATTACCGAACTTTTCTGATCTCAAACTACAATAATTCGAATATCGCTCATTGATGCACCGAATCAGAGGCTTGCAGCGCCGCGTAATGTCAGGCAGCATGGACACCTTTCTTGGGCGCTTTTGGGGCACAGACGTCGCCGAAGAGCAGGCACGTCGAGGCGAAACCTCCCCGCAAAATGAAGTCACACGGGTCGATGGATAGCAGAAAAAGCGGGGAACGGGATTATATGTGTACATTGGAGAAGAATAGATACATGACGTCGCAGACGCCACACTCATTGCGCTTTGCTTTGCGTGCTGTCTACCAGAGGTAGCCACTTCACAGGATGGCGATTGAACATCGGCCATTGGGGTAAAACAACCTATTATGGTGCGTCTATCAGTATTAACGTTGGTGGAGCACGACAGTTCCGTAACTCACCAGCGCCAGCACGAGAGTAGTAAGCCCCATGATACCAAAGGTCACTCGTAGGTCCTGCAGTGCAAACCCCACTACGAATGCGATAGCCTAGACACAGGTAGAATGAGCACGACACGTCGAGCCTTGGGACAATGCAGGCAGTCCGCCCATGATGTTCCGGTCAGAATGCAACAAAAGCCGCTCGGGTTGGAATGGAATGGACTGCGAGCAGGACATCGAGAGAGAGACGTACTGCGGCCGCTGCAAGGACCCCTCGAGAAATGAGCTCGACAGTCTCTTGTCCCGCAAAGTCCTGCCGTATAGTGTAAGTATCGTTTGTCAAGCAAAGCCGAAGTGCTCACAATCTTCCCCTCCGTGAGTTCTTGCAAGGATGTACTCATTATTGTAATTTTTTTCTGGTACCGCGTTCGAAGGTTCTGGCAATCTGGAGCTGTGACCTCGCCTTGGAGGAATTGTCGAGGAAATGGCGATTCTGGAGAGCAGTTCAAAGTTGCCAGTCAGTTGCGACCGTCCCAACGTGTCTTGCATCACGTGTCTTTTGCGGTGTTAATCGGGCCGGGGCACTTTACCCCGCAGTTTTCGAAAACCCATGGCCATCTACTCTACCAAGTCCTGAGAATTCGAATCTATGTACCTGGACGATGATATCGATAATTTCGACTGGTAGGCGCGTGAATTAAAACTAGTTTTTACGAACTTTCGTCTTCGTATGGCGAAGAGTAGGGAAAGAGAGAAGGAAAGCAACATTGTGGGAAGAGGTGAGCAGGACAAGTTGTCTCGTCCGCCCATGACGAGTAGCGGCGAAGAGCCCTTCAAGTAGGAAGAATATTATTTCAACTACGACAAATTATAACAAATGCTGGACGAGTCAAGAGAATGAAGTCGCCATGAAACTTCCTGAGTAAATGATAAACTAAGCAGTTGGGTATGTGTCGTAAAACAGAGGTATAGCAGAAAGCAAAAGTATGTACAGCAAACGAAAGAACATCGGGTAGCGCGATTAAGGAGAGAGGTGACAGAGCAATAGAAGTCTGAGATAGGATTAGAGAGCAGTAGGAGGAGGTTGCCATCGAGAATTAGAAAAGAGAGTGACGGAAGATAGGGTAGGGCATAATTTGATCCAGGCATCGATTAGGATTTTCTCGTTGGACGAGGGCGGTCGAGCGGGCGAACCAATGGAAGAAGAGATAGAGAGTCGTAAAGAAGAGAGTGACTTGTAGCGGGGTAAGGATGCTTGCAAGCTTTTGTAGAGGGCCTGCGACCACCAAACACATGTCAGTCAACATCAAGAGGGCGAAACAAGAAGCGTACTTCGTCTCTGCCAGATTTTGCAGTGGCAGGAGCAGGGAATGATATTTCCAGAGCCTGCAGGCCACCTAATGGGCCTTTTGGTTCAGAGAAAGGATCGTCAAGAGCATCCTTGCTCGGGCATCCCAATGCTGCGCCAGCTGCGCCGATGACCTTCTCAAAGGACCGTCGATCGACGCTGTCGCTAAACCGCAGTGAGAGGCGGTTGATGCCGCGGAGAGAAGACATCAGCGCTGCGGGTCGTAGGCCGCTGTAAAGCGTTGTGGTGATATTTAGCGAAACTGCTTTCAAAGGCCGACGGATGGTGTCAATAGATGGGAAGAGGTGCATGAGCAGAGAGGGTGTCGCATGTAATTCGGCTAGGTTGGGCAGGAGAGTCGGAGAATTGAACGGCGAAGACGGGGTTTGCGGAGAGGGAGGGACGTTAAAGTAGGCGGAGCTCGGCGATGGGATTGGTGTAGCGTATGGCGATAAGGTGGGGAACGGTTTTAGATGCGGACTTGATGGCGCTGTACCGGCCCTGCTTTGCTGCTCTGGAAGGTTCGTCTTAAGTGTCAACGGCGAACTTAGGTTAGAGTCTTCTAGGTTCGGGAAGCAGAGGGTAGTTATATTCGTCTGGCCATCGAGCCAGGTGAAAAGTGCCGTCGTCTCTGCTTCTGACATGGTGGGATTCAGGAAGGTCAGTCTAGTAAGTCCGAAGGCCGTGTGCTGAGCTAAAAGAGAGGCGTCGAACGCTGGCAGCGTCAGCGAGACGAGATTGGACATCCGCTCCAGGGCGAGGGTGAAGGTAGCCGTGAGCAGCGCGTCTTGCTGCTGAATCGAGTGGCCATCGCGCAATCGTGTGTCGGAGAGAAAGAATGCAGGCCATCGCGAACACACGAAAGTGGAGACGAGATCTGTCAAATCACTTCGCGACGCCAATAGAACGACGACTCTCTCCACCTGTGACAGCGAGAACGCCTCGGTATCAATATGCGTGTACAGCGAGGTGCGGGCAGCAGACGCGAACAGTCGAGACGCAGAGGCACATCGAGATATCGATTGCGGTGGGAGATGGGAAAGGATGTGGATGATTACAACTTCTGGGAGGTGGAACTTGCGTTTGGGAGAGGAGACTTCGAGGGGATTAGGGACAACGGATGCTCGGCGTGTCATTCCTCGGATATTGAAGCTTGTCGACTGGAGGAGGTTGGGCGAGCTGACTGCTCGTATTCGTTGGAATTCTCCAGCCGTAATGGTTGGAAAACTGTCATGCGGGAAGAAGGATGGCGTGAAGGGAGATGGAGGAAGAGAGCGATTGGAGCTGATAGAAACTGCTCTTCCCAGCCCGCTTGGTCGACGAATATCGTCTTCGGACTCGAAAGAGCCTCTCGATGACGAACGCGAAAGGCGGCGAGGACTGTTCGCCAGCGCCGTATTGACTTGCTTGAGGTCCGAAGGCGTCTTCTTACGGAGGAACATGGACGAGACGCGTCGCATGATACGGCTCGCGCCGCTGGCGGAACTGCTGCTTGTTCGTTGGCGTTTGCGCTTTTGGGGAACATTTTCGACGGCGGCTGGGGAGGGGAAAAACTTGGAGGACCGTTTCGCCTCCTTTTCCGTGGTTTGCTGCGTCTGGTGCGAGCGTTGGCGGTGAAGAAAGCTCATAGAGGTCACCTGGCGGAGGAAAAGTGAGAAAAAAAATGTGGTCAGAGACCCGCAGGGGGTCTCGTAAAGGAGTGAATAAAACCCACCCCGCGTCCTTGGAAACCAAATGAGGTCTTCTCTCGAACCCTGACAACCTCGGCAAGTCGCGACCTCCAAATTTAACCATCTTATCGTCCTCGACAATGTGGCCAGGTGAAGATCTTGGGTATTGCCTCCCTCGCAAGATAATTGTTTCTCAAGTGCGTGGAGTCGAGGAAATATCGAGGAAGGGACGGAAAATATGCAAGTTGAAGATAAGAAACCGAGTAGGTTCAGCTCTGCCGAGGTTTATCTTGGCTGCCCTTGGCATTTAAGTATCCCGGCCTAACCAGATTTGTCGATTTTTCCAAAAATCGCATCGCAAATTTTGAAAAGAGCGACTGCATACGACTGTGAATTTGAAGTTCCTTGGAGCTGAAGAGATGTCTCTGTTTTTGTTTGATTTCATGTGAAGTGGTAAGTGACAGAATTAGACTGTTAGAGCTTTCTGGGCAATTGCTGGCAAGCGGATCAACAGCGGCAGACCGTGTGAACCTTGCGTCATCACGCATTTGATGGATCCCCTCCGTCGTCCTCCAGGCTCCGGCGTCCCAACGACCTGATCTTCTACCCTTATCTCAAAATCCAAATGCTATCAGATTCTCCCCTTACTGGCGTTGTTTGAGCGTCCAAGACAACTATCCTCTAACACCATGCTCTTTACGGCATGGCAAGCAAGATGTACGTTGGTTTTCATATTATGCACCTGTTCCACCAGGCCTGCCAGTGCGATGTCCCGTTGAATGGATTCGAACCGGCTGTCAGACAAGACACAACTGACGAGCAAGTGACACTGATTCAACTTTAGGTATATGAGATATGCCTCATATATGCTGTAGTGCGCATATTGACGGTGCGTACAGAACGCTGCATGACTCTCCAAGAGGCTTATATCTCTTGATGAATTAGGCAGTTTAAGACGTTCCAAGAAACTACATCGTAGTCTACTCGATAAGACTAGTCCAGCAGCATCCATATGCTAAACTCTGAAGAGATGAAAGTGTAAATGTCCTGCTGGATGCATTATTAGGTTCGTATATGCGGTCTGCTTCCACCCTCTTCCTGCAGAATAAGCATGCCTTTGCCTTTTCGCTCAGAATAGCCTGCAGGCCGCATGTCAACGCGCCGTTTTGTTCCTTTTTCCTGGGCCGATACAAACCTCGAGCAATTCTATGGATTCCGGCGAATCCCAAGGCCCGAGGTGGCGACGGCTGCGGCCTCAAGGCCTCAACCCCAAATTCGATGCGTGCGCCTCGGGTTCATCAAACCTTCGTTCTCATCGTCGCCAACAAGCACCTATTTCGAGCAACTCCGCCTTCTAAACGAGTCAGTCGCCTCATGATAGCACGACGGACTTCGGCGTAGTCGACCACTTCGACATGCTACCAATGATCCTATCCTATTCATAGCACTCGCGCCATGTGCACTTATGCGACTATATGCGTTTGTAGGCGCCTCGAACCACCATCGCGTCACCGAACGCGGTAAATATGCTCGCCTACTGCGATTTTGCAGGCTCCGACGGGGCTGGCTCGCTGACGTAGTAAGCAACGACAGAGGTGAAACGCAGCTGGTGGGCACAGTCGCGATCTTCACTATATAAGGGTCCCGATACGTAAATATAGGCGGATCCCGACTTCTAAGGCTAGTTTCACTCCCCTTCACCCTTTCTGCCCCGTTCGCCGACACTATGTCTGCGCTGGCTAAAAAGCCCTCTGAAGAAACTTTGAAAGCTGGTCGGGATGCGCCAACGCTTGGGTATGGACCAACACCATGGTACGTGACTCCAGGCTCATATTCTGGCCCGGGCTGACGCGACAGCCGTGCAGGTATCTACGAGTCCCATTCGCGTCGCGCAAAGCGCCACCACCCAATAAACTCGGACTCGATGGAGAGCCTCCGATGATACCAGAAGCTTCTGCCAACTTCTTCAGCCTGCTCACTTTTCAATGGATGACCCCTCTCATGTCCCTCGGCTATGCTCGGCCACTTGAGGAAAGCGACCTCTATCGACTTCCGGACAGCAGTTCAGCATCATACATCGGAGACCTCATTGTGCAATCCTTTGAACGCCGGAGGAAAACTGCAGAAGAGTATAACGAACGCCTAACCTCGGGTCAAATTTCACCGCCAAAGTGGAAAGTCCTTTGGTGGTCGTTCCTCGGGAATAGCGAAGGTCGCGAGAAACACTGGAGGAATGTCGACAGGAAGAAATACCCGAGCCTTGTTTTGGCTATGAACGATAGTGTCAAGTATCGGTTTTGGTCCGCCGGCATTCTGAAGGTGACGAAGGGATGTATTGTCTCAATACGAGATGCTAACAACTCTACAGCTTTTCGCAGACACTTTGACGATCACTAGTCCTCTATTGGTCCAAGTGAGATGAGCCTTACACTTACTCGGGCGACCTGTTTCCTGACGACATTACCCCAGGCAATCGTAAACTTCGCATCGAACTCGTATGCTACTCGGTCGAATCCAGAGGATGCCCCGCCAATCTGGAAAGGAATCGCCATGATTATAGGTCTTGTGCTCATGCAAGCTATCTCATCTCTCTGCACGCACCATTCTTGGTATCGAGCCATGGCGAGCGGAGTGCTGGTCCGCGGGGGTTTGATATCTGCCATTTACTCTCGCGCGTTCACTCTCTCGTCTCGGGCGCGGGTCACTTTGACCAGCGGTCAGCTCGTCACGTACATAGCCGCTGATGGTAAGTCCTGGTTGCGCAGCTGTTGATCGTTGTCCTGACCAAGACCTGGCACGTTCACTAGTGTCTCGTATCGATACCGCGTCTGGACTTGCCCACTCGACGTGGACGGCACCTATCCAAATCGTGATTAGTCTCGTCATTCTTCTGGTCAACCTTGGGCCGAGCGCCCTCATTGGATTCTCAGTTCTCCTCCTCGGAATTCCAGTTCAAAGCTACGTCATGAAAAAGTCTTACGTCGCCCGGAGCGATAGTATGCAGTACACAGACAAGAGGGTAAAGTTAACCCATGAGCTTCTTGGAGGCATCCGTGTCATCAAGTACTTTGCATGGGAAGAGGCGTTTTTGAAGGCGTTGAACAACCTGCGGAAGATGGAGATGAAGTCAGTCAGATTTGTACTTGAATAATCGCTGAACTTACGGCCATTCTACGCCCCAGACACATAAGGAAGCTGCTCTTGTTCCGAGCAGGCAACAATGCAGTTGCGATGTCATTCCCTGTGCTGGCAACTGTTCTCGCGTTCATCAGGTATTTCCTTGAGTCGTCTCGAGTGCTAATTTCATTCTAACATTCCTGGATAGTTATACCCTCCTGGGCCGTAAGTCGTATCGTCAGTTCATTTGAGTGTCTTGCAAGACATCGGCGCCTCCAGATGCGCTCGAGCCTGGGATCATTTTTAGCTCGCTCACTCTGTTCCAACTACTACGAACCCCCGTCATGCTTCTACGTGAGTCTTTTGGCCGCCGATTATTGATGAGGCTGCTGCTTAGGCTATGTTGTTGATTATGCAGCTATCGCATTGAGCAGTGTGACAGACGCCTACAACGCTACCTGCAGAATCTACAATGTCTTCGTCGCAGAGACGATGGATGACACTAGAACCATCAAAGACAGTGCACCTAATGGTATCCTGGTTGACAACGCCTCTTTTACTTGGGAATCCCCGCAACAAACAAGTGACAAGTCATATCAGAAGACAAGCAAAGGCGAGAAAGCGATCATGAAAGCTGCAGAAGACGATTTCGAGCGAGAACGCAGGGTATTCTCCGTTGAAGGAATAAATATCCAGGTTCCGCGTGGGAGGCTTTGTGCAATTGTTGGCCCCGTCGGCTCAGGAAAATCTAGCTTGTTCCAAGGCCTTGTCGGTGAAATGAGGAAGACCCAGGGCAGTATAACCTTTGGTGGTAGCGTCAGCTACTGTCCACAGAGTGCGTGGATTCAGGTAACCTGCTCCTCGATATCTAATTTCGGTTGAGATGTTTACGATGATGCTCAGACGGGAACCATTCGCGAGAATATTTGCTTCGGAAAGCCGTTCAACAGCGTCCGTTATTGGAAGGCTATTCACGACGCATGTCTGGAAATCGAGTAAGTCGCATCACGAGAAGAGAGGGTTATTTTAAGCTCATCTATACTCCAATATCTCAGTCTTGACCTCCTTCCAAATGGCGACATGACACATATCGGAGAGAAGGTGTCGTCTCTTGATCATTTCGTCTATTATTTCCACTCATCTCGCGATAGGGAGTCTCTCTTTCAGGTGGCCAGAAGCAACGTATTAATATCTGCCGGTCCATCTACGCAAATGCGGATGTCCAACTATTCGACGACCCCTTGTCGGCACTAGATGTGAGTGTTTTTTGTGAGCAGTGATTGGTGATTAATCAAAGCTTTTAGGCTCACGTTAGTAAAGACGTATTTCTTCGAGTGTTGAAATCATGTGGACAGAATTCAACAAGGATCCTCGTCACTCATGCGCTGCACTTCTTACCTCAGGTAATGGCCTCAGATTCCAGTCGTCGCAGTGTTGAGTGTTGAGCGAACACCAACAGGCGGATTTCATCATAACCATGGACCATGGCCGAATATCGCAACAAGGAACGTATGACGAACTCATCGCGGATAAGGAGGGAGCTTTCGCCAAGATGATCGTCGATTACGAGCACGCCCGGTCCCAAGAAGAGGATGAAGAACTCGAAGCTTCTTCGAAGAACCCGGCTCCGAAGGTGAATTCTGATCCGCAAGCCTCGGACTTGATGCAAGTGGAGGAACGGAAGATCGGCACAGTAAAGGGAGATGTGTATGCCTTCTACTTCAAAGCTGGGAAAGGTACGTAAAGCTAATATGAATTCCGTTGTTCGATCGACTGACACGCATTTGGCTTATTCAGGGCCTGCACTGGTCCCGTTAATATGTGTTTCCCTCGTACTTGTGCAAGCTGTCAATGTGATGTCCTCGTACTGGTCAGCACCGATTCCATTGTCTTCCCTTTTCTTCCTCAAGACTCCCCTTTCTTAGGTTGCTATATTGGCAAGAAAGGTACCTTACACTCTGACACCAATCCTCGGCCTGGGGCTAAACCTCTATTTTCGCTAGAAAATGGCCAGAGCCTCTCGGATTTTACGTAAGTAATGAATGACCTTATATCTACTTCGGTCTCTGAGCGTGGTAAAGATTGGCGTATACTCAGCATTGGGAGGGATGCAAGCACTCGTATCCTTCTTTTATGGTAGTCTCTTTGCGGTATTTGCCTATCTTGCCAGCAGGGAGCTTCACCGAGTAAGCACGCTTCTGTTCCTTCCTTGATTGGGTTTAATCGCTCCTTGGGGTAGGCTTCCATCCTTCGCATTATGCACGCGCCAATGTCGTTCTTCGAAACCACTGTACGTCTCCGAGCTCCCATTGTTATTTGTCGACGATGAAGCCCGACTACTCTCCGCCATTAGCCTCTTGGAAGGATAACAAATCGATTTTCGAAAGGTGCGTTTCCTACCAGCACCACCAACTCTGATTTGGCTAATTGCTTGCGCTAGATATGGGTATGCTATTACCAAATTAATCTGGCATTGTATAGCCGCTTAAAGTGGTCCCTTCTAGATTTTGTGGATAACTATCTTGGGGATGCTTGCAGTTCTGCCTTGAATAGCTTTGCCACAATCCTCGGCGCTATTGTCCTGATTTCTGCCATATTTCCGTGGTTCTTGATTGCTGTTGCCTTGCTCTGTGAGGCCGAGCATTATTCGTCCCAGCTTGTTCTAATCGTTTCCCCAGTTGTTTGCTATTTTTACTTCTCCTTGTTCTATCGAGCAAGTGCTCGAGAATTAAATGTAAGTCCTTAACCCCGCTTTAAGCAATGGTTGATTGACTTTCCCTAGCGCATAAGTCAGTAATTATATCGCACCTTCTTCTACCAGCCTTGACTCTTTCTAGACAATCTGCTTCGTTCAGTTCTCGTGTCGCACTTTTCGGAGTCTCTGTCCGGTTTGACCACTATCAAGGCTTACGGAGAATCCGGGCGATTTCTTGACGACAATAAACAGCTTGTCGATACTGGGAACAGGTGTGTCATATCCCAGTATAACATGATTCCGCCTTCCTAATACCTTTACTAGAGCATACTGGCTTACTGTCGCCAACCAAGTACGTCTTTATCATGGTCAGATTCACCAGGTTGTTCAATATGATCGCAGAGATGGCTAGCAGTTCGTTTGGACGCCTTTGGGGTATTACTCACTCTCACCGTAGCGGTTCTTTCAGTTGCCACGCGGTTCAGCTTATCACCATCAAAGATGGGAATAATGCTTTCGTTTATCCTTTCTATCCAATACGTACGTCGATCTGTCCTCTGGCGCTCGCTGAACTTGAAGCATACTGATCGAAAACAGTCTCTGAGCCTGGTGGTTAGGCAAGCTGCCCTTGCCGAAAACATGATGAACAGCGTTGAACGCATATCCCACTATGCCAACAACATTGAGCCAGAGGCAGTTAAAGGCAGCTCTGAGAAGGAGGCACCGGACGTTTGGCCGTCCAAAGGAAGGATAGATATAAGTGACGTTCAGCTTGCATATCGTCCTGGATTGCCCATGGTTCTCAAAGGATTAACCATGCAAATACGAGCAGGTGAGAAGGTCGGAATTGTTGGGAGGTAAGAGAAGACCGTTTTCGGTTGGAAAAGATATTCAAAGCCATTGTGTAGGACAGGTGCGGGAAAGTCATCTATTATCGTGGCGCTTTATCGTCTCGTCGAGCTCAGTGCCGGGTCAATCATGATCGATGGAGCTGACATCTCCAAACTGGATTTGACTGTCCTGCGAAGTTCAATAGCTGTCATCCCTCAAGAAGCGGTCAGTGAGACGTTCGGCCGAACTATAAATTATTCTTATATGTGCTCCATTTTTAGGTGCTATGTACGCCCTTAAGGTTTGGCGAAAATATGTCGACTTACCCTGTTTTAAAGTCCTCGGAAGTGTAAGGACGAACCTTGATCCGTTCGGCCAGTACGACGACGCCCATTTATGGGACGCATTACACCGTTCGCACTTAGCCAAGAATTTCAGTCAGGAACTCGAGAAGGATGAAATGGCACGCGTTCTCCCTCCTCGAGGAATTCTTGACTGTGCTATCGAAAATGAAGGAAGCAATCTCTCCTTGGGCGAGGTCTGTTTCCATCGGCGTACAAATTCCAACGAATTTGACTGTTTTGGAATGCAGCGCTCACTTATTTCTCTGGCGAGAGCATTAGTAAAGAAGTCTCGTATCTTGGTGCTAGATGAAGCGACAGGTGCGTGCATTCCCTTTTTTCTGCATGTATACTGACCGAAGTATTATAGCCTCGGTTGACTACGAGACTGATCGGAAGATCCAGGAAACAATCGCTGAGGAATTCCGCGAACAGACCATTTTATGTATCGCTCGTACGTTTCTCTCCACATCCTCAGTGCACAAGCCCTACTATTCTGATTAGATCGTTTGAACACAATCATTGGCTACGATCGCGTTTGTGTCATGGACGCAGGACGCATCGTAGAGTTCGATACTCCTGCGAACCTTTACAATCAGCAAGGCATTTTCAGGAGTATGTGTGAGCAATCCGCCATCTCGCTCGACAACATCATAACGGCTCAAGAAAGGAAAAATCGGTACAACCAGGCCTAACGCAACTACAAAGAATTTCTTTTTATTTATAGTTTATTCTGGTGGTATAAGGTCGATATTAATCTAGGAACATAAGCGCTGTTGGCGAAGTATATATAAAGCTTGAAGGCCATAGAATGTCAAGTATAGTGTGTACGTACTTGTAGTGATGTTCAGAAGGGGTCATGCATAGAGAGCCGTACGTTGCAAAGCATAGGCTGCTGATAAGAAGTGCCAAGAACAAAGAGTACGTGTACAAAAGATGAGCACTGGGATTGACTGGCAGAATAATGGCGGTAATCGGTTAGCAAGAAGAGGGTCTGATGGGATGCGACCAGAAAGAGGAGCTATGATGAGAATGCAGCAAAAACAGAATATCGACAGGAGAATGGAAAGAGAAAAAGGACTCAGCAGCTATCCGCGACTGTTAAAGCTGTTATCTGGATGATTGGGTCGTCCATCAGGGAAAAACGACCGAGGTCTCCTCGCGACATCCGATTGACCTTCGTCTTCAGTAGGATCTTCGTTTGTCCTTGCCCGTTTCTGACCAGCAGAGCCAGCAGGGTCGGTCTGGTTGTTCGGCGCGGCAGCTGGCGGCAACGTAGAGAAAGTAGTGACTGAGGGTGACGGTGCTGTTGCAGCTGGAGGAAGAGTCGCTAATGCTGACGCAGCAGAAGCAGCAGCAGCAGTGGTCGAGGAAGATGGTGCGGGCTGATAAGCAATCCTGTTTACATGGGCATGGGCCAGCCAGGGGTCCCGAACAGCATACGGCTGCCTGATAGCTGGGGCTTGGGACAGAGGAGGCTGAGAACCTACAGGACCCCCAGGCTGGTGTAAGCCCCATTGCGGCGCCTGGGATCGCAGCGTCGGCGATGGTGTACTTGCTGGCGTTACGAGTGGGCCCGTTCGGACATTGGCAGGACCAATACCGACATTTGGGCCAGCGGAGACAGCTCCATGAGGGACGAGGACCTGTGCTGAGACCATAGGCGTCGTTGTCGGCGGTGCGGACTTCCTAGGTGCGAATTGCTGCCGCTGCTGTCCAACTACAGTCGTCGTTGGAGCTGTAGAATAAAGGGCACCCCAGGTTGCACTCCAGGCATCATCAGGATCTGCAGTTGGCTGTACGTCAGCGACGGACATCTTCTTGAAGTTGGGTAGCTTGGTGCGGGTGCTGGCTGCACTGGACGTAGAGGCAGGCGCACCAGTTCCGGTGTTGATGGAACGATTGCTGTTGGCCAGAGCCTTCGCATTTCGCAGAGGTGCCAGGCGGTCTTGAGCTGCGGAGAGTCCCGAAGAGGACGACGAGGGTGCCACAGGAGGTTGCGCTACGCTCGGCTGAGGAATATTGCTGTTCGTAACGGTACAGGCGGTGTCGGTCCTGTTGTTCGTAGATGTAAACGTAGGTGCCTGTGTCGTAGTCGTGGTCGAAAAGGATGTGGATGGAGGATATGCAGACGATCACGACCCGGAAGTGGAGGTCGAGCAGCCATCGACAAAGGGGCAGTGGGCGAGGGTACATTCGATGCCGGAGGCGTAGGTGCGCAAGAGTTGGAGCTATCGCGATTCGTGGCAGCAGAACCTGCTCGCGACAGAGACCGAGCAGACGGCGATGGCCTAATCGTCGGCGTCGCTGTCTGTGTGTCGGGCTTCTGCTTTTCTGCAGCAGACGGCCCGGCCCTCGCGGTTTTCTTTGCGGTTGTTGACGGAGCGGATTTCGTTGTCGATGTGGATGCCGCTGGAACAGCAGATTGCGGTTGTGCCTTCGTTTTGGCGAGGTTCTTCTTGACTGTAGTCTTCGCTGAACCTGGTGCACGATGAGTGAGCCTTGATTTGGGCTTAGCCTCCTCCTTCGTCTCTAGAGAGGGAGTCTGCGACACAACCTTGCGCGTTAGAGCCCGTTTCTTTTTCGGCATCGGCACCGTATAATCGCTTTCATCGTCAGCATCGGTATCTTCCTCCTTCTTTTCCTCCTCCTTCTTGCGTTTCGCCGGGATCTTCTGGCCCGGCTCGGTCGCCGTCAAGGCACTTAAATTGATCAACCTCGACTTCGATGCGTTGGTACTTCACGTCGTTTGCAGGCTTCGGGTCGTTAGGATCAACCTTCAGGTTTGGGATGAGCTTTGGAATCCGCTTCTGCAGAAACGACATGATGTGCTTGAAGTTCTTGGTGTTGAACTTGAAGTCGGCAAGATTTTGCTTCGCGTCTGTGCGCATATGGGTGATGGCATCGGACAGCTGGGTATCGGATAGCTTCTTGCGGTGCAGCTGAATGAGGTAGGCAGACATGACGAACTCCAAGGGCGAAAGGTCCTTCCTGAGAGGCTCTCCGAGCCCCGGATGTTGGGCGATGCGGCAGTAGATGTCCATGACCTTCTCCGACGCCTTCTGTGCAGCCGTCAGCCCTTCGGTGGTTGTTCTAAGCAAGGTCTCGAGTCGGCTTGATGTTGGTTCAGCCTTCTTTGTCTGGCCATACAGGATCAGATGGACAATCTGAGCAAGGGCCTGGAAGTCTCGTCCGCGTTCTCTACCCCAAGCGAGGTAACCCTCGAACTCTTTCGTTGTATTCACCCTATTGCGTAAGGTACGAACGAGTTCGGCGTACAAGCCGTTAATCGCTGGCAATCGATCTGAACCGATTTGGGAAAATAAACATCGTTGATGCGAAACAGTGACAGTGGCTAAAGCTCGCACCTGCCGGACTAAGCGAGACTCCTAATTGAACACGCTGAGAGGGCATTAGTGACATCATAGTTCAGGGAAATCGAGGGAGAATCTCTACCTGGAAGAGTTCACGTTCGTTCTCTGGAGTGACATCCTCGTACTCCATGCACGAGACTTGCTTGAGCTCGAAGAGGCTCTTCATTGGCGGGGGTACAAGGGTTCTTTTTTTCCCGGTAGGATCCTTATCGATCCAGAAGCTTTTACCCGAATAGCTAGCAAAACGAATGAATATTAGCAAATGTATGCGTAGGGAGGATCACTAGTAGCACGCACGAGTCTTTGCCTGAAACATATGCTACAGGATCAGTAGATGGCATCGCGAAAAGAGCGAGCCGACTTACAAGGGATCTAGGTCACACAGGAACAGAAAGATATAAGAACACTTGAGGATAAAAAAAGGCGATTTTGACTACAAACCTCATTATTGAGAAAGCTTTGATTGAGAGGAATAAGAATTCGGCTTAAAAATAACTAGCCAATGCAAAACTCACCGTTTGAAAGACGTCAACCTTTGCTTCCCATCAATGCATACACGCGTTTCGGACCCGTCGTCGCTCCGTATGACACCTGAACCAAGGTCGGGGTCAGTTTGAAGGATTCTGGATGTCATCCAGAAGGCATACGGAAGAGTAATTGCGGGACATGCATGTTTCGATAGACCGATTCAATAAGAGCACTTTGCTTGTCTGCATTCCAGACCACACCTGAAAAAAAGAGAGTTTGGCAAAGAAGGCGGAAAATAACGCTGTACTTACTACGCTGGTATTCGGGATCGAGATCAATGGTGCCTTCGTTGTAGAGTCCTGGCAAAAGGGAGTCATAACATAATCCTGATCCCGACTGAACATGATCATCACATACTGACGAGTGTCCCGACGGGAAATGACGTTTGTCGAGCAGGGTTCAAGATCGGTCCTGTGATCATCGTCTCACGACGCTCCAGGCTCTTCTTGGTGGCTGCTTGTGTCGATGCTCGGGTAGGTTTAGCTCTAGGAACCGCCGCCGCAGATGGGGGGGCCCTGACGCGTGCCCGTGGACGCGAGGCAGCGGGGACAGGTGGGGGAGAGGGGGCAGGCTGGGGCACGGGGGGCTGCGGGTTCTCGTTTCCCTCTCCCTCCTGCCCCTCCTGCTGCCCCTCCTCATCCGAGTCCAAATTCGTCCACTCCGAGTCGTCCTCAATATCGTCCAGATTCCAGGTTGTCTCCACGACCGGCATCTTCTGTCACGATATAATGAGGAAGAAATGGGTCCAAGTGGCTGAGAGATGAGGGAGGGGGACAAAAGTGCGCGCATGGTTGTTGAAAGAGGATTATATTTGCGTCTGTATAGCAGTTACCGGCGGGGTCTCTCTGCTTTATCAATTAACGGAAATGATGATCGTTATGGACGGATTTGGACATCATCCCGGATTTCGTCCTTTCTCCAAGATTTCCCCGGGCAGAACAGAACGAGAGTCGGTCTCCGCTGAACTGAAGTCTAGCAGGAAAAAATGAGGTGGAAAGTAAATGCAGTCCATAACAAGTACAGTGAGGCGCACATGCGATCATGATGATATACTTTTCGGCATTTCATGGTGGATCGGGGTAGCGAGCGCTTAGGCTTCTTTCTACATATGGTATAAATCTCCTCGATTCCTGGCCCAAAGCGTCCGCGATTAGAGGGGCGAATGTTCGCGGGGAATGAAATCCCGAATGCCGACCTACTGTAGATAACCGGCATCTCGGTCACTCTACAGTCGCCTAAAATTTGCGTGCTGGGTTTGGGGGTGTCAAAAAAACCAACAGTACTACTCAATAGGCAAGCATCTGAAGTACCTGTGCACCAAGTATCAGAAATTCAAGGGAGCTATTGAGACCTCCATGAATATTTTATTTCGATAGGTCAAAATCGGGCAAAACCAGGAAGTCGGCCAGGGCCCGAGACTAGACCGATTTGTATTGGTCTCGTACACCGGCTGTAACCAGGGTCAGTTATGCTTAGTAAGCTGATGATAAGATAACCTCGGAATACGAGGACAGTACTCGGCCACCTTGAATTGCTCTTCAAAGTTGGTCTGACCTCAGCGAAAAAGAGTTTCCAGTGAAAGTTAGACACACCTACCATGAGCTGGTATGTTTATTTCGTGATTTCTGATGTTTTCCTTTCAGTTATTTAATTTGACATTTCTCATCACTCAAAACAAGCTTTTTCAATTGCTTGGTGTCTTATGTCTGGAAGAAAATTGCAAAAATTAAGGGGCCTTCTGTCATGCACATATATTTGCCTCACTATTCGTTTCACCCCTTCGTTTATGCAGTAGATGCTTTGTACTAATAGAAATCAGCGGGAACAGTCCAATCCACCTCCAAAATGACACACTCTCCAATTTTCAAGATTGGAAGTGTAGCAGTCCTTCAACATAGGAGAAATTTGCTTAATTATACAGTAGTAATTATGAAATTCTTAAGTCCAAAGTATCTTCCTGGCAATGTGTCATGTCGTCGAGAAAAGCCCTCCGGGACCACCAGAAACATGGTATCAAATAAGGAAATTGGGTGTCACCCATCACCAGACGCAAAGGGAGGCTCATTTCTCTGCGAGGAAAGGTGTTCTGTCTGCAAAAAAATACAGTTACATTGCTCTGATACTATTATACATGAATGCACAAAAAGAATGGAGTGAAACGAGCAACTGTGCCATCCACAAAGGCAATGACCGAGTAGCTGGTGTGACCGAGTAACCGGTTACGTACAGTACCTATAATGCCCAGGACTTGGTCCAAAAATTAATTATTTAAAATTAAATAAAAGTCCAAATAAAAGGGGTGACCGAGGGTCACGGTCTTGGCTTTGTCCAAAAGATTGTTAAAAGAACATCACATGGGTGCTTTCAACGCGTTTTTTACAATTCGGAGCGGTGCCCGACGCGCGACAGACGACAGATAATCCTCGTGGCTGCAGCACAAAGGGACACGAGGAAGTCTTTTCAAGTTATTCGAGTTTCAAAGAACCTTGGAGGCCAAACTCGTGACATCATGACTCAGACAATGGTTCTGAAAAGTCCGAGTCCCGTCTCAGTCCGTCTCGGATCAGCACAAAGGATAAACGTTTCGTGTCAGATTGAGAGAGGCACAAGGTGGATATACGATACAGAGATAGTAGGATCTACACGGTATAATCAAGAAGAATGACGAAAGCAAGACAGCAGCACTAGATATATGTAAAGAAGGGTGCGAGAAACAAACTAATTAGGATGCAAGATGGACGTGGAGGTTCCTTTACTTCCTCTTGCGTGTGTTGAAATCGGGATTGATGGGGACTGGTCGTTGACCAGGAAGCCGCTGATAAGGTGGAAAGGCTGTTAGCAAAGGCTCGGGCAGAAGGACACCAGACATACTCGCAACTCATACTTGCAAACAGTAAACTGGCTCTTGCCCTTGTCCAAGTACGCCTAAGGACGTGTGAGAACAGTTTCTTTTTGTGGATCCAAGATTTTCGTACCTTCTCGACAATGTATAGTCCATCATATCGATAACTGCATGATACATGCGTGTCAAAAGACGAGAATTGGAGTCCGAAGACACAAAACCTCACTATTGGACGGGAGCATATTTGGAGTTAGGGTTGGGACCGCGAACGACGCGAACTGGCCGCTTGGTTTCGACCGATTTCTGTTGTCTCTGGAATTAACACCAGGACGTGGTCTAGACAGCAAGGATTACGCACCAACAGGGCGTAGTTATCTTTGTGTTCAAAAGTTTGGTCGGCGACTTGTTTCTTTGATCCCTGTCGAAGACCGAAATCTTAGCCTCATGCCCAAATTGCCGAAAGGGAGTCATGCCACTCACCGAAAACGAGTCCTGCTGCCCTCCTACAGGCACCTGTCAGTGAGCGATTCGATCCTTATCATGAAGACGTTTCGATGTCACCTGTGCCCGTGTATACGCTGTTGTGATCGTCAGCAAAGTGGCATAACGGAACACGAGGAAGGAGACGCACAAGAAATCCCCATCGTCCTTATCATCCTCGTACCCAGATGACAAGCATATCGAGTACGCGCCATCCCTCTGTGTGCCAGCGATGCCAGCGACGTTTCTCGGATGCACGCCCTTCCGCGCACACTCAGCCCTGCGCACAAAAAACGGATCAAACAGCACCGGCGGTCAACCCAACGCGACAACCTCTAGCAACAAAGCACGCACCTGGACTCAAAGATAGCTCCTACTTCTATTCCCTTGATAGGTCCGAATTGCGGCAGCTGGTCGCCCATCATGTTAGGATCGTACAGCTCCGTGTTGCCCATAAGCTGTTTGCGGCTAGAAGAGAACAACGGGAAGGTGCGATAATCAGTATAAGCGACCCTGCGGCCACCACCAGCGACGTTGAGGAGCGAATCACATACAACCGTTCAGCCATTTTGACACGGATGATAGTGGTGATGGCGGTTAGAGGAAAAGAACCAGGAATGCCACAGTTGCGCATTCTTGGACGAACATGGTAAGGAGCCCTAATTGCTTTGTGATACCTCAGGCGCGTCATTCCCACGCCGGACTAGATTTCTTTGTGGCTCAACAATTGCCAAGAAAAACCATATGGTGCAACGTCACGTGTGGCGACGCGTCAATATGGGTCAATATTCAAGTCATAGCTGACGCGTCGAGGATCCATTTTACGTCCTCTTCACAGGCGTTCAGCTCCAAACTCGGGATATTCAGATACCGAAACAAGCCACAATCTATGTGGAAGCATTGCCTACATGATCGAATTGAAACACTGATATCTTTTCCTGATCATTTCGCCGACTCGGACTCGGATGTGTCTGGTTTTAGCGTACATGCCTACGTCTGCATATCTACGTTTGCTGATATCCACCCTTCTCCTTTGTGCTGACCCGGCTATCTCAAAAATCACTTGCCCATGCATTTGTGATCAATGGGCGACAGTAAGACAGCTGAGGTTCTGAGAGGTCCTCCAGTTCACGGGACTCGGAATTCAGCTCTGAATCGTAGCGTCCATAGATTAATTTCAACGCATTGGGACCCTTTCGGATGGCTGAAAAGAAAGAGAAGGAGTTTTATCATAAATCATGTTCAAGCGCCTGAATGTATGTAGTGCTCACGATCATCTTCTGCCACATAGGCTAGGACATGCTTGTGACACCAACGCCAGTGTCTGTTCGGAAGGTCTTCTTGAAAACGAGGTGCCCATTTGTCAAGGATAGCACAAATTCGTTCCCGAAAACGAAATTGTTCAAACCTCTCTTCCGTGGCACGAGAGTGAAACTGACGGTGATGGAGTAGCTCCTGCAAACGATGATGCAAGCCAGACCGCTAAGCGTCCACCGCAAAGACGTGAGTCTCATGTCTCCGTGGCCGGGAATAAAGAGTAGAACTTACATAAAGGGATTGCAGATGGACAACTTCAAGTTTCTCCAATTGTGCGAAATTCCTATCTTGTTCAACCCAAAAGAAGCTGTCCGACCAAGGCCGGTCTAATTCCCAACAGAGCTCAGCTACAAACCTTGCCCATAGAGCTAGTGCAGGGGTCTCTTCTTTCCAAGCAGGAATGGTACGGAAATCTTTTTCTCGCCACCCCGATTCGACCTGCTCCTGTAAATTGCAATCGTTGGGCCAAGTTATTGGTTTCAGATACCGTGCTGCAAACTGGAGTCGAAGAGACTTAAGCGTTGGACCAGTCAGCCGGTTAGACGTGGTTGGAATACAGAAGGGTGCAGAAAGAGGGGTCATATTATCAGTGGTGGGCCCCACATCAGATTGCAGCAGGCGTTCGCAGCGTGTGCGGCCAACGGCATTGAGGACGGAGTACAGATCTGATTGGTCAGTGTAATGCAGCTCAGTGAGCTTGGATTCCATCGGCCAGGGTATGAAGAAGTGCAGGTCTTCTAACGATGGGAGGATCCGCAGCGCTCCGCTATGTTCTTCAACTGCTAACTTGACGAGTTCCTCCTTCCCCAGCAGGTCGATTCTGAGAACCTTGAGAGTTTTAAGATTGGGAAGCTGGAGCCTATTGTCCTGGGAGTCCATAATGATATCCTTGAGGGTTAGACACTGCAACGAAACGAACTGCAACTGCGAGATGATTTGGTTCAGAAGCTCGGTCCCATACGGTCGAACAATCGATAGGGTTCGCAATGACGGAAAAACTTGAGTGATGTTCCAGTTGTCAACATCAGGCCCAGGCCCCGTCATGCTAAAATCAACGACTCTTGGGAGCGGCTTAACAGGCAGTTGTTCAACGAAGCGTAGGCTGAAAGACGATAGATATCCAGAAGCATGAGTAATCTTGTCCAGAGAATAGGACTGGCGACCTGGAAGTTGGAGTCGTGCTAGTTGTGACCATGGAAGGTGAATGCGGATGGCTCGCTCATCGTTAATGCGAACCTCGTACAACTTTGGTGCATCCTCGAACGCATCAAAATCCACTATACTTCCTGCAAGCGAATTAAATTGAATATCCAAAGATTCCAACGAGTATAGTTTCCCCTTCACGTTGTCCTGGAATAATTTTGCCCAACCGACCGGCGCCGTTAGGTGCAGGTGCTTCCACCGTTCGCAGTGTTGAAAAAGCTTCACGAGACCCTTTTGCTCAGTATGAAGAGAGGTGCTGTGCACAATCGAAACGGAGAGGGGGAATGTTTTGGACCTTTCCAGCAACTTGGAAAGATATCCAGGAGGACCAGTAATGTCGACGTTGCGATCGCTTGATTCCAAGAAGATGTGAGTCCAAAGGCGAGGTGTGGAGATCGCAACTGCACGCCATCGACGGCACACACCGGAAATTCTCCAGGGAGTTTTCCTCCTCTTCAATTTAATGTTTTGTTCAGCGTAGAAGACAGTTGGTTCGGCAGCAAGAACGAAGATGTCGTGCCAGATTTCGTTGGGAATGCGTCGGCAGGCGGAAATGATACTTTTGTGAGATGAAATAAGGGATTGTATGCGCTCTTCCTCCCTGCTGGGACTCATATACGTGAGGGTTTCTTGATGTGGCGCTACTGTCGCCCAACGACCATCGAGGGTTGCAACGAATGCGGTGACTACTTGTGCTTCTTCGTCACTTGGCGGTTCGTTGGAGCGAAGCAAAGCAGGAAAAGGTGGCTGAAGAGAAGAATCCTCGGGAGCGAGGTCGGCAATGAGACTTTTGATAGTCTCAAAAAACTTCAATACTGCGAAGGGAGAGATATCGGTGAGCAGCATAGATCCAAATTTTCATGTGGGTTGGATATGTCTTCTTCCACAAGATCAATGCCAAGAGAGGGAAGAAAAGAAATTTAAATACGAGCCTGTGATTCCAAAATGACTACGCCTGTCGAGAAGAAGCCTGGAGCGTGGAGGTTAAGTTCAAGTTCATCGGTGGGTTTCTTGGTTCCACCCCCACCGAAAACCGGACCGCTGGTATTCCCACAGTGTCAAGTCTGGCGTTTCTGGCCCTGCGAGCATCTACTAATACTATCTCAGCTCCTCGACCCAGTGCCCCCCTACCAATGCCTGAAGAACCCTCAGCGTCAACCTCAAGCGGTAAAATGGGCAAAAAGCCTGTTACGATCATCACAATCGGCATGGCAGGCGCAGGGAAGTCGACCTTCGTCTCGCGGCTGAACTCTTACCTGCATTCCCTGAACCCGCCCTCACCACCGTACATCCTTAATCTCGATCCCGCCGTCACATATGTGCCGTACGACCCGAACATTGACATTAGAGATACTGTCAACTATCAGGAGGTTATGAAGCAGTTCGTATCTGGTCTCTTCTCCCGTTTCGGCGGGTAGTGAATTGAACCGTCGCAAAAAGATACAATCTAGGTCCCAATGGCGGGATCCTGACTGCGCTCAACCTTTTCACGACCAAGTTCGATCAGGTGTTGGACCTTGTGGAGAAGAGAGCGGAAACCGTTGAGTAATGTCGCATTTTTGCCGTGTTCCTTCCCGGCTTTACTGATTCGTCGTACCTTTTCTTCTAGTTATGTGATCCTTGACACACCAGGCCAAATCGAGATCTTCACCTGGTCAGCTTCTGGTGCTATTATCACAGACGCTGTAGCGTCGTCACTGCCGACGGTCGTTGCGTACATCATCGACACTCCACGGACAACGGCACCAGCGACGTTTATGTCCAACATGCTATATGCGTGCAGCATCCTCTATAAAACGAAGCTGCCCTTCATCCTCGTCTTCAACAAGACGGATGCTCAGCCGCACGACTTCGCCCTGGAGTGGATGTCGGATTTCGAGGAGTTCCAAGCGGCTCTGGCAACACATGGAGGGACGAGAGACTCGGAAGGCGAGCCGACGTATATGAACAGTCTTATGAACAGCATGAGCTTGGTGTTGGATGAATTTTATAAGAACCTGAAGGTCCGTAACTTTCGTTTCTGTGCCTGCTTCATCTGTTGCTGCCTTGCTGTCGGTTTTTGGGACATGCCAATCCCTATCTGTTCAAGGATCATGGCGTGGGGCTTCCATGGCTTCCAACGTCGGTTCTCCAGGCCAATCACTTTCCGGAAGTCTACTACGACTGCCTTCTTCGACTATGGTGCCTTTCCTTGAGGCATTTCCTAGACGATTGTCGCTGATCTCCTGTGGCGCTTGCATAAATTTCTTTCCTCGCACTATACTGACCCAACCACAATTTAGGCTGTTGGCGTCTCTAGCTTGACGGGAGATGGATTCAAGCAATTCCTAGAAGCCGTTGAAAACTCTCGAGAAGAGTATGAAAAGTATGTTTTTCACGAACTTTCTTCCTTGTGCCTTCATCTAATCGGATCATAGGGAATATCTGCCCGAGCTTGAACGTGCCCGAGCAGAAAAAGCGAAGACATTACAAGCAGCCAAGGAGGACTCCATGAATCGTTTGATGAAGGACCTGGCGGTCGATCGCGCGCGGAATCCTGCCGGCGCACTCGCCGACCACTGGGATCCAGAAGAGGAAGAGGATGATGACGACGACGACGAGTTCAGTATTGTTGACCGATGTGAGTGTATGCGTGCCGCAATACCCGCTCAGATCTAATATTGCAATCTCCAGCGGAAGAGAGAGGTCCTGACGAATACATTGACCTAACACGAGCCGGGCGACACGACGCAGAGAACATATCTTGGCCGAGACCGAGTTAGGCACTATCGTGTGGCTCTGGGGTTCTTGCGCCGCCCGCTGGCCTCTTATCAAAGCACCTAAAAGTATTTCGGCGGTGATGTATATTTCGGTGTAACTTACCTGTATCTTTCTTCTGTCTAGACAATTGTAATGGTGCCATGCCTCATGCGTGCTTCCTGTCATTTGCAAAGATCGTTGCTAACAAGCTGGACGCTGACATGACTCTGGTTCCATTCTGGAGGCAGGAAACAAGCGATTGCCGGATGATATGCGTGCATTCGTCCTTCCCTTTGCTCCATTTTCTTGCACGGCAGATGAAAGCCGTGGCCGGTTGATTTGAAATGGGGCTCCTCACACGAGCGGCCCACCAATGAATGGAATTTCGTGGTGACGAGTGGAATTCATCATTGAGCTTCTATTGTCCACAAAGAGCCATGTCTGACCTAAATTTCCCGACTGCACCCTGTGGCTGTGCGGGTCGGTGAGCAGCAAGTTGATTGCCTAAAAGAGTAGATTCCGAGGACATATATTCGCGTGAAAACTCTTTCTCCCTTTCGTTTTTCCTCCTCGACACGCCCAGAAGCCATCAGCAACTCCCCTCGCCAGCACCTAACATCGAGATTACGTGATCGTCAGTCACTCACCCACCGCCCATATAACCTCAGTTCCACCTCAGTGCAGGGTACATCCGGTTGCACGCCCACTGCCACTGATCTCCGCCCACGATACCTCGAGCCGCAATCGTTTGATCTTTCGACTTTAATCTTTCTCCATCGTTGCGCAAGACCACCAAACTCCAAGCTTTCATCTTCCTTCGACCAACACTCACCAAAATCGCTTTTCATGGATCGGTGCGTGATGCACGGATGGACGAATCGAGCCACTCCCTGACGACTCCTCCTTTTGCTCCGTTTAGCTACCAGAAGATCGAGAAAGTCGGTATGTAAGCTGTGTTCTCTCAGTGTGGGCTTGACCACCTATCTTCGGGCTGCTGTGCGTGCACAGGCGAAGGTGAGTTTTTGGTGGTTGCTTGGGCGGCTATCCGCCAGCTCACGAACATGGCCAGGAACCTATGGTGTCGTGTACAAGGCCAAGGATGTCGGGTCGGGTCAGATAGTCGCACTAAAGAAGATCAGGCTAGAGGCAGAGGATGAGGGTGTGCCCAGTACGGCCATCCGCGAGATCAGCCTGCTCAAGGAGCTGAAGAACGAGAACATCGTCCAGTACGTCACTCTGCTGTTCATTCGTGCTGTCGAGATTCTTACACGTCGTTTCCTCGTGCCCCTTCTACTCACATCCCTGCGCCTTCTCAGGCTGCTCGACATCGTGCATGCGGATCAAAAACTGTACCTCGTATTTGAGTTCCTCAACGTCGACCTCAAGCGGTACATCGAGACGGGAAATCAAAATCGTACGCCCATTTCTCTGCAGATCGTCAAGGTGAGCTCTGCCGCCGCTCGCTTCTTTATTGTCCTTTTTCGCCGTCCATTTGGGCGCGTTTCTTCCGACCGGCCTATAGAAACGCGTCACGGGGACGTGTTTGGGACGCGGACGGTGCACTTCCTCCACCATCATGCTGCTCTATCATCCCCTTCCATTCCCCATAACCCCGCATCTCTCGTCCACGCGCTCCAGATGGGCGCTGCAAGGTACACCCTCGGGTAATGCCTCATATGACATAATGTCACGTGATCTTAATTAGCGCGTCACGACGCGTCAATCAACCGGACCCGAGCTTCTCAGCGGGACATCTTGCTGACGGCCTGTCTTTTTGGCAGAAATTTACTCATCAGTTGAATTCGGGTCTTTTGTATTGTCACTCGCACCGTATCCTCCATCGCGACTTGAAGCCTCAGAACCTTCTCATCGACAAGCGGGACAATCTAAAACTCGCTGATTTCGGTCTGGCGCGAGCTTTTGGTATTCCTATGAGAACGTACACCCACGAGGTATTTTTTACCGGACTCATTGTCTATCGTGTAACATCCGTCAATCGTGCTTACAGGTTGTCACTTTGTGGTACCGCGCTCCCGAGGTCCTCCTCGGTTCTCGCCACTACTCGACCGCGATCGATATGTGGTCTGTTGGCTGTATCTTTGCCGAGATGGCCATGCAAGGAGTGCCTCTCTTCCCCGGCGATTCAGAAATCGATCAAATCTTCAAGATTTTCAGGTATGAAACGCCCTGATAATCCATCCAACCCCAGATCATTCTCCTTGTCGCGTCCATCATCTCAACTTATTGCGACGCCACCACCATCACTTCCTTTTTCTGTTAGATGGAATAAGGATGATGCTAATGTATCTCTTTTATTTTAGGATCTTGGGGACGCCGAACGAGGAGGTCTGGCCTGGGGTTGGCAGTCTGCCCGACTACAAGACGTCGTTCCCTCAGTGGTCGCGCCAGGACATTGCACGTATCGTGAATACGCTAGACGAAGCAGGCCTAGATTTCCTGAAGGTGCGTTAACTTCAATCCTCTCGAGTAGCCGACGCTGAGCGATCTTCCCTACAGCGCGTCCTCGCATATGACTCTGCGAGGCGCATCTCTGGTATGTCCCCTTTTGCGCCTGGCGCTAAATGCATTCATTGTAACACTTCTCCAACAGCAAAACGCGCCCTGCAGCACCCTTATTTCGCCGACTACAACCCATTAGCATAAGGGGGGATCCAGAGCTTACCACCCTCTCCCGCTTCATGCCCGCATCACAGCCATGACACGAGTTTAAGTATTTCCATTTGTTCCGCGTTCCATTCGTTCAGCACGTTAGTTCAGTCCATCGGTCACAGCGTTCCCATATTCATGTCGCCCGTCGATGTTGCCCGTCGATACCTTATACTCGATTCTCTCCCAAGCTTTCTCGTTGTTTTCCAGCCACGTCGCCTCGCTTTCCTTTGACTCCCATATCCATATTCTCTCACCATACATATGCAACGCAACGTACATTGATCCTTAACATAACAGTAACAATTGACGTATTCAAGAGTCGACCATGCATCGGCTAGCCCATGCCTTCAACGGACGACATTTTGAATTTAATTGAACCTGGGTCCATGAGTCCGAGGCATTGCGCGTGTCTCGAGTGTCAGGCTACATCATCATTTCTCCATCATCGGAAAGAAGAAAGGTCTATTGTACAACCCGAGACATATACGTATGTACCTACAACAAAACCCCAGTGTTCGATCGTTTGAGTCAGTCATAGCAATAAAGTGTCCCTCGAAGTCCAGTCCATGGCTGGGTTGTATGTCCGCGGCATGATGTTATAGCTTCAAGTATGAGGTGTCGTTGACGTCGTCTACCACAACCGGTCGTGCGACTGGGTTCTTCCGAAGGTCGAGGATCAGTCGAGAGACAGTGGTGGTGGTTATTGACCAGATGAAGCTGGAGCGTCAAACTGAAATGAGATGGAGACTCATGCGCTATTTCCGGCCGTAGAACGTACCATACACCGAGGAAGACGATGTTGAGCTTGAGGAAAAGGAAATTCGAGGATGTCCGGGAGAGACAAAAGGAAAACTCACTGGGCCGAAGAGCGTCGTCGCGAAATTCGTTAACCTCATGACTAAATAAAGGTTTTATTGCTGAATGCCTCGGATGGAGTCGGATAAGACTTACGGAATAGAAGCTGCACGTCGCCTTCTTCAGCATGTATTCGAAAGACACGAAGAATAAGGTGCTTACGAGAATGAAAACAAAATGATCGCCCCTCAGATACTCCAATAACGCCCTCTGCTTAACTCTTGGCTGGGATAACGCGTTCCAGCAAATAGCGACCAGCGCCATACCGTCAAAGACGACCGCAGGAGCGTATAAAGCGCCCAGAATACTCCGCCGTTGGATCTTGCATAGTCGGAGGTCGCGTTCAAATGTCATGGATGCTGTTCAAATCCATCGCATGAAGTTATCTTTGAAGGAAAGTAGAAGAAGAAGATGGCTTACGACTCGTCTTGACGAGGACAACGATGGCGCATACAAGCGTTCCGAACTGTGCGAATACGAAGAGGCCCATCGTGAAGAGGATGCGACACCGGTTGCGCCCCCATACCACCCATAGACGTGCCAGGACCAGGACTGTGAGTTATTAGGAAGTGGTAAGGTGAATATATGCGCATTTTGCGGAGGTTCTGGAGGGGACGAACAGTTTCCTGTGCCTGTCGAAACGATGCCGAGGCATACCTGCGATGACAGGTTGATTGGATTTGAAGCGGTTTAGGAATTGGGTTGGAGGCACGTACTGCGATTAGGAACCATACTTGGCAGCTATACAGAAGAAAAACGGTATGAAATACGCCAATCTCGTATATCAGAAGGATAACGCACAACTGGTACAACACGATAGGGGCGTTTCGTCAGCAGTGGATTGATATGCAGCACAGAATGGAAAGACTCACTGTATCGGCGCTTAGGTCGTGCATACCCCCTAACTCTGAGATAACCGCAAGCTTATCAGCTCAAATTTGATCGGAATATTTGAGGTTGGGCTCACGAAGCGTGTGTAGGACAAGAACTAAGGGGACCGAGTATCTTGTTAAGAGGAAGAGGAACTTGGGTACGGTCCATCTCGCCTTCCAGACGTACTCGATTTCGTCGTCTATCGTGAGGAGATGGTCATAGACTAGGGACTAGCAGAGACGGGTCAGAATGTTTGGTTCAACTAGAGTGATAAGATTTACGACTCACAAGGAGACCAGCAGCTGTTCAAAGTGTCTTCGTGAATCTCCAAAAGTTCGTCCAGCCAGATAGCACTTACCACCAACATATCTGCTCGCCGCCGCCTCTGTATGGATGTGGATATACTGAGCAAGATCCATAGGCCGCAAGAGACGGGGTAGCGAGGAGGACGCAGACGGGTAACTTGTGCGCAGGCGCGGGGTCGCCACAGGTCCGACATATATATGTTTCGAGGTGCGAAAAACGGAACCGGAATGAGGTTGATGCGACGCGGATGGCGAGAGCGATGTCAGGCAACGCCGCACGACCTGGCGCCTGCACCGCATGTGCGATTCTCCGAATCCACAGAAAAGGCTGCTGAGGCTCCTATTTCGCCGAATCGAGCGCGTACGGGAGCATATCGCGCTACTGAACCCGATAATATTTCATTAAAATACAAATGGCCTGAGCGTCGATCAGCAGTGGAACGCCAGAATCAGAGGGCGACTGGTGGTAAACAGAGTGTGCAACTGCCAGAATGTCGTGCAACCATTCAGTGGGCCTGCAGATCGTGCGTTAGTTGTGTTTACTTCAATCTGAAAAGTTAGAAATCTGTGGTTGAGTCACTGTAAACATAGTTAGAAAAACATTTGAAGCACTGGAGGCAGAAAGTGAAGGAAGAAAGGGGCTCAGGCCATCGACCGGTGATATCGGGATAGTTCCGGAAGCGGCCGATGCACAATCAGACACTCGCGCCAAGCAGGACCACACAAGCCCGACTTGTTCTTCCTCCACCTTCACCATCAATTTCCCCGCTAGAGTTGTGGACTTGTTCTCTGGAGAGGCCGTCGCCATGAGCATAGATTGCGTCCCTATTATCACCAACTCCAACGGTATATTCTTGTTCGAACCATCATCATTGCAAGAAAACAAGGACCTCAAGCTACATCCCCCGCTTGTTGCACTCTCGTTGTCGCTGTCGCGTTCTCTTGTGTCCCGGTCTCTTTCTGATGCTTAGGCTTGGAGAATCCCGCTTCTACTTGTGTCATACAATGACATGCATTCCATAGATTACGCTACGCAAAGAGACAAACAAATTATGAAATCCAGCGTAGATTATGCTAACCAGACCAGCTGGCAGCCTTCAATACTCTATAACTATGATAAAAGAGAGTGATTCTGGACGGAAACCACAGAGAGCGGCGCACAGATGACAGTGCTAGAGTCCCGGACCCATCAATATCTTTTAATCAAGGTCCTCGAGGTTCTCGAGATCGCGCTTGCGTTTGCCTGCTGGCGACGGCGATCGGCTGCGCTGGACGTAGCTCGAGAGCAGATCATGCATATTGATGCTGAAGGCTCTCTGTGTCCGGCTGTGAGTAACAGGAAGAAAGAAATAAAAGAATATGTAAGTACCTTGGTGCATTGTCCCTTCTTATCATTCCTAGAGCTCGGGTAGACGGTTCCGTCGCGCTCGACGTGGAAGTCGGGGTTGGAACCGCACTTGCTCGTGAATGACTTGAGCTTCCTCATTTCAGAGAGGATTCTGGGCTTGACTTCGCGATGGTAGGTGTGGTCATCGATCACATAGCGGCCAGAGCCCCAGCGGCGGTAAAGGGCGTTGTCGAGGATGTCAACGGCTCGTGCAATCAGTTCAGCCTTGAGGGAAGATGAGTGGAAGGGACACTGCGAGTGGACGACAGAACGTACATGATCCTCGGCTTGACGCTTGACATGGTAGAGGGAGCGAAGGGCAAGGTCTTCGTGCAATTCACGAGCAGCGAGTGCAATCTCGTCGTCGAATTCACGAGCAGTGAGCTCCAACTCGTCGTCGAATTCGCGGGTGGCAAGCTCATCAACGTCGTACCTGGCATTCGGAGTTCATTAATGGCTCGGATAAAACTAGTGATAGCGTCGACTTACGTTCCCAGTTGGGCCGCTGCTCCGCCAGCGAGAAGGGCGACCGCGAGAAGTGAAGTGAACTTCATGATGATTGATTTGTGTTGAGGAGATAGTAAAGAAGGCGATGGAATGCAATGTGGAGGACGATGCTCTTCAACCTTCAGAGTTTTCGCGCTTTTATACTCGACCACCGACGTTGAGCGCACTTGGCTCCAATGAAACTCAAAGATTGGTATGATACATCGTGATGGATCAACTAGTAGGCGGACCATCGGCAATTCCTGATTGCGCTACGGGTCCTACACGGCTCAGTAACACGAGGGTATGTGGCACGTAGCATTCCATAATTGGCAAGCGTCTCGACCGACAAGAAGCTACAAGAAGATGCATTACAGCGTCAATCAGGATTTGCTGATGAGTGCAAAACACATCGGTTACTCACGTTAGGCTCCGCGGTATCGTCTGTACTGCTTCTGGGGCGCTTATACAACCTTGGCAGGTCTACAGGTGAGAGCACCACACTTTTCATCAGACTCGGCATTCTGGGTTGGAGCGCTCCTTATGAATGTTAGCCTCTTATTCTGTGTATAACATTGGCGCCAATACGGAGTCGCCAGACAATCCCTTTTCCAAACCAAATTTCAGTTCAGCACCGCTAGACTGTCACCGTCCTATGTAACAAGATTCTGCTCAATGGATGGCGCAAGTGTTGATCAGGCTACATCCAACGGCCCGATATTTCCGGAACCTCCTCCTCTGATTGGTTTCGCGGAGGAAAGCGCCCAGAAGTGCTGATACTGAGGCCAGCCCATTCCGAACAAGTCTGGAAGAATCACCAGGACAGCTCTCGGCACCCGAAAGGAGCTTTTCTGCGGTGAGCTTCAAAGTTGTTGCGAGTTTCGCGTTGGAGTCTATGTATGATGCGTGCTGGTTGTGTATGTCACCAAGCGCCCAGCCGGGTTTCATGGTAGGTGTACGATCAACGGTAGATCACATCTTGATTCTGTCACTCACGAGTGTGAGGAAATCGATGAAACGCTTGCAACAGGCTTCTTTGACGTTATCCAACGACCTCACAAATACCAACACCTTCAGAGCTTGAGTCCTAAGTTCCTCGTCAATATCCAGCAGTATGGCAATATCCCAACTCTCAGCATTTCTTCTTGACTCCTCTCTCATCGACTACACCACCGCGGTCACTGGTGAAGCGCTACGATCCGCCCCAGATTCCGCCGTTCACGAGCAGACGAAAAAGAGGGCAGCTCTCGCTCTCGAATTCTTTTTGAGTATCCTCGATCCATCCATCGACGAAGAGAAAAAGCAACTGGAGATTTTCAAGTCGTATCACGCTGCGCTGAATGGTATGTGCCAGATAAACATACGACTCTGCAAAAATTCTGATCTGATTCTGTAGATCCTTCCCTTGCCTCCGCGGTCGTTCAGGGATTACCGATCCCTCAGGGAAACGACAAGAAAGTGCTCAATCTCACCCCCGCCGAGCGTGTGCTCTCTCTTCCAGACACCCTCGACGCCATATTCGCCCACATTCCTCTCTTAACAAAGTCCGACCGAGATACCATCTATAGTGCCGCACTTACTTCCCAATCATTCCACAACGCGACCCAACTCAACCTCTGGCGGCGCCCCCGCGATCTCGACACTGTTGAACAACAGGTGCGATTCGCATTTGGGACCGCTATTTCTGGTGCCATCAGCGATAGCCTGGGCCAATACGTCCAGCGCCTTCGTATTCGTATCGTCAAAGGAGGTTGGAATTTCCGCCTCGTCGAGAAGATCGCGTCGCTCACTCCCGGAGTCGTTGATCTCACCCTGCACTGGGGTGATTCGGAGGACGGCGAGGAGGCCGTTACATCCAGCGCGGTTACTTCACTCCATAGAATCCTTTCATCTCTTCCCAACCTCAGACACCTCTACCTGGCGAAATTCGCCTATACGCCTTCCGTCGAAGGCGATCTGGCTATTCCAGCCGATGCCGAGATTCCGTTCGCGAAACTCGAATCACTTCGGTTATACGACTTCCATTGGTACTGGCAGCCTATATCGACGGGTTTGGGAGCCACATTGAAGACGCTCGACATTGGATACGGTACCACAGTCGAAGCTGACAAGATTGTGGCCCTCTCAGCGAAACTCCCGTCGTTGGCGACTCTTCGTATCGGTTCTGGCCTAGTCGAGGTCCGCCATATCCAGAAGATTGTGGAGAACATCCCGAGCTTGGAACGTATTGACATCACCAACTACAACGACGTCGACGACGAGTACGTGGCAGCTGCGGTTCCCTTGTTTGCCGGCCTCCAGGACTTGAAGGAACTTTCCTTCAACGGGCCGATTGGGTCGCTCCAGGTCGAGCTGCTTGCAGGCGCTCCGGCCCCCCTCCAGGAAATCTCGCTGAAGCTGAAGGGAGGCGATGAAGTCTTGGGCGCTCTAGAGAAGCTTTTGAAGGAGAAACATACGACACTCAAGATTGTTGCCATTGCTTTCGAAGGCGACGCTCCTCGTCCTACTGACAAGATTATCGAAGCGCTCGCCGGCATTCCCCTCCTCGAAAGTGTCTTGATCGACTTCGATTCATCACACCAACTCTCCTCGTCGTCTGTCGACGCACTCCTCAAGCAGTGCCCGAACCTCGTCCTGACAGACCATTTGGAGACTCTGGTACAAGGAAATGCCCTGTACGAGAAAGAGTATAAGGCGAAGTTCGAGAAAGCGAGAGATGAAGCAATCAAGGAGTCGGAAGAGAGTGTTCTCGGTAACTAGTTCCTTGGAATGCAAATTGTCTGAACGTCGATCAGCAGCAGAACATGGTGAGCAGCTGGCAAAACGTAGCGCAACCATTCAGTAGACCTACGGATCGTGCATTAGTCGTGTTTACTTCAATATGAAAGGTTTTCAAACTGTGGTTGAGTCACTACAAACCTGGTTAGAAAAGCATTTGAGACTGACTAGTGGAAGGAAGAAAGAGGATCATGCCTTCGAGTGGCGATATCGGGAATATGTAACGCCGGAAGCGGCCGATGGACAATCAGACGCTCGCGCCAAGCAGGACCACACAACTGTGTTCCCGGTCTACTCCGGCCCGACCACTCTTTGTTCCTCTTCACCATCTTCCCCGCTAGAGTCGCGGGTTTGCTCTCTGGAGAGGCCGTCGCTATGAGCATATATGTCATCCCCATTATCGCCAACTCCAACAACATATTGTCTTTCGAACCATCATCATCATTGCAAGAGAACAAGGACGTCATGGACTCGACGTCAAGCTACATTTCCCGCTTGTTGCAATATGCAGGTCTCTCTTGATAGGGAATACTCGTTGTCGCTGTCGCATCCTATTGTCTCCTGGTCTCTTTCTGATGAGTTCAGGCTTGAAGGATTCACACTTGTTCGTCCCAGCCTTATACTCTTGTCATGCCTTTGACTTACACTTTCACAGCATCATATTGCAGATGCATATTTTTAGCTCATTCAATCACTGGCGGGCATCCAGGATCAATCAAACATATCACGTCTCTGCGCCCACATCACCCCCCCTTGTTCCATTTGCAGTCCAAACGCGCTTGAAGACCCTCTCTCCACTCGAACAATTATACCTATTGTGCGGACACGCCGACTTCCTCTACTCCGTGGGATGACATCCGAGTCATCGACCTGTGCGCCTGGGCCATGCATAATTGCGTGCCGCCAGAAGCCCCGCAGCACTCATTCACGAGGGCCCAATGCATCGCCTTATATGGCTTCCTCTCGAATGGAGCTTGCACGGCTGGCAACGATCTCACTGCCTGCAGGTGGAGAATTCCCATAACAGGCTCAAGGCCACGTTCACCTTTAGCCTCGTTCTTGACCCAAAAGGCCAACAATAATGGAACAACCCCACCATTGTTGGGCTGACGTGGACGTTCGTCGTGTTTTGTTCTGCGGACGAAACGGCCGCATGGGGACCGAGGACGGTCGAATCTGGATGGGATTCTGGGCGGACTGAATGGGATCGTTTGTTTGTTGCGGCGCGGAGCAGAAGAAGGCCTAATCAGCGGCTCTTCCCCACTTTGACTGACAACGCCTCTCCAGATATAAATACGGGCTGTGCTATCGTTCGGATGGATCAATCAAATCAACTTCTGTACCCTCGTCATACTTATAATCCTTGGATTCGCATCCTTTACCATCAGCCCCCCTAATCAAACTTCAACGACGTTCAACGTTCAACTTTCAACCTCGAGATGGCTTTTGGTGTCAACATCGTCCCACTGACGCGACCTCCCTTGCCTCGGGTTGTACCGCAGCCTGATTATGCAAATTGTGGGGTCAGGCTGTGCTGCCGAGCCTGCGAAAAGACCCTGAGACCAGGTGCGTTATCTCCTTCTCTGAACGCGTCCCATCTCTGATCAATCACGCGTTTTCAGTAGTTGCAGTCTAGCGACTCTGATCAAAGAGTATTTCACTGCTGAGCGCTACCACAGGCGCATGTCGCTCGCAGACGAATTCGCCGCGTTCGCGCGCGCGTACCCATACGCGTTACCGAAGTGTCCTGAACCTGAGCCTCAGCCGATGAACGACCCCACCCTCTTCCAATTCGACGACTTCATGGATGTCTCTCCCATCGATTCTTCGCCACTGCAGCAGTACGACCCCCAACCCATCTACTCCTTCATGGAGTTCCTGCGTACCGCCAACTCAGAGCTCTACGAGCCCACTTCAACCGACAACGCGTCTGTCTCTGTAGCTCAGCCTCAGCCAACGCCGGAAGACCCTGTCCTAGACGCCGACTTCTGGAACTCGCTAATGGACGCGGACCCCGCTCTCTTCGAGCCCTCCGCGGTGGAGGATCTCCTGCGGAAGAGCTTTGAGGACTTTGGCCAGGATTTCTGGGGGATGCCGTACGAAGAGTTCAAGGCGAAGATGGAGGAGTCGCAGGCGCAGCTCGAGTGCTCGTGGTTGCCGCCGGATATGACGCTTCCGTTGGAGTGACCGACGCGTTGTCCCGCTCGCGGACTTGACGTACACGCACAGACACGCACATCCGTCGTACCTCACCGCCTTTAATGACCGCTCCATGACCGTTCCGCTCATTACCGCCTTGTCACTCCTTCCTCCTTTCATCCATCTACCCATTCTTTCATCTACTCTCGCCATTCATCTCCATCTATCCACCCTTCATCTCATCTCTCCCTTTACACGCAATCCTGTAGCACCAGCCATCAATCCCACATCTTCCTTCTACACCCCCAACCCAAGCATACCCCTTGTATCGTGTATCTCAGACCCCATCGTGTAGAAGTACCATCTCCGACCACGACTCTATGTTAGAATTGTAAAAACGAAGGCCAATTTGTTGTACAGGTATGAGAGAATTTATGAAAGAAACTACAAGAAGACAATGTTGTGGGACCAGAGACTCAGAAGTGGAGTCACACTTGGCCGCCGTCGGAGAAGCGAATTGCTGTAGTTCGAGGGAATCGAGTCATTGAACCGCCCGTCGCTCTTTCAGCTATGGAAGGAAAAGTCTTACAATATAATTGAGCTTATCATACAACGGTAGAGTACATGCATACAAATTAGTACAAGGAACGTAGAAATTGGATCCAATAAGAGCAATCGTCATAATTATACAGGGAGTCCGTCGTGAAAGGTCGTCATCGAGAATGTCTTATTAGCGTCGGTTCATATGGTGTTGGTCCATGGAACATAGTGGTCGATGGTGTGGTCGATGGTGGGGGAAAGACGCGTGAATCGTGCGGCGTCGAGGCGGCGCTCACCAATGCCAAGGGCGGGGGTAGGAACCCGGAGGAGGGTCCCTGAGCGAAGGCGCCCAAGTCTTCTTCTCCCAGTCAAACTCAGAGAAAACGACCTTATTGCTTGGGAAGCCGTTAGGATCCTGGAAGAGCCGCGCCGGCTTCTTTGCCTTGGTTGGGCCGTTGACGATGAGCGAGCCTATGGACTTGAAAAAGTCGTCCTGGCTCAGCGGCGCTGTAGACCTCGGCGACGCGGAAGGAGAAACTGTGCCAGTAGATGACTGGAAGCTCGAGCTCGAGCTCGAAGTTGACTTGGAGCTAGTGCTTGTGGCGGGAGACGAAACAGGGGTGGGAGGTGTTTGGAACGACATTTGTTCAGGGTGATGAGATGCTGTGTGGACCTGCGCGTACGTTATCCGTCAGGGTTTCTTTGTTGTGAAAGCCAAAACTCAGTTATGTACGTACACTTTTATAAGATGCGGTGCGGTAATTCGAAGGTCATTTCGATGCGGGGTAGCGGAGCCACAATGGCAGCAGCCAGCAGGCTTTATACCCGGGACGTCTTGCGCTTGATCATGGTCGGAAAAGAACTGTGGGTGTCCACATTATCAGAATATATACAGAATATCCTAATGTGGGCAAGTAAAAGCAAGTGGCCTCCTTTCAGCCACTCATTGTGAGTCAAAGCGCATCGATCATGGCCCGGGCCGGGCATGAGGCAACGGCGAGGTGGCCAGCGCTTTGTCGAGGCTGTACGACGGAGCCGAGTCAATTGAATTCGTAACTTGTGTCTTTGAAGAATTAGAAGTCGGAATATGCGTAGAAAATAACGATGATTCACAACAGCCGTAGCGGCGGTGATCGACATTGATCGATGCGCCACACTGGAAGAAGGCGGCAACCGGGGTTTCCAATTATGGCAATAACCGACGTCATCCCGTCCCGAATTTGATCCCCGCCCGTCTGTGGCGGGAGTGTGCTTAGGTTAACATCAAACTCCTCCGGAGACTCCAACCACTTCCAGCCTCCTGCACTAGCTGGCGCTCATCGAGGCATTTGACAACCACTTGAGTTTAAAGCACTCTACCACACTCTTTCATACCACGCTCTTTAACCACTTTTTAAGCTATCCCCTCTTTCATGACCCAAGCTGACTCTCGAGCGTGCTACCGCCGGTGTTCTCCTCTTGCTACCCCGAATTTCTCGATAAAGATCTCGACCTTCCTCGCCGCGCTACTGGCACAGGTGAGCTTACCCGGGTTATGTAAGATCATGGATGCCCCAATTGAAATAGACGCTGGCGTCTGTCAGGATAAAAAAAATAAGTGCGCTACGTAGATGATTATTTATCACTGTACTGCGCTCGGGGACGCAACCCCGTGTATCCCTTGTCTGTTCAGTACAAAAGGAGTGTCACTGACGGTCTGATTCGCATTCATATCCCACCCTCCACAGCCTATTCGATGCTTTATTTTTGGCTCTGTGTAATCCTCTCCGTGGTTACTTCTGTGTCATTGGCTCAGGATACTGGAGGCTCCTCGAATATTACCCTCCCTTCTGATGCTCCTCAAAAATATTATTCTTCTGGCTTCGTCGGGCCTGTACCTCCAAGGATACAGTCTGAATTCCGCGCGAACTATATGCAGGTCAGTGTGCTCCTTGTTACTCTAAAGCTAGCCGATAAAACGTTGACTCTAGCCTCAATGTCACAGCATAAATTCGATGTGAACGTCAGCAATATCGTCAGCGGATATGTGAGCCATTTGATCGCGAAACGGTAGTCCTTCAATTCCCAACCCTGATGGACGCATGCAGATATACGTCAGTCCTGGCCAGCAGAAAGTCCGAGCAGACGGGGCAAGTGATGGTATGCTCGAAGTCAGTATATTTGATTTCAAGAACACTTCTGCCGCTTCAAATGGCAGCGAGGTATCCAACATAATCCTGTCTTACGTGGGACCAGCGACGCAACCGCAGTGCTCGTCTTTTTTGTGAGTCGAGCGGCGCTCCTTCTTCCCTGTTCACTGAATTATGTATTAGCGTCGCTCCTTTCATTCACGCCGTTCCAGAGGATTTCTTGATCCAGTCCAACGCGGTCTATTCGGGCGTACGGCACGACGAGTTATATGGACCAGTAAACGCTTGGTCTCTCCTTGTAAGTGACTGGTTTCCTGTTCCATTCCTCTTGAATTCTGATTGTCGTTGGGAAATCCAGGCTGAAGGTCTCATCGTCACAATTTTCCTCGACGAGAAAGGCACCTTCGTCAGATACGATTTTGCCGCTCCGAACACGCTTCGGACGTTCACCACAACACGCTTTTTCAACATCATTCCAGGTCCGATTGATTCGAGTGTTTTCGAGACGTCCTGCACGCTAGGATAAAGGCTCACCCTTGATTACACCTGCTCGGAGGGACATGCATATGTGACAGAGCAAACTTTTGATTACGGTTTGTTTAAACAACACTAGGGAAATACGGATAATAAGCGACTTCAATCAGAACAATCGAAGAAGGCAACAACCTGAGTGAGCGAGGCAGCAGAAAGAGAAAGGAAGAAGGGACGAACGAAGCAGGACAGAACGCACAAGTGCGGGGTTCTGTGGCATAGGCGACAACGAAAGGAAAAAGAATCACGAGACAGAAAGGAGAGCATAATAGGCTGGGTTGTATATAACGAGGTAGAAAATCCGCAGAGAAATCGAGAGGACGGAAGGCAAGGGAAAGAATATGGCGATAGTCGCAGTTGCTTGTTCAAAGGAGCGTGTTTTGCTTGCATGGTGTAGCCTTGAGAGTTGAGCGAGAGCACTTTCTTTCGAGGGGTCGGTAGTTAGCGGAGGTGGTATCAATGGCGTTATAGGTAAGTGGTATCTTGAAGAAAAGAAAAGTAAAAAGTTGAGCGAGTGGGAATGAAGGGCTCTTGCGAAGCATTCGCACCATTTGAAGGAAGCCTAGACCGGGAGAGAGTGTAGAGTTTGCGTAGGAGGTAAACTGTCGGAGCACCGGGCGAAGCAAATATGGAATAAAAGTGAGGATCTTGGAGAGCAAAAGCGCGCAAAGGAAGTAAAATTACTCCTCTTCTTCCTCGATAACGTTATGCAATGGCGCTCCGTGCTGATAGCGGGCAGGGCTGTTGCGGCCGGTCTCGACCTCGAATGGGGGACGCGGGGCGTCGAGCGGAGACGCTGCGAGCGGTTCCGGCGGTGGTGGGGTCGGGGATGTCCTCGGAGATGGTTTGGGCGATGCAGGTAGGCCAGGACCAGCAGGAGTAGTAAGGACGTCCTTGGCGACCGGCAGCGACGTCGAGCGCACAGGAAGGCGTGATGGTTGGAGAGGAGCGATGACAATAGGGATTGGCGGGGTTTGTGCGGCCGCGGGAGATGCCTTCGTGGGGGTTCCACTCTCGCGTGCGCGGTACATCTCGATGAGCGCAGCGGTCTTGCTTGTTGCAGTTGAAGCCGGGGCGGGCGTTTCAACGGCGGCTTGCGGGACAACGGGTGGAACAGGTAGCGAGCGGATGGTACGGGGTACCTCGGGAGCACCATACACGCGCTCATCATCGTCTTCCTCGTCGCTGTCGTCATTTGCGAGCTTCGAGCGTGGGTCTTCGTCCGCAATGGACTGTGTTATAGCCGCTCGTCGTTCAGGGTGCTGGGCGAAATAGCCAACCCTCCGCTGGTCCCTCGCTGCCCTCAAAGCTGCCAAAGGATCTGGTCGATCGTGGCCCTGTTCCGACTCGTCGTACGGAAGAATCGCGTCGTCGTCATCATCGTCGCCTCTGCTACGCGCTTCGCTCGTCCTCGGGACCGTCTCGACCTCATCCACATCTGAATCTCTGACGTGACGGTCCATCCCATAATCTCTGTCCACACGGTCGACGGTGCTAGACGGCGACGGTGAGCGATTCTGGACCGCAGCGAGGACCTGCGCAACCTCCAAACTTGCGAGGTCGGGATCTGAGCCACGATTCCTCTGCAACCCACGCTTCCTCTCCGAAGGCATCTCCGCGTCCTGGCCCTTCAGCCTACGGGTCTGGCTGCCAACGAGTATGTCGACCCATGCGTCAGAGTTCGATTCTCGTCGCCGCTGTTTGATCTCTTCGCTCTCATCGTTGTACCCGTTGGCCTCGTCGTCGCTGTAGCTAGCCATGCGTGTCTCGAACTCGACTGTGGAATATTCCGCAGGTACCATCGATTTGCGGTTCGAACCAGGCGTAGGCGGAAGTCTGAAACGTGATTTCTTGGTGTTCAAGGGCGAGGCGGTCCGGTCAGAGTGCACCTCGTCGCTCTTCGGTGGAGGTGGAATCGGGGCTGCCTCGTGCGTTTTGGCGGGTGGTACGGGCGTTTTGACAATTTGTGGCACAGGTGGCACGCTAACGGGCGAAGGCGGAAAAACCGTGGGTACCGCCGAAATCGTCGACTGGATGCGACTTGGGCCCTTGGTCGAATTGGCTGATATAACCTTGGTGGTGCTGTGATTATGCAGGAGCGTGTCGAACTCGACTTCTCGATAGGATGGGCTGTGAGGTACGTGTCCGACAATGTATGGACGGCCGTTGAGCGTCGGTGCTTGCTTCCATTGCTTCTTGTTCTGACTCGAGAAGAGCGATGGCAAGCGGCGGCGGCTGGACGACTTCACGGCGAGGGCCTCGCGGTATTCAAGCGGAACAAATTCTTCAAACAGCAGGAGGGTGGTTGATGTTCGGGGGTCGGCCGAGCCAGACACTGTCGTTCGGTTGGGTGGGAGGGACTTGTACTCGACCTACGAATTACATCAGCACAACACCCGTGCGCCATGGTCTAGACTCACCAAGGCCCAGTTGCAATCCCTGTCCAACATCTCTCCCCTCTCCAGATCCATCCATCCACCCCCGTAAATGAGATCGCAGAAGACATCGACGAAGGCCTCCTCAATGACCTCCTCGCTCCCGATGACCGGCTCTGTATCCCAACCGAAGGCGGGCAGGCTCTTCTGTGCCTTCTTCAACTTCCGTGTCATTTCGGTGTTCTGTGCAGGCCACGAGGAGATGGTGTTCGTGAACGGGGTGCTGAACTGGAGCGTGGCGCTGAGTGGAGCATCCATGCGTGTGAAGCCGGCGTTAGAGAAGTCATTCCAGGATAGAGTTTGTCGTTTGGCCGCACGTTCCTGCGTTAGCCAACGTTAGTTAGACTGCCTAGAGTCGGAACAAGAAGACGTACAGTCCTGGCGCTCTCCGTCAGATCGAATTGCAGTTTCTTATCGTCCCCAAGGTTGTTGAACCCCATGCTCTCGAACTCGCCCCACTTAAGATCAGTCAAGCTCCTGAACCGATCTTCGCCCTCTCTTGCACCAAGACCCAAGTCAGGAAGGAGCGACGAGTTACTACTGATCGTAGACTGCACCGATGGCGATGGCGACGCGGTCAGACCAGCACCAGGGGCAACGTCTGGATGGAAGTTGGCTGGCAGGTCCATGCGCTTCTTGTACGCCTCCGAGTAACGCGGTGCTAGCTTGAGCGTTGCCGGTGCGATGCGATCCCATTCCTTCGAGTTCGCTAGGCCGTTGTTGCCTGTCGAGCCAGCAGGCCTGTGTGCCCACGTTGATGCCGTCTTCACCAGATCTGGCGAGTACATCCGCACATTCCGGCGTACACTCACAACCCTGAGAGTCCTCGCCCCCCTGCGTGGCTGCGGTTTCTTGTTCTTGTGGTCTAGGAACGGCAGCATCGATGGGTAGCCTTTGATCCATTCTTTCAGGCGCACCGGCACACCCATCGATGCTCCGCTTCCTGACACCGCTCGCGGGGTATCCTGCCACCGCACAAACGAAAGAATAATGTGCTCCATGGCGGTAACTGCTCGCAGGTAGTGAATGTATGCATGGTGAAAAGCCAGCGTGGCGGGACCGAGCCCAAAGAAAAGCGGCCCGAAAAGAGGTGAAAGGGTAGGCGGTGTGTGCCCAGATAATGTACTGTTGGCGACGAGGCGAGTGAGAAGAGAAAGAAGGCGGACGATAATGGCTTGCAAAGTCGGATCGAGGGGCGGTAAGAAAGATGTGGCGAAGTGTGTCGAAGGGTATCCGTTGGCTGAAGGAGTCATAAAGGTCAGTAATAAGCTCGACTAACACACCGAGACTTAGAGACTCAATATGCAGGATCTTAGAAGCTAATCCCCTTCGCAGAAATTATTCCGCGTCGTCCGAGACGAGGATGAGGAAACCAGCTCGAAGGATCGACTTGGGAAAGTCGTATTTTTCCATTGTCTCCAGATAGGGGAAATTCCATAAGAAATGACAGAAAAATGCTCACCAGCTTCAGATTCTCGAAATTCGGCATAATGCTCCCAACTGACGAGCCCTCTGACATCCTGTCCACCGATGCTCCTAATGACCCTCGCAAGGCCCCAGCGAAGGCACATACCGAGCTCATGGGGACCCGCGAACCTCGCCTCCTCCCGCCACTTCCTTTCGGCTTCCTGAGCTCCGGCCCCGCCCCTAGCCTCCGACGCACATGTGTTCAAGAAGCTGCGAATGACACGGCGTATAGCAGACGACGAAATGTCAAGCGCCGTCGTCGAGAAGATGAATGGCGTCGTCACTCCACCGCGGGTCTCGAGCTCCTCCGCTATGACGCCGACGAGCCGCTCAAGCTGATCCAGCCCCAGAACGACGTGCCGCTCGTAGGAGAGGTAGCCGTAGTCGGGTTCCTTCGCAGGCTCCGGGGGATGCGGCGCCGTGGGTGTCGCTGGTGACACATCGACATTCCGAGGCCGCTCAAGGTTGAGGGGGAGGAAAGCGCCATCTGGGAAGGGGGCGGGTTCCGCTGAAGCCTGCTCAGCGTCCGGAAGTGTCTTTGACCTGTCCTTCTTTTTGTCCTTCTTCGACGGGGTGTAGCCTCGACTTGTGGTCCGGCCAAACTCGTCGAAGGCCCCAAGGTTACTGCTGTCTTGATATGCGGTCTTCGTAGGTGTTGATGTTGTACGAGAACGGGAGAATAAGCTGTGCATCGGGGGGAACGACGAGGAAGGGGGTAGAGAGCAAGCCGCCGTTGACAACCAAAGCTCAGGCCCTGCACGAAAACGGATTTTCCCGCGATTTTTTGATCAAACAAGGCACCGAACCGGACTCTTAATCCACACAATTAACCTCCAAAGCTTAGAGAACAGTCGTCGGCGTAGTTGCATTTCCTAAGTACTACTTAGTCCTGACAGCTCCGTCCAAGGACCTGCCTTGGACAGCACAGCACGATATCGATAACAGAATTTACCAACGAACAGGAGGATGAATGGATGTCGGATGTCCATCACCATCATCATCAGTTAGGGCGGGGAGAACGAGGGCTCGGCGGCAGTCCATAGCTACTATGGGAAACTGACGCAGGTCTTTCCTTGAGCCTATCCTTGAGTCTCTCGCCAGCTAGGAGCGGACGAGGGAAGCCCCCGGTTACGAAGGCGGTCTTGGGTACAGTAGCGCCTCGCTGCGTATGAAAAGAAACATAAGATGGGATCAGCAAACCATCAACCCACAGGAGCGCTTTCCAATGCTCACCGAAGTCGAGGACACACCGCCACTGAACGGGTATGGCTGATTCTGGAACGCTCCCTGCGACACAGGTGCGGTGCGTGTCCCGTACTCTGGCGGGTTTAGCGTATCGCTGCCCTTGTAATAGTGGGCCGCGACGGGGTAGGCTGGACCACTCATCTGCGCCGGGCTGCCCGGTCGCGGGCTGTAGACGGGTGACGGGCCAGCAGTAGGGTGGTACTCCGTCGCGATGATCGTCGGCGGTCCATCGACCTGGTTAGCCTCAACGTTCACTTCTTGTTGGGCCTGCTTCGCTGCCCGTCGATTCTTGATGCAACAGACAACGAGCGACGCAAGGAGGAGCAAGACACCGACTGACCTGAGATTGAGAATAGCTTCCGGAGTGAAAAGTGGACCGAACTTACGACACATAATGCCAATGGCAATCCGAGCAGATCTTGGGATCCTGCTCCTGCAGGTCTTCTTGCCATCTCTGTGAAGAACGAAGTAACGTCAGTTACAGTTCTCGATAACAGGCAACATGCAGCCGGGACGACAACGCCTGACAACGCCAACGCAACAAGCCTAACGTTAAAGCCATGTGGCCAGCCCGAAATGAAACGCCCTTCTATGCAATCGAAAAAGGCGATTGTATCACCCTTCCCGACCAACACGCAAATCCCAATCGCCACGTTCGCAACGGAGCACAGCAATGGCAGAGAAGCTTTCAAGTTTAAGAACGTGATCTGCCCCAGCTTACCCGTAATGGGACAAGTTAAAAAACGGAAGGAATGAATAACCGGAAAGATGTAAACAGATTCGAGAAATCTGGAAAATAGGAAAGACACTCGAAGGATAATGATGGTGGGAGGGAGGCGGAGGAAATGCGGGGGCTGGAGATAACGACCGTACGTCGATACGGTGGCGCCCCGAAATTCCCCACAAAAACTTCCCCACCGCACCATATAATGCTTGGGTGGCGCTGGGCTCCAATGCTGCCATTCGTTCAATGCTGCCATTCGTTCAGGATGCCGCATGGAGGACCAAGGCTGATTGGGTGCCATCGAAGGCGATCGAGCTTGACAGAAGCCCAAATTGAAGGCTTTGAGGCACATCCAATCTTCGTTCACCTTTCCACCTGCATGGCAAGAACGAACTCCACACCATAATGACCACCATACATGCCAAACTTGCCCCCTCCTAATCCCTGTGTGCGAGAAAGGGGACCAAAGATGGCTCGACGGAACGCCCATAGTGAGGATTCTGGGGCCGCAGTTCTGCCAGCTATCCCGCCTCTGTCCCAATCCAAGGGGTTCTTCTGCACGCTGGTTTTAATTGGGTAACCAACCCATATGGTCGGTGTCGAATTGAGGTAGATTCGATTCAATCAAGAACCGTGTTTGAGTTAAGGGGGGCACGATTCCATCATCCCTGGCCTAGCATGCCAGAGGTAAATCCAAACGCCGGTCCTCCATCTACACCATGAATGGAATGGAAGGGGCAACCACGAGAACTGGCGCCACTGCTTCTTCTCCAATATCTCGAATGGGAACAAGGCCAAGAACCAGATCCATAAAAAGGCGCATACACTCACTCGTCTGTCTCGCAAATAGACCAGCTCAGGGCGGCCGAAGCTGTGGGCAGCGAAGAAATGGCCCATATGCCTATCGCTCCAAGAATGGCACGGCGGTCTACAACAAAAGAAGTGGTAACGTTAGCATTCACCCGAGTACGCCGTTGCGCTTCCCTTCCTCTCCCACAACCCGTCTTTCTTCCGCGAATTCCCTCCGGCTCATTCATTCCTTCGCCAAGTAAGGACGATGACCCAACCAACCAAAACCATCGTCTTTCTCCTCGCCTTCCCGCCCTCCAGACATGAGAATGTCAGAACTCACTGTATAAGTAAACCATAGTTCTATTCCCAAAAACCGGGATATTTGTCCGTCGTTTCTTCGTCAGTCGTGAGTCGTAAATCGTATCGTGTCAACCAGTGAGTGAAATGAGTAGTTCCGCTGGCCTGCAGACGGAAGTTCGTAGAAGAGCTGTCGAGGATTGCGCCGGTGGTCGTGGTTCGAGTTCAACTCAATGAACCTGGCTGTCGACCTGGCGCGGGAACAGTGGACTGCTGACTCATCGATGATGGTTGCCTAATGGAGGCGCCGAGGCAGTGCGCCGCACACCAAACGACGACTAGACCAGAATGGCGCTTATCAACGACTCGGAGCTCTTTTGCAGCGTGGAGAACGGAGAAAGTCGACATCCAGACAAATGGAACTTTGTAAATCTCTTTTTCTTTTCTTTTCTTGCAGAAATTTCGCACTTCTTTGAATTGAAGAACTGTCGTATGGGCTATTATACATAGGGTGAGTAACTACAAAGCAGTGCACATCACAGCATCTAAAAACGTGACGCCGCTGTACGGTCATAATCAACGGGGTTTCGCGAGGCTAGCGACAAAGTCAGCAAGCTAAGGAATGGCATGGCGAGTCTCGCCAAAGTCGTCATTAAATCAATGCCAAGTGCGAGGTCTGAAAGCAAATCGCACCGTCAATTAAAATCTTTCGTCGAGATATTAAGATAGGAAAAAAACGCACCCAAAGAAATCGCCATCGGCGACAGTTAATAAGGGCGTACCCGCCGCATCTGCCGTGTTGAAGGGCACGGTGTTGCCCCACCACTTCTGGATAGTGTTCTCTCCAATCGTCCCATTCCTGGGGTACTGGAGCATGAAGAAGATGAGCACCGCCGCGATGGCGACGCCCGAGTCTAGGGCCGCAGACAACACGTAGTTGTACTTGGTCCACCATGAGAAGTGGCGGCGGCGGATGGCATATTGGAAGGTGAAACCAACGATCGCCCAGGGGACGTAGTTAACCGCACTGGCAGGAGGGATGAGGCCAGTGCCGGAGAAGATGACGGGGAAGCTGTAGGCGGTGGCTTGCTTGAATATATGCGCGATAAAAGGGAAAAGAGAGGACGTACTTGAGGTATCGCAGCCAGCTGTTGGGGAATTTCAAGCTGAAGAGGTAGGTGATGACAGGGCAGACGAAGCCGACGAGGAAGAAGAACGTAAGCGCGTAATACACCTGTCCCTTGGAGAACTGTCTGGCAGGGCCGATAACTCCCCAAATGATCGAAGCAGTACCAAATACTTCAGTCGAAGGGCAGATGAAGCCGTCCTTCTGGTCGGGGTCGCACATGTCGGGAATATTGGTGAACATCCACGCTTGCACGCCTAGTTGGACGGTGCCAGCGATGACCGTAGCAACAACCTGCGCCCAGAACATTGCACTAAACGACAAGTCCGAAGATGAGAAGATGGTCAAATTGAAGAAGGCCAATGCAACATACCGAGGAGGAACCTTCATGTAATGACCGAGCTTGAAGTCAGCTGTGAATTGCAAAGCCTGGGCCATCGTAATGTAACCCCATGTCTTGAACATCATCATCGCGACGGGGCGTCCAGGGAGGGCATAGCCAATGATCAGCTCAGTAATGACATTCAAGCCGACTTGCTGGTTGGTGATAGCCTGGATCATGCCGATGGGAATGACATAGAAGAACGCGATAACCAGAGCGAGGATGAACCATTGCACGGGGAACTTGGTCTCCCAGACTTCGATGGAGATGACGCCGAAGGCGAACATGGTCACTAGAAGAAAAGGATTCAAGACGAACACGTGAGTATCTGCACTTGTTTGGGGAGATAGAAGAGGCATAACGTACGGAAAATTACAGCATACCACCACTCGGGCACCTGAGGGTAGCGAGCCATGAGACGGGCGTGGATATCAGGTTGCTCATGCATAGCACGGCGAGATTGGGTCCAGATCTGCTTGCGGAAGTACAGGAAAGCATGCGTAAGGGTGGCGGCGATCGAGGCGAAGGAGAGACCGTAAGAAATGGCGAAGGTCGTCGAGATGAAGAGCGGGCTGTAGTTCTCGTACTCCTGCTGGTTGAAGGTCGCGTCGGGGTTGACGATCTTGGTAACGTTGTAGCGTCCGCCAGTGTTGTCGAAAGAACCACGAGAAGAGATTCTGATAAGAGAACGTAAGGAAGACGAAAGACAATAACGAAATGAAAAGAAACTGACGGCATATACTTGCTTTCCCAGACGTTCGTGTACTAGACCGCATACGTCAGTTTACCTTGGTTCTCGATAGGGCTGCGCGGAAAACTTACGTGGAGGAGGGGTGTGAGGAACCCTACATAGATAAGATTCAGTTAAACTCACATGCAATGCGAATAAAGAGCGGCCTTACAGAAGAAGAATACGAATCCAGCGACGATGTTGGCCTCCGCCCACCACGGCGTCGCCAGCGGAGAACCGATGTACGCAATCTGCGCCCAATCGAAGGTAATCAGACTCATGCCCATGCCATGCACATACCCGAACATCTCGTTAACGACAATGTTATTTGGCGCGATCCAGCAAACCCATGAGAAGTAGCTTAGGGCCTGGAAGAGGTAGCCAGGGAAGAAGTACCAGCAGGTGGAGCAGGCGAAGGCGTAGAAGAAGAAGCGCTCTCGGCTGACACCGCCACGATTACCGACACCAGCATATGTCTGCGCGTGGAGGGTGTTGAAGAGGGCGCAGATGACCAAGTTGTTGGGCCAGACTAGAAGAAATGGTTAGGGTATTGTGCGGTCAGAACGACTTGTGACTTACTCATGGAGGGCGGTTGGACAAGGAAGCGGCGAGCAATTCCTCCGATGGAGAAACCAATGAGCTGGGTGGACATAACGACCATCCATTGGTCTATGCATTGTCAGGTTGGGGTTACAATCGTAAAAAAAGGAAGACGGGGTTTACAGGAGAAGTTGTAGTTCTGGTTATAGAACACTCGTTGGACGGCGACAATGTCAGTCGCATACGCGCTGTATGCACCGACAGTGGCCATGATTGTAGACAACACATGCTCCTTGATCGAGAACGGACCGGGGTTGAGGGAATGGCCAAAAATCTTGACGTTAGGAACAAAGCGTGCCCACAGACGACCGAGCGGGAAGATTAGAAGCTGGGCCACAATCTGCGGACACAGGCGGTGAGTGTCGATTAGTACCTGCCCTCTTTAACTAGCAACATGCTTACTCCAGTCACCGTCACCGATGGGTAACGGAAGAAGAAGAATTGATTAAGGCCCTATAAAGAAAATGAATATCGATTAAAGAACATCATACCAGCGGTGCTGACGTACAGGGATGATGATGGCCCAGATGACACCGAGCACCCATGATCGGATGGTAGATACTGGGACGTCGGGGTCGTCAGTGTTGGCAACGGCGGACCGGACTTCAGGGTAAGGCGAGTCGTCCTCTGTGTGGCGTCATTAGCAATGGGTGCTTATCGCCGATGACCATAAGGGACTACCTAGGACACCAGCAATGGCGGCGTCCTTGTCCATGTTGGGGTCGTCGAAGTCGGGCTGGGCGAGCGCCAGAGCCGTGACGTCGACTGGTGCATGCGGGTAATGAGTTGCGGGTAATGAGTAGGCGCCTAATGTGACTAGAGAGGGGACTCACCTTGGCCATAGGCGCTGTTCTTTTCGATATCCGAGTTCGCATCTTGCTTGGTGTCTTGCGGATAAGACATGGCTAAAGAGCGGGAGCAGGGAGGCCTGGCAACTTCCCATAGCACCAGGCATACTTGTATGAATTCCAGATGGCGCGACGCATGTGGACACCAAGATAAGAACCCAGAGGATCTCAGGAAGTCACAACCACTTTTGGATCATGATGCTACATTAAGATCCCTGCATTGCTGCTCTTCCACGCCCCCAGGAACGGTAAAGCGAGGTATTGCGACGGACCACCTGTGACCGCCACATCGCCCTCGTGCGCTCTTGCATTCTGCACTTGCGTTGCTCACTGCATCTCGAGGGTCCGGGGGCATTCGGAGGCGACAGACGGAAGAATCGTCTAGATAATATACTGGTGGCGATCGCGAGATTCGGGCGTGCCATTCAGCGATCCGGGATTTGAGAGATAGCGTAGAAGTCAGATGTTTCCAGGCCATGGCAGTACTTACTCGGTAACACGCACACTGGCTGCCGGTAAGTGAATAGAATAGACCTCGGAGGGGGCTGTCGATGAGAAATCCGAGTGGGGAAACCCTGATAAGTGGCCTAGCCGTTGTGAGAATGATATCATCGCACGGTGGGGGAGAGACCTTCCATGGAGAGAGAATCTGCACACGATGAGGAGAAGCACATGGAACGTCTGTCGCATCAATCGAAGCTTCAGAGTACATAGCCCGACATTTCAAACACCTGTCAACAGCTCCTCCGACTGAGCGGCGCAACAGACCCTGACCTCAGGACTCCGAACGACGCCGTATCGCAAGCGCTGGAAGCGTCTGGGTCCAAGACGTTCAAGGTTATTCCCTAGTTTGACGATAATAAAGCAATAATAAAGTGACGTTGGGATGTGAAGCGATCTTCACTGTGGTATTTCCAGCTGGAGGAATAGCGTCGGAGGAAGAGAGGATGGACTCTGTCAATGGAAAATAGATAGAGCGCCATAGGATACGTACCTTCATGGCGACATGTCAAAGACAGATCATAGGCAGATGGGATGTGTGCAGACCCATCCAAACCTGTTCAGGTATCCAGTCGTCTATGGGCACCATTGCGAAGCGAGATGATAACGCTTCCCCAAAAACGGTCAGAAAGCTCGTGGGCCAGGCCGATCAGGTGTAATTCATGCGCTCAAGCATCAAGCTCTAGGAGCGCACCCGCCTCGCCTTAATTGAGCCACAAACTATCATAGAAAGCAACACATGGTGATTGTGTACGTTCCTTGAGATCAGTGCAGCCAGTTATCGTGTTCCAGTTGGATGACCGGATCTACGGAGCTCGTATGACAGAATAGATGCTCTAGATCGCCCAGCGTCGAACCGCGGCTTATTCCCATTTCGCGGACAGGTAGTGGCAAGGAGAAGTCGTAGAAGCCTCCGTCCGATCGTAATCATTGAAAACAAGAGCCATATAGAGAAAGAAACCGTACGTCAGAAAGACACTGCGTACACACCTGTCCGGAATCCCAGGCTATCCTAGGCAATCATGGGGCGGAAAGATATCGTCAAAACCTTCAGATATGAAGTCTTTCCCGTAAAATAGGAAAGTTCAGCAAGCCAAGGAACCTTTGGAAGCGGCCGTTAGAACACAGGCCGCTATCTGCAAGTGTGGGTCAGTAATCAAAACAGCGCTCGAAGTCACCTTTACATAGAACAAAGGATCCTAGGGAGTTAATCCGCAGCCTTTCGTCCACTTGAGAGTCAATGGAAGATTTTAAAATAGCCTTTCCAACTTGGCAATGGGCACGAAAATCCTTGGGGGTGTCGGAGAGTTCTTGGGATCTTGGTATGCCGCGTTCCCGCCTGGGCGCCCACCCGACGGCGCAGGTCTTGGGCCTTCTGTAAGTCTTGTCATGATTTAGGCACGCCCATGATATTTTGCTTCCGTTCGGTCTTCCATCACCAGTGGTTTGACAGATGTAGTCATCGTGTCGTCGTTGCATGTTGCAATCGATGGATGAGGGGCAAGGGATGCGGGCAGCCGTATTCAGAATGTGAGCTTGTTAGACTATGAAAAGGCTTGGCCCTGGCCGCATCCTCAAGTGCACCCGAATCAGATACGGATGAGTATCGGTGAAGATTGAAGCCTCCTGAAGCTCGATTGGAGCTCAGGTCGTAGACTATCTTCTGTGGGTCGTTATCTTAAATGCTTGAAAGTGGTAGAACCCTCGGGAGGTCATCAGGACTGACGGAGAGCGCGGTGGTGGAGGTGGAAGCAAGAGAAGGTGGACCCACATCTCGGCCCGGCGGTCCAGATCACGTTGCTTACACAATGAACTCCCACACGCGGCTGAGCCCAACGTGTCAAACGATGTGCCAAACACTTTCATCAACGCGACCGACGACGAGCACACGACTTTCACGCAGCGCCACCACACTCTCCACGCTGCGGATAGGGCCCAGCCTGCGCATCACAATTAGACATGGTGAGTGCTCTGTCTTGCATCGAGGACACTGGCTTATGATATTCACGCAGTCTGCTCTGTTCGACTTCCAATCACTGCTGCTCGTCGTCCTTCTCTTCATATGCACATGCACATACGTACGATCGGTGGCGCCTAGTTTGGTTGATAGGAATAAGGTTGGGTGAGTATAGAGCTCCTGGCGGTGCTATGTGGTTGGCTAATTGCTTCCAATCTGCAGTTTCATGGGTCTGTTGTTCAAGGCAGCGAGGATAGGTGCGTGGCAAAGTTCTGCTGCAAATCAGAGCGAGCTAATGACAATTTATTGTAGGAGAACGACTATCGCCTTACGTCGCGCTTGCATGCATAACTATGGCCGCCAGGATGCTCTTGAAATGATTTACACTATTAGCACAGGTACATGGACAGTGGAGCCAGAATAAATAATATGAAAACCAAAACGACGAGAAGGATCCATACACACTTCCCTCATCAGCTCTTCGCCGTACCCCTTCTCCTTGGATTCCGTTGGTTCTCTTCGTCACCCTCCTTGTCGCCGTTTGTGTACAACGCCGACGTGGACCTTTGAGCCGTTCTCTCAACGATAGATGTGCCATCACGGAAACGTGCCCGGAAGAGGACATTCGCGTTCGTGAACAGACCCTCCTTCAACGACACGACGATGAACTGCGAACCCTTGAACCGCGTCCGGAAGAGCTGGCCGATATGCTGAGTGTGCGACAGGTCCAGGGCCGCGTCAATCTCGTCCAGGATGTACATCGGCGCCGGCTTAAATTGGAGGAGGGCCATAATAAGCGAGAGTGCGATGAGTGACCTACATTACACACGACCACCACCCAATCAGCTTTCCTCGAATCATGTCTATTCATACCAGAAAAGAGCACCCACCTCTGCCCGCCACTAAGCTCCGTCAAGCTCTGCTTCCAAACGGTGCCGAGCTGAACCTTGACCTCCAGGCCGTCCATGAGATCTTGCCCGTCGGGTGGCTGCAGCTTCGCGAAGTTGCCCGGTAGGAGCTCCGCAAAGATTCCCCCGAAATCGCTGACGCGAATAGACAGATAAGTGGCGTGACGGAAGGGGCGAATGGGCGTGGATACTTACACGCTAACCTTCTCCCAGGTCTTCTGCAGTGCGTCGCGCTTGTACCGGTCTAGCTCCTCAATCGTCTCCTCAATTTTCTCCTTGTCGCCCTCGACGGTCGCCATGTTCTTCTTTAAGTCCGCCTCTTTCTTCTCGACGCTACCAAGAGGTTGGAGATACGACGATACGGCGTAGAAACCGGTCGGCTCACCTATCAATCATGTTCATGACTTTGGGATTAATCTTCTTCTTCAACCCTTTCTGAGAGTTCTCCAGTTCTTCGGACTTCTGTCGCAGCGCCGGAATGTCAACAGATTCCCAATCGTACTGGGTGTTAGCCTTCCCGAACTGACTGCAGATGGATGAGAAAAGAGGTCGATGCCAAGCAAGTGGGTAAACTTACTCCTTCTCATGCGCGATCCAGTCGTGTAGCTTCTCCAGGTTGGCGGCGCCATTGGTTGCTGCTGTCTTATCTTTGCTGAAGACAGCGATGTCGTGCTTCAGTTTCTCGATGTCGAGGTCGGCCTGCGAGATGAGCGCCTTCTTCTCCTTGACGACGCGGTCGAGCTCCTTCAGCTCGGTGTCAAACCGACTGAGCGTAGCTAGCTCCTCCTGCCACTTTTCGTCCGCTTTCGTAGCCTCGGCCTGTCAAAACATGGACATGGTCGAGCGAGTACCGCCCAGGTCATAGACACACGGTCAGGATATCTCTTATCGAGCAAGAACAGAAAAGGCATCCCGAGAAAATCGTACCTCTTTCGCGGCGACCTCATCTTGCAATTGCACCAGCTCCTTTTGCATGTTCGCAATCCCCTGCTTCGCCTCTTCCAGCTGCTTCTTCTCACCCTCGATATCGCCCTCAACCTGCTCTGTTCAGGAGAAATGCACCCCACAAAGGACAAGGCGCCATATGGACCCAAACGTCAGCGGACTGTAACCGCACGATAGGTCTAAAAATATAACGTGAATACGTACCTAGCTCAAGTGTCGCCGTCTGTAGCTCCTTTTGTTGAGTCTTGAGCTGGACCGCGTGTTTCTGCATATCTTTCTTTTGCTTGCTTATGCTTGCCTGTTCAGAGGTGACAAGAATAGGAGTTAGGATTGGTTGGCCAAATGCCCCTGAATGGATAACAGAGATCTGGGATACGACCCACCTTCAGCTCGTCGATCTTGCCATCCTTGTTGTTCTTGAACTCGTGCATGTCACGTTCGAGCTTCTTGACTTCAGCATTCTCGCTTTTTTGTTGCTCTTGGGCATCTTTAATCGCCTGGCGTAGGCTATCGATCGTAGCCTTGACCTTCTCAACCTCGCCTGCGTTCTAATCATCATAGTGAGAAAGACTGAACAGCCAGCGAATAGACAGGATCAAGTATAAGAAGGCGACATGACATACCAGCGATGCATTGCTTCCTCCCACCTGCTCCTCAAGAAGTTTAAGCTCATGCTGCTTGATCTCAAGGTCGCGTGCAAGATTCTTCCATGTCGCGCGGACGTTACGCGCCTTCTCCTCTTCCTTTGACAGGGCATTCAGGCGAATTTGTACTTCACGCAGCTTGCTCTCGATCTCGATGAGCTCCTGTACTTGTATCAGGACCTTGGTCGTGCTGGGTGCAGAGCCTCCGCTAAGTGTGCCGGATGGATCGTACACGTCGCCCTCGAGGGTGACAGAGCGGACACCGACTTCTTTCGCAAAGGTCACACGTTTAGCGGTCTCGGCGTCGTCGCAGATAAGGGTGTCGCTGAAGATGTAGGCGATAGCTTTTGAGACGTCTTCTTCGTACCCTACTAAGGATAGGGCAGTGCGAACTTTGCCAGGAGCCAGACGGGTGGCCGCAGAAAGTTTCTGACCGAAGGAAATAGCAGTTAGGGGAGAGAAATAGATCAGAATAAGAGTCCGTACCTGGTTCGACAACGTATATGGATTAATCTTCGTCAGTGGGATGAAAGTCACCCGCTTCTTCATTCGACCATTCTTGATAAGGTCCTTTCCCACTTTCTCGTCCTCAATCACCACGTTAAAGAGCTTCTGCCCACCTGCGATCTCAAGAGCCGTAGCTTTGTTGTAGTGTTCTTCTGGTAGTGTAATAAGCGATACGGCAACCCCTTTGACCTTGCTGCGATCGAAATTAGGACTCGGGTCGTCGTAGTCGAAATTGAGCCGTCCTATCCTTGCTTTCACCCTTTCTCGCGACTAACCATGAAGTGAGAAAAGAATTGCCCAACATTCTGGTACTCACCTCCATTTCAAATTTGAGCTCGTCTCTCGCCTCCTTGAGTTGTCTCTCAAGCTCTTTGTCCTTCTCGCTGCCCCACCCTGAGTTGGTCACTTTTGCAGCCAAGGAATCCACCGCCGCTTTCACATTGTCGAGTTTCTTCTTGTTGTCGACGGTCTCCTTCGCGAAAGCTTTCATGCGACTCTCAAGAGAGACGAGCTCCTTCTCGCTCATGCCAAGCTTGAATTTGCTCTGCTCCTCGAGGGCAGCCGCCTGCGCAATGCGGGCCTTGGCATCCGCGATTTGGGCCATGTATCCACCACCTTTGTTTTTGGCTGCATCTGAGGAAAGTCCGGTAAGAAGACTCTCGAGCAGTTCTTCGTCAGAGGCCAGCTTCTTTTCGAGGCTGTTGTGGACGTCTTTGACCGAGTTATATGCTGCTTCAATCTCTTCGACTTGTTTTCGCCTCTCGGCGAGAGATTCGACTGACTGGGAGGGCGTAAGCTCCGAATGTAGTCGCGAAAAGAGACCGGACGCACCTGTTTCATTTGCGCCTCCAGATTTTTCACATTTGTTCCTTCCGCCTTCAAGCTTCCGACCTTTATCTCTGCCTGCGTCCGAAGCTTCGTAGCCTGGTTCCCTAGCTCCTTCGCTCGCTCCTCCAACTTCCTCAGCTTTCCGCCTTTGCTCATCTCTGCGTCTCGCTTCTTTGTCACTGACGCGATCTCCTTTTCTGCCGCCTCGCACTCACGAGCAGCCTTCTTCTTGTCCGCCTCCTTTTGCTCGATCGTATCTTCTGCGTTGTCGATATCTTGCTGCTTCTCCTCAGCCCTGTTCTGACAGTCGGTCCAGTCTTTGGCACGTAGTATGCGCCCGATGCGCTCCAATTCGCTCGCAGACTTTTGGTAGGCCATGAACGATCGCTTCTCGTTCCGCAGTTTGTTGAGTTTTGGGGTGATCTCTTCATCGAGGATGGATTTGATTTCTTGCATTCGCTTTTCCTTTTTGCTCATGGTCTTCTTCGCCTTCTCCTTCCTATCCTCAAACATACGCGTCCCGGCAGCTTCCTCTACCATTCCCAAAATTTCTTGAGGGCGCATATTTAGGACCTAGAAAATTTAGATCGCCCCGAAGTTGAAGGAGAGCAAGGTATTCACCTTGGTGATACGACCTTGCATAATGACGAAATTAGGGTTGTTGATATTGAGCTGAACGGATTGGAAGAGAGTCTGCACGTTGGCTTGAAGAGCCTTGTGTCCATTGATCAAGTACTTGGACACGTTGGGAAGAGCAATCTAGAGGTGGCATCAGCAACTCGTTGTCTAAAGGTGCACAACAGACACACCTGTCGTGTCACAGTGATTTGCTTATAGTCCAAATAACCAGGCGGGCTCTTTGATCGGTCGGAATTGTCAAAAACTATCGACACGCTGGCTTTTGTGATTCCTGCTTGACCCCGCTTATAAATGAGATCCTGCTGGTTCGAAGCTCTCATCTACGCGTCGCGTCGAGAAGCGTGTCAGTCACGATTTAACACCTCAATTAATCCTCCAGTGCACCTGTGCCATGTTTGTAATTCCCAAAACAAAACATATCGCGTCGAGAATGTTGGATTTGCCGGATCCATTGAGACCAGTAATTGCATTAAAAGAGGCGTCCCATCCAGTAATTTGCGTTCGAACAGGGTAAGATTTGAAGCCTGCTAATGGTGTTAGACATGCATCGTGTTCCGTGACAGAACATACCCTCAATAACGAGCTCTTCGATCCGCATGGTTGGTGGGTCGTTGTTGGCGTTGGTTCGTTGGTTCGAAGACAGAGAAAGCTCAACAGGATCGTGTTGATCACGTGGTCGTAATTATTCTCACAGGTTTGTCCGCTAAGCCGGGCCGGTGGAAACCATTCGCTTGTGTTCCGTCTTCGACCACTCCGCTTCCTATGTCTTTCAGGACGCCACTTGCATGCCTCAAAACCCCTGAAACCTCAAATATTCAAATGGTTCAAGATTAATTCGCATCTGGAATTCACTGGGTCTCCAAATGTCGCGTGGTATGCGCCAGAGACGAAGCTACGTCAACCGGTTGAATTCAGAATCTCCTTTTCAAAGGGGATATATCTTGCTATGAGTCCGACTTCTGGCGTCCCTATATTCCCGCGACACCGACATAAGCCCTGAAAAGGCCTCATTACTGCGTCAAAATCCTCCCTCAGACCCACTCAATGATCAAGCAAAGTCTCTACGGCATCGTCATCCTTGCTCTCGCATATCCTGCCCTTTCCGCGAAATGGCCGAACCATGAACGCGACGAACCTGAGAATTTTGTTTATGAAGGAAGAAGGGAACATCCTGGAGGGTTTATCAAAGATTTCTATGGCCTGCTCGCCAATTGTGTCCCTGACGCGAACGCCGGAGGAAGTAGCATCGCTGCCCAGTGGGTCAGATTTGTGAGTCGCTTTTTGTTTTGTCAGGTGCCGACGTTCATATCTCAAAACAAATTAGGCTTATCACGACATGTCCACGCACAATATTGACGAAGGCATCGGCGGACTGGATGGGTCCATTCGCTATGAGCTTGATCGGGATGAAGTATAATTTTCTTGGCTCTTTCTTTGCTCCTCCTGACACATTGACCTAGAATATTGGCCTCAACTTTACTCTCCGAAGTTTCGTTGGACATGCAAATCGCTACCTTTCCTGTAGGCTCCCCGTTTTCTGAAAGTTCGACCTTTTGTTCATCCCCCGTGGCTAGTTCCCGACATCATAGCCGTCGGCGTCATCGGTGCCATCGCGACTTGTGGCGGCCCACTTATACCCTTCAGGAGTGGTAGAGCTTTCTCTGGACAGGCAGGTCCTTTCGGAGTACCGGCACCAGATCAGGACTTGGCAGACCACCTGGAGATTTTCCGTCGACAAGGCTTCAACCAGGAAGAGATGATTGGCCTCGTGGCATGTGGGCATACCCTCGGTGGTGTTCGAAACAGAGATTTCCCGTACTTGGTCCCTCCCAACCCCGATCCTAGTGTCCCTAATATTCAAAATTTCGCTCCGACGCCTAAGTTCGACAACGGAATGTATGTGAACTATTTTCTTTTATGTACGTTCCAAGGCGACTTAACCTCTTGCTTCAGCGCCAAAGAATACCTAGCCCAAACGACGAATGATGTTCTCGTCATTGGTGTGAATGAAACAACACGCTCTGATTTGCGCATATTCTCGAGCGACGGAAATGAGATGATGGAGGTGTGAGTGCGGCGCCCATCTTTTTTTTTTCGCCATCCAGCTCACTTTTTTTTCCAGACTTGCGCACGATGGCACATTCTCCAATACCTGCCGACACTTGCTCGAACGGATGATTAACACCGTTCCCTCTGGTGTCGCCCTCTCGGACGTCGTCGAGCTCCTGCCGGTCAAAGTTGGACCCACATTCCTGGGTATCGCAGATGGACTCGCGAATGCCTATGATCGGCTTACCCTCCGGACTGACATTCGAGTACGCTTCCGTCAATTCTGGCCTTGTCATTAGTGCTCGACTGACACCTATGATGCAGCTCCTCGACCCCAATCCAAACCGCATCGTTACCTTGTACTGGTCTGACTGCTTCGGCGGCGATACCATATACGCTGCCCAACCCTACAATATCAGTGATGCTTCCTCGGCCATAACGAAGGCACTAGGGCACTCACCCGTCCGGTACTGGTTTGCAGCTCCAGTTGATATACCTGCGTCGGTCTCGAAGTTCTGGTTCAGCGTCGACGAAGGCAATGGCGAACCCCCAACTATTTGTGATAACGATGGCGAGGGGCACGTTATCAAGCAAGATGAAGTTCTGCTTGCACCGACGTTGAGTTGGGTGGATTCTGAGTCTTCCAACACGACTCAGATTGTTATTGGGGTAAGTATGGGATTCTTGACGCGACTATCTCTTTCTGACTTTATTCGATAGGTTAAAGGCGATAGCACATCCAGTCAGATTTACGGCAAGGCTCACGACCCAGAAGGCGACAACGGATCTGCCCTCGAGATTGATATTTCGTTTACGCTTGATGAATCGATCCAGTCAGTAGGAGGGTACTCGTTTTACAGGTCGTCCACCATTTCCTCACTCTCATTCTCTTTTGATATCTCGACCGTGGTGGATGGCCGGACGTATACGGAGGAGTTCTTGCGGTCTTTCTTCATCACGAAGTCTAGCGATAGTTGAAGTTGATATCTACATCGGTTCTACCATTCGTTGCATACCCTGTATAATTGATCAAAGTTAAACTTTGTCCTCTCCCTTAGTTGCAGCTCTCCATTCCCCGCTAGAACTACATCTATCCTGTCGCGAGTAGAAATGGCTGAGGGAGTGATGTCAGGCCTGAGTTCGTTTGAAGGACTTGGCACCACATTCTTGGACTACGACCACCACCATCCGCTCTCGTCGTCCTCATCGTCTCGTTTACGTCTACCACAGTTCGGAGAATACTCATGGTAAATCCAGGTAAGCAACTGGAAACTGTACTTCAAGCTATTACTCAGACGAGACATCTCGCCAGAAAAGCCGACGCCCACATCGCCAGACTTCGGGCAAACCGCAACCTGAACACAATTGTCGTCGGCCATTCACACCTGGGCGATGCAGGATGCGAAAGGCTCTTTGATTGGCTAACCGCGGGAGATCACAACTCTGAAGGAACAGCTGGGGAGTCCCGAGCAGGTATGAACCCCAGGTGTTTCTTGCGTGGAATGCTGGCTAAATAGAGAACGCAGCTCTAGACGAAGAGACGATTCAAGACGGCTATCTGACTGAATTTCAGTTTCCGAGGTCAATGGCGACTCTGGAGCTCAACGACGTCGGCATGGGAGACATTGGTTTTACAGCTCTTGTTCGTTGGTTAGAAAGTGTGAAGGAGAGAGCCAAGGCGTTTCCAGTGAATTTATCTGGCGGAGAAGAACCGCTAAGGAAGCTCAATCTACGATATGTGCGTCCGTATGCACTTCATTACCCCTTCACCTCTGATTTCATTGCCCACAGAACCCGATACATGGAACGGCAGATTTGGCTCAAGCTTTCATCTCTTCGTTGACCCTCTCCACATCAACTCCGACGTCTACCATTTCTTCCCTTGTACTGTCCAACATCCCACTATCGGCAGAATTCAGGCAAATCCTCCTTTCCTCGCTACATCTACTACCATCCCTCCGCCAACTATATCTCTCAATAACTGGTCTAACCAGGTCAGACGCGAAACTTCTTGCCAAGTACTTCGGTCATCCGGAAGGAAGGTGCAAGCTTGTTGAATTTTATGCGAACGCCAACACGATGCAATACGGTGGTGTCAAAGAGATCGTCAAAGCGATGAAGAACTGCTGGAGTCTGGAACGGGTGGACATGTATGCTAATGGCTTCGTTGGCGGCGATGCTGCTGACCGGAACGAGGAAGACGAAGACCCTGACAAAGATGAGGATGATTTGGAGCGAGAGGCGAAGTCGCTTCCAGGAATTACACTCCTGCAGCCGCCGATCGCTAGCTCAACGGGCAGTGCATGCGGATGGCCTGGACTCGAGGTTCTGCTGAAAAATATTATGACGAGGAACACGTTCCTCAAGCGACAAACAGCGGAGCAAGCACTACAGCTTCTGAAATACTCTAGAATCCTTCTACGACCCGAAGCCCCCTGTCCAACAGCGTCATCACCACAAACTCAGCGTTCTGGCGATTGCACCGGCGCTTCTCGACCGTCTACGACACCACCTACTCCGACCACCGCCTTACCACATAGATCCTTTCGTTCTCTGCCCACCGAAATCCAACTCGCCATCCTGTCTTCTCTTGCCCCCATCTTATCATCTGTTCAACGGATACGCATATTTGAACACGCAGCGGACAGGCGAACTCTTCCCAAACTCGTCCTCTGCCTCCCATCTAGGAGCCTGAGCGGTTCTTCCCGCTCACATTGCGTTCCGGATCCTGGCAGTCTCGCGTTTAGTGGTGGGATCATTAGTCAAGGCAAGAAAGTCGGGCAGCTGGGTCGGGTGCCAGAAGCGAACCCTGGTCAGCATCAGACATATGCTGGAGGAGCTTGCATGGGCTCGAACGCTGTTGTTTGCCAGAGCAGAACCCACAGACAGAATTTTCTCGATTCCGTTGGGTGTGATTTATATGATCCCGCAGAATAACCTTGCTTTCCGGGAGTACAGTCAGTGTAAATTCAAATGTATAACGTGTATGGACCTAGAAAATGCTAGCAATAATGTACTGCAGTATTCTGGAACGATTGGAATGTCAACAAGTACGTGGCAGTGGGCAAGGCGGTGGTGTTTGGATGCTGTCTGGGAGCACCTGGAGTGCCGGGCCGCTCAATTGATCCACTCATGTTGACTCGAAGGCTCAGGGGCAGTCTTGAGTTCGTTCCTTTATAAAGCACTCCGTCCATCCATGAAACCATACTCATAACACACACCATGTCCAACACACCGCGACAAACGCCTCGCCAGCGGGCACCTTGGACTCCAATCCTTGGGGTTGGAGACGTCCTTGGAGCTGGAGACTCATATCTTGTGACCGACATACTCCCTCCGCAACTCGCAGAAGTGGCGTTCGAGAAGCTCAAGGCGGAAGTCAAATGGCAGACAATGTATCATCGAGGTAGACTGCCAGTAATTCTCTGAGATATGACTTAACGACGCGTGCATTTAGGCGGAGAAGTACCAAGACTTGTTGCTGTCGAAGGCGAAGTCGCGGAGGATGGCAGGTAAAAATTTTAAATAATGGCAATAAATGAATACAATCTCACTGAGGTCCAATACTAGTTTCCCAGTGTATCGTCATCCAGCGGATGAGTCTCCGCCTTTGTCTCAGTTTTCGCCAACTGTTGCCCTCATTCGTGACCAAGTCCAGAAGGTAAGACGACTGAAGCTCCTGCCAACATCGATAAAGTAAACAAAATATTCTGCAGGTCCTCAACCACCCAGTGAATCACGTTCTGATCCAATTCTACCGCTCAGGAAAAGATTATATTTCTGAGCATTCAGACAAGACGATCGACGTCGTTCGCGGCTCTAACATCGTCAACGTCTCTCTTGGTGCCCAACGAACGATGACCCTGCGCGTCAAGAAGGACAAGAAGGTCGCAGCTGGGCCAGAGGAGCCAGTTGCAACAGACCACGGAACACCCGCCTCAACTCCAGGTACCCCTGGCACGCCACGAGCCGCACAACGCATCCCCCTCCCACATAACTCCATGTTCGTCATGGGCCTCGAGACGAACGCGAAATGGCTTCACGCGGTTAACCACGACAACCGCCCGCTTAAGATCAAGTCCCCAGAAGAGCAGCTCGAGGGAGGTGGGAGGATCAGCCTCACCTTCCGCCACATTGGGACGTTCTTGTCGAAAGACGAGACGAGGATATGGGGACAGGGCGCGAAGAATAAGTCAAAGGAGGCGGGCCTGGTGAAATATGATAAGGAGGAAGTGGAGAAGTTGTTGTGGGCGTTTGGGGAGGAGAACCATAAGAGCGATTTTGATTGGGAGGCTGCTTATGGCACTGGGTTTGACGTTCTGCACTTCACGGAGAAGGAGGGAAAGGCTGGCCCGACATCGGGACCCGAGGAAATGTCTTGATGGTTCAATGTGTTGGCACAAGTTCAATTGAGGAAATATCTGTATTCTGTAGCATTATTTTGCGTCCAGTGAAGTGAACATAATTTTACCTTGACCTCCATTACTGCTAACTTCTAAGGAGTCCTCAACGACTATATTCTGGCAGTCTAACGCCCGTTCTTTATAGGTTGACTTGCACACAAAAAAGACAGTCGACATCATATTCGAGACAAATCTTCTACCCTTATGCAATGATCTTACTCGGGTGGCACTACGACATGAACATCCTCTCTAGCCTTTCGAGCTTCTTCATATTCCCTTTTCCTCTTAGAAGCCGGGTCCTCGCACTCCTCCTTGATAAAAATAAACCAAGAAGGGCACGGGCGGAGCGTGTCCTCCCCTTCCCCCTCAATACGAGACCCCACGTGCCCCGACACCATCACACAATCGAACTTGTCCCCATTGTCATTGAGCTCAACATCGACCTCGCAGTACCCCGGAGGCACATCTGATGAGTCGATCGTGCAGTAGTGGACGCCGTCTATTTCGAGGGCAGGAATTTCATATCCGAAGGTGTGGCCTAGAGGTTTATCCGACCCTGGTTCCAAGGAGGGGCCTTGCCATTTTCCGTTCGAGTCCCAGACGCAGAACGCTGTGATCCATCCGGACAGGTAGGGAGGACCCGAGCCGCCCGAATGGTAATGGCATACACGGGACCAAAAGTCGATGTCAGGGTTCCCATCGAATGCGTTGACGAAGCGTTTAAGGATAGGGCGGAGAAGAGCAGCCCATGCTGCGGGTTCGGCGCCAAAGGTTGGCAGTTTGTCGAGTCGTGCGAGGAGGTTCTCCCAGTCGGATTTGGCACCTTCAAGTGTTACGGAGGGTATTCCACAATACATGTTCATGCCGTAGCGGAAATAACTGGTCGATGCATTTAGTGAGATTTTTTTGACAGGGCATGCCAGGTAGAGTAAGTAGACTTCACGTACGCTTTGAGTGTTGCCATCATAAGTACCGCACAAATGACGGTGTCATTTTGCGAAGTCGTGATAAAGGCCGGAAGGATCCAGTCCCTGAAATCTTTATCAACGACCTGTATAACCAGGAGACCCGATAAATGATTAAATTGTACGTTTCACAGAGAAACTACCTACATTCTTGTGTATCTCTCCTGTCATCTGGTTTGCCAGAGCGCCGAAGTCAACGGTGTATCGGTTACCAACTGCGTTGACTACCAGTTTCTTCTGCCCATCGTGAGCGACGAACGACGTTCTCAGCTCTTCTGCGTGAGCGTTCACACTGTATCAAAGTTCTTGTAATTTCGCAGGTAGAACAGGACGAAAGTGCTCACTATAGGTTGAACTGGGAGAGGATCGCGATCCATACGTCGTCTGGCCTGTTTCAGGAGAACATTGATTCATACTCGATTCAGCATCTCCCCAACGAGAAAGCTCACCGAATCACTAGGTGTTGATGTTCATTATATGCCGAAACGACTGTGTCGACGAACCCGTTCCTCTTCGCGACGATTGACGATATCGCGTCCTTGGGTAGGGATGACTGCAGAATCTCTTTGACCTTCTGCGTCCTATACTGCCTGCCCCAAGTAGACTCCAAGATTTGGTCAGCGCTTTCAAGGACAGATGCGTATTCGTATCTCTCGACTGGGGCGGCGTCGTGCGTCGCGACTTTGAAGGTTAAGGGCATGGTGCTGGTTGAGAGAGAGGATGCGATGCTGAATGTCTCATGATCAAATTGACTCCTATTGTTTGCGTATTGTTGTGATATGTATAACATGATCACTCCGAAAAACGCATGGCGGCATCTGAGTTAAGCGCCGAGTACACAACATTCGGAAAAACATGGCATACACCCATATCCTAAGCTTGACGTTCGGAATTATATCACGCTCCCATCCGATACTCTGACGATGCTGCGCCACGTTTGGCGGCCCGTATCGCTTCCAATTTCCGCCTCATCTCAGCCGTAGGATCCTCGCACTCCTCCTTAATGAATATAAACCACTCTGGGCGTGGCCGGAGCGTGTCCTTCTTCTCCCCCTCAATCAGAGCTGCCACATGCCCCGATACCATCACACAGTCGAACATGTCTCCATTATCATCGAGCTCGACGTCGACCTCGCAGTACGCCGGGGGAACGTGCGATGAGTTGATGGGCCGGTACTGAACGCCATCCAGTTCGAGGACAGGGATATTCTTTCTGGAACTAAGTCTGAGAGGCTTCTCCATTCCTGAGTCAATGGAGGGGCCCTGCCACTTCCCTTTTGAGTCCCACACGCAGAACGCTGTGATCCACCCGGATAGATACTTTGTGCCCGAGCCCTGTGAGTGATAGTGGCACACGCGGCCCCAGAAGTCGACGTCGGGGTGGCCGTCGAAGGCGTCCACGAACCGCCTGAGGATGGGCCGAAGGAGGGCAACCCATGCGGTGGGCTCGGCGCCAAAAGTTGTCAGTTTATCGATCCGGGCGAGAAGCTTCTCCCAGTCTGATTTGGTTCCTTCAAGGGTGACGGAGGGAATTCCACAACAGAGCTGCATCCTATAACTAAAGTATCTGAGGGATACAATTGGTGAGATACAGATGATTTTAATATGCGCCTCACGCACGCTTTTAGGGTTGCCATCATCAGCACAGCGCAAATTACAGTGTCGTTGTGCGAGGTTGTGCTGAAGTCTGGGAGGATCCAGTCTTTCAGACCTTTATCGACGACCTGGATAACCTATAAGGTAATAGACGGTACTCGCACTGGAACTACGCACGTTATTGTGTATCTCATTCGTCATCTGGTTCGCCAGTGCGCCGAAGTTTACGGTGTAGCGGGTTCCAATGGCCCGAACAACGAGCTTTTTCTTGCCTTCGTGCGCGACGAACAACGATCGCAGTTCTTCCGCATGAGCATTCACACTGCGCAGCAGGACTGATAAACATCCAGGAGGAAATGACTCAAGCAGTGCACTCACTAGAGGTTGAACTGCGACAAGATCGCGATCCATACATCGTCGGGCCTGTTGCACAGCGGCGTGGTCAGGATCTAGGGTTTCACAGGGAGAACATCGATAAGGGACACTCACCGAATTACCAGATTGTGATGGGCATTATATGCCGAAACCACCGTATTGACGAACCCGTTCTCGTTCACCAGCATATGCATCGACGGGACCGCATCTTTGTGCACAGATGACTGCAACACCTCCTGGACCCTCTGCGTGCGGTACTGCGTGCCCCAGGTCGATGCCACAATTTGCTCTGCGTTTTCGAGAGCCTTGTACCGCTCGACGGGTTTGGCGGCGTGCGAGGCGACCTTGAAGGTTACTGGCATGGTGTTGGATGAGTCAGAGCGGTCGATGGGGCTTACAAGGTGGGCGAAAGTTCAGAAGACAATTCAATCTATATAAATACATCCCTGTAAGGCGGTGTTGCGATGACCAAGGATCAGCAGACGAGGAACGGGGTACGAGTGAGAGGAACTTTGGACAGGATGTGATGGGGGCTTGTTCCATTTGTAAACCATATGTTGCTTGTACGGTGCCCAGGCTTCCATGATGTCGTTAGCTGATTGCCCAGACTCCGCTGCGAAGGAAAAGAGTTCTGTAACGATTCAGTGAAAGGCGTCGCGAAGCCAGAGACGCGGATACATAGAAACTGGTGGAGGACGGTCGAAAGTATGGTTCTGATCCTGAAGAGCCGGATGGAGTGGCCACTAGGGCTCGCAGAAAGCAAGATTCGGCGGGATTTGAATTTTGGAGGAAGCTGTTTGGCACACCCCTGGAGGTCAAATATCTGAACACCTCAGCAATCATCTCAGACGCTAGTCCCATGTCTTCAACCCAGGCTCCTAAAGCTCTCGCACCGCAAGTAGCCTGTGGCTATCGCATTAATATGCAATATCTCCGGGATTTCTTGAAACGATCCCCAGCGGATGAGGTCGAACAAGGACTTGCAGTCCTGACAGTCATTGGCTGGTGGCAAGACCTTCCACCCGACCAGCGTCGTAGTGTCCCACGACCCTACAGTAAGCCCATTTATACCCTTCTTTGTGGTCTCAATGTTACTACAACGAAACTGACTTCATCGATCTTATCTCTCTAGAACTCGTCCCTAGAGATAGCACTTCTCTGAACGACCACGACGTTATTCTCGTCACGCGAGTCGAGGCTCTTAAAAAACCACAAGATGTCAGGGAAAAGCTGCAGGAACTGGACGCAGACAGAGCCAAATGCGCCAAGTTTATTGAAGTCTTGTGCGCAGCGGAGGAGAAACAGGTTGACGAGTTTGACAGGATGCAGATATCGTTCGAAATGAAACGATTGACACCAGAGCAATTCAAGCAGCAGTTCACATAATTATAGTAGATTGACGCGCGAGAGAGCTCCAGTATGTATATCAAGCGTTTCATTAGATAACACGAGACGCCTTTGATTGCATGGGCACTTAAGCCCCTGTAGTCTATTTGCACGAGAAGGAGCGGTCAGCGCGCGTCGGGATAGGCTGAGCATCAGGCGAAACGGGCGAAGTCGACGAGCCAGATTGGGGAGAGTTGGTGGCAAGTTGGAAGGAAGCCTTGAGGAGAGGGGCACCACCACCAGGGGAATACCCTCCTCGACAGCAGCGCAGGTAGCGCCCAGTGCATCGTCGTACCAATCCTTCTTCCCTCGCCGAAAACAATAGACATGTAGATGGCCGTGATCCTGGTTGCCTGATAGGATGTAAGAAAGACAAGCCCCACAAAGCGAAGTCTGAACAACGTGGCGGAGCTTGAACCGTACATATAAAATGCACAAGAATGCCTCGCCAATCATCTCAGACGCTAGTCCCATGTCTTCAACTTCAACTCAGGCTCCTAAAGTTCTCGCACCACCACAGATAGCCTGTGGCTATCACACCAATATGCCATATCTCCAGGGTTTCTTGAAAAGAACCCCAGCGGACGAGGTCGAACAAGGACTTGCAGTCCTGGCAGTCGTTGGCTGGTGGCTAGACCTTCCACTCGACCAGCGTCGTAGTGCCCCGCAACCCTACAGTAAGCCCATCTACCCTTTTCTGTGTCTCCATGCTCCTAGTAGGCGTAGGCGACGAAACTGACTTTCGTCGATATCCCCAAAAATAGCACTTCTCCGAACGACCACGACGTTATTCTCGTCACGCGAATCGAGACTCTTAGAACACCGCAAGATGTCGAGGATAAACTCCAGGAACTGGTCGCAGACAGAGCCAAATGCTCCAAGTTTATTGAAGGCATATGCGCAGCGGAGGAGAAACAGGTTGAGTTTGATAGGATGCAGATGTCGTTCGAGATGAAGCGATGGACACCAGAGCAAATCAAGCGGCACTTCGCATACACATAATTACGGTAGATCGACGGGCGCGAGAGCTCCAGTATGTATACCAAGCATTTCGTGGCGAATTGTGGTGAGGGTCGTTGGACAGAAAGTTCACCTGTGCGGTCCGGAGGCTAGCCAATCAGCGACGCGTCATCATTTCTCACGAGTCGACGCGTCATTCTCAGCAAGGGCACCTCACTACACCTGTTTCCCCATCTCCTCCCTTCTATGGCCTCGATATCTCAACTACTTGGAAATGCGCAAGCGAGCGCTTCTTCAAACCCCAAAGAGGCAGAAAGACTATACAAGCAAATTCTATCAACAACCAGTGGTACGCTTACAACTTCGCATAGAGGGATGGAGCTTGACTTCGCGCTCAGGATTGACATCGAAGGAACCCCCAAAGAATGATGAGCAGGTGCAGAATTTACGAGACCAGGAGGTGGCGTTGGTGAAGCTGGGAGAACTGTATCGCGATCAGAAGTGTGTCTGGTCGTCTCTTTTATCTGTCTCTAAACTTATTCGAATCACTCAGGAATGCCCAAGGCCTCGCCGATGTCATTACACAATCCCGAGCATTTATGTCCTCGACGGCGAAAGCAAAGACTGCAAAACTCAGTACGCAGGCCGTGCGTTTCGTTGGATGTCGCTGACGGCTTGATACCAGTCCGAACCCTCCTCGACTACTTCAACCCCATCCCCGGCAGCCAGAAGATCCAAATGCAAGTCCTGACGGACAACATCGCATGGGCGAAGGCAGAGAAGCGGATATTTCTTAAGCATAGTCTCGAGACGCGTCTCGTCGGGATGTACGTCGTGGCTCACGCTAATCTTCCCAAGAAAAAACACTCTAGACTGACATCTCACAGCCAACTCGAAACACAACAGTACCTCCCCGCCCTCGCTCTCATCGACACCCTCCTGACCGAGCTCAAGCGGTTAGACGACAAGATGATCCTCACGGAGGTGCACCTCCTCGAGAGCCGCGTGTATCGCGGGACCGGGAACCTCGCAAAAGCCAAGGCGGCGCTCACGTCCTCGCGCACGGCGGCCAACTCGATCTACTGCCCGCCTCACCTGCAGGCGTCGCTCGATCTGCAGAGCGGGATCCTGCATGCGGAAGACAAGGACTATACGACGGCGTACTCGTATTTCTTTGAGGCGTTTGAGAACCTGAGCGCCCAGGGGGAGGAGAGTGCACTCGGGGCGTTGAAGTATATGCTATTGTGCAAGGTCATGCTGAATTTGGTACGCAGAAGGTGTTCGTTGTATTCTATTCTCTGAGGCTGATTGGTTTGATAGCCTGAAGACGTCAACTCGCTGCTAACGATCAAGCTCGCCCTGAAATACGCCAATATGCGCGACGTGGAGAGCATGCGTGCCATCGCACGAGCACACCAAAACCGCAACCTGGCAGATTTCGAGAAGGCCCTACTGGAATACAAAGAGGAGCTCTCCTCCGATCCCACTATTCGTTCTCACCTGGCCGCTCTGTACGACACCCTCCTCGAGCAGAACCTCCTGCGGATCGTCGAGCCGTACTCCGTGGTTGAGATTGCATATGTTGCTGAGACGGTTGGCCAGGAGCGCCAGGCCGTCGAGGCGAAGCTCTCGCAGATGATCCTGGATAAGGTACTGCATGGTGTGTTGGACCAGGGCCGAGGGTGCCTACTGGTGTATGATGAGCCTGAAGTCGATGTGCGTTTTGTCGCATTTTTACTGTATGATTTGGCTAACATTTCCTCGTGTACAGAACATGTACGGTCCCGCATTCGAGACGATGGAGCAAGTAGGCAAGGTCGTCGAATCCTTGTATGCGAAGGTACGTCCTCCGACTTTCCCTTCGGCTATTTTAACTCATATCTATTTCTGTAGACGATTCGTATTGCATAGATCCCCTCTCATGTATCGATAATTGAATCGACGCCCCTTGATATTCATTTTATCATGCGATTGAATTCCTATAGATCGCAGGAGTCCTGCTTCAATGGTTGCATACATAGTCCTCGTGTCATAACCGCGGCCACTTAAGCGCTGACGATGCATTAGCAAGTTACCGGCGTTCCCTCGCGCAGCCGGGACATGCCGGTCACAGCGTCCAACTACGCGGCAAACAGGGCGGCACAATCACCGCTTCGTCTTCATACGAGTGCGGACCGGATCCCTCATTTCTTCTCTGCCTCGCGTTCCTCTTGTTTTCCCCACCCACCCTTCCCTGCTATATATTTCTTGTATATTGCTTTCTTACATTCATGGCCTCATCGTTCGCCTGTTCCTAGTACCAATGCACTCCGTTCTGATGCCAGCTGGTACTACTTCTCGCATACACATTCATTTCAAGAATAATTTGGATTTAAGTCTTACAGGCATGATGACATGAGCGAATCGTCAGCAGGATTTCCCGCCCACCCGGCGGCTCATCCTGCTTGCGTGCTGGTCAGCTACGCTGACCCCAACCCAACCTATCAGCTCAGGTCATCCTGCCGCATCGTGTGAGGAAGTTGGACCACCTTGAGACTTTGGGTCTTCTGTGCTGAGTGAGCCCGATTTATATCGCGATCTGACGTGAACACTTTCACATTCACAATTGTGGTCTGGCACGTTGAACTCTGCTCCCGGGGATTAAAAACTGGGCGGCCCGGGCACCGAGGCAGCACAGAGTGATTACGAACCCACTCTTCTTCCCCAGACTACGTGTGTACTTAAACAGTGCTGCAGCCCTTTACCCCCTTCTCACAGCCTCCTATTCTCACCGTTATTCCAAATCGCAAGATGGCCGATTCAGACCCTGTAGCTGCAAAGTCAGGCTTCCTGAAGATGTACATGTCGAGCCATCCCGACACGCTCGTCGCGTACGCGAAGTGGTTTGGGAAGGTGGAGGAGGCTATCACGGGCGCGGAGATGTCTGCTATCGACTGTAATGTGGGCTTCAACCTCCTTGATCCTTGGTTTCGTGTCTGACTGGGATTGCGCTCGTGTGTAGAGCATGACGTTGACCTGCACCATGAAGGGCGGCGAGAAGCGTGTCGTGCGTGTCCCAATCGAGCCTCCGTTGAAGGGGTACGACGACGTGAAGCCAAGACTGCTTGAGATGAAGGCATTCGCACAGGAGGGCCTGGGCATGGTGCGTCGAACCTCCAACCCCGCACTGCGTCTTCTCGCAGGAATAATTGACTCTTTCCTTTTCAACGGCAGATCAAAGCACCCAAGATCGCAACCTTCAACCTTCCTAGGCAGGCCTACCCCTCCGCGGCCTTCTGCTCCTTCGCCTACTACGTTTTCGTCTTTGGGGTCTCTTCGTGGGGTTCCGCCTCCCCTCTTGCCAGCCCAGCCAAGTTCATCGTGTCGTATACCGGCACCGGCCTATGGACGTTTGGTGCCTGGTTCATCGGCATCACGCACCCGTTGGAGGCGCTCTATGCAGCATATCTATCCAGGCAGTATAGCACTGGGTTTATTCTTGGGGTGAGTGTCGACTTCTGTGGGTGAGGGGTCGGGCTGACGTGTTGTGTTGAACAGGCGCTGTACACCCTCTCGACGCTGATTGCGGGATTCCCGGTGTGGAAGAGCATGAGGAAGGATGTCCAGGCGAAGAGGATCGAGTCGGTTATGAAGATTCAATGATTGCTGCTAATTTGTCTTCATTTTCGTGTACATAGGTGAGTCTGCATCGCTATCCTTCTAGGTTTTCAATTGGTGATATATTTCTTTTGGCTAGTTGTCATATAGTTCTGCTGTATCATGGATTTAGGGTCTTTCCTTCATTCCATCAAATAACGATCTGTCCTCGCGCGTACGGCTAACCGGGACGCGTACGCTCAGCGCGCATGCATGGACCCCGTGTCCCGTTCTGGGAGGCTCCGTCCCTCTGCTCGTGAATGAACGAGACCGAGGAGACCCCCTTGGACTTTCGCAGGGGCAGGTCACAAGCATTTGGCGACCGTGGGCCAAATTTTGGCGGGCGCTCACGAAAGTTGGTGACCTCTTGAAGGGCGCACAGTGTACATAGGTTTTTTAATCTACCGGGTCCCGGTCTAGCCACCAATTTCCGTCACTTTATTCACCGGTCTTTCAACTTTGGCGCCGCATGCGCGTACTCAGCGCATACTGGCGCGGGGCGGGCCGGTGCACGGAGCAGAGCATCACGTGCCATCCCTCCTAGTCCTGACTCCTATCTCTTTGTTCGTTCCTCAGTCTAGAACCGCATAATTGAAGCGCGACCAATCCGCGTACCCCAGGCGTACCCTACTCGAGTCCCTCGTCAAATCTCTCTCTATCTACACGACACACTCAGCTCGCTTTTCTTTTGATCTTTGCATTCAAACACCAGTCTGTCCTTTAGTTTCTTTATGATTATCCCCATACTAACCGTCTCTATCTCGTTTTCCGTCTCTTCATCCAGTGCTTTCTGTCGAAGAAATTGAAACATACATTAAATATGCAAAGGACTACGAGGAGACTCGGAGATCTGCTGACGAGGACTATACACTCTCCCCGACCACCACCGCGACTACATCCTTCACTCCTGATCCGCACGCTGTCTCTATTGCGGAAGCTCAGTCGTACTATGCAGGCTTGTATTCTGAGCCCACGCTTCTATACCGAACGGGCAAGGAGCAGTGGTCTCCGCCCAGGGGACCAGAGGCCCAGCGCCGTTTGAAGGAGCTATGTGAGGTCTTCAACCATCCAATTACGAAGGTCTGGAACAACGACTTGGGCTGGAGGGTTGTCGCCATTATGGACGCTCACGCGGTCAGTTATAATATCCTATCATATCGTAGAGTTTGCTAACTAGGATCTCTAGATCCGCTTTACGACCATAGATGTCGTTCGTTTCAAGGAGGTCGGAGTCGACGAAGCGGGCGAGGACGAGGAAGACGTCGAGGACGAGGAAGACGTCGAGGACGAGGAAGACGTCGAGGACGAGGAAGACGTCGAGGTTGAAGGAAAAGACGAGGATGAAGAAACGGTCAAGACTAAGAAACAGGACGTCGGTCCTGTGACTATCTGGATCGGTGTATCCCCCGAGACTACTACCGCTACGGCTGCCCACAACGCGGCTCAGGATGTCCTAGCCCTTCTCAGGGACTATGGAATCACCGATATTGACGTAGACTATCGCGAATCCCCCTACACGCGCGAGATTGGTCCCCGGCTTCTCCCACCTGTCAATGATCTAGACCCACTCGTCGACGTCGTTAGTCCCCTCACTCCCGCCCTCGGTCTTCGCATCTCCACCAGGGCTAGGCCTAACGCTCAGGGGACGATGGCCCTCTACCTCACAGAAGGTGGCGGCAGCAACAACCTCTTGGAGCTTTCGTGCCGCCATGTTCTTTTCGGGCCGAGGGAAGCCAACGTCGACTACGTTCGCCACCCCAGTGCGCCTGTCAGGGATGTCCTCCTGTTCGGCAAGAGAGCCTACACCAACCTAGTTGACTCGATCAAAGTTAGGATTGGACGACACGGCATCTCGATTAAGCGCTGGAGTAAACAGATTGAAGGGTTCGTGGTGAGGGAGAGGGGCACCGACCCTGCCGACATCCAAAAGGCTATGAAATCACGGATTGAAACTCAGGCGTTGCTGGACCAGGCTGAGAACGCGGTGGAGGCACTTGCAGCATTGCTCAAGCGTGTCAGAACTGACTGGAAAAGACTCAATGACCGCGTTCTTGGCCACGTCCTCCTCTCCCCAGCCATCGGTCTCGGTGTCGGTGAACATCGTTTCACGGAGGACTGGGGAATCTTCCAGATCGACCGCGCTAAGCTTGGTGACGGTTTCCAGGGTAATAAGCTGGATCTCGGTGCGTTTGGACTATCCATCCAACCCAGTGATGAGTCGATTGGTCTGACTCAGGGTCGGATCCCGATGACAGACAGCTGGCAGAATAGCCCGGAATGGTCAGATCGGGCTCCCGCACCCAGCGCATCAACAGCGGACGAGTCGGGCGTCGGGAGGACCCAAAACACCCCGGAAACTCCATGGTAGATATCCATTGTTTAATTATGTGACGATGCCACTTGCGGCCCCCGGCGAGACGGGCCGCGATTGCGTAGGCTCTTGTGGCCGTGGATACCTACATAGGCGTCGAAAAAATCTACTTATCTTCTCTTCCCCATATGTTACATTAATTAAATGAGCTGTTTTTGTCTTGCAGAGTGGGTAGCACACCGAACAGAGGTAGAAATGGAGGGCAGGCGTGGAAATGTCTTCGATGTCCCTCAAGATGTCACCTAATTCATGTTGTACAGCTGGTCACACCAACCAACTTTTGGGAAAACGGTACTACATAGATATTAGTGCATATAATGAACATCTTATGAGGAAATAGAATGCGGCGCTCAATAGTGTGGGGCGCTACCCCGAATTTGACGATGAGCGCTTAGTGAGCAGTGACTGTGCGAGGCGTCTCCGGCTCTTCGAGAACAAATCGTGTATCAAGCTATGATTAAAAGAGCAATACAAACTACGAATATATAGATGGTTGCACTATAATTTCAGCCATGGATGCATTAATTACTCATAATGAGCAAAAGGTGTATTGGAAGAAAGAGACATAACGGTGCAATTTTCATCTTGACGCATTGTGTGCACCCCGAACGAGTCGCCATAAACATACAGCAATGATGTTACGATGAGGCGCCATGTCCCTCGTGCCTATCGCGTCCCGATCTCTCTCGACGTCCAGACTTCTCCACCTTTTATTACCGACTGTGTCTCCGCATGCGCCCGGATCGCTCCTTTCCTCACTCGCCTCCTCTCTTTTGTGTTTTCCACCACAGGTTTCATCCCTATATATAGATAGTGGATGTGCTCTTGTACGCCACTCTCAGCCTGCTTACTTCATCGCCGTTTGTCCTCTCGCTCACGCATTGATGGGCCGCCTTTGCCTCTAACCCTCGGGAAATCCTTTTTTAAAACCTTCCTCATCTCTTCCAATGCTCCCCTTGATTTCCCATCGCCCTACATAATTCCTCGAGCGACTCGTCAGCCCCGTAGATCCTTGTTCAGCATCTCGTGACCCTCACTGCCAAGTTTTGCGCAAATCGAGCTTAGTGCGCCACCTTTTCCTCCTTAGGAAGTCCCCTCCCGTCGTCATCATCTTCGTCGCTTGCTCGACCCCTATTTTTAACTTTTGCATTTTTGCTTGATATTTCTTCCCTTTCTTTATTCCTTCAGCCCGGTTGGGCACGAGCTGCTTGGCCAGATTTTCTGTTTTCTGTAGTATAAAAGCCATGTACATTATTTCATAAAGAACAACATAGATTTTGTCTCATTTTTCTCTCCCGCCCTCGTTCGTCGTCGCGGAGACTCCATCGCCTTATCGACCGAATCCATTTCGACATCGATAGCCATCCTTGATAAGCGCCCCCTTTCCGTGGTGCTTTTCCCATCATCCCGCACCCTCGTGTCGCATTTATGAGTCGCGCGTGCTACCCGGGTTAGAGCCGCACAACCTGGGAACGTGTCCCCGCACCTCAGAGCCGCCCATACGGTTGTTTTGGGTGTGTGTTAGATATCCCGCATTCGCACATTCACCCCAATGAAAGACGCGGCACAATTCTTCATTTTCACTGTACTGGGTACACTCTCCATGCGGCCGCTAGCCACGTAAATACACTCCTAACTGCTGAAGTTAATTGCTGAAATTGAACGTACAGTGAATATAGGCTTTACCGACACGCAGCGCGCGGCGCTACAGCAGCCTCAGGACATGCAGCGATGAGGTTAGCCGCGTGTCTACATTAGCCGACACGCTTCCTGGGGTCTGCAATGCGCGCACGCTCCTCCTGTCATAGCGCCCCCGCCGTCCATCCGTTTTTGGAACGGTCCCTGGAATGATCCAGGGACATCTGACCCTGAGTCAGACCAATCGACTACGCACTCCATCCAACCAAGACTGTCTACTAATTCACCTAAATATTTGTTTTGTTTATATCTAGGAACGAAGCTGACGTCCGATGAGTTCACGCTCAAATGCTTCCCTCGTGGAGAAGCTAACTGGGAGTTCGAGTATCCCGGTGATCGTCTGCTTCCGCTCATGGGCACTATCACTGACGAACTGATGCGCTCCCCTGACATGTGGGACTTAGACGGGGAACCGTGCTTGTTGGTCGTCAAGAACGGTAATGCCACTGGCACCACCCTCGGCCGCGCCAACGGCGTCTTCTCCATCGTCCGCGGCTATTTTAACGACATGTCTATCAACCAGACCTCCATGGAGTGGGGTATAATCAACTACGACAGCAAGTCCGAGGTCTTTTCGGAACCAGGCGATTCTGGCTCCATAATCGCCGACATCCGTGGACGTATCGGTGGAATGCTTACAGGTGGTTCCGGCAAAACCAAGGCCACCGACATGACCTATGCTACGCCGTTCTGGTGGCTCTTCCAGCGCATCAAGGGCAAGGGATTCCCTAATGCGCACCTCAATGTTACTTGCAAGGGAAGATGAATTTCAGGTAATATTTGATTCCATTTGAATTCACTTGGGGCCGCTCGCCTTCACCCCTCCGTTGCCCGGGGGCGCTCCGTCGTGCCGAGCGACTTCCAGCGGGTTCGAGGGCCTGCTTTTTGACGTCCAGCCATCGTGATTTGACTCTTTCTCTCGTAAAATGAAGGAGCTAGAGGATAAATATCGACCCCTACGACTTTAAAAGGTGTCGAGGGCATAAACTTCGTCTATGAGGCTTTCTTTTCCTCATATAGATACGAAGGTGGGTTTACAGGTAATTAACCGGACGTGAAGAATGGATAGGGAAATCTAGTAAATGAAGAAGATAGAGGGAGGAGGTTCAGCTGTTTAAAAATCGTGTGTTTGGTCATCTTCGAAGTCGTATTGATTGCTCATAATATCTATGAATAGGACATGCGTTCGTCTTCGTATTTTTTGACTATCGACTTCGCTGGGATGATGGATCAGAACTCCTGTAACCCGGCAGCCAGTCCAGCCGCTGTGCACATTCGATCCAGTATGCTTTCCGTTGGAGAACAATGGAAGGCGATCGTCTCGACAGAGTTTGGAATGAATTCTGAGAGGGTGATGTCGTTGGACTTGAGCTTTAGAAATGGGAAAATTTGAGCTGCAAACGTAGCTACTCCACGACTCCCCCCTATGACGGGAAGCGGCCCGGCGGAGGCTTAATTTCTCGACATCATTCCGCATGTCAAAATGTCATTCCATGTTTGCACTTCTGTTTTGCACATGACAAACGCCGACTCGGAAAGATGACGGTGCCAGCATCTTTCCAAGTATCGTCGTCCTCGACATTAGGCGGCACCACGGAGTATAAAACTCAAGAATCGGCCTCTGCGCGCGAAACTCAAGACCCACCTCCCCGAGGCGCCCCTTCTCATGCTTCATAACGTATGCAAATCGACCAAACCGCGTCTGACCGGCAATGACATACCAGACGACATCTGGCGGCACATCGCGTTGCATATAGCGAGTGAAGAGCCGCTACACAAGTTTTACCGACTAATATCAGTCAATCGAACATTCTTTAACGTCATCCTCGATGCGAAGTATGGCGAAGTGAGATGGGTGAGGCTGAGCGAGAAGTTTATGAGGGGATTGCAGAGATTGCAGTGAGTAGCGTTTGTCCATCTTTCGTGAGCCTATCCGACGAGCGGTTCGCGTATTTAGGAATCCTATCATCTCCAGCCACGTTAGACGGCTGTATATTCGTGCTTGGTTCATTGAATACCTGCTAAAACGCGAAGCCCTCATCAAGCCGCCTCCACCATACAAAGCCTGCCGGCTTTTTACGTGCTGTGTCGGCCAGCGTGCACGAAAACGACTGGACTCTGCGAAACCGAGGAAAAATTCAACCTCCAGCGAGCCTCTTCCCCACTTATCCTCCGAAGAAATCATTCGTCTGCTCATCAACGCCGTGCAGGGGATGAAGAACGTCACGGAACTCCATTTCGAATGGCGCGACCTGCCCTTGAACAAGGACACGCGTATATTCCTCACCTCGACGCGGAAGGCCTTCAGTAGCTGTCTGCGTAAGCTTGTTCTGCAAGCCCAGATTTCCAAGTTCAAGGAGCTCCTCGCCAGGGCCGACTACGAGAACCTTGACGAATTGGATTTTCATTTCGATTACAGCCCAACATGGCGTCGGAAGTCCGCAGATGGGCAGGAGGCAAAAGAGGGGACTGCGGAAGAGGACCCCGATGCTGGAGACTTGATACAAACTGTTCTGCCGTTCATATCCCACTGGAAGGCGCGCTTACGCTCCTTGGTGATCACATCGTTTTCCTCACTCGACCTCTCCGAATTTCTCAGTGGCCTGCCTTCCATGCCTACTCTTCGACATTTTGGGGTGAATATCAGCCTCAACAAAAGCCACCTATCCGACCCCTCTGGCCTGATTAACATCCTGACAACCCATTCCTCTTCGCTCCTTCATGTTTCCATCAAGCCTGGGCTACCGGCCAACTGCGAACAATACAACAAAGTGCACGTTCAGCGGCAAATGAAATGCGACTGGGCAGCAATCCACGATCTTCTACTCTCGAGTCCGCAGTGTCTTGTGGGCCTAGAATCGCTCGAAATTCCGTCCATCTGCCCAAGAGCCACATTACCACTTGTCCGACGCTCGTGCGACACCCTCATGCGTCTGGCTCTTACAGGTTACTATCTTTCTGAAGAAGAGGTGACAGAGGTGATCAACGTCTTTTCGCACAGGGCTTTCGAGTTGCAGCGCCTGCATCTGGAGGTGAAGTTGCTTGTTACGTCCTTGTTTCATCTCCTGGCTACGCGCCTACCAAACCTATATTCTCTTGTGCTTGTTTACGAGCAGCACATCCCTTTGGATTCGGTACGTCCCTTTCCTCCCCATCTTCCTATCCAACTGTTTCTCTGACCTATCTCCATCTCTCTGCACTGAATCTCGTCCCATGTAGCCCCCCGCCGCATGTACAAGCTGCCATGCGCGACTGGAAGCTATACGACATCGGGATATACGAAGAGCGCTACCGCCCTCCAAGCATCGACGTGCTCTCGTTGAGCACGCTCGCGTTCCGCGCAGAGCACACGATCATGGGCCTCGTCTCGGCGCAGGTGCCGAGCATACAGATGTGGAAGGGGTTTCCGAAGGATGCGACGTATGGTCCGCCGGAGAGGTATCCGTATGTGCCGATCGCGCAGGATTGGTGAGGCAGGTGGGCCATTTACGTTAGGCTGGGTATGTCTCGAGGCCGAATGTTATTATGGTACACGCAAAGGTGTTCTTATGGGTTCGAAGGAAAAAATCGGTCTTCATGACGCCCAAGAAACTAATGGGTACGAATAGAAATTCAATTAGGCGCCCACCTGCCAGCCATTCAAAATGTTGGCGTCTACACAGCCACAACACTTGAGGTCAGCTTGGACCTCGGTGATGATGCGGAAGGGTTCTGAGACGGCAAAAGCATGACAAGAAAACTAGTGGCCTCCAATCGCATACCTCCCGACGACTGGTCGATGTAGTTCCTAGTTTGAGGCTTTCCGGATGAAGTTGTAGGAGATGATTGGTGCGCATGTCTTTTACTAGCAGCAAATATTTCCTTATCCGAAATTCCTCTCAGGTACCCGAGTAGAACATGAGGTTCGTAGAGATCCTAACCAATGCTGAGTATGAGAACCGGATGGATTAGAGTTCCATTTGACTACATATGCCCCCAGCCGAAACACTGGCGAATCCGCATCGACGGAAGGTTCAGAATCCAGAAAATTCATGGACGCCGCCCTCCATCTCCTCCTATTTGTTATCAAATGTCGCAATGCTTCATGCTAGCTGAGCACTGCGACTTCTTCCTACCTCGACCTTTCCGGACCCGGTTTACCCCCTTCGTCGGCGGTTGGGGCTCAGTCCGCTGACCCTCGATGATCTTTTCGTCCACGTGCTGGAGAAGCATTTATGTCTCTCCTTCCGAGCCCTTCGCGTTGGCATCAAATTAATTGCGCTCCCGGAATCAAAGAAGTGGCCTCTCTTCTCCATTCTACACACAACTTGCGTGAGCGTCGACTAGGTAAGTATACTCCGACGTTCTACTCAGCGCCTCACCTTGCTCTTCGCCTCTAGTTTATGCTGGTGGAACCACTAGTAGAGTCGTTCGTCCAAAGCACATTTGCCGTCTGAAAGCTCGCGCTCAACGCGATCGATCTTTATCAACCTCCAACCTCCGACACAGCAATAGAGGATGACCATCGGGTTTAACGAAATATGAAGCTTATTTCCCCGCAAGGCGCGGTAGCCGGCGCGACTGCCCGCACAACTTTTTTTCGCATCGTTAGCCAAGGCTCAAAAGAACCACTTTACCGCATGCCGTGGTCTAATTTTAACCCCATCCCCGGATTCGTATGATACGTCGGGGCGTCAGCTGAGTCCTCGAGCTGCTTGGCCGTACATTCGAAGGGTTCCAACTCGGACGAAGGGCGCTCTTGAAGCCCTTAAACGGATCGAATCGTAAGCGCGTGGGGCAAAAATTGTGCCCAGGAGAATCGGAATCCTCTTCTGAGCCGACCGAAGTCGGACGGCAAACCCCGTGGCATGACTGTCTTTTAAACCATCGTTCGAACGTGAATCATGTCGTTCTGCCCGCACTATGAGAGCCTTACTCAGTCCGTTCCTCCTGCTGCTGCCTTTGCTCGTCGACGCCCAGCGTTTCGTGCGCTTCATCTCGACAGACAACAGAGAATACTACGGCGACGCGATTCTTCCTGCTGGCAGTACCGACGCAGCGAAGAGCACGGCTGCCCGTGTCATTGTTGGGGACATTCTGGGAGATTTCAAAGTCACCAAACAAGTCAAGGTTTGCTTGCCATTGACCTGCTTCGTGTTACTTTGCTGACTGGCATTTGGTTCTCGACATCGACAGCCCATCAAGAAGCTTCTCGCGCCCCTTCCTAGCGAACGAGTCAAGACCGTTCGGTGTGGAGGGCATAACTATGTTGCCCAAAATAATCAAGTAAGCCATTGTATCTCTAAGTTCTAACCTATACATTCATCTCTACCCTCTCAAAGACAGGAAATGTGATTCCGCAATGGCCCATCCTTTTCTACAAGCCATCGACGTCGCTGAGTTCACCAAGTGACCCTATTCCTGTCACAGAGGGCTATCAAACGCAAGGAAATTTTACTTCGACGATGGACTATGAGACGGAGCTCGTCATAATAATCGGGAAGAAGGCGTTCAACATCTCTGAAGATGAGGCTCTTGACCATGTTCTGGGCTACTCGATTGGTAACGACGTCTCGCACAGAGGGTGGCAAATCGGTTCGTCTCTACTATCTGTCCCATCTCGACGAAATCTCTCTGACAACATAATGCAGACCGTGGTGGTGCGCCCCGACCACAGTACTCGATGGGTAAAGGAGCGGACGGATGGGCACCATGGGGCCCGGCGATCGTATCGACCAGCATTATCCCGGACCCACAGACGCTCAGGCTCTGGACAAAAGTCAACGGGGTCGTTAAGCAAAACGAGACTACGGCGAACATGATTTTCGGCGTGAAGCAGATCGTCTCATTCTTCTCAATGGGAACGACCCTACTGCCTGGGGATGTTATCTTCACCGGAAGGTAAGCTGGCCTCCTCTGTCGCAGTGCATACCTGACTTGTGTTCGTACAGCCCGGCTGGTATCAACTTCGGCAAGCCTGACCCAGAATGGCTGCAGGACGGCGACGTCATTGAAGTCGGACTAGAAAATGTTGGCACCTGCACGAATACGTTGAAATATACGTGAAAGGGGACCAAATTCTGCTGTGTGCGGTATGCGTACTATACACACTTATGAGTAGCACGTATCATTTAGAAGCTCTTCTGAAAAATGTTCTCGTTGATCTAGCCGTCGGGATTTTTCAACTGAGGTGCTAATGATACTACCGTTGAGCTCGTCGAGCTTGGGAGTCTTGCCCGACTGCGCTACAGTGTAGTGGGATGGTCGCCGGCCTCATGTCCTCGTTCATGGGGACAAGATCGCGAGGCTGGAAGGCTTATGATATCAGGATATACAATCAGGATATATATACTTACGGCGACGCATGCACATGTGGAAGGGCCCACCAGGGAGGTATCCGTACGTACATATTACGCAGGATCGTGAGGTGGTTGAGTGCTCATAGAGAAATAAGGCACCCTTCAGTTGCGACAAGTGGCCTTAATTTAATAGGCGCCCGCCGATTTAAATGTGTCGGCCCGAAGATACCGCTTTAACACGTGACCTTAATCTCGTCACGGGATCGTGTTTAATGCACTTTCCCAGATATTGACCAATATTGATCGCATTTCCAAGACGCGGGTTGCCCCTTTACCACCATAACATCATGCTAGCTTTCGCTCAAAGTCCTGAAGTAAGTCAAAAAATTTCACGTGAATCGTACCTTCTAACGGCTTCTTCGTTTATAGCTCTGGCAGTCTGCTGCCCAGATCTTGAGAGACCAGTACAACATCGCCGTCTGCCATGATGAGAGTATCGGCATGCTTGTGAAGAGCTACTTCGTCCATTCTGCGCAGCGTGCAATGGTCCTCTGTCGCCTGACATCCGTCACTCCTGCTGATTCTCATGGCGCTGCTCAAAGTCAAAGTAGCAAGCAGGAGGATGACAAGGTGGAGCCCCTCCTCAACAGCCCCATTGAGGGAAGGGCCGTGAAGGAGGAAGACAAAGAGGAGAATCAGACCTCTGTAATGACTCTGACGGACTCTAGTCGCTTAGTCAAGAAGGAAGACGACGATAGTAAAGGGGAGGGTGATGAGGATGAGGATGAGGATGAGGAGGCGCCGCCGAAGCCCGAATATGTGCTGCGGAGGATGAAATGGAATATGCCCTCGTGGGCAGGAGATGGAACATGGACCTATCCAATTGCGAGGGCAGAGTCTATGAATAACCGTCCCCTGACCTACCAATGGATGTGGACCAAGAAGAAGGGTCGCTGTGTCATTGTTTGCGATGGGTAAGCCCAAGTCTCTTCATTTCACGCGTCTGTACTTATTCGGTTCAATGAGTCAATTTTTAGATACTATCAGAAATTGACGAAGAAGCAGAACACCAATCAGGAAGAGTCTGCGGTTGCTTTTGTCCGTTATGCAGACCGAAGCCCTTTGCTGTTAGCTGGGTTGTATCATCACGATCCCAGTGCGTCTTTTCACCTGTGACGAGGCTGTGAACTCGCTCATGATGTGTGTAGGTGACCCTATCCCATATCGATTCTGCGTCATAAGCAGCGAAAAGCCCCAGTTCTCCATCACCACAACTGAACCCGATGGTTCAGTCAATCCACAAACCACGCCGCTTGCCCTGCCGGGTGAACGCCAGCCTGTTATACTCTCCACTCCGGAAGATGTGAAGCTATGGCTTGACACGTCCTCTGGGGCGTACGAACTCAAGCACGCTCGTCTCTTGGAGTCGAGATACCATTATGAAAGGCCCTTTGTCTGGTAAGTTCCTTTATGGGTGATGCAAGAATGCCCAGGGCTTACACTCTGCAGGTATCTTGTTCCTTCAGCTACTTCTCCCAATGATCCCGCGACTATGCTGCCCAGTTCGAATATTGACTTTGGGGAGGAGGTCGTAGGCGATGATTGGCGTGAGCAGATTTGAACCACCCGAGGATATCTCTCAGTATGGCGTCTCCTCGCAAGGAGGTTTCCTTGTCTGAACAAGGAATCTGTTCCTTTACTTGTACAGCCAATCTGATTCAAATTGATTTGTTGGAGCTTGTAAACGCATGTATTAGTGGCCTACACGTAGCACTAGGGTATTCCAACCTATGTTCGGTTGAGACTGCGCCCAGTGGGTATATCGTGGATGGTACTAGTATAAGTACGGGACTGAGTAAACGTGTCATCAGAGGAAGTTGCACCGCTTTACCCTCTTTATATGCGACCGTTATGATGTCCGCTGTCCGTCGATCCGCCCACACCATCCCTTGAACCTTCCTCTCTCCCTTTCTCAAAGTCAACTGTCGATGCCACAAGGAACAGCGACCTCAAGTCTGAATCGCAACGGAAATCGACCAATCATCACTGGCAAGGACATACCAGATGATATTTGGTATCTCATCGCGTCCTACCTCGCGGACGGGCGGAGGGCGGAGGACCTACGTCGGTTCATGTCGATACATCGCTGTTTCTTCAACTTCGTCTTGGACCTAAAGTATGGGGAAGTGCGCTGGGTGCGGATCGATAAAGCCTTCATGACGATCTTGAAACGTCTACAGTGAGTCAAGCCTGATACTCTCTTTCTCATAATGCCGACGTCCTTTATATGACGATTCAGGTCCTCTGTCATATCCAGCCACGTCCGACGGCTTTATGTGCGTGCGTGGTTTGTTGAATACCTCTTGAAACGAGAGGCAGACAGCAAACTTACGAACCACGGGTACATGGGCCTCGCCTCCTTTCTCGTGCCCTCGTTAAAGAAACCGACAGGCGTCAGAAGCGGCAATAAGGATGTTCCAGCGAGTAGAGTTGTCGATTCGAACCTGTCAGCGAAGAAGATTCTTCCTCTCCTCGTCACAGCAATGAAGGGCATGACGGGGGTGATTGAGTTCCACTTCGAATGGCGCGATCTCCCTCTGAACAAGGACACGAAGATGTTCCTCACCACAACTCGGACAACGTTCAGTAGCAGCCTGCGCAAGCTTGCTCTGCAAGCTCAGCTGTCGAAGTTCAGAGAACTTTTGGCGATTGCGGACTATGAGAACCTGGATGAACTAGAATTCCATTTCGATTATACACCCAGCAGAAGCCCTGGAGACGGATCGACAGCAATAGATGATACGGACGCGAGAGAACTGAGGGACACCATCCTCCCTTTCATCGCTAGACGTCGTTCGGCACTACGCTCTTTGAGCATAACGGCTTCTTCTACCCTCGACCTCTCGGACTTCCTCCGCAATTTGCCGTTCATGCCCGGTCTCCGGCGGTTCGAGTCCAATATTAGCTTCTGCCCAAGCACACTCAGCGATCCTTCCAGTTTCGTCCAAATTCTGGATAGGCATTCCACGTCCCTCCTCCACGTTTCCCTCAAACCTGGCACGCCTCTACGCAAACGTTATTGGGAGAGAGTGCATGAGCAGCTCCTCTTATCACGGCAGGCCCTATGCGACCTGGAATCGCTGGAAATTCCTTTCCTGTCTCCCTATGACAAGACCCGGTTACTCGTTGGTCGTTCATGCGACACCATCACCAAGCTTTGGCTCACTGATTGCGCCCTCGAGCTGAAGGGGGTCGAAGACGTCCTGAACATGTTCGCCCACCGGCCGTATGCCCTCCAGGACCTCCATCTTGGGGTGAGGGTTCTCAATTTGCCTCTCGTCCATCTTTTGGCGTTGCGGCTTCCGAACTTGTACTCACTCACGCTTGTGTATGCAACATGTGGCGACGTCGGTTTCGTAAGCCTGCTCTGCCCTTCACGCAAATTCCATCTAAACCGTCACCCATAGTTTACACCAGCAGACATCGAACCGGCTGTTCATGTCGTACTTTTTGACTGGAAGCTCAACGAAATCAATCTATGCCAAGGAAAATACCAACCACCAACACTCGACACAGAGCCTTTGATGACAGTCGGTCTCAGCGAAGAATGCCACATTATGAAGCTTATTTCCGAACAAGTGCCTACTATTCGGACCTGGAAGGGATTCCCGAAAGATAGACTGACTCGATTCCTTTCTCCCTATGGTCATTAAATAAGGGCTAGATTAATGTTAATCCCTCGGTTTTGAATGGCATGGTCTCCAGCAAGAATATCCGCTGAACTTCTGTTCTCGGCTTTAGCCCAAGAATCGCTTTACCGCATGCCGTGATCTATTTTTAACTCGCTCTTCGGGTTCCTCTGATTTCTTACAATGTCAGGTGAGTCTTCCAGCTGCCTGGCCGTACATCCAAGTGGTTCTAATCCTTTGTATTTAGATGAAGCGTGTTCAATACGCCCTGTGAATGGGTCGAGTTGCGCACGCGTACTGAGAAAATAGTTGCGCATATAGTCGAGAAGAACGGCATCTCCACCGGAACTACAGCATAAACCCAGACTTTACGACGAGAAGGATTGTCATAGGACGGAAAGTCCCATACAGAATGCTTTTTAAACCCTCATTCGACCCCAGCAACACCTGACGAATCTCATCGTTCCATCAGCATCATGAGGCTATCGCACACTCTTCTTCTCCTTTTCTTCCCTTTCCTCGTCAACGCACAGCGCTTTGTTCGTTTCATCTCGACAGACAACAGAGTATACAACGGAGACGCGATTCTTCCGGCTGGTACTACCGACGCGGCGAAGAGCAGAGCTGCCCGCGTTATTACAGGTGATATTCTGGGGGATTACAAGATCACCAGCCAAGTCAAGGTATGGTTTCTATCAGCCTATTTTGTATCGGTCAGCGACTTATAGAGTACCTGGTCCCGACAGTCCATCAGAAAGCTCCTCGCACCGCTTCCAAACGAACGAGTTAGGACCGTGCGATGCGTGGGCATAAATTATGTCTCTCATAGCGAAGAGGTAAGCCATTAAGGTTTTATCAACGTCTTTTCGGAAAGAAAAAAATCACCATTTCCAATCAAGACGGGGGCCGACGTGCCGGAATGGCCCATCCTCTTCTACAAACCTTTCACGGCCCTCAACACACCCAGCGACCCTATTCCTATCACGGAAGGCTATCGAACGCAAGGGAACTTCACGTCAAAGATGGATTACGAGACGGAGCTCGTCATTGTCATCAAGAAAACCGCGTTCAACATCTCAGAAGACGAGGCTCTCGACCATGTCCTAGGATATTCGGTTGGCCATGACGTCTCGCACAGAGGGTGGCAAGTCGGTTCGTCTATTCATCCTCATGGAGATTTTTCGAAGACTTAATTAATACTCCGACGTAGATCGCGGTGGCCAGCCTCGACCGCAATACTCTATGGGCAAAGGAGCGGATGGGTGGGCACCGTGGGGCCCAGCCATCGTATCAACAAGCATCATCCCCGACCCACAGACGCTCAGGCTCTGGACGAAGGTCAACGGCGTCACGCAGCAGAATGAGACTACTGCCAACATGATATTCGGGGTCAAGCAGCTCGTCGCGTTCTTCTCAATGGGCATAACGTTATTACCAGGAGATGTTATCTTCACTGGAACGTAAGTCGGCACCTTTCCAACTAATTGTTGCGTTGCATAACATTCGTTTGTGTGTAGGCCAAGTGGTGTCAACCTAGGCAAGGCTAACCCAGACTGGCTAAAGGATGGAGACGTGGTGGAGGTTGGACTAGAGAATGTCGGAACTTGCACGAATGTGTTGAAATATGTGTGAAAGCATCGGAAGCATGCTACTTATATTGTACATCCTCGAGCAGCCTGTATCATTTAAAAAAAATTCGTCGTTTTGTCATTCCTCATACCTTCTATTGGAATTCATCAAACACTTTCAGAATGCACGGTTGAAGTTCCTGAGACCGTTGAGCTTCATTTAGAAGCCGGCGCTTAATTCCAGACATGAGTTTGACGATTGTCCACATGTTGTATTGGCCTACCTGTTCGCTAATTATGCGTATCAAGCAGATTTCTTCACAAATCCACTTGCACCAACAGGAAGTAGGGATATCACTCTGGTTTTCTGGACCTCTGTCGCCAAAATAGCGCCCACTCTCGAACGTCCAATCGTCATTGCCACGGGCCCACTGAGCCAGTTCGTTGACATAGATATTCACGCGGCTTTCGACCTCTTTGGCGCATGAGGGCAGATTTGCGATGTTGTCGAGGAAGGCGGCTTGAACTCCAGCCGCATAACCTTCGAGCCAGTTGATAGAGCCCTGAACGAGACCCCGGACCTTCATGGGGTATGAATTAATGTCCTATGAGGGGGATACTCGGAGGTTAGTCTATGCAACAGGGTGGCACTTCATAGAACCAGAAAAGGGGCTTGTTCGCGAAGGGCAATCATCCTGGGATGGTAGAAAGTATCTTCATCCAAGTTCAGTCCAAATCGCAGAGTGCGAAGCTCGGTAAATTCACTGACGAGTCTCGGCGTATGGAAGGACAGTCGCGGAACGTGCGAGAAACACGTTGGGTCCGATCGTCCGCTTCACGTTGAACCACTGCTGCTGTGTAGGCATCGAAATCCTGGATAAAGTGGCGCAGACAATGTGCGGTTGGGGTGACGACGATTGAGGTGCGAACCCAAAAGATTTCGTATTGTAGTAAGTTTCAGGAATTTCAGGGCAGAGCAGAAGGACGTACTTCACCATCTCACCAGGCAGAATTTCTCCTCCAGGACAAGTCTTCTCAGGACGGTGAAGGTCGTCCATAACGACGTCCCGAATTTGTGACGCCCCCTCTTTGTCCGCGATATCCGCACACTCATCGAAGACGTAGAATATGTTCATGAGATCGCATCCTAGCCTTACTATTTCTATTTCCGAGTTGAGGTGATTTTCGTCGAAATTCTTGCGAATGGGCGCTTAAGACATACCTTTCTGCCGAAGGAAATAGGCTAAAGAAGCGAGGAGAGCTGTTATACAGAACGTCAGAGCTGCCTCTAGAAAAAATACTAAAATCACATAGATTGAAACCTTCGAGAGGTCTTCGTCGAATGGATGGAACGATTCAGTCCAAGCGCTTGACTCCCTCTTGGCATCGTGATAATACTGGCCGAGTTTCCTTGACCAAGGAAAAACTGTATATCTGGAGTCGTAAAGGTGAAGGTAGTAGGTTGCATTATCATGGGGGGTTGATTCATCCAAGACCGTCTGAGGAAGAAATTCAGAGACATTGGCCTTAAGATTCTTCTCGAAGATCCCCATGAAGCTACAAATCCGCCAAGCGCGCATGTCACTGGTCACCACACCACCACACTCGCGAAGGTTTCTATGAGGCCCTATGCCGCAGAGAGTGAGCCGAGTAGATCACATATAATTAAACGCCTGAGGTTATATTTGACCGATTGGAAGGTCCCAGGCCTCTTCCCGGGACACTGTTTGCACGAGTGAGTTCTCGATAAAAAGATCCTCTCTTTAATAGCAAAATCGCTGCTTTGGTTTGCACGAAAGCTGAAAAACTTCTCACATTAACAAATACAGGGTGAGAACCGTTATATCCGACATTGCCACCTGACACACGATCAAGAAATTGGTTAGTTCAGATTGAACAGAAACGAAATTATTGCCAAGAGGTATGTGCTCACGACTTGCTGTATCTCTACTGCCCATCGTACCCGATAGAGAGAGTCCCCATTGACTCCACAGATCCATGGTTCTCAGTCTCTTCGTCACCCTTTTCAGCCACTTCTCTGTTCTCTAGGCCCATTTCTCCGTGGAGATTTTGGTAGAACATGGGCGTCAATCCAGCTTTCTCGCGATCGGCGACATTGAACGGGCCCTTGACCTCACCCCTCCAACCCCTCTTCACTTCCTCCCTAAATGCTTCAACAGGATCGACACCTTTTCCTGCGTTGGCCTGCGCACAAATCCACGTAAACCACCGATGACCCGACGTAACATGCGTCACCTCGTCTGCATGGATGATCTCCATGACTTTGACTGTGTCATGGTCGCCTGCACGCCGGAAACGCTCAATCGTGGCGGGGTTTACGTCCAGGCCGCGTGCTTCGTGCACGAGGTGGATGATGGCAAGCCTGGCGCGGAAAGAGTCCGCAGTGACGATGGCAGATTCCCATAGAGAGGCGTGGACAGGCATACTACCGTATGGGGTCGATGGCGAGGTCGCTGCCAGACGTGACGTCAAGAGGGAGCTAGAAAGATGTCGTATTAGAGTGACCTAAGTTGATCTGACGAGACACTTACAAGTGCTTTGATTCATCCAGAGCCATTTTCGTAAAGTCGACAAAGAATGTGGGAGGGATGTCAGGGTGTTTCGGGCCGAACCGCGCTATGATATCCCAGCTGATACGGAGGTCAGAGAAAAGAGGAACCGGTCAAAGGGGTACCTACGCCAGGTCGATTCTAGATAACATGTTCGGATAAGAATCTTAGGAAAACGGTGTATCAACGGCGCACTTACGCCCACTGTTCAATGTTCGCCAGAGCGTGCAGCATCACAGCTCTATTCTTTCGGTTCTTCACTTTGTTCGGGTCTACCGTGTTTCGAGCGAAAAAAGCCTCTCTGGGCGGCACATCTGGGGGCCGAGGAGCGATCTTTGCTTTGTTGCCAATGGACGTTAGTTTGGCTGTCCGAAATAGATGCACGGCGTGGCGCGTCCGTTCGACCTTCAGTGTAGGATTTGGGGTATTGAGAATGAGCACAGCCCACTCCATCAGCGTCTTCGGCGCTCCTGTTGTGGGCACTACAGGTTCCTGCTCTTGCGGCTCCGCTTGGGTAGCGACTTGAGGAAGAATATGGACCGGTGCCGATGGTGGAGGGTCAGCGAACTCTAGAGTACCAATAGGAAGACATTTGCGGTTGAGATTGAGAACCACAAACCTTCCGATACAGGTCGCAGCTCAACCAATCGCCAATTACTTCCTCCTTCTGGTGTTTCCATAAATACTTTCTCTAGCCCATCTTCCGGATCAGTCTTGACTTCGACAGAATAAGTACATGTTCTGAGTCCCGTTTCGCTTTTGCCTGTTTTCAAATCAAAATCATATCTGAGGCCGTTGTTATGGGATGGATCGAACGCGTTAAGGGCAACGACTCACCTATGCCACGGACAAACGGCAACAACGCTGCTCTCGCACTCCTCAATCTCTGCATGTGACATATCCGCCCCAAGATGGGGGCAACTGGCTTCCATGACATAGATCTGCCTGTGGTTGGGATTGATTATGCTGCCACTCGTCGTGGCTTCATTGTTCGTCAGAGTGGGTTGATCATCCTTGAAGATATCCAAATCTCGTCCAGAAGCAAGTCTGAACAGAATCAAGGAGTGATACAGGCCTTCTTGAGAACGTAGGGTGAGGTGATAGCGAAAGTGGCTAAGCAAATTTCGCAAAGGTGCAACCCTGTCGACGAAAAAGTGAGATGAGATGTTTCAAGAATCAGTAGATCGCAGAGGTGCAACCTTTGAATAGACTGACTGCAGAAATCTCATTGTTGAAGCTTGCAGTGTGAAGCACTTGAAACCCGGAACTAGGCAGTTGAGAGTGCTTGTGGTCGATGGTCAAGATGATGGCAGTCTCGCCTCGGCCACTAAGGCTAATTCCGAAAATGTTGCTCCAACCTCAGCAACATTAAGTGAATGGTATACAAGTTACATTTCATAGTACATTCTCCCAGTATTATAGATATCATCATACATATAGTAGCCACTTGTTTTAGAGATTGAACCAAATATCAAGAGAAGCGGGCAATTGGGTGAAGTCCAGACTGAACCTTGGAATGAGAGGAGAAAATGCGACCAACGAAAAACGAAAGCAAGTCTATGGCAAGTCGAAGCGATATTTGTATGCGAGTGCAAGGCAGATTTGCTGCATTTCACATCATAACCTGAGTGCCTTGGAAGATCCCGTACGAAGGGTGCAATGCCGGCAGTCCGGGCATGCTAGCTACTGGTGCCAAGTTTGATGTGTACGGAGAGGGCATCTGGTTCGCTGGCGGAGAAGGCGAACCCTCAGGCCATGAGAAGCTATAGGACAAAATCAGCATGAAGTTCTCCCAACTGTAGCTGAACGTACCCAGGCATCATCATGTTCGACCACCAGGCCGGGTTCTTGATCGCCTGCATCGTCGCAAGCATCTCCTCGTCCGAGAAGCTATTGCCTTCATAAGCCATATCGAAATCAGCTGCGAAGTGGATCGCGCCAGTTCCGGCAGCAAAGGTCGCCTCGGGCATGTATATCGGTGTGTCCATCGCTTGATTCATACCACCACCCGTTCCCTGACTGAATGACGACTCGCCACCTTGCATACTAGAACCTGACGGGCGAGAAAGAGAGAAGGAGGATACACTCGAGGTTGATGCTTGTGGGGCCGAACCGGAGACCTGGTTGGATGGAGGAGGCATAGTTTGCAGGCGTCCGACGGTAGCGCCGTCACGTCGATGACGCGAAAGCAATCCTGCGAGGAAGCGTGCGTAAAGTTTCGGCGTGTGTCGATCGTCGATAGAGATCTTGGGCGAGCTCAATGTTTGGATGAGACGACCAATGAGGTCAAAGATCTCATTTTCTTGTTCTTTCACGAGGAACGAAGAGAACTCCGGTTTGAGAAGCTAGATAGATCGTGTCAATTCGAGCTCCACTGGCCAAATGAATAACTATCTACCTTGAGCAAGAAGGCAGATGCGAACGAGGCAAAGATGAAGTGTCCATCAGGCGCGAATCGCATATACCCACTGGGCGCAAGACCATCAATCATGTTTTCGATGACCGCCTTTGCAGCGTCCAAACACTGGTAGATCGAGTATTAATCAGTTTAGAAGACACTGCGGCAGGAGGGTCACTAACTGTCGTAAAGAAGATACGGTCTCCAGGTTCAAAACCTCGCTGGTATGCTTGTTGGAAGCCGAAGGAGAACATGACCAGGCGTGAGTAGCCAACAAGGCTACAGCAGAAAGATTTAGGAAGAAAGCGCAGCAGGCGTAGACGGCGTGCTTACAACGGCAGGAGAGAACACCGGAAAACGCAGGCAGGGTCGTTGGAGTCCGAATCTGTCTTGAACCGTTGCGACCACTCTTCATGATATTTGGTCAGATTAGCATCATGAGCGAGGGTGATGGCTCTAAAGTCGACTTTCTAATGATCAAAATGAGTATTTTCCAGGTTCAGACACATAGGAATGAAGAATCCGTGCCTTGTTGAGCCCAGTCGGCGAAGACGAATCGCTGAAGATCTCGTCATGGAATTTGGCAACAATCTGCAGCAGTGCCGAATATGCGCACAGATGGATATCGTACTATCCCAGAGTTCAGACGAACAATCTCCACATAAGCATGGAGGGGGAGACTCACGCAGTGGTTGTACTGAGATTTCCTGTACCAATCCTTGGCGCCCTTCGTGATGCTGGATCGAGATACAAATAATTAGAGTTGGACACCTAGCATGCACGGCAGCAAATCCTTACAAGTCCTCCTTTATCGTGGACGGCTTCCCAAACTGTGTCGCCGTAGACCTATCCAAGTTAAAGCAGATCATCCACACACGCGTCTTGTTCAGGATCTCTCGCTCCTGCTTCTCCGATGTCGTTTTTGTCATCGTCACCTGATGCAGATTCAGGTCGGTGGCGATTCTATGGAAGGAAACGTCGACAATTAGTTCAGTTCAAACGTCAAGTCGTCACATCGAATTCCCAGTGCCGAATGGAACGCGCCGTACCTGATAGCCAAACCGGTGTAGAGCCAGCTGCGATCCTCCTCCCACCTCCGGGCAGGCACGGCGTAGATACTCATGAGGATGTACGCCTGGCACAACTCGACAGATTTCCACCCGTCAATTAGCGCGTTCGCAGCTGAATGTTTGGCAAAGTGCATTGCGATAGGGTAGATCTCGGACTTGTCGGCGTAGTACCTTGAGGCTATAGCACAAACTTGAAAGACAAGTCAGGACGGCCGTGGACAGACAGCTGAGAAACGCTATGCACTGACCAACCGTAAATAGGAAAGGACACCGAGCGAACGTGGACGCAGGGGTGTGCAAAACAGGATCCAGAAGTGAGATGAAAGGCTGTCGAAGGGCACTTCAGGAACGAACTTCCATGAAGTAGATAATGCAAGCACATACGTTCACTCGCTCATAGAAGCTATCATGGGCAACGGTAAAATCAGAATGGGCTAGAATATACGGAAGATTGAATTACTCACATCTGGAAGAGCTTCTCGACGTCCTCAGGCTTCACGAGTCCATGGACGAGGATTTCCGGTGGGCTATGCTGCTCAATGAGCGTCGCCCTGATCCCAAGGTCCGTCGCTGGGCCTTTTGCAAACCTGATTTAGATAAAGAGAAGACAGGAAGCATCGGGCAACGTACCAGGCATGAAATATGTTTCGTTGGCCACGCCCTAGACGCCAATGAAAGCGCGTATGAGCGACCTCGCGGAATAGAAGACAGGTACACGTTTGACACGCACCACATTGTCGTCGTTGTAGTCCTCTTCCTGGATCGCAGCAGCAGCAGCAGCGTCCTTGTTCTGGTCCTTCTTCCGACTCGACTTGGTCTTGCTATTGCTCAAGCTCAAGTCCGCGATCAACCCTAGCGGGACATGCGCGTCCGGCAGCGCCGACTGCATTTTCTCGTTCGCCTCGTCGCCATCGTCTGCGGCACCGGCATCGTTCCCATCGAGCTCTTTCAGCGTCGTAGCAGGAGACCCATTGCCCCGCTTCTTCTCCGACTCGTTGTCCGAGTCGTCTTCGATGCCGTCGATATTCCGAAGCTCTGAGAAAGCATACGGCGTGCCTTTGTTGTTCCCTGCATCGCGCACGCTGGACTGGAGGCGGTCCAGCCATGCAAGGACGTTGCGGTTGTTTTGGTCCGAAGGCGATGTCGCCATTCGGTACGACGCTATCGAGAGCGGGGTGGCGAGATATGGATTGTGCAGCTGGACGGACAAAAAAAGTCAGCCTCGTGTCCTGACACGATGACCTCGGAGGAAGAGATAACACGGACCTGCTTTAAGAGCGACTCGATAATCGCATCCTTCTGCCTGATCTGCGCGAGAAGATACTCCCGTTTGCTGATAACAGGATCAAAGTCAGCATCTGAAGGTGCTGGCGAGGGACAGCGCGAAGGTGAAGGGGAAACAGAAAGTGTCGAAGTCATCGACGGCGACGGCGGTGCAGCCATCTCGAGCAGAGAAAAATCCGAGCGACAAAAATCCGGGCACGGGGATGCAAATCGCTGCTGGTCCTGCAAACGCCAGAAGGCAGGTGCCTATAAAGGTGGGCACACCACCCCTGTCGAAGGCCTCGGACGGACATACAAAGGCAGTATTGCCTCTGACGTCGCTGCTCGGTCGCGTTATTTGTCCAAAACCGGCTTGAGAGCAACGTCTTCTCCCGGAGGGTGCGTGCGTTGAACGCCTGATACCTGCACCGAAGAGGAGTATGGACATGGACGCATAGACCCACTACTGCACACCGGCATGTCTGTCCCGTCTCTCCACGCCCCCACCACGCTTGAGCGCCACAGTGAAAGATTGAACGAAGCAGGCAAACACCGAAGGTAGGCAGGTGGAATAGAACGAAGAGAAGGAAGAAAGGAAGAACAGGCGTGGCAGTGCAGCAGCACCACAAACGGAAAAAGCGCCCACCCCTACCCCGGCGAAGCCGAGAGCAGGAAAACCAAATCCTAGACGGACTAACGGATAGAAAGAGGAGTGGACTCACTTTGGCGCCGTCCTCGGCCTCCGCCCCTCGACGATACACACATGACCGCCAGACTTGCAGCGCTTGCACGTATTGTCATGCTTCGGAAAGTCGCATTTCATCTGCAATCGTATCGGTTGGTCGGTCCAAGAGGTGCGGTGGTAAGGTTTGGACATATGTCGAGGAGCGAGTGTACACCGACGTCGATTCCGGATCGGACGGCGGTATTAACGAACGGAACGGAACAGAGGAAATGGGGGTGCAGGAGCGGGAGCGGGAGCGGGATAGGGTTCACGCGTGTGTGAATGTGGGGTAGGCGTGTGTTCAACATCGATGTCGAGGGATCGGCACACGAACGCCATACCGAAGGAAGTAAATTTGCGTCGGAGCGATCCCACAGGGCCCGAGCGGAAGTTGATGTCCGAAGGGCACAATGCCAGGTCGGGGAATGGCAAAGAGGGAGGAACGGAAACGGAAGGAAATACGTCAGTGATTGGCGTCTAAGGGAAAAGAGCACGGGAAGCGCCGTACATACCTTCAATTTCTTGCAATGTGTGCAGGCTCCGGGACTTCATCACACGCGATCCGGGATTCGACAGAAGAAGAAAGAAAGAAAGAAAAAAGAAAAAGGACATGAATGCAAACACACCACGGTGGATAGCATGATCCGCAAATGACGGCCATATGAATTCCACAACAAATCACACCCGACGCAAAGAAAAAGAAAAAGGCAATTCACGCCCAGCACGACGCAGCACGTATCCACAGAACCCGCGTTCCCGGCGTAAACCAACGAGCGAGCGTACGCCAGAGACAGAGACAGATCGCTCAAAGTAGAAAAACAGTACCAGCATCAGAGAATTGGCAAGCCAAAACCGCAAAGCCGTAAAGAAACGTCGCCCGGAAACAACATGTCATCCAGAACCAGAATCGGTCAAAGAAAAACAGCACACGTCGAAAGGTGTCAATGTCATCCAAAAGCCCGGCGATATATTTCGAACGCGGGGCAGTGCCAACGTCGTGTTATGTCCAAAAGCCAGTCACGCGCGGGTCGAGCGATAGTCCGAGCCCGATCCCGGCGTGGGCGGAAATTGGGATTGTGGGATTGCGGGTTTAGGCGATGGAAAGAAACATCGGAAAATAAACGATGCCGCGTAGCCCAGGCCCAGGGTGTAGAAGATCAGCGAGGTCGGTTGGGTGTGGAGGTGGGGTGAAAGAGGATGAGCGGAGGATGGTGTGGACGGGGTGAAGGGACGCCACAGTACACGAGGGCGTCAGCACGAGGAAAAAACAAGCGAAAATAGAGTAGATATTCGTTCGGTGGTCCGGTCCGAGTGCAATCAGAAGCGGGAGGCGGGCCGATGAGCACAGTCGGAGAAAGCGATGAGGCAAAGCAAAGCGATGTCGCAAGTCGAAGGGATCGCCACAGAACCAAGAGACAAGACACGGTCGACGAGGGCCAGGCGGTCGGTGGATAGCGTCGGTCAGGGAAGAACGACGGTGAAATTTGTTTTTCATCCGGGTGTTGGAGAGCCGGTGGAGAAAAAATTGAGGGGTTTGATGAGGTATAAGATGGATGAGGAAAGAGAGAGGGAATGTCAGTGGCTGGACGTGGAACGGAAGACACAAAGACGAAGGAAGATTGGAAGGAGAATGAAAGGACACAAAGGCACGGAAGAAGGGAAGGTTGAGAAGAGAAGACATGGAGAGGATGGTAGGCCTCGACTGTGGAGTACAGTCGAATAGGCTTCGGAGGGCATGGAGGGCATGGAGGAGCAGATGCGTCTAAGGTACGCCACCCATGACACGAAAAACAAACCTCCTTCCTGCGGGAGGTTCACACCGTCCCCGACGTGCAGAGCACATCGATCCACCCTCACTCCCTTCTCCCAAAACCTCTCTCAAAAAAACACCAAAAAACCAAAAAACCAAAAGACAAAGAAAACCGATACTCACAGCCTCGCCCCCTTCTCCCTCCTGCCCCCGCCCTTGCCCACGACGCCGAGGCCACCCATGCCCACGCTGATCCCGCCGCTCATCGCGAGCCCCGAGGTATCGTCGTCCTCGCTGTCCGAGTCGCTGAAGCCTCCTCCCATGCTTCCTACGCCACCTATATTTCCTCCGCCCATACTTCCAACGCCTCCCATACTACCTTGACCCATACTTCCGATGCCGCCACCTCGACCACCGCCACCGCCCCCGCCCCCTCCGAGGCTGACGCCACCGCGAACACCTCCAACGCCACCAGCTCCTGAAGACCAGTCGGTGGATGGGGTGTGCGTGCGCGTGTCGTCTTTTTTGACGCGCTTGCGCTTCCCGGTCCCGGAGGGGCTCGGGCTGAGCGTCGATGGGCCAGCCACCGGCGCTGAGGACGAGGATTGAGGCTGGGGGTTTCCTGTGTTCCGTTTTTGATTCGAGTTCGGTGCGCTGCTGCTTGACGGGACTTTGTACGCCTGCGCCTGCACGAGCCCTCCTGACCCTCCTGCAGCACCAGCACCACTTCTGGATGGACCAGCTCCTTGAGCTCCTTGACCACCCGGATTAGGTGCGTTCTGCGTCTGGTTTGGGTTTGGATTGGCGTTTGTGTGGTTCGGATAGCTCACCCCAACTCCGACGCCAGCTTCGCTCGGCCACGATATGGAAGGTGGCGATAAGGAGGAAGGGGTTGAGTGTGGATGAGAAGTCGAGTGTGGATGCGAGGGGTGCTCGTTACGGTTGTGTGACACGAAGCGGGTCTGCTGGAAGGGTGGGGGGCCGCCTCCTGAGAGGGAGTTGACACCAGTAGTGGTAGTGGCGGGTTTGGATTGGGCGTGCCGGGGGAGCGGAGCGTGCTGCCTTTGCTGCTGTTGCTGTTGCTGGTGTGATGGGTGTTGGGAATGGTGCTGGGGCGGACCCTGCTGGGCTCGCGGTGCCTGGGACTGGGGCAGGGCGGGCTGTTGAGCATAATGTTGTTGCTGCTGGTACACCGGATCGGGTGTGTTCGAGTACGAATGCAACGTAGACTCGGGCGTCGAGTGATGGTGGTACCCGCTCCCGCCTCCGCCCTGGTCGGGACTCGACGCCACAGAGTTCGCGAGCAGCTCGTTGTAGTAGTACATGTCGCCCGGCGCGCCGAACGTCGTGGGGTCCCCACCCACAGGATTGAGTACCCCGCCCACGCCCACACCGACGCCTACCCCGGAGGGCCCGCCTGTGACGGTCGCGCTGCTCGACGACCCCGCGTACCCCCCGATCGAGTTGGGAGAAGGTGCGTACTGGCCGGGTATGTACCCGTACGGGTTGTTCTGCTGTTGTTGCGGCTCCTGTTGGAGGCCATCGCGCCGATACGATGAGGTGAAATCGAGGGGCGGCTGGGTGCCGAAGGTGTCGAGCCACTGCTGATACTGTGCGCCGTCCCTCTGCTGCTGCAGGTCGTCTGGGTTGTAGAACGTGCTCGTGGGGCCGATCATGCTCGATGACGACGACGATGCCGCTGCCTGGTGCTGCTGGTTAGCCTTGCTAGGGTCGTCGTAGAACCACGGATTGCTCTCCTGCTGCTGCTGCTGCTGGGTCCTCCCTAGCAGAAGTGAGCGATAGAAGAGGCACCGAAACGCGGCAGGCGACGTACCATGTGGTTGGCGAGAGGTGGCGCTTCCTTGGGGATTGTGGGGATTCATGGAGGAAAGTGCGCCGGAGACGTGTCTGGCTGGATGCATGATGAGGGGAGGAGGAGCCAGGCACGGTCGTGTCCGGAGGGAGCGATGGGCCGATGGAGGGGGGATGGATGGCTGCTCGCGCGAAGGCAGCTCTGGCCTTCTTGTACTTTTACGGCCTGATGCAAATCCATCCACCTCGGCGCGTCCTCATCGTACCCAGCATCTCTGCAATAAAACATATCGCCCCGATAGTCTATTGCAAGATCGGGCTACTAGTGCCTAATGCCCCCGACGGAAAACACATCTTCAAATCTGTTTCATCTCTCGCACGCGTAATTTATCGCGCGCAATAAATCGACCCCTGCAAATCCTTATTTCCTCATCACTCAGAGGCAATGTATAATCGCATTGCTGCGTTTCCTGGATGTAATTGAACACTTTTCTTGGTCAGTGCAGCGGTCGAAACATGCCTAGTCTCCGTTCCGTCCTCATAACATATTGTCATAGACACGCGCTTCCAAGCTCAACGTCAGCGCCCATTAAAATGCATCGCTAACACCTATCCTTAAGCCAAACTCTCCACAATGCATCTCTATGTATAGCCTCTCCAGTCGTTCTCCTCGGTTCTTTCTGCAAGAGCCTCCAGGGCCAATCGCAATTCGAAGCCCAAGCCCAAGCCCACGCAGGCACCCGTAGCCCGTGGCCTACATAACCCCTCACCCAACCTGAGTGCTTACACCCAATTCAACTCGACGTCGGGGATTACCCATCGGCACCAACACCTCCGTGCCCCCGACATGGTTTTCGGAATTCCCCTTGTCCAGGACCCGCGAGCCTGCCAGGGCAACAGCGCGCAGGCAATTTATTTCCCAAAAAGTCTAACTAATAAGCTTCGAATTCTAGAGGGAAAGCGTCCGTGCCGTGGGCTCAAGGTGCCTCGCTCGATCACTGATCAACGTCCTCGACGACAGAGTATCGAGGTCTGACGGGAGTCCTAAGGCAACCTTGCAGTGTATTAAGGAACGGGCCAGAGAAAGTGAGATAGCGAAAGCTTAGCCTAACTGCGAGGTGCTATGTCCGATTTATTGCTTACTTCCTTCCAGCTTCGTTTGAATGCTTTACCTTGGACCGAAGGAAGTTGACATAAGAACCCCTTGGCCCTTGGGACCTTCTGCCAACTTCTGATTATGTCCAGATCTTTCAAGTTTCCGTCCCAACTGCCAATGTTTTCTTGACGAAGCCGCTCTCGCCGTTGTTTCCCCGACTATATGATACTCTTCATCGAGTTCTCGACATCGAGTTGAGTCGTCTATCAAGATCCAGAGTGTCCCCAGATTCGTCTACAAAACTGCTAATCCATAAATTTCATTTGAACTATCTACGGCCCACAAACATTTACTGGTTTTATCCCCCTGCTGGTGCAAAAAAACTCTCTTTTCTCGGACGTACACCGAGGACCCGAGCCTCCGGAAATCCCCAAATAACCCACCCTCGCCTTGCCGCTCGCGTGCGACCCCAGGTGCACCCCGGAGTCGTCCCGTCAAGTCAAAAAGTCAGTCAAAAGCCACTCCACAATTCTTCAAAAGTCTACAAAGATAGTTTGAACGCCGCATTCCCGAGGCTCCGGGAAACCGAGATGTGAAGTATTGTGATATACCCTGGCCCAACACCAGCGTTATTAATTCAAACGCGCACCGAGCAGTGCGATGAGCGATTCGAGTTCGACAGCAAGCTTGAGGAAAGACTTGGCGCCTGCGCGCTGCGCGTCGCGCGTTAGGCGTGCCCGGGCCTCTGTGGCGCATCACATGGGAAGAGAAGTGCGCAGCTGCTTGGGGAGCTCGGGCGCGCTGGGAATGCTTTCTAATGTGTTTCTAACGGGAAAGACTTGGAGTTTATAGTAGGGTTAGGGTGAAGTTGTAAAAAAAACATAGAGTAGAGCAGAAGAAATGCAAATGTATTTGGAGATCTAATAGCTGACTAGGAAGGTCCAGGTTCAGCATTCTGGAGCATTGAGCACCTTCCACTACATTAAGTGCATCTTGAATCCTTCTTCCATCTTAAATTTCCCTAGAACCCTTTCCCTTTTAGCCCCTTTGACCACTAAACTTCTTCCAAGCTCTAACATTACTTACAGTATACCTACCGTTCTCCTTCCATCTGGAGATTCCTGAACGGCCCATCCATTGACATATTCTAAGTTAAGAACCCATGCGCCACGCTGCATTCCCGAGCCTCCGGAAAACCCAGTCTAATGCCGAAGCCAAACGTGACTGTATAGTATATACCCTGGACCAACACACGTTTTTGAGTACGATCTGAGTACTAGACAAATTAGATTCGAGTTGGCGCCTGCCCACGCACTGCCGTGGCGCACCGCACGTTTTACGCTCCCGAAACGCGCTTAGTGGCGGGCGTAGACGTCGTTCTCCTCCGTGAATATCAAGGCGTTCAAAGGTAAGTGGGAAGACAGATTATTGTGCCCTGCCCTGCGTGGTTGCGGTGTTCGGGCGAACTGGGAACGCCTTCTAATTTTTTTCTAGCAGGAGCGTGTTTGGCTTTACAGTAGGTTCAGGGTACACAAAGTACTTACACTAAAAAGAAGCTAAAAGTTCGTTAAACCCGTTCTTTCCTTTCACATTATCTAACAAGTGGCGATTAACAGTACAGAAAGCAAAGAATTCTGACGAAAGTTTGCGCCAACAACACCTTCGACCACATAAAGTTCATCTTGATTTTCTTTCTAGATGACCAACCCCTCCATCTCTCCGATCACCAAACGCTAATTCCATCTGTAAGGTAATACTCTCCTTCCCTTCCCTACCACCTTCCTCCTACAGATTCCGCCCATCGATTCTAAGTTAAGAACCCACGCGCCCGCTCATTCCCGCAAAGCTCCTTTCGGCCCATCAACGATCCCACTGGCTTCGGCTTCTCGCCACGAGACCATCCAGGAGTGGGGACGGGATTGCTCTTTCTATGGGGAAGTAGTGGTTGATAAAGTGATCTACGTTGGGTACGGCGGCCAAAGCACCGGAGAGATACGGTTGGATGTCGTCCTGCGCCTGGCCAGGGGGAATGTGAAGGGTGAAGGGTGCGGGCAAGCACGCACGCACGCACGTACCCGCGAAGCACCAGAGGAAGGTGAAAGGCTGCTGATTTCTCAATTACGGCCAGGTGCACACTCACCTAGGCAGGGCTAACGTTACCAGCCGCATGATTAAGTCAAAACGCTTGTATTTCTGGCACTTACGAGTCCATGTCAACGTCCACGCCCCCGTCTATGACTCAATTTCGATTCCGTTCTGATATTTCCCTAGTCTGGCTCAGGCTAGAGCAAGCCAAAGTGAGCCCAAAGCTCACCAGACCCAGCACGAACGGACGGCGACGTACGTACGTAACCGCACCACAGTGAAGGCGTGAAGGCAGAACGTCTAAACTAACCTCGGAGTGCCGTCTGAGCTATAAAAAAGTAGGTGCATGTCGCCAGAGCGTCCCTCCGCGGAGTTCCGGTTGCTTACCTTGCCAATAAGCGTCGCTGACTTATTCAGCTGGGGGCGTTTCAGGAAGGTGAATGGGGACTTATGCTTATGTTTATGTGAGATAGGAATAATCGAGGTGGGGTCTGGAGTATATTTTGGGTTATAGAGTAGCCGTGGTATGGGATCCGCGGGTGGGTTACCGGGCTGGCACAAATTTTGAATCGGATGTCAAGCGTGCTATTTTATTAATACACGTAGAGGTAGACAGATTGTGGCGCCCTCTAGTACGCTGTCCAGTACACGTATCTACCGCATTCACGGGTGCTAAGTGCAACTCTAGAGGTAGCTCGGCCCGAAAGGCGAGAATGTGGCGCACCATCAAAATCCTAAATGCCCACGTTCCCTATCTAGGCCGAAAGGTCACAAAGCTTTGCCATCTGGGTGGGATGATGAAAAAGTGCTGACATACTCTAGTCGCTGAAGGGAGCCGAAAAAAGGGTTTGCATAGGAAGGATGCTAACGTGCCTTCGAAGCTAAAGAGAACCGAAGTGTGTTGGAGTTTATTGAAGTGCTGTCGGTAGTATGGACGTCAGGACCTCAGTTCAGGAGAGCTTCAACTCGGAGATGCGTCACGCTCTCGAGTCGACAGTTTACCGTTGAGGGGAACGGACACAGACGGATACTTGGCTATACTTGACCGAGAGAATTCCATGACTGGCTTCCTCTCCCCGGCGCTGTCTCGCTTCGTCTTCTTGACGATTCCAATCACTCCTCACCCGCGAAGAACCACGTGTGCTCACATACCTTCCCTACGGGCCAAAGCCAAATAGTCAAATAGTGAGTTTCAGGTCTCACCCAATCCGCGTAGTCCTCGGGCGAGCGCCAGTCGACCCTGAGAGGGATTGTCGGTCGACGACGAAGATCATTTCGTTTCTCGGCGCTCGCGTATCTTGATTCTTGATGGAATTATAAAGTAAGGATGAGTAATTATAGAGGTATGCCGACGACGACGTCGCCGTCTTCTCCTTCCCTAGCTGGCGAATCAGTGATCTGGAGAATTGAGGCGGGTAATCGGGCCAAGGTTCAGTGTTAATTCCCAACGCGAGGAGTCAGGGAGAGTCAGACGCGAGGCGAGAGTGTGGGTTCTAGACTCGGTTGGGATGTATGATGTATCCTTTGTAGATCACTGCGTGCCAGAGGGAACGTTGAAACAACCCGATCGCGAACGCCACAATTGCGCAAACAGTCCCAGGCCTTGCTATTATTGTAAAGTTCAAGTCCAAACGGAATCTACTACTCTCCTCTACAACAACGACTTACCAATATTTCACATTGGCTTATTCACGTCTTCTCCAATTCCGATGCCATCGGCGAAAACTTGAACGCGGTGACTGCGGTTAATTCAATTAGGCGCCTGCGCAAGCCCAAGAGCACTGAAACCTCTCCAGCCTCTCGGCCCCGCATTCAAACCCCAAATTTTATAACCGCTCTCTGGGGCCATCCGAGGCGTTTCACCTCGCGATCTTTGCCCGCTCGGGCTCGGTTCAGCGTTTGATCCGCCATCAGAGTGGTAATCTTATCTTATCGCTTCCGCGACCTGACCTTGCACTATCGCGGTCCATCGCTGGTCCATCGCCTTATGAAGCCTTATGATCCCCACAAATCGTTAGTGGTTGATTCTATAGAGGAGGCCCTCTTTACATTACCTTGAACGAGACTTGTACTATTGATCACCAGTGGACAGAAGAGAACGAGGTTCGCGTCGCGTCAGTTGACTTGGTCGTGACGTCACCGCTCGCGACAGAGGGCATGTGACGTGACAAGCTGTTTGAACGAGTCACCGCGACGCGTTTGGCTTGGCGAGGTTCTTCAACCACCATGATCGCGCGATCGGCTCCTCTCTCAACTGCCCTGCACAGCGATTTTTACACAATTGCAAGATATTCCGGCTGGCAAATTTCTACTGATAGCTTGAATACGTCAGGTAATGCTCAGAGTCTAGAGAGCCGTCATCGTTTCTAACCAATCTCACACATACCATCAGTTTTTCAGTTGATGGAATCCCAACCGACTGCAAAATGTCAAGAGATCAGACGGAGACCCAGCTTGAAGACGACGGCACAACTATTCGACTTCATCATAGACGAGGTATGATTGCATAAATGTGGACAATGTACGTACCAGATTGTTTTCAACTTTTCACCCTTTCCTTTCCAATGCGACGAGTCGCCGACGACCCACATCGCTTTCCAGACGGCCAACTACTGGGGTTGTCTGAAGGTGAGTGATGTTGATTAACTCTTGATGGCTTTCCCAAGTGATCGATATCTTGATCGAGAACAGAATCTAGAAAATGGCTCCACATTCAATAACGAAAAACAGTACACCTAAAGGTTGAGATCCAAGGTCGTGACAAAAAAAAGGAGTACAAGAAACGAATGGAATGATAGAAGTACAGGTATGTGCGTGATGGTATAATCCAGAAGAAACAAAAAGTGGAATATATGCGCTAATAAAATACTCGTATAACCTAGCTGAACGGGCAACAGTGAGGGATCGGGAGGACGCGTCCTCGACCGTTAGAACCTCCATTGTACGCGTTTCGGTTGCGATGAGGCCTTCTCCTTGCCTGTGTTGTGGGATGGGAGGGAGATCGCCCTGGTGCGCACACCAGTCGGCGTGTCGTCGTCTTCCTTCTTCTTCGCGAAGAAGATAGGATTAAACGAGAAGCCAACATACGAAGCTGGTTCGTACGTTCCAGGCGAGGATATGGCAGAGTGAGGCGAGTTGGCAATGGATAGGGAGGAGGAAGAGGATTGGCGGAGGACGATCTTCAGCGGCGTGAGCTGCGCACGGCGATGCCGCTTGCTGGGCGTGCTCTCCTCGAAGGAGAGCTTCCTGCTGGGCGATGGAACGCCGGCGGAACCCACGAACGTCGAGGTCGAGGTGTTGGACATGATGGACATCTGCTCCGACTCTCCTTCCGAGAGAGTTTCCGTGTCTTCGTCGAGTTCCGGCACGCTGCTTCCAGCAACCGGGTCGAATCGCCATTCGCTGAGTGCCAGCCTCGTCATGAGTTCGTCTTCCAAGCCGTTCGACAGCTCCTGCTCCCAGAGATATGCGTCCTGCGCGAGTTTCAACCGCTCGACCTCCCGCGAAAGCCGACGGCAATCCTTCCTCCAGTCACCTGCCATCTCCGCCATCTCCTTCTCATGCTCTTCCCTCAGGTTAGCCATCTTGAGGCGGCACTCGTCCAACTCCGCGATGAGCTCTTTCACAAACTCCTCCGTCATGCGCTCCCTCCGCACATCCACGACCATCTGCTTCGCGGCGCGGATAACGGCTGCAACACGCGACCTCTTCAGCTTCTCCGTCTCGCTCACAAGCTGCCCGAGCTCGCGCTGCAACCTCCAAATGGTGTTCGACAGCAAAAGGCGATCGCAGAAGGCGGTGAAGGCGTTTGAGCAGGTCGACGAGCGCACGGTGTCAAGGGAGCGCTGCAGGGCTCTGATCTGCCGTTCCTGCTTCCAGATCTTGTTCTGTGTCAAAAGGCGTTCACAGAAGGACTGGAAGGGCTTGCCCACGAGTTCGGGCTTCTTCGGGATAGGTGCGGGGGTAGGTGCGGGGGAGGTTGTCAAGGGGCATGCTGGGGAGAGTGGGAGGGCAGGTGAAGGGTGTGATAGCGTTGCGTGGAACACAGCGAGGCGTTTGCGATGATGTGCGAAGTTCCGCTGCCTTTGGAGAAGCCGGTGTGCGTCCTTGGACCGTACGCCATCCACCAACAGCCGCTTATCGAGTTCCCGAAAATTTGCGAGGACCTGGTGCGCACGCTCACTCAGCCGCTTGAAATCCTCCTTTCGCCTTTGCATCTTCATGCTGGGCGATTCGACTATCTCCACGGGGGGTTCGATCTGGCGATTGGGCGACGATAGACGGACGACGACATCAATGGCGAGTAAGATAAGGCAGGGCGGGAGAAGATAGAGAAGGCGAGAGGAAGATGGGCTCGCCACGAGATCTGATAGCTGCTCCGTGAAGGGATTGGCGTACGGTGTATGGTTCATGGTGGAGGAAGAGGGCAGAATAATTTGTGGTCGTGAAGGAGGACCCGGCGATGTCGAGATGGGAGTGGTTACAATAACCTCGGTAAGGGTGGGTTATTGTTTTTCGTGAGGAGGCCCTGCTGAAATACAAGGCGTCAGCCTTGCTGCGACAGACACATGGAAACCTCGCGTCTTGCAAACTTAAGGATAATCACGACTAAGAGACGATTCTATCACTTCAGGGTGCGTTTCACCTTCTGCATTGGGGAATCAATTTTTGCACGCCGAAGCCTTGAGGCTGGCAGTGTGGGAAGATTTCTCCCTTCATCTTGATCTAATCAGCATAACCATCTTATCTCTCATGCTGCTCCGCGTTGCAACTGTGTGGAATTAGGATGTTTTATGAAGGCCACGCGTTAAGCGCCCAGATAAACAACCGCCATCAGTGAAGCTTCAACTTCTCCACCAGATGCCCCGCCAACCAGTCAGTGTCAATACACTCCTTATTGCGGAACGGCTTCGAGATTTTTTTATCCTTAGCGCGATCCCCTCCGTCAAGGTTCCTTACAGTCAATCGCAAGCGATGAAGCACCCATCTCTGTCTCTGATGCGAGCTCTCCGTCGCCAGTGTCCGAGAGCTCCCGGGAGAGGAATACGCTGAGTCCAACCTCCCGGCGTTCACCTGCGATTATCATGTATTTATTTCGGATTTGGCTACTCTAGAGAGATGTCGTTCAACGAACAATTTTTGTTTAGGCTCATGGGTTTGTCCGGAACCGGAAAGTCGAATGTTGGTGGCCTTTTTGCCGACTCTTCAATTACCAATGACTATTTCCTCATAGTTCATCAACAAGGCCATCAGTGCTACCAGCGGCTTCAATGAGGACAGAGTAGGTCATGGGTTGACCTCCCACACCCAATCAACGGAAGTGGTGAGGTTCTTCGATAAGCACCTCCAGCAGTCCATCATCCTCGTTGATACACCAGGCTTTGATCACACCGATCGTGACGATCTGGACATTCTTCGAGCGATTGCACAATGGTTAAGAAAGACGTACGTGCGATCTTTTTTAAAACCATTTTTCATACCTTGGAGGTTCAAATTGCGCATCAGATGTGGGAGTGGGACCCAAATTTCCGGAGTACTATATTTCCACCGCATTTCGTCAGACCACACAGCTGGTCCCGTTCGTGCCCTGTCCAAAGCACTTCAACATATCTGCGGGGATGATGCCCTCAATAGTGTCGGACTCGTAACGACAATGTGGGACGAGATCCCCGAGGACGAAGGGATAAAGCGCGAGGGACAGCTCGTCAATGAGGTCTGGAAAGACATGATTAATCGAGGTGCCCGTACCCACCGCTTCCACAATACCTACGCGTCTGCCCAGGAGATTCTTACTCACCAATTACAACCACAAGTACAGCCTAACCGTCCGTTACTCTTGGTGCGCGAGCTTGTAGACCAAGGCTTGCGCCTGCGGAAGACCTCTGCTGCCAGGATCATTCTGGTCCTCGGAAATAATCCCAAGGCCAAGAATGGCAAGAGTTTTCGACTGAAGGTCAACCAAGCTGACATCGAATATATCTTACGGAAGATCAAGGTCATTTTCTTGGTCTTCAACTCCGGACGGGATGACGGCCCGGGATCGACCTCTCCCGTCTTCCCGACGAGAGACCTGACACCTATAAATCTCACCTTTTCCGATCTCCCGCCTCCTATTCGCCCTCGGTCTTCTATCGAGCATCGTACTCAACACGAACCACGAGTAATGGAAGAAAATAGACTCCGACAAGTTCCGAACGCCTCAACTACACCGTACCATTATCGCATCATCGTCGTATATGCAACTGATGGGTTTGACCGACGAGTTGACCTGCAGACGCAAAATTCCAACGACGCAGACACTTTAAACCTCATCCAAAGCGTTGTGTCCCATCTGGCCAGCCTTGGGGGTCTTTCCATCAGTTTAGACCAACTCCGCGAACATATTCTTTCCTTGCACGGGACGTACTCAAATCTCGATTGGCGTGTCACCACCCTAGAGGAAAACGCCAGCACTGTCCCTGAGCAGCCTTCTGAATCAGGTACCGTTGCGCCTTCTCGAACATTATGTGCTTCGATACTCAATGAGAGATGCCAAGACGCCGATGGTGAATCCGACCAGCCCATTGCCCTCTCTCGGGAAAGTTCTCTCAGATCCCTTGAAACCGGTAAGTAGGATACAAGTATGGTCTTGTCTTTGTAGAATTAAAACCTGACAATATTTTCTACCCAACAAGAGGGGTCTTCTAGCTCGAACAATAGTAGCACGAGTAGCATTTTAATCGAGCTTATGCCAGTCGAGCCTGAAACCTCTGCGTCCCTCGGCCCACTTGTATCTTCGGATGGCATTCCGACTCACGACGACCTTGAACTTGCCTCGATCACAAACTGGCAGAACAGAATTAGCGACGAGCTGCTGGCGATGAGGCGAACACAAGAAACCCTGCGAGCTGAGTCTCTTGTCAGGGCTGGCAGAGACGAACACTTACGATGGAAGGTGGATGTGTTGGCTACAGCTGTTGCAGAACACCACACAATTATCCATAGGCCTGTTCAAGGTACTTTCCGTTCCATTCGTCACCTTAATCGTGACTGACGGCTATTAGAATCAATGGTATTCCACGTTCATGGGGGAAACTTCAATCAAGTCCTCAGCCAACAAGCCACCATTCAGAATACGCATATTGGTGAGAAACATTACTATTGGTTTTGTGTTTATCACCGTCCACGAAGCGATGAAGTTGACTAACAGCAGATGCAGATACTAGCGCAGCCGAGCAAGACTCTGATTCAGGACATGAAGGAACATAAATTTTCTGGTCCTTGGATTATTATGTAGAATTTTCCGGTCTCCTTCCGTCCGCGACGAAGAGTTTTTTTGATCTTATTGCTGACGTTGTCTGATCTGATCTGGACATCGTCTCTCCTAATTACAAGACCACATATTAGGGAGCCCCGCCGTGTCCGCACAGCTGTTCTACGCCTCGATTATGTCGTTCAAAGTGCCCGTTCAGCATTCTTCCCGTTGTCATCATGGCCGCGGGCTTTTGACGCCCATATTTGCCATGTGATCTCCCAGCCCGTCCGCATTTACGCCTCGATCGGTCAACTCATGTTCTCCAGCATGCAAACGCGTGTCCCAACATATTTATACAGAACTACGCCTGTCCTTCTAGTTTTCACACAAGTTCAGCGTTATACAAGACGACATCCGATATTTCACCCCCACTTTCATGGACATCTCTGCCTCCGATATTGTGATCATGTACGTCCGTCAACTATACATGCTCTGACATCCTTCCCCAATTAATCACTGAGGTGTGATAGGGTAATGGGCCCGAGCGGGACAGGGAAAACAAATGTTCGTCGACACCAATCAACATCCGACCTTGGTCCCATTGCTGATCTCCAAGTAGTTCCTTAGCAAGGCGGCCGATATCAATCTGCGGCGCGGAGACAGGCTGCATTCCGACAGTCATTCATTTCAGCTGGTTGATTTCCATGTCGACGAGCTTAATCGTCGTGTCATCCTCGTCGACACCCCAAGCTTAGACTCGTCTTACGGAGCACTGAAAGCCATCGCTGACTGGCTAGACAACGTGTATGTGTCGAGTCATTCTCGCTTAAGTATGCCCGGCGCTTATCACACGGTGCGGCCGCAGGTACGGGAATGATGCCAAGTTGGTTGGGATACTCTATCTTCAGAGTATCGCTGCTGTTCGCATGGAAGGGGGTCTTTCCGTGATGCTCAAGACCTCATTTCGAGATATCTGCGGGTCGGACTCCCTCGAGAACGTCGGCCTCGTAACGACCATGTGGGATCAAACCCCGGACCACGAAGCAAATAAGCGCCAGGAGGAGTTACGGCTGTTCTGGTCACAGTCAATCCACGAGTCCTCTCTCGTTTATCGTTTCAACAATACGAATGAATCCGCGTGGAAAATCATCTCCCAACAGTTGCGCAGCATTGTCGCCAGGCAGAAGGTGTCTCCAACTCCATCTATTTCAGCCAGCCAACCATTTCTCCGACGCCTGGCATCTCCCTTCAAGAGGAAGAAGGAAATAGGTGGACGACTTTTGGGAACGGCGGAACTGCCTGCTGACTTCCGGGCACGAGCTGACCTTTTCCGTCGAAGATCTGGCTATTCTACGGTCTCGATCCTGCTTCAACCCCGCAGTTTGTGCGACCAATCCTGCGACGATTCCAGCATTTCTATTCAGATAAAGAGCACCTTCGACGATGGTCAGACATTCGATGAAACCCAGACCTCAATGACCTCGCTTAGGGAAAGCCTTCCGTTCCCTGATTCACCACAAACGGGATCAGCGAAGAAAACTGCCGAGGCACGACGTAGCCGGTTCTACTCGCACGCCCCCCGCAATATCACTGAACTTTCCTTGGGTGGAAGGGACGATGGCTCATATTTCCCTTCTGAACGCCGGTCTGCAGAAGCAGCCGAGCCCAAGTACGTTCGCATCGCCGGCAATGTCATCAACATATACGTCTCTCCTGGATCCCTTGAGGGGGATGCCCGTACGTCGTCTTCTCTTAGCTCTAGTCCAGGGTCCTGACATGATCTCAGCGCCTGTAGCAGGGTATGCCAACAGGCCAGGAAATCGCGCCAGCCTGAGGATGTCTCGTTCGTTTTCGTTGTAACTTCAGGTGTTCGACCTATGCACTCTTCGTTGGCTTTAGTGGCTTGTATCCGATTTTCATGATGTCGTATTTCTGTAGCAATTGGCATAGGCGCTGTACGTAGCGTTTAGGAAACATGGATATCAAGACTATAGGATCTTTCTGGCTGCAATTATGCGGTTAAGTGTACGAGGTCTAGCAAACAAGTCCGGGAAGACACGCAAATCAAAATGCAATCCACTCAACAAGGCAAACACACGTACCTCAGGGATGGGAAGTCCCTTCGCTGCATGCCCGACCTCCCAGTCATGCAGCGCTCGGAGCCTCGATAGAAGTTTACGACGAGAAGAGCGATTTTGGAGGACGGGTATCGCACGGTGAATCGTCTCCTCCTGGCACTGTTCTGCTGGTAATTCGAACGCACGAACTTCCTGTTCCATCCAAGTCGGCCAGAGGCTGCTGGTATGGCATCGACGGAGACGAGGCAATTCGGACATGGGGCGCCGGCGGGGCAGGGCGCCAGATGTCCGTCGGAATGCACTTCACGTTCGCCTGGGATTTGGGATGGGAAAGGTCCATGAAGAGAGCGGGTTGACGGATAACCAACTTGTTGGTAACTTGGCTTCGCCATTTGCGAGGAACGTTCTCTTTGTCCGAGGAGGATTTCGAAGCTTGAGATTGGCGCTCCGAGTTCAAGCGCCTCAGTAAAGGCAGGAACGACAGCCTGTGGACCTTGTCTGCGCCGGATTGTATACCTGAGAGGATATTCGCCTGATGCAAACCTTCGATTCAGTAAGATATGGACCATAAACAATAAATGGCCGACCATGGTATTCTCCTGCCCGTTTGCTTTGTCGCCGGCTCTTGTCTCATTGGCACCAAGTCTCTGAGCGCCGACGACCTCCCCCTTGACCCGATCGTGCCTCTGCGCCACGCCGTGAGGCTTGGAGATTTTCACTTCCACAGCCGGTGCCGGTCTCCACAAGTCTTCACTTGGTGTCATTCGGTGGGTCCATCGTTGGCTCTGAGGAATGAAATTGTTCCTGTTCTTAGCGACAAGCCAGGATGTATGGAGGCCAGTCTGCCCAGGACGAGTTAAGTATGGCCCAGATGTGGAGTGTATGGGCATGCGGAAATACATGGAACACCGGGGGATCCTCGATGGGGCCCACCGTCTTCAAAGCACTGAGTATAGGCGATTTTCTCTCCGAATCCGTCGGCCTTCCCTCCATCCCAGCTCCTGGAACGGCGTCTCCTTCAATGGGGAACGGAGACTCTGAATTGAGCTCCACGAAATTTCGTGCGTTAACGGTCGCCGTTCGTGCTGTATATCCTACAGGCACGGGCACGTTGACATCGCAATCCTGCGCGCTGAGTGAGAGACCGCAGATGCCAAGCCGGAGAACTAACGACGAACCGAAGTGTTTGAGCTGTCGTATTCAGGGACATCTGCCTTCGTTGAAGGTCCGGTTGGCGCAAATGGGGTCAGCTCATCTTTCTCATCCTTCGTGATGGCGCGCTGGCAGAACAAGAGATATTTTTTCATCAGTTCCTCAAGTGTAGATCCCAAATGGAATCAATCGACTTACGTCGGTTACACGAGCACACATGGCGTTGATACGCTTGGGGCAACGGTGGGGCAACGTCAGCGCTTCAGCGCTCGAGGGTGATGTATTTCTGCGTCGTTAGTGTCGGGCTGAGTGCGGCTAGCGGACGCGAGTTACGAATGGACCTGGTCTCCATCCCAATTCAAAGAGCCGGTGTACCCGTTGCAGCTATGAAGTGAGGCGCCATTAGGACAAAGGTTGATGTTGTTCTGGAATCGTTGGATGAAGAACGTGGTTGGGGACAAGTTGTGGATGAGTTTGTGATGTCCTTCTACATATGGGAATCCTAAGGAAATCCGGCCCGGCCGTAGGTGAACGAGAGGAACAGCGAAGTAATGAAATTACGGTTGTACATGCTAGTGTACAGATGTTGGAGCTCCAGTCAGCCAAAGAATAAATGAATAGCCATACAGTAACGATGAACAAAGCGAACGTAGGTGGAACGAAAGTGAGGAAATTCTTGAGAGCCGTGCCAGCCGGAACGAGGCGACCAGGGCCCCACAGAGGACGCCGCCATAAGCGGCGTCTAAAGAAATGCAGTGTTGGCGTTGACTATTGTCGTCTAGAAGCCGTAGTACACGTCTGGTCCAGGGACCTTGTACGAAGTGGGCTTTGTGTCAAAGATGTTGATCATAATGGAAGGATCTTTGCGAGGTGTGGCATATCAGCTGCATGAATTCACCAGAAACCAGATGAGGGCACACCGTTCTGAGCAATATATCCTGGAATTTCGACCTTCGCAGGTGTACCGGAACCACCATCTGTGATCTTGATTTGCGCGCAAGAAACGTAGTATTCGGGAAGGCCAGGCTGTTGGAGGCCTACCTGCTCCATTCGAACGAGGTATTCGCCCGAAGGAACTTGTGGGGGAATTGTTACGGTGAACTCGCTCTTGTCCAGCGAGGAGAAAGAGAAAGGGTCAAATGTAGCTCCCCAGTCAGCAATCTAAAGAGTCAAAAACACGAAGTCGGTCAATGAAACAAATGGAGCCGATGAGGAAATGTAACGTACCTTGAACCAATTCTGACCGGAACCATCCCAGTCAGCGGCTGAGCCGGGTGCCTGTCCCAGGTACATCGCCGCAGGTCCGAGATGGAAGATCTTCTTGCTCCTCCGACGCCGAAGCCGATCTTGCTTCCCGCCGCCACCGACACTGTCTCTGTAGCCGGAGACGTGTTGACGTTGCACCGAACATCTGTGCCCTTGTAGTCGGGTATGGGTGAGTTCTCCTTAGGAGTGCGGACGGCGGTGGTTGACGTGCTCGAACCAGCGATAAGAGTCGTGAAGATGTCTGTATCCCTGATTAGAAATAAGGGTGGACGCGAGGACGAGCAGGAACGCACAGTGTGCCGACGCGCTCTGCGCAATCGCGGCCAGACCTAGGACAGTGGTGGAGAACTTCATGTTAAGATAGAAAGGAAGGAGTGAAGGAAAGGAAGGAGTGAAGGAAAGGAAGGTGAAAAGAAGGTGATGATTCCAGACGAAGTCAAGCTGATTATTTTTCCGTCCTGACATTGGACCTTTTATGTAAATGCTCGACATACGAGCGATCGAGGGTCTGATTTCGCTTTACCCCAATTTTTTTTTGATTTGGTTCCGCGGCAAACTTAAAGTGGTGTGGATGACTCACAACCGCTAACTTGAAACGGATGCTCTGCGCCTCCTAATTATCAAATCTACCGCTTCCTGGCTGTAAATAAAACACTTGGATTTATTGGAATTTCATATCTCAATTTCGGGAAATGATCTTGCCTATACAGACATACACGCTTGTTGGTTAATTTTATTCACCAATCCCTGTAGGCTGTCCATGCTCTTCAAATGGGTAAATGTCTCAAGCTGGTTCTGGACCATAAATCACGGGTGTTTGAAAGAAATTTGTGGCACCCCGATCGATAGGACCCAGCAACGGTGGGTGTCGGGACCTTCTCGTGCTCGTGTGAGCATCAATTGGGGCAAATTTGATTGCCGCCCAAGTTTACTCACGCCACACTGCGGAACTGCCGGCCCGACACGGAAACGCCTCCAAGCACTGGAGATGCGAAGTTGCCTGTTTACGAATTCATCTCTACTAAGCCACTTAAATACGTGAGCATTTTCCTACTATTTAAACGATTGAACTGAATTTTGATACTTAACTCGATTCCTTGCTCCGGGAAGCCCCAGATTCCATCAACAGGTATCTGGTAAGCTCTGGGTCCAACTAATTGTTTGACATTGAACCAAGAAACACAGCTTTAGAAACCTGGTCGCTAGTTCGAGGCCGGCTTGAGAAGAAATGCACGTAAGTATAGTGCCGTCAGTAACTGCGTGATTGACAGGACATTTGCATATAATTTCGTCATTTACACCAAACAAACCCACCTGCTACTTCCAGAACACTCGTTGGAAGAGCTCACAGTGACCGATGTATCCACCTGAAACGAAAGAGGGTGACATACACTACATTCTCTGCACACTGGTGTGGTGTAATTGACACCTGCTTGGGGAATACACACCCAGGAGCATGATCGAGACCTTGGGACGCGCAGCAATGAAGGGTGAAGGAAACAAGGGAGAGCTCCGACGTCCGCCCGCTACGGTTCATCATTAAGAAGTGTCCGTAAGTAATCCCGAAAAAGGTGCCCACCTGCCCGCCTTTCGTGCCATCCATTGCCCCAGAAATATTACACCATTCATCATCCTTGATATTGTAATGAACATGCGATGTGGTGGCACTGAGGCCTGTCCACCGATTCGATCCATATCAGGCGTCTATTTTTATCTGCTGTTGATGAAGGCAGAACGAGGATATGAAACTGAATTTCCTTGGGTCTAATTAAGGTGGGCGGCAGGGGCACTAGACAATGATCCTATGGTGTCCAAAAAGACATGGGTCAAAAAAGCTTCACCCATTCGAAGTCCAGTCAGAACATATGGACGGGGAAACAACTTCGTACGGCCTATTTTTACCGTCCTGCGCCATATCTTTAGCTCTCCCGAGGTCGGCGGATGGGGTATTACAACCGTTGGCAGATATTACGGTAAGAGCAGTCATTTTTGGAGCTTGTGTAGGGGTAGCAATCGCGTCCATCATCCGCGGGCGGTGCGCGCTTGAGTTTAAAAGCGAGGCGGCCAACCGTCGAGCTTGTATTACCCGTCCAAAGCATCATGTCGGCCCCCCCAGCTAATCCCCCTCTTAACCTTACCAATATCCAAGGCGATATCCTGTGAGTCGATTCCTTTCTCAACGATGACGACCAAGAGAAACTCAGCCCCGTCCATAGGAGCGGTCTTCCCAAGAAGACCCAGTTCTACATCTTCTTCGACATCAAGGATGTCGCCAAATTTAGAGCCGACCTCGTCAAGTTCGTCCCCATAGTGAAGACCGTCGCCCAAGTCCTCAAGGACCGTGACGACATCGCTGACCACAAGAGGAGGGGCCTTCCTGGCCTCATCCCTATGGTCGGCGTGAACATCGCCTTTTCGCACACAGGGTTCCAGAAGGTTTTCACACCGTCAGAATAATATAAGAGGCCGCTGACGAACGTCCCATCTGTAGCTTGGGATAGATGACAGCACCCTGACCCCATTGGGCGACAACGATCCCTTCAAGATCGGCCAGAAGCGCGACGCTGTAACCAACCTGGGCGACAAGACTCGCAGCGACGGCCAGCCCGATTGGGACGAGAAATTCCTCAAGGACCTGCATGGCATCATCCTCATCTCTGGCGAAAGCCACGCCTCCATCGAGAAGAAGAAACTGGAGGTCGAGGCGATCTTCCATGTTCATACCCCCAAGGCATCTATCCAGGAGATCGCCACCATCCGTGGCGACGTCAGGCCTGGAGATCAGTCCGCCCATGAACAGTACGTTCGCTGAACTAAGACCGCCATCTGACAGATGGGCTAACGAAATGATGTGTAGTTTTGGTTTCTTGGATGGCATTTCCAACCCACAGGTCCTCGGCTTCGACAAAGTCTTTAACCCCGGGCCTAAGCCTGTCGACCCAGGTGTCGTCCTCACAGGCGAGACTGGCGATCCGGCCGCCCGCGCTGACTGGGCTGTCGATGGGAGCTTTTTGGCCTTCCGTTATCTCTTCCAGGAGGTCCCAGAGTTCGATCAGTTCTTGAAGAAGAACCCTCTTGCGAAAGATGGAGATGGCAAGGACCTTACTCCGCAGGAAGGAAGCGATCTGTTGGGCGCTAGGACGGTCGGACGATGGAAGAGTGGTACGTCGTTTCGACGAAAATAAGACGCGCTCATCTGACGAACGACGCTAGGCGCACCGATTGATGTGACGCCTTTCAAAGACGATCCGGCGTTGGCGGCTGATCCCAGGAGGTGTGTAAGACTGTAGGGAGGATTCATGCCTCGAGACCGATTAGTGCTGCACAGGAACAACGACTTCGCCTTCCAAGGAGAGATCAACTCCCAATTGCGCTGCCCCTTCGGAGCACACGTTCGTAAGACAAACCCAAGGAACGACCTCGAGGTACCGCCAGCTCCTATCAACCCGATTCCCATCGAAAAGAGGCGCATCATGCGCCGAGGCGTTCAATTCGGGCCTGAAGTGACCAGAGAGGAGAAGATCTCGGGCAAGACGCAGCACGGTCGCGGCCTTCTCTTCGCTTGTTACCAGAGCCACATCGAGAACGGATTCCAGTTCATCCAGCAAAGTAAGTCTGGTTTGGGTTGCAGGTGGTCGCTTGCGCTGACAACGATTGTATAGGTTGGGCGAACAGCAAGACGTTCCCGCCTTTCGAGACCCAGCCTGAGGATCCAGGGTATGCTTCCTTTCTTCACGACTAAGGAGTCAGAATTGATGTTTCTGCATCCCGTAGACTTGATCCACTCATCGGCCAGGGAGTTCGAGAGATGTCGGGCCTTGATCCTCTCAATGAACAGAAAGTCCTCTCCTTGCCAGACTTCATCATTCCGCGGGGCGGAGAGTACTTCTTCTCCCCGTCCATCAAAGGACTGAAGAACACGATCGCCAAGGCATGAATACGAGCCTCCGAGGATCATTTACGAGCAGCACTAGTTCATAATTCGGTTGATGTATATACAATTCTGTAAATGCTTTTGTTAGTGGACTTGTCTGTACAATATGCCAGTCGCGCACCTTGCTTCAATGATTAAACATGACCGTCTACCAGTACTCGTTAGCACAGTCGATAATGTAAGAAGATGTGATAGGTCGCAATATCCCAAAAATTTGAGCCAGTACTAGGCATTTTCTTAACCGATCTCATGTTCTGCCAGGAGCTGGGACTAGGTCAGTCAAAGCCGGACACTTAGAGGAAGGGAAACACACCATGTTAGGTATCCCGTTCGAGATCGGGTAGACATGATTGCAATTCGGACATGTCATAGAACCTTCCTCGACGTGGATCTGAGCAAATTTTAACCACAAGCCTTTTCGATCGGAGAACACGACCCACCTCGAGAAGGACGTGATGGAGGTTTTTCAGGAAGTCATCGTCGAGCATTTCCGGTTGTTCGAGAGGTAATGACGTGTCTCCTAGCTATATCACAACGATTATCAGGGTCTCATATTCAGTCTTGCAATCCAGACGTACTTCTCGAGCCGTATCGACCAGAGCTTTCCACTCGATTTTCGGCATGAAACCCTTCAGGAAATCAGGGTTGAAATCGGCTTCTCGGAACTCTAGCTTCACATCCTTGAACTGAAGTGGGAAATTGTTGGCATTGCAGTCTTTTGCATGGCATGCGAGCAGGTTATGAGTGATTAGGCGGACCATGATGGTTGGAGGAAGGAGAGAGCAGTCGGCGATGCCAAACAAACAAAGCCTTTCTTCCTCAACATCCATCATTGCGACCACCACTTCCGCACGATGAGACCACCATCGCCTTCAATACCGGAGAAGGAGTTCCTTTTTAGCGCGTTAAAAGAGTCGTTGAGGCTCGATGGACGCCTTCCTCTCGAAATCCGTACGCCAACTTTCAAGTTCGGCGAAGAACTCGGATGGGTCGAATGTTCACTTGGAAAAACGCGGTATGATCCTTACTTTCCTGCAAAAACTCACTTTTTACTGATGTTAGATACAGAGTCCTCGCTCAGGTGGATGGGAAGATGGTGAAACCCCAGCCCGAAAGACCTTTTGAAGGCACAATAACCATCATCTCCGAAATCTCGCCCATGGCATCCACTGACTACGAAATCGGACGGTAGGTACGTGATCTATCTCAAGATTGCCCATGAAACCCTTTGAACAACGTGACAGGCCTTCAGATGAGGAAGTCACGATTACGCGGATGTTGGACAAGGTCCTGAGGAGGAGCGATGCTGTGGATAAGGAGTCGTTGTGTATCTTGGCGGGACAACGGGTGCGTACCTTCCTTCCCCCCTGTGCTTCAGGCATTGAACTTATGGCTTTAGGTGTGGCATATACGCCTCACCCTCCATTTCCTAGCGGACGCAGGAAACCTCCTTGATTGTGCTTGCCTAGCGGGTATCGTTGCCCTGAAGCACTTCCGGAGACCGGACGTCGAGGTGATCGGAGACGAAGTAACAGTGGTCTGTCGCATTTCCATGTTTCTTTCACGACGAACGTTGAATGAACTTCATAGCATGAACCCACTGAACGCGCTCCAGTCCCTCTGGCAATCCACCACACACCATTCTGCTTCACTTTCGCCTTCTTCCCTGATGCATCTACACCACCAGTCATCGATCCCTCCCAGTTGGAACAACGACTAAGTGCAGGCTTGGTTTCAATCGCGCTCAATGCTCAAAAAGAAATCTGTGTCCTGCAAAAGCTGGGCGGAGTGCCGCTTGGTACAGATGACATCCTACGCCTGGTGGATGTTGCCGTCGGGAAAGCGAAAGAGATGCACAATCTCGTGGAGACGCAGTTGCGGGAAGATTGGGCGGGGCGGAAGGTGGAGGTTAGATAGATACTTCTGACAACATGTTTGCTTCGTCATTCCTTTACTGCCCTTCCCTTGCAGGTACAATACAGACCTTCTCTGACGCCTAAGTTAATGTATATCCTGATCATTGGGACCGCGAACGGAGGACCTGACGGCCCAAATTTTCCGCCTAACATTCACGGTACACGACTCACCATTAACGGCCCTCAACCGTTACTAGTTTACTCGTTTCTTTCTGTGGCAGCCAGATTCCAGAGGAATGTCATGTTCCGGGGCATCTTTCCCTAAAAGTAGAATGACGCAAATCGTTCAACGTTCAACCCTCGAAGGAAGGGACTCGGATCGCCAACGACATCCTACACAATCTGCTAAACCAAAGCCAGTTCGGGATCTCTCGCCATTCTGAATCACTAAGAAGTCACATCCATTCAGAAAGAGTATTTCAATTCTTCCCGCTGGTGTGTCAGAACTCCAGACTGACGTTTCTGCCCAAAGTTGGCTGAGTCTGAGCAACGATCCTGAGTTCCGACATGAATCCCGAGAAATAATCATGAAAAGACCATTCAGATGGACATAGCCCTCGATGAAGATCCCCAGAAGAAAAACAAATGGCCTCGCATCTTGTCTTGCTCAGATTTTCATAGGCAGGACCCTTCCGTGCAGTGAATTGCTAGGCATGCCGCCGTACCAAGTCCACACGCCCACTAACTTCGTACCGTTGCTGAACGCTAGTAGCAGTTAGCCCCAAAAAGAAGAATAATCCTTCGACGACGGCGACTTGTTTAAGGAATACTAATTGAAACGGGTTATAAGACTCGACGACAAGAGCGAAGACACGATATACGACGCACTTGTTCGAAATTTGTCGACGAGATGGAAAAAGGACCCATTTGTCGAGCGAGTGGGTGGAGAGATCTGGGGAGGAAAGTCGTAGAAGCAGCAGACGTCTTTATATGATGGGGACTAGCTTGGGCAATCACTATAAAAAGCTAGACGTTCGGGTCTTTTCTGATTACTTGGTCGATACTATAGACTCCGGAATTACAAAGGAGGAAATAAAAGTGCAAAGAATCTCGATTTCGGCAAGACTGGTGGCTGGCATCCGGCGGCTGGACGCTTGTGACTCAGCGGCAGCCTTCGGCACACCCGCGGCTGGGACGCCCTCTTTCCTCCACACCTTTCAACCATGGCCGCCAGCAGACTGAGCAGACTCTGCAAGCGTTCTCTCTCCGTATTCAACCCATCCAGCCAACTGTGGTTACCAATAGTATCTTCGAGATGCGCACCGAGCCAAGGGAAAGCGCAGCCTGCTCTCCAATCCAGCCTATCTCTCATAACACAAAACCTCGACGCCTTCTCCTCACGTCCCATCGCAAGGGCCGAACAACTCCTTGGTGGAATCCTCAAGGAATCCGAAGGTCCTCCTGACATTATCTTTCTCCAAGAAGTCAGGTCCGATGTCCGCACCTCTATTCTGAGCAATCCGGAAGTCCGCGAAGCATTCCTGGTCACGGACGCCGAGGACCTAACGTCGTTTAAGGGCGTACCCTTTGCGAACATGACATTGCTGTCGAGCAAGCGCTTTACCTTCAACTTGGAGTCGCAGAAGGACGGCAATGGGGTCGAGCGAGGAGAGAAATTCATGCTGGGTCCCGTTTCGCGCATCGAACTCCCCAGCAAGTATGGGAGGTGTGCTCTTTCCGTGGACATTATCCCCGCTTCCACCCTGTCTACCCCAACCCTTGCCTATTGTCTCATCAACGTCTCTATTCTCTTGGAGATACGCTCCTTTCCCGCACCGAGCAGATGGAGATCCTTGCCAACCTCCTGCGTGAGCCTGGATGCGGTGGTGGACTGATCGCCGGAGACTTCAATGCCATTAGCCCCAAGGATCATACTCTCCTCGATAAGAACGGACTGGTGGATGCGTGGGTCGCGTTATACGGAAAGCAAGGGCTTAAGGGAGCTACGTGGGGAGTAGGGGGGGAACGACATGACGGTGGAAGGTTGGACAAGGTTGCGATGTTGGGCGTAGAGGCGAAGGATATGGAGATTCTGCGTCCTGGTCTGATCGAGGTGCCCAAGCCCAGCAAGAATTCCGACTTGATCCCTTGCAGTGACCATTGCGGGCTGAGACTCAGCTTTACCATTTGAGGACCGTCGGTCGTCGGTCTGCCACTGAACGTGCAGTGTACATGACACTGTGTCTTAGTTGGGTCTGCGCAATCGCAATGGTGCTGAGCGCTCGAGCGCTGGCAGTCCCCTCACCTTTCCAGCTTCACCGGCACTCCCTTTATTATTGTCTTATAATAGAGTCGAAGAAGCATCAACGTGCCGCAAATGAAATGGTGTTTGACTGCGGAGGTTGTAGGTCTCGGGGCTCGAACAAAAGAGCCGGGTCTTTGCAGTTTCGCCCTTGCGAAGGGGCTCGTCAGAGGGCTCGACCGCTGCCCTAACTGCTTTGGTTCTGTAAGCTATTTTTGACTCTTTGTGCTACCCATTTTGACTCGCACTACGGGGATTCCACCGAGGTAAGGGCGTTCCACCCAGGTACCGTGCGGTTTGACCCTGGAATAGCTGGGTTTGCGTGATTGGGGTTATGCCTGACGCCAGATTAGGCACTGTGGCGCACTGATGCGCTGACGTCACAAGGGCATCACTCGCGGTTGAGCAACTGCCGACGTACTGCCATTTTCAGGACTTTTCACATCCCGAGTCTGTACGGGGAACTCTAAGACTCAGTCGGCAGTCTCCGAAGATAATGCCGAAACCAGTGCAAAGATATGGTAACAATCTATGGGAAAAGTAAGTCCAACACCTTGTACGAAAAAAAAAATAATGAAAGTTAAATTCGTCCGAGAGGGCCGAAGCTCTCAGTCGTCCTTGCCGTACAACCCCGCCTCACTCGGAGCCGGCTCTGCCTCGCTAACGGTCTGCCACCGGTGACTGAATAAACTTACACCGCGGGCAAAGGAGTCGGATAATATGGCCCCTACTAAAGAAATATCGTAAGAAAAGGACGATTGGAGGGAGGAGAGGGCAGCGAAGTCCTATGGGAAGGACGTATGCAAATGCTCAAAGAAGATTGGGTACCACCTGGTACATGCAAGTCAATCAAGTGTCCACTAGTGTCCACTGGTGCGCGGTACAATGAACAATGAGCGTGACAGACTGATAGATTACCAGCAACTCGTCTCCCGAGCTCTTGTTCGACTTGTCCTCGCAAACCGGGTGCCAGAACGCAACGTACGGCGTCATGTATTTCTCGATGGCGGTCTTCTGAACATCGGGCGGGTTCGTCGCGGTGAGAAGTTGGTGGACGACCGCTGGGTGGATCTCCTTGATTGGGCCCTCTTCTCCGTCACCAGGCTTCGGGTGAAAGAGCGATGTCGGCTTCGTGAGCGTGAGCCACGCGTGCACGCTGGAGGTACATAGAATCTAATCTAATCTCTCGGGAAAGGCCGTAATCTTGCTCTGACTCTTTCTTCGTCTGAGACCCAACCTCCAGTTCTTCTGCCACATTTTCCACGCTCTCCAGAACGGACAAACCGTATCTTTCGTCCCCAGTCTGCCGCTATGTCTTCGACGGTGCATAAGACATGGTTCGGGTCACAGCCTTCGGCCATGTGGGAAACATGAGGAAACTGCACAGCTGCTGCCATTCGAACCTTTAACCGCTACCATTCGAACAAGCAAAGTGGACATGACTACCGCAATACGGAATTCTCCCCCAAGAAGTGCCGGGCCAATTATTCTGTGCGTGCATGGTCATTATTTCGCTTTCTTGTATTCGACTGATTCCTTATTATTAGGACAATCGGCACAACAGGGGTAGGGAGGTCGAATGTTTGTGGATCAGCAGCGATGCCTCGAGCGTCTTTTGCGTTCTGATATGCCTTCTGTCTAGTTCATTTCACTGGCTGCTGGAGACAGACGAGACAGAGTTGGCTATGGACTATCTTCCTTCACCGACAGAGTGGAAGAGGTCGAGGTTATAGATCCTCAACTTGAATGGTCCTGTATCCTTGTCGATACACCAAGCTTCGACCATACCTACCAGAGCGATATAGAGATATTGGGGTCTATTTCCGAATGGTTGCTGTCCATGTGAGTGTCTCTGCGACATTCCATGTTCCTTGACAGTGTAATGTCCAATTGAGACATAAACAAGGGCAAGAGGTCTCCGGAGTGCTCTTCTTCCACCGCATTTCGGATCGAATGGATGACACGTTCTTCAGAATACTAACAGCCCTTGAAAAAATTTGCGGACCCGCGAACTTCAAGAAAATTGGGTTCGTAACGATGTGGGGTAAATATGGAAGATCCTATCACGAAAGCCAGTGCAAGGAGGCCTGGGGCGACATCCTCAACCGTGGCGCTCGTATATTTCGGTTTGAGAATACCAGTAACTCGGCGAGAAACATCATTTCCACCTGGTGTCAGTTGTTGCAACAACAGTCCCGATCGGGCCCTCCGCTACAACTGGTACGCGAGCTAACAGACTCCGGTGGGCTCCGCAGCCTGGGACAAACATCGGCCGCTAAGGCTTTGGGTGGAGGACTTTCGAAGTCTTCGACAGGCCTGCCACTCAAAGCTCTCCGAAAGGCGTTTTTCGGGCTCCAGGAATCGAGACAACGAGGCCCTGACAATGGTGCAACTCTCGTCATTGGCACTAGATAACGACCTCAAGATTCGCTACTGGATGCTGGCTACATTGCCAATGAAGACGATGGTGGAACGATCCACACTGTAAATGACTCCTTCGACGCTCATTCGGAAATATCTCGAATGACCAGCGGGGAGAGGCAGCCGCAGGTGTTAACGTTTGAAGCCACGGCACAGCATATGAACGATGAAGATATTATCAGCGTTGTCAACAGCTTTCGGTCTTCTCTGGAAGACTTGGAGAGCACCCGCCCGGAAGATATCCGCTCTGCTGTCCGTGCCCTGAGTGGCAGATGTTCTGATATCGAATGGCGAGTCGAAGACCTCTCAGAAACTTTTGTGAACCACGTTGATCCGCCGGCGCCTAGTAAGTCTCACGACGCGATGCAAACTCGGTGCTCGCATTGACTCATGAGAACTCCAGGAACTACTCATACGACTGAGAGAAACCTCACCCAAGCATTCACACCCCTCAGGACTGAGAGTTCCGATACTGGTACGCCCACCTCTGTTAAACGAAATCACACGCGCTGACGACCACTTATTTGTCATGGAAAGACTCTAACAGCGTACATTCAGGTCATGCCGCCAGTATCACAATATCATTAGGGCTTGAGGTCCCTACCTCGGACCGTTCGACAATCCGAAGCTCTCTCTACGACGACATATCTCTTCTCTCCTTGGAGAGTAATATCTTGCGGTCTCATGTACAAGATTCAGCAGTCGAGAGCAACGGAATGGAATCCCAGGATGACGAATCGTCCACGAATTCCGTCGCGGGCGAGAGGCCCCGGTCCCACAGCTACGAATACCTGCACATCGAGAATCTCCGTCTACAAGGCAGAATGGAGAATCTCAGATGGGAGGTGACTGTCTTGGCTGACCTAGTCGCAGAGCACATTACCCAACATGCCACACCGGTACCTCCGGTATACATGTCTGGAGGTAATTTGACTCAGGTCTTTACTCCACAGGCGAACATTCAGAATATGAACCCCAGTAAGCGGACTATTCTTTGCTCGTACGGTGTTATATTAACAAATGAATGTTTGGATCAGGTCCGGGTCGGTAATCGTTGTATGAATATGCCTTGCGAACTTCTCAAAAGTTTATCCGGACAGTTTCTTATGTACAACTGAAGGGATGAATAAATGTGTCCATCCGAAGTGGTTCATAGAAAGACAGTCCGGAAATGTCCTAGAGCGTGCACCTACTCAATCGTCCTTCCTATATATAACCCCTCCTCACTCAGAGTCGGCTCTGCCTCGTCAACGGTCGGTCGCCAGTAGCCGAATAAATCCGCACTGCGGGCGAAGGAGTTGGATAATATAATATGGCCCTCACTGAAGGGAAATGGAAATATCGTAAGACAGGATCGGAGGGACGAGAGGGAAGCGAAGTCCTATGGAAAGGACGTCAGCAAATGCTCGAAGAAGATCGGGGGAAGGAACGAGCGTCGGTATGGTGAGGACGAAGGCCTCTTGCTCTGCGATGTAGAAGAGATTGGCCCATTTTCGAAGAGACAGGCGGATAATGAGTCTCTCACGTTCGTAAATTCAGCTTGATATTTGTGGAGTGAGCGACGGGACAGGCCGCGGCGTACCGAGCGGGTGCCCACTCGAATGTGATGGGCGAATAGAATTAAACAACTTCATTAAACTGGCATTGGTCTACCTCAGCGTAGATTCAGAGGTTGCTCCTAGGAGCTAACGAATCCACCACAACGGTCTTACTCAAAATATATCCGGAATCTCGTCCTCCGCGTGTCTTACCCAGCTTGTAAGCACCTTGTACGGCCAATGGCAGTCATGTTCTGAGGTCATTGCGGGGCGTCGATCCTCGTCACACACCATAAATGGTGTTGCTATGCCCATTTGCAGACCAACGGAACATCGAACTTAACGCGGGTGTCTGACCCAACTGAGTAACTCAAGCCTGCTTAGGTTGTTCCGATGGTCGAAGACATATGGCTGTGGCATTCGAGCGCCAATACTCTACCACGCGGTAGCGCCCAGTGCGCGTCACGCATCGCAACTACCACAAATGGGGGATTGCGGCGGCCATATCTCTCACGCCCACCAAGGATAAACCCCGTTGTCTTATGATTGAACGCACACAAATTAGGAATTTCATTATCGAAAAATTCGCAGGTGTGAGTATCAAAAAGGAAGTCCGAAATTGTCCTAGAGCGTTGACTTAAGTACTCAGTCGTCCTTGTTATACAACCCCGCCTCGCTCGGGGTAGACTCTGCCTCGCTGACGGTTGCAGTTGGACGCCAGTACCCGAAGAAGTTGGCCGTTCGGGCGAAGAAGTTGGATGCGGTCGTCGCGCCCGCGAGGAAGTATTTGACGAATGGGACGATTGGGGGGACGAGGAGTGCGGTGAAGTCCTACGCGGCGAGAATTAGCCAGTGTAAATGGAGCAGCAAGATTGGGGAAATGGACGTACGTCTGTGTGGTAAAAGTCCTCTTGTTCGGCGATGTAGAACAACCCGTCGACTTTCCGCAGATTTAGGCGGATGAGCAGTCTGTCGGGTTCGGAAACCGGAAACCGGGAGCTTTAGCTCAGACTCGGTGCTGGTGGATTTGGATCTGTGGAGGACGTACCGGGCAGGTGCGGGTGTGATGGGTAGGAAGACTAACTTGAACCACTGGACGACTTCGACGTAGAGGAGACCTTTGTCTTTGTCGAATACTACGCGGGGGTGAGGCGTGCGCGTGAGCTGGCATATATAATGTATGAAGTGACTCACCGACGCTGTTGACCTGGCTGTCGATCTTGGGCGACAACACGCGATACCACCTATCACGCACAACTCAGTCCCACGTACCAACTGAACTCGAAGAACAAGACATACACATAGATACCCAACAGCTCATCCCGCGAGCTCGCGCTCGACTTGACCTCGCAGAGCGGGTGCCGAAAGGAGACGTCCGGCGTCATGTACTTCTCCACGGCGGCCTTCTGGACGTCGGGCGAGTCTGTCGCGGTGAGCTGGTACACGACGGTGTAGATGTCCCTGGCTGGGTCTTCCATCGTCTATCGAGGAGAGGGAGAAGGGGGGGAGGTGGGAGGGGGAGAAGGTAGGTGACGGAGAGCGGGGTGGAGGCAGATAATATAGTGCCAGCGAGCTTGGTAGCAAGGGAGAAGTCGACGTGAACGTGTATGTCGTCGTGAACGGCAGCGACTAATGCGATCATGACGTCATGACTCGCGCAGAAATCTAATCTTATCTCTGGGAATGATCGACGCCACAATAGCCTTGTCGCTACAGAACACCTTTCGGGGCCCATAAGCACTCCGACCTACAGCTAGTAAGCACTTCAGCATTGCCCTGCCGCCGTGTGGCTGATTATCCAATTTAGAGTCCCATGCCTCCCGTCCTGAAAAATAATTCCCGTGAGGCAGTGGGAGGCTCACGATTTACTAGTGCGCGCGGGTCCAGTGCGGGTGTGGGTTTATATATAAGTAGAAGGAACCAACGAGGGGAAGGAAAGGGTAGCCAAATATTCTGTCCATGCGGTATAGTACGTCGATTAACACGTTTCTAAGAATCCAATGGACAATAATTAACGATCTCAAAAAACCGTCAACCCTGTCTTCACCAATTCTTCCAAGCACTTTTATAGTCCTTCCAATTCTTCCCTTTCCATTCATGAATCTTGCTGAATATGTTGCATTCTGCCTGATGGTTTCCTTTCCAGTGTCGCTCCTTGCATTCCTGAATTCCCGTGTTCACGTATGTTAGCTTTGCGTTCACCCCCAGCGTCAACGACGTACATACCTTGCCGCAGTACTTGAGGACGGAGCAATGTGGGCAGCTCAACTGAGCTTTCTTCTGGCAACTGTGACAGGCTTTCAGCTGAGGTTTATTGACCTCATCCCCGATGCGAAGCAACGTTCTCAAGTTGCACGGAAAGGTCTGGTGAGGGGTTATGCATTTCGGTAGATGGGGAAACGATGGGTTTATTCACCTGCACGTGCTCTAGGTTTTCAACGCGAATGCCTTGATGCAGACCATCGCTGAACTTATGGTTCACGGCGTACATGAACGCCATCACCTTCCCTGGCTCACCATTTTCGGCCAGTCTTTTGGGGAGCCCGATGTGGGGAAGGTCCCCAAGTGGGTAAGTGATGTGGGCTTCGTTGTCTGGAGTGTGATGGAAAGCAACGAGGAATCTAAGCCCGTTCTTGTCCCTGACGGTGTACATGGGATGGGTGGATCGTATCTCTTCCACTATTTCGGTGAGGAGGCACCAGTGTTTTGTGGGACGATAGTATTGAGAGATTTTGTGCTCTGGGGCGTTGTCCATTGCGAGGCCCTTGAGGACGGGGAAATGCATCTAGGATGATTACAGAGAATTTGTAATATGGGGGAATGAAGCGGGACAGTCATCTTACCGTGTCTCTGAGATCGAAGCGCGAGTTGCTCATGGATCGCTGACTCGGAAGGCATAATGGCTTCGTAAGAAGATTCGGGCGAACGGATCTACGCAGAGAGCGGATAGTGATGGAGTTGACGAAGTAGAGCATCAGGTCTGAGTTGCACACGAGGTCAGCGCATGTCTAGGACTTTGGTCGAGTTATGAAATCCATGCTGTAGTCGAAAACGTGGTAACAAGCAGGGCCCGGAGGCGCCGCCAGACGTTTGTTGAGCCTGGATATCGTAGATATGCGGAAAAAGCGGAATATTTGGGAACTCAAAAATGGGAAGGTCGGACCGGTCGTCACGAAAAGAGGCACTTATTCTGGATACGATTCTATGGTGATGTACAGGAATTTTGGACCGGGTGTATTCTCGTCGCAGGAGACTACGCTTACATACATGAGGATATATTAGAAAGTTACCAAAGAGATTAAGACGCTGAGAGTGGTATATGGGTATAGGCAACGAGAACGAAAAGGATGGGTACATGTCGACCGTCATCGGCGAAGTGGAGTGCCCGAAAAGAGTAGAGGGGACACGACGAAGGAGCGTGCAGAAGTTGGATACGAGAGGCGGGCTCTCGTTGAAGACAAATTGCAGAGGGCAGGTGGCAGAGCCAAGATGATATTGAGGAAAAGCTTCTCGACGGCGGCCTTCTGGACGTTGGGCGAGTCTGTCGCGGTGAGCTGGTACACGACGGTGTAGATGTCCCTGGCTGGGTCTTCCATCGCCTTTCGAGGAGAGAGCGACGCGTGAAGGTTGCAAGTCAAGTGGGGACTCGGATCGTGCGTGGGCCGGGAGGTCATGACGTCAGTGCTTTGGGAGGGAGATCTAATCTTATCTCTCGGGGAACTCCGTGTTGTTGGTCGCCTTACACAACCTCCAACTCTTGTCATGCCTCCGCCCCCTCAAAAGTATTTCCACTTCATGAGGTATCCGACTAGGAACGCCTTGGGTCCAGAGTGTACGGTTGCCGCTTCGGAGGCTGACGGTGAGCTCACCGATCGCTCTCTCTCCGATGGCTGACATTTCCCAACCTCGCCAGACTCAGAGCACACACGACGCGTCTTGTCCTACTCAGTCAGCCACAATGCCCACTGCATATAAAATACCCCGGAAAACGCGCTCCATTCCCCAGTTTCACGAACTACCCAACTGCCCACTTACCAACGACGACCATTTCTATAACACCAAGATCAACACCAAGGCCAACACCCACCATGCCCCTCGCCATCCCCCTCTTCTTCGTCGGCCTCGCCAAGAAACCTCTTTCCGCCCCGCTCGTCCTCACCCGCTCCGCCATCGACACCATCGCCTCCCGCATCGTCGAGACCATCCAGCTCCTCGACGCTTCCTCCCCTTCCTCCCCCTCTTCCTCCGCCTGCCCCGCTCCCTCACCCATCGCCACCCTCATCAAGAACCACGGCCGGCTCGACACAGCCTGCACCCTCGCCGTCGTCGAGCTCCTCGCAAGCGCCTTATCCGTCAAGCGCCTGGGCGTCAGGGCGGCGTGTGTCCAGATGGAGGCGCTCCTCGCGGTGCGGGTGAAGACGCAGGTCAAGCGCGTGGCACTGGATGCGCTCGTGGGCAAGGCGGGGCGGGCGGTTACGTGGTTGCCACGGAGGGTGGACCGGATGATGCGAAAGGTGTTCGGGGATTATTACCTAGCGAACTGCGCCGCTCTTTTCGAAGTTCTGCTCTCCTGTGCTTTGGAGCGGGTGCAGCACTTCTTCATCACCAACTCTGGCCAGCCGACCCTCCTCGCGCTCACCTACCACCAGTCCACCCTCTCCATCGCCCAATTCCATACCTCCCTGTGCACCTCCCTGTGCACCTCCCTCGCCTCCCTCCCTTCTACCGCATACAGCGCCCTCTCCTCCTTCCTCGACTTCCTCGCGCTCCAATGCCAATGCGGCGAGATCACCTTCCTGGGCGAGCTCGCCGAGTGCATCCTGCAGGTATACGCGCTCGGGCTGGGTATTGCCAATATTTGTTTGGCGTTCGTGGGTGCGTTGACGTTTGTGGAGGGCGAGGACGAGGACGGCGAGGCGTCGCTTGGGCAGGTGAGGAGTGTAAGGCAGCTGGCGAGGGAGACGCCTGTTGGAGCTGCTGGTGGGATATTCGGTGGGGAGCAGAAGCAGCAGCAGCGGGCGGATGTCGGTGAGGGGCCTTCGGGTACGAGGAGGGGGGAAGTGAAGCAGGATAGCGGCAAGGTCGAGGAGCCAACGACACCTAATACCATCACTGACAAGAAGGGCAAAGGCAAAGAACAAGCCATCGAAATGCCCGTGAAACCCAAGGTCACTTACTTTCCTCCCATGCCTCTGTGTAACTTGCAGCTCACAATGTCTTTCGCAGGCCGAAGGTTCCTCCAAGCTTCACGCCCAGAACCCACCACCTCTCGTCGCCAAGGTTCGTTCTTCGCCTCCTCTTTTTCTCGAAAATGTACTCAATCAACGAACCTGTAGGCTAAACCATATGTCACCTCAACCAGCTCCTCCTCCGCTACCACCGCAGCCAGCACTAGCTCCACGTCTGCCACCGGTTCTTCTTCCTCCTCCAAAACCAGTGCTCAAGAGAATCAAGGGGCCAAACACGATACCTCTTACTCCCTAAACGCATCGAGCCACACAGTCGAAACACGCCCTCAGACCAACGAACCCAACAGCGAAAAGGAAAAGAAGCCCGAAAGCGAAACCAAACCCAAGCAAGTGAGCGAGATCGTCCGCGAGATCGTCGCCAACATGTCAAAAAAGGAGAAGGAGAGCCAAAATCCGGTGACCGCCAGTGTTATTAATAATAATAACAACGGAAAGGTACGTTTCCGATATCCCGAAAGCTGATGAGAGGAGAGGAGGGCTGACGAAAGGGTTTGCTAAAAAATAGACGGACATCGTTATAGTCGGTGGAGACAAGCCTGCCGTTGGGAGACGACCTGCGCTCCAGGTGCGTTGGGTTTACTTACCTCGCTTTTCGTCTGGAAAGCCTCTGACGGGATTGGGATTGGGCGCTCGGGGTGTTGTAGGAGACGACGAACATGAAACGGAGTGCTACGGCTACGACTACGACTACGAGCGCTACTGCGACTATAACCTCCCGCCCAGCTCACCACCCACCAGCCGGGCTGTCATATCAAAAACAGAGAAACGACGAAAATGCTCTTCCTTCGGAGGTACGTCCCTCGTTATGTCAACATGCAGGTGGCTTTGACGTAAACTCACTCTCACTGGTGTTGTGCACTTGGATAGGAGGCTGGGAACAGAGCGAAAGGGGAAGCAAGAGCGAAAGCAAAGGCGAAAGCAAAAGGAAATGCGAATGCGAATGCGAATGCCCAGGGCCAGCAAGTTGGTTATGACTTTGGGGTTGTGGACCGAAGAACGAGTGCAACTACGTCTACAGCTACGACTGCAATTGCTGTTGCGTCGACGTCGACGACGTCGCCTGCAGCGGACGCTCCTCCTCCTCCTCCTACTCCACCCGCTCCGCTGAAGTTTAGGGACGGGATGAGCCGGAGGGAGCGGAGGTTGATGTTTCAGGTGTGTGGGATGGAAGAGGTTAACTAACTTTGCGTGGTAGCTGACGATGGTGCTGGTGCTTGGGGTGGTGGTTGTAGGAGCTCGTCAAGATGCGCCTGCTCAACTCTGGTGCGGACCTGGAAGTGAAAGTGAAAGTGAGTCGTGCAGGTTCTGGTTTGGTTTGTGGGAGGGAGTTGACTGATGGGGTTTGGGCTACAGGATGAGGGTGAGGATGAGGATGGGAATGGGAATGGGAAAGCAACCGATGACGCTGTGGATGATTTTCCTGGCGTTGACGGACAGAAAAATGGAGATGGAGAGGGAGGTGGAGGTGGGTCGGAAGTGACGGTGATGGAGGTACGTTACGTCGCCCATCTCTCCTTTTCTTCGTTGGAATATGCTGAGGCGCCGTCCGGCCTGTAGCAGATGGAGGTCCAGAACGAACGACCGCAGAACGCAAGCGTCGTTAGCTACCCGAGCACCGAGAGCATCTGCGTCAGGGTCAGGGTCGACGTGGGGAGCGGGAGCGGGAGCTCGACGAACTTGCTTGAACGAGCTAAAACTGTGCATGCGAATTCGAATTCGGACGGGCCGTGCACACCACAGCCGACCAGCCAGCTGTCTGCCCACACTCGGACTATAGCTATGGACGACGAACAAACTACGCTCGACCGACCGACCTTTGACCAGCCTACACATGTACCCTCTCCCTCCCAATCCTCCATCACGAACGAACACGAACACGAACACCCGACGCCCACACCTCTCTCTAACTCTACTCCCACAAAGGCAAATACCGAGACGCCCATGTCTACTCCCACAAATGCAAATGCAAATGCAAACACCGAGACGCCCATGTCTACTCCCACAATCACAAGTACCGAGACGCCCATGGAATCTACTCCCACAAATCCAGATACCGAGACGCCCACGTCTACTACCACAAGTGCAAACGCAAACACCGAGACGCCCACAGGCACGACCAACCCAGATACAGATGCTCACGAGCAGCCAACGACCAGCGGCTCCGTCGTCTCCTTCTACTCCAAGTTCTCCGCTCCCCGACCAGAGCGGGAGGTGACGCGCTACGCCCCGGCTGGGATGTTCGGGAGCGTCGCGTTACCTGCGCTGTCTTCTTTGACTCCTTTGCAAGGAACAGCGGAGGAGCAGGATCCTTTCATCCAATCCTCAACCAACCCCAACCCCGAAACCAACCAAGAAACCAACCAAGAAGTCAAGCCCATGCCTATACGCATCCCCTGGTTCCCGCAAGCAGCTCCGAACCGCTCCATCCCGACGTTCTGGGACCCGCCTGCACCGTACGTCCCGATTAAGATTACTCCGCCGATGCGGAAGCGCAGGGGTAAGGGTGGTGCTGGTGCGAGGCGCGCGGGTGAGGCGGGTGAGGCGGCGGAAGGGGTGGGGGAAGGGGTGGGTGGGGCGGTGAATGGGGTGACGGAAGGGTCGGCGGAAGGGGCGGCGGACAGTGGGAGTGGGAATTGAGTGCTCTGTGGGGGCTTTGGAAGAAAATCGGTTCGGCATACTACGGAGCCTCCGTTTCGGAGAGCTCGACACGCTCCTTTGACTCTTTTTTTCTTTTTTCTTTTTTATCTTGCAGATTGTCTGGACGGCGACGTTCGGATTTCTGCCCCACGCTCCTTTCCCTCTGTTCCTTTTTTCTCTTTTCCTTTCTTGCACAGAACGACCGCGACCATCGACAGCCTGCTACGCGCGGACTATCGACAGACTCTATCGACAAACTATCGACAAACTATGCCGACGCACTACCTCTGTAACAACAACTTATCCTCCTACAGACTATCTTCCAACTCTCGACACACTACTGATCTGCTCCGCCAATATTCCGTGCTTTTTGGCTGGACAAACTACGCCTGTTCTCAAATAACGCATATTCCTATTCCAACAACCTATCCCGCCACCGCCAACGAACTATCCTCTCGACAGAATATGGCTACTTGCTCAGATCCACACAACCTAGCACTTGTCCTTCTTTCCTCTTGTCTCCTCGGCCGATCGTCTACGAACCCGCCTGATCAGCGAGCGTCGTAAAGGCGTCAGTCGGAGGAACATTTACACCCGCTACTAGTGCGCGATTATCGATACGCTCGTTCCATCGCTACACAAGCACCCCACGCTCCTTTATTTCTTTTGCAAGTGCTCCGTCGGCTTTCCTTGGGCGACACCACATCACACTCCTTCACCGCTGCTCCCTTGTTCGACTCCAAGCGCCTCACCGGGCTATTCGTATCATTCAATTCGGAGCAAACGTGTCTATTTTTAGCACGCCGGGTTATTCGTTCGATTTCTCTCTTTCACGGTCGACGCACCACGCCTAGCCTATCGGCAGGCTATCCTCCTAAGCAGCTCAGGCGAACTGTCATCCTTCTAAACTTCAACGGCACCCTTCACCATCTCCCGGCTCGTCCAATGGGCACCCAGCGCAACATCTCGAGTTTCTATTCCATTACGGGACAGTGCTTTATCTGCTACTCAAGCACACACGCTCTTTTGACTCTTTTCCCTCTCATACGTGCCGCATATTTGTGGCGACGGACTACACTCCTTCACCTCTGTTTCTTCCCTCTCGCCGTCTCTCGACTAAGCGATGGTGTAGTGCGGCCGTGTCTATTTCCATCGCGGCTGCCCTCTGTTCGGCTCTCTCCTCGACGAACTTCTCTGACGCTGGACACATGGCTATTACTATCGCCGTCGTGAGCCTTTCCTTCTTTTCTCCCACTACCCCTGCCGTCTTCGGCGGTCTGGCGTCTATTAAGGTATGTGGCTCCTGGAAGTGTTCAATTTCGCGTCGAGCTAACTATCAAGTCTTTACTTTGACTTGACAGCTCTTCAAAATCACCATCGTCCTCGTATCTCGACGTTTCGGCCCTTCCTTCACCGTCGGCACCCCATTCTTTGATGTCTCTGGCGATATTGGCGAAGCGCGCCGCCCTTATCGGCATCAATAGCAGTCTTACGCAAAATCCGGACTCCTTCCTTTATCTGGTCTTGTTCTTGCTATCGCCTTTGCTCTGCGGCCTGCTTTCTGTTGCTTTCTGCCTGGCTCTAGGCCCACGATACCCGTCTCTCCGATCCAACTTCTACACATTCCTTCGCCATATACCCTTCTCTTTTCTGCACCGGGAACTCCGCCAACGATCGTCGAAATATACCACTCATTCTCGTTCTCATCGCCCATCGTCTACTGCCCGCGTCAACGTTTGCTTCGACATATACCCATATACCCCCCTCTTAGCGTCTTGATATCTTTGGTGGCTTCTTATCCTCATGTAGGCGCAGTCTCTCCTGTGACGACTCTCCCAAGCCAAAAAAAATCATGTACAACATTGTAACCGCAATGAATGCTTCTTCCCGGACTTGACATTGTGAGCCACCAAATATTCTGAATATGGACGATACCTTGAACATGGAAGACTTACTCTTACATCCCAAGCGAGGCTGTTTCCCCTGCCTGCTACCACGTTTCGACCGCAGCAGGAGTCTCATAAGTCCTCCTCGACGAGAAGTCACTAACACACGTTAACCTCGTGTGCAACTCAGACTCGATGCACCACTTCGTCAACTCCATCGCAACCCGTACTCTAGGCAGAGCCATTCGCCCGAAAATCCTTACGAAACCACTATGCTTTCGGCGATCCATGAGAAATTCCCACTTCGACCTCAGAGACACGGTAATATTACTGTCTCGCTTTGTGTATTTTCCCGACATTCTGAAGGCTCTGCCTCTATCCTAATTATAGACGCATTTCCCCGTCCTCCTAGGGGACAAAGTCCTAGAGCATAAACCCCCTCGATTTCGTCGTCCAACCCGGCGTTCTCCCTTCCTTACTGAGATACTGGAAGAGATATCATCAACCCGTCCAATGTACATCGTGAAGGACAAGAATGGGCGTAGATTCCATGTCGCTTTCCATCACACCTCGAACGACGGAGTCCTCATTAGCTATTGCTTTCCTACAAGCCTCCCCAAAAGACTGGCAAAAAATGCACGTCCTGGGAATGTGATGGCCTTCATAGATCCCGACAAATATACATTCAGCGATCGAGGGATTCATGTGGAAAATCTAGAGGGCGTGCAGGTGAATAATCCCATCGTTTCCCCATTTACCGTCGCAGAAATATATGTATAATTCTTCACTAGACCCTCCCGTGCAATTTGCGGACGCTCCTTCGCATTCGCAATGAGGCCAAAAGGAGTCAAAGTACTTGTCATGTTTGCCAGAAGAAAGCTCGACTGAGCTGCCCGCACTGCTCCGTCCCGAGGTACTGTGGAAAGGCACGTTGTTCAACTAGCTGGGATAAACCCCAAGTTAACTTAACGTGCGTGGATACTGGAATTTAGAAATGTCAAGAACACCATTGGAAAGTAAAACATCAAACAGAATGCCAAACATTCAGCAAAATTCGTGGATGGGAGCGGAAGAATTGGTGAGAGGACGGGGATGACGATGTTTTGAGTTTGTTAAACGTTTATTCTCCGTTAAAACGTATTCGCATTCTTTATCTACGTACTATACCACATGAACAGTTTGCCTTGCTCCCCAGGTTGGTTCCTTCTACTAATATATAATAAACCCACGCCCACAGAGCTGCGAACCATGATACTTACTCCCACTTGCGTGCTTCGACCATGGTCGAGACCTAGGCTGAATTACCACGTTTCCCGGCAGAACTCATGCAGGTGAGCTTGCTTGACCCACGAGGCGGAAAGATGTCGCGCCGCATGACTTCCCTTACCTCACGGGCGCTTATTGCCCTTTAAGTATATCCGTTCGCTCAGGACGATGCCCTTCACGCACAACCTCCCCGCACCCAACACGATGGCCAATCCAGCGTTCAGTCTCAGAGACAATGTAAGCTCACGTCCTAAATACTTCGAATCCGTTTCTTATCGGGCCTTCGATTGACAATCGAACATAGGAGCATTTCCCTAGTCTCCGAGGGATAACAGTGGACAACATCTTCGACGGCAACACACTCGACTATTACAGCGAGCAAGGACAGACAGGGATCCTGAGACCCGCCAAGCACTGGTGCCTCCTCACCGAGATCGTCGAGGAGCGGCAGTGGATTCGCCCTATGTACACGGTCGAGGACAAAGCCGGCGACCAGTTCCTTGTCGCCTTTCATCACGACTACGATGGGACTCCTGGGTTTCGTGTTAGCGAGACGTTTGGGATGCCAGCGAGCCGCAGGCTTCCTGAGAGCTTGGCGAAGAATGCGAAACCGGGGAGTGTTATGGCTTTTATGTACGCTCAGAACCATATGTTCGCCGACGGGCAGCAGGGGATTCGCGTTGAGGACCTCGACCAGGTCAAGGTGAGTGTCCGTTCCTTGCTGTAATCGACGTGGATCCTTGACTTAAGTAATGGCTTACAGACTTTCCCATGCAGCCTGAAGACCTTGCTTCGAATCGGCGATGAGGTCAACCTGACGCTCGAAAACTGCCAGATGTGCAACAAGAGCGCCTATCTAAGGTGCGCATCATGCTCCGTTGTGAAGTATTGCGGTAAGGTAAGAATGAAAACACCACCTCTAGTCTCGAACTCTTTCTGACTACGACATGACACAGGAATGCCAAGTGCGAAATTGGAAAGAAAACCATCGCGGAGAATGCAAATTGTATAAGAAAGTTCGAGAGTGGAAAGATAGGGACTGGAAAAAGTATACGTCTGCTTGGGAGACTTGGTAGATGGAATGAGGGGTGTGCCATTTTGCACTCAAAGGAATGACTAGGGGGCATTCAAAAAGCCGCGGGTCATCATACAATGTCTTTGCATAGCCATTAGCTTTGCTATGTGTCAGTCTGTATCCGCTATCTCAAAAGTCGCTTGCCAACGGATTCGTTATCAGCGGCCGACAGTAAGAAAGATGAGGTTTTGCGGCGCTCCACAGTTCACCCGACTCCGAAAGCGCAAGACTCGGAACCACGACGCCCATTTCAACCTCTCGAGGGGCGAGCTATCGGGAAGCATGGAGGGCCGTAGGTGAAGAACTCCAGTCCATATAGCTTATATACGCCAGAACACACCCACATTGTTGTATTTATGTCGGAAAAACGGCCAGCAAGCTTCTCAATAGTAAAATATCTCAAAACGTGGCCGTCCATACTGGGGAACTAAAAACACACCATTCACTAGATATAAATTCCTTGAGAATGTAGTTCTGGTTACCGTTACTGTGCTCTAGACGTCTGGATGCGCCACAGACACGAAAAGGATTGAGGGGAGACGAAAAGGCGCCAAAATCATCAAGAACTGGACAGAAAGGGGTGGGAAAGGATAGATCGCTTACATCAGCACATTCCCTTCAGAGTCCAGACGCTCTCCGCAAGATCGAACACTTCACCGTGACTACGACAAATCCATGAACTTCATTTCGCTTCCTGTTATCTGACCCTCATGAACTCGACCTCGCGCAAAAGGAAGCATCGTTCAAACAACCATGCCTATCACCATCCTGCTGGCTACCCACCTTCCTCACCTCACCAAGAAACCTTCCTCAGCCACCACGAAGCGTACACCAACACCGCCTCCCATCGACCTGCAGACCTTGATTCCCCAAGGCAGGATGTGGACCCGCTCCAGGTGCTGTACATCCAAGCACACGAAGCGGATGTCGTTCGGGGGCCTACGGCTAGGGTGGCTGCTGAGTCACTCGAGGTCATCGAGTACCGGCGAGATGGGACGCGGTGGATTGCTGTCCCGAAGAGGGGCTCTGCGCTGATTAGGGTCGGAGGAGAGGCGTCTACGGGATACGGAAGGTCTCTGTCGATTGAGGACGACGAAGATGTCGTGGCAGGCCCAGCGAGAGAAGATGAGTCGGCGGTGGAGGGGATGTGGGTCGACCGGTACGTTCGCATGCCTTGAATCCTGAACCCAAACGTGTTCCCCGCCAGTACCCCCCACCTCGTCTTCTTCTAAGTATGCCTTCGTCTCGGACCATCAGAATGTCTGATGATATCGATAAGATCTTGAGTTGGCCCAGCAAAAGTCAACCTCTTTTTCTTCTTTTTATTTTCTTGCTCAGGTCCTGATGCCCTACTTCACAGATACGATGCACGTCTCCTCTTAGACTCCCTGCCCACCTCAACTCCAGGGGCAAGCACTACCTCAACTTTGACTACGGCACCACCGGATTCGCCAACAGGATGGTCGGACCTTCCCTCTGACTCGGAGGACACGTTCTTTCTCGACCCAGACGAGGTGGAGGACTTCCAGCGCGAGAAGCGTCGTCGGGAGCTCGAGAAAATCAGGGGGGAGAGGCTGAAAGCCCGTATGGAGGAGGATGGTGCCGGCCCGTCTGTGCCAGCGGAGGATGTTTGGGGTGGGAGCGACGAGGAGGTCAGGCTCGTCAATATCTCTTTAACCATAACTCAATCACGATTATCACAGCCCGACGACACTGTCAAGCAGCTCATCGAGCGCACGGCGGTGCATATCTTGTCCTCGCCCAACTCTGCCCAGCTCGAGATGAAGATCCTTGCAAACCATGGCGCGGATAAGCGGTTTGCTTTCCTGCGTGGTAGATGGAGCCGAGCATGGAATTTGGCTAAAGCCAAGGCTAGGCTGCAGAAGGAGAAAGAGAAAGAGAAGAACGACCAGAAGCCGCCTGGGATGGGATTATTGGCTGGGTATGGAAGCGATTCGGATGAGAGTGGTGGTGAGGAAGATGGGGACAAAGAAGCTGAGGCGAAGCCAGCAGCAGAGGGAACAGCAACAACAGAAGTCGACGAGGAGGCAGCCAAAGAGGCAAGGCGGAAGAGGTTGAAGGAATGGACGGACAAACGACGGATGGCTGCTAGCTGACCACGACTATGAAGACACATGAATTTTCTGTCAGTACAGTTCCCTATGTAGATATCTAAAATACAACTTTTTGTGCCTAGCGTGCGGGTCCATTAATATTTCGAGTTCAATGCTCGTCAAGAGGTCTACCTACGAAGAGGTCCTTGATATTGCTATACAGCCCCTTCCGCCTCTGAGCCTCCCATAAATCACCCTTCTTCACCTTGACGTCGCCCCATATCTCAGGCGGACCTGTGAGCTTCCCTAACGACTCTCCATCGACGAAGACGTTCCGCAATGGTGCCTTTTTTGACGCACGGAAACGTGCAACTTCAGGCATGAGCCTCGCCACCACCTTCTCTACACCCGTCAACGCCAAATCTTTGAGCTGCGGGAACAAAACGCGTGAGTGATTCAAGAAAAGGGTCTCGAATTCTGGTGGGTAGAGGTTGGCGAGGATCAGGGTCTCGATGTGGGGAAAGCACACCGACGCAACGGGCAGCGCGTCGTTGAACGCGTCTGGGTGGGCCGGGGCGAGCGTCAGCGAGCGCAGATTCGGGAACCTCGCCTGCTCCGTGTGCATCTCCGCATGCAGCACCGTCAAATCACTCCCTACCACCGGCGCGATGACCAGCTCCCTGAGCTCCGGGGCCGTCAAGTACAGCAGCAGCTCGGAGACGGAGAGCATGTTACCGAGGATGTACAGCGCCTCGAGGCGCGGGAGCTCGATCGCGGCCGAGCGCCCCGGCCAGTGGTTCAGGAGGTCGTCGTACACGGCGAAGAAGGTGAGGCACGGGCATGACGTGAGGATCTCCCCGAGCGCGTGGAAGGAGAGGTTCGTGAGGTTCATCGCGCGGGAGAGGTGCAGGGTGGTGAGTGCCGATAGTGGTGGGGAATATTGCATGACGCCGATCCCGCCCAGGCGGACGTCGAGCAGGCGCGGGGCGGAGGCGAAGAGCTGGGTGCGGCCTTTGGAGTACTCGGTATCCTCGAATGATGCCTCGCCGTCGAAGATGAGCGAGGTGAGGTACGGCATATCCATGTTCAACAAGGGTTCGATGAGGTACGTCAGTAGGTTTGGTTTCTGCCGGAACACCCCTTGGATGTGGAGTGTCCGACATCGGGGGATGTGGGGGTGGAGGATGCGGAAGAGGTCCTCATACCCGTCGAGTTTGGAGGGTGATGGGTCGTCCGCGTCGCCCGTGGTGTCTTCCACTAGTTGCACGGAGATGTAGAGGTCTATCGGGCAGTCCTTAGAGCGCGCCAGGGCAGCTGCGACCGCGTGTGGCCTCCATGGTGGAAAGACATGGATATGGGACCACCAGACGGTGTTTTGGAGGGTGATGAACCGCCAGAAACGGGATACTTGCGATGCGGTGCGTACAGTTGAGATGGTGTCCCCGGAGACTCGTGGGGGATCTTCATGTGCTGCGATATCTTCTTGCACGAGCATGTCGAGGATGAGGAGGATGATCTCTTCGGGGAGAGCGGATATGGGGCCTTCAACGAGTCCATTTGGGGTTTTCGTGGCAATATAGGGTCCCATTTGAAGGAACTCTGTCGAGGCTGGAGACTCCAAGGTTGTTGAAGAGAGGATCTCTGTCACTTCCTCGGTATGCGTCATGACTCCTCCAGCATCTGGACTTGATGGGAACAGAACGAATTGTGTAACTGTAACTGGGGAAGTGTTAGCCGGGACGTATAAGTGGGGTATATCACACCTTTTATAACCCCCAAGATCTCTATAGAAAAAAGTAGCTCCGTAGCAGTATGGACGGTAGAGGTTAGAAGTTCAAGTTGTGGTTGATCATTGTTGGTGGTGTCGAGTGGATACCCGTCCCTGATTGGCTCGTCTCTCAACACGTGACTTAGACGCGACCCTGCCGGGTCTGATTGCGACGCGTCTGACAACGAGGCTTTACGCAATGGATAAGAATTCGAGAAGAGCGGCGAAATATTCTGATACATACATACAATGCAATACATCTACATCTAAAGCAGGGAACCAAGGAAAAAGGGAACCGGTCAACCTCTAGAGGAATCTATCATCAGCGCCTATTATATTGCTAGTCTATCCAATATTCATCAAACTCCCTCCAATCCCTCTCCCTCCACGCGTTAATCTGCTGGAACGCCGCACACTCGTTCTTATGCCGCTCCTTCCAATCATTCGTTTGGCAGTCCTACAATCACCCGGAGCACACACACCCAGGGTTGTCAACGACCACAACGAAAGACACAAGACACAAGACAGTTAATCGTCAGCGTCTAATTATAACCCCATCACACAGAAAAGGGGAGGGAAAATAGAGCAAGCAAGCGCTCACATACCTTTCCGCAGTATTGCCTGACTGAGCACCGGGCGCACTTGTGCGGGCCCGGCTTGTCGCACGCTGAGCACTGCTTGGGTTTGGTGGGCGGCTCTTCGAGCTCGTCCCCGAGGAGGAGGAAGGTGTCAAGGCTGCACGGGAACGACTGTTGGGTTATTCAATTAAGCGGATAATGGTGTCAGTAAGTATGCGAATACTGTTCCGCGCCTGTCATGCCAGAGAAAAAAATGAAGGGAATGAACTGGGGTGAAAATACCCACCTTGACATTCTCGCTCTCCGTAACCTGCACCCCCAGTGCGCCGTCCTCGAACACATGGCTGCACGCGTACATAACCGCCATGCAGTTCCCTGGCTTGCAGTACTTCTGCCACGGTCGTTCCCCGCCTCCTCCCTTCCCTCCCCCACTCTCCTTCTCCTTCTTCCCAGGCAACTGGAGGCTCTCGCCCTCCCTATAAAACACAACAAAGAAATTCTTCCCCTCCCGGTCCCGGACGTTGTATATCAACTCCTTGTCCGTCGCGGTATGATAGACGATCTGAACGAGGAGACACCAGTGCTTGACCGGGTCGGAGATACCGTCGGGCTCGTCGCCTGGGTCTTCGTAGTAACTAAGGTCGACGGAACCGGAGGGGTCGTTGTCCTTGGGCAGGAGGGAGAGGGTAGGGAAATGCGTCTGGTTGTGGTGAAGGAGGTAGAAGGGACGTGTCAGGGACGTGAAGGACAGGGAGGACAGGGGGATGGAGGACTTACGAGATCGCGCAGGCTGAAGCGAAAATCTTGCGGCTGCGGCTGCGGTTCTGTAGCGTCTGTCATTTGTGCGAATTTGAAGGCGTTTGAGAGGTGGACGAAGGGGGAAAGAGAGGCGTCGATGCTCAGAAATCGCAAGTCAAAGAATAATCGAGAAGTGGCGGGCGGCTCCGAGTCGGAAGCCGAAGGTCGAAGGTCGAAGCAAGTCGCGGTCGAAGATAAAGGGACAAGCACCACCAAGTAAGCGCTCGCTGACTGGCTGTGCTAACGCGACGACAGGCACCTTGAACCTTTGTCTCGAATGAAGTGTCCAAATGTCGACTTGGACTTTTCTGTCTCCACAGCCCTGTTCCCTTTTAACCTTTATACTGAACGTAACGTCACCCTCGGGAGCGGGGGACCCTGCCCAATAAAACAGAGTTTCCTGGTCGTCTATCAGTTCTGACAAACAAGACAGAAAAGTATGCCCTTTTGGACTCGGGACAACAGATGGGATCCCTTTGTCTGGTAGCTGCTTGTCTTTGCTAAACTGCTACTGTGAGTCTTCCGACGCGGTATGTCATGGAGGGTCGCCAAGTCCGAGGCGACTTGAGACTTGTCGGGATTGGCGATACGGGCTGCGTTGTAACTTGTTCGTTTGTTGGCTGAACACACACACGTCTGCAACAAATTGCGAGCACGGCAGGTAGGTACGCGGTGTATACGCGTTAGAAACGTTTAACGTATAGACGGTCGAACTGCCAGAAATTTCTGATCAGTCAGTACTCTTCAGCGAGGTTGCGAGGGAATATGCGTACCTCGTACCGCCTCGCTCGTACGCGTGTTCCGAGGGGTGCTGCCCTGATTGCTCGCTTTTAATTGTCGATGCCTATCCGTGCAACTATACGGATGGACTGTAACGACGTCGCCTATCTCACTAACACTGATTCCAGAAATCTTGATTTTCAGGAGATCAGTAAATCAGGGCTACGGTGGAAAAAAGTTGGACGTACCGAGGTTGTGATCGTAGGCAGTTACGGGCCAGTCGGTGGAGCAAGCCATCGATCGCGCGTTTTATACTTGCGCATCTGAATCATTGAATCATTTAATAGTGGAAGTACGCCCGGACGTGCGTGCAGTGTCGACGTCTCCCCGCAGCGGGCGGCGGAACACGAACGAGATTAATTAACTGGCGCTTCAATTGAACGGGCGACAGCGTAGCTAGAGCGACAACTGCACAACACAGCTTTTCATGGGCTTGAAGTCGCGATTGGGAGGGTGCTTGATAGACAGTTAGTATTACTATGCGTGCGAGACATCACAAGCCCCAAGCGATAGTGGGCATTATTGCGATCTGTGCAAGTATCTTACATGCGATGCGGCAGCGGGATGGATCACCCGTGGATGGACATGGGCGCTCCCACTGCTCAGCCGTCGGGGACAGTGGATCTGATTCTAAGCCCTAGATCAACTGTAAAGGAAAGGAAGTTGTGATTTGTGATTGTCAGCACGGAGAAATCAAGCTTTCATATTGTCAGAGCTTCCCGTCGCACCTTCAGTCAGTTAGCCTGCTCCGCCCCCGCTCCGTTCAAGTCCGTTCCTAGCTGAATATTGCATGTCGGATGTCATGACGCAGATGCGTGCTGGAAGCGGTGCAGAGTGGGTGCCTTGGAAGGACGGGTCAAGGTGGCAGAGCCCCCATATTTGCAATTGGTCCTCGGGAAGGCAGAAGTAATGGCGCGCACACGGCTTTGGCGGCGGATCTACGACATACGATCAGGTGGGTTTTGACAGCGTTTTAAGAGCGAAATGACGAAACGAATGTGAACATGGAGCCGCCGTTGAATGTGGAGGCAGATTGTTCGGTGCCTCGAACGGAGACGCAGCGGACGATACATTACCTCAAATTGACTTGAAACCGGTCTTAGACGGCATGAATAAAAGGGCACGCCTTTTCTCATCGCCTCTTTTACTGCACCAACGCAAAAAAAGCAAGCGATCAGTTAGAAAACGTACTGGAGGTGTTGCAAAAAGATTGATCTTTCCATACCGCAATCCATTTGGAAAAAGGAGTCAAGGAAGATATTTCCATGAAGCACTCCGAGGTCTCCTGATTTTCCTTGCCGTGTGGGTGAGGCAAAAAGTTATGGTATGCCACGGGGACGAAGAGAGGCTTTGACAAGCCGGACTTTGATGAGGAGGATGTGGCTGTGCCCGGCGATTATTGAACACGTCGCCACGTCGTCGCGCTGTCCACTCCCTCCTCCCTCCATCATGGACATCCTCCACTCACAACTCACGAAAATACAGCGCCAGCTCGCGTTCGTCTCCGTAGAGCCCATAAACTGGAAGCTCTACGTCCAATCCTTCTCATGGGCGGTCACTCTCTTCGAGTCCTATCTGCTGTGAGCCACCGCTCTTTCTCCGAATCCAATATTCCACCTTTTGTCCGGTTTTCTGACAGTCGGATTTTGGGCGCCTAGGATCCGGCAGTACCCCCTCTACTCGAAGAAGGAGCCCCCAAAGGAGTTGGCGGAGCACTTTGAGCCAGGGGTGTTCGAGAAATCGCAAAACTACGGCAAGGACAAGGCCAAATTCGCGCTCATTTCGGGGCTCTTCAAGCAGCTCCTCGATTCCTTGATGCTGCAGTTCGGGTTCTACGCCTGGTCGTGGACCGCTGGAGGGAAGCTGCTCGCGAAGTTTGGGTACGGGCCAGAATATGAGGTGTGTAGGCTGCATTTTGTTTGGGCAGTTGGAACCCTGAGCGCTCATACACATGGGCCACGCGTCGTTTTAGATCCTGCAATCCATCGCCTTCGTGTTCACCCTTTTCTTCCTCTCCTCGATCCCAACGCTGCCTCTACAAGCCTATGGAACGTTTGTCTTGGAGGAGAAGCATGGATTCAACAAGACGACTCCCAAGCTGTTCGTCACCGACCTCCTGAAAGGATGGGCGCTTGCATTCGGCCTCGGGGCCCCCTTCCTGGCTGCCTTCCTCTCCATCTTCAAATGGGCCGGCGACCGCTTCGTGCCCTGGCTGATGGCCTTCATGTACGTTTCGTCCTCTTTCCTACCCCCAGGGCTATGCTAACCTCCGCACTTCAAGGATCTCCTTCCAGCTCGTGATGGTCATCCTCTACCCGACCGTCATCCAGCCGTTGTTCAACAAGCTCTCTCCTCTCCCCGAGGGCGAGCTGCGAGGACGTATCGAAACCCTTGCGAACAAGCTCAAGTTCCCGCTGAAGCACCTCTACGAAATCGACGGATCAAAGCGTAGCTCACACAGCAACGCCTACTTCTTCGGCCTGCCATGGGTAAGTAGACTTTTAGGGTTCTCGCGCCGTTGAGACACGTCTGACAAGCCCCGAACGTGTAGAGCAAGCATATCGTCATCTTCGACACCCTGATCCAGCAGTCCAAGCCCGAAGAAGTCGAGGCCGTCCTAGGTACGTACTTCCCTTCTCACCTCTCCCAAACTTATCTTCTCATGTCGATGTTCTACAGCACACGAGCTCGGCCACTGGTACTACCTGCACCCCACCAAAATGATGTCCATCTCCCAAATCCACATCTTCACCATCCTCGCCCTCTTCCCCGCCTTCCTGCACGCCCCACCCCTCCTGCGCTCGTTCGACTTCCCCAAGGCCGTCGCAGCCCAGCCGCCCACCATCGTCGCGTTCCTCCTCTTCCAGATGATCCTGACACCTCTTGAGGCGGTCGTGAGCATCGGCATGAACGCTGTCAGCAGGCACTTTGAGTACGAGGCGGATCGGTTCGCGGTTGAGCTCCAGGATCAGCTGGGTGATGAGAAGATGGCTGATATGGGCGAGAGGTTGGGCAGGGCGCTCGTGGCGCTGCACGTGAAGAACTTGTCCACGGTTTGGGTTGATTGGCTGTGAGTTGCCTTATTTTTAGAAATATTTTTTTCTTGTGCTTAGGAGTCGCTGTCTGCGGCTCTTGAGTGATGATACCTCTTCCCATGTTCGGTGCTGATCATGAATCATTTCTCTTTCAAAATAGATACTCGGCGTACCACCACTCGCACCCCACCCTGACGGAGCGTCTGAAGGGCCTCGAGGCCTTCCAAGCCCAACGCGAAAAGAAGAAACTGTAGAGCTGTAATCTAGACGGCGACCCACTCATCGATCACTGTTGTCCGACACCCGCTAAGCTATTACAACTACCCAGTTACCCCCCTGCCTGCCTGTATACCTACCCACGTAATCAATCAGTCGAGGAAGATGCTGCCATCGAGCGAGCGGGTGGTTCATTAGGATTATGATGTTCGGTTGCCTCGAGGGTTGCAGAAGCAGTGGGCGAGCAAGAGATACCATTGCATATGTCCCTGTAGCGCAAGAAAACTGTCCGTATTATATTTGTACAATTCACCTATCTAAATTTCGGAATGGTATTCGTACTCCTGCGCGTCCTTTCTGCCCCGCTCGACGTCGACGCTCATCAGGATAGGCACAGCAGCCCACACCATCAACACCAAGAAAAAGAACGCGAAGCGGATGTTGCCCGTCACGTCAGCAATGAGGCCAACGACCAACGGCCCGATGAACGAGCTCGACTTGTCCGTTATCGAGAACAAGCCGTACCACCGTGCCTCCTCACCTGGCGGCAGTAGCTCCGCGTAGAACGCCCTCGCGTAACCCTGGAACGCGCCGTACACCGACCCAAAGTATACCGCAAGCACGAACATCTCCTCCTGCGTCGTCAAGCCTCCAAACCTCACTTTCCCCTGCACCAAGAACCCCAGACACCCATACAATGGTATCATCGACGCCATCCCCACCAATACCACCAGAATCCTCAAGTTGGACCACCCAAGCCGGCGCTGGAGGACGGGCCAGAGCAGCGAGCCTGCGATGCCCGCTGTGGGGGTGAGCACCCCAACGAGGATGAGCGCCGAGGGCGACATGTGCAGCGTCGTCTTCCCGAAGAGCAAAGCGGTGGAGGTGATGGTCGTGAACCCGTCCGAGAGTAGGAACCACGCGGCGAGGTACTTGAAGGTGTTGCGCAGCTTCTTGACTTCGCGGACGCGGAGCATGTCGCGCAGCCGGATCCAAGCTGCGAGGATCTCGTGTCCGATGCGGAAGTCTTTGTCTTGGGAGGCGGAGGCGGAGGTGGGGGCGGGGGAAGAGGTGGTATTGGGCAGCCAGAGAGCGGCTGGGATGGTGAATACGGCCCACCAGATCCCGCTGAGCCCGATGGCGAGGCGCAGGGCGAAGGTCGATCCGCCCATCTTCGTGACAGGCACGAGTGCGACGATGAGCAGGCATATACCCGCACCGTAGCCCAAGGCAATACCCAGTGACGATGTGCGGGACGTGGCACGCGAAAGCTCCATCTGGTACTCCTTCTCCAGCTGCGTCTTCGTCTCTGAGGTGGCATTCGAAGGCGAAAGGAGAGGTGCGGAAGGGTTCTCGGTGCTTGTGTCCGGGTCGCTGTCGCTTTCGGACCCATGGTCGAGGTTTTGGAGGTCTTCCCATATCTTGACGACTTCTGGGGCTTCTTTGGCGAGAGAAGGGATGTAGGCGTTCATTGCGACGATGGAGGCTCCGAAGCCGACGTTGGCGGATAGCGCCAGGAGGGCGGAGAGGTACCAAACGGGTGAAGAGGAAGGCAGAAGGAGGAACAGGGTTGCTGCTATAGAACCCAGGGCTGCAAAGCTAAGGAGTAGGAGTTTACGATGAGGTGCTGGAGTAGTTTTCGTCAAACTATCGCCAGGAGAAGCAGGAGGATATGGCTCACGGTGGTCCGCTATTCCACCCATTGAAATAACGGTGAGTGCTTGCAGAGCAACTGAGAAGGAATACACATAAAGGCTGGCTCTGATGTTAGAGGACATTTCAACGTATAATACATGATAAACGCACCTGAAGCTCGCTGTATCTATCCATGCCCAGCCAATTTTCACAACGCAACGTGCTGCCTCCTCCACACCATCAACCGAAGACGCACGGCCCGTCGACGGTGCAGGCTTCACACTGGAGCATGGTATCGTCTTGTCAGGTAATAGAAACCCATTGTCTCTTGCGAATTGCTCCAAACATATTGGCAGAAACAGTGTTAGCGAAACGATTACGAAAACCTCACTGAAATCGTAGTCAGTGTTTTGAGCATTTGCCTGAATCACCGATGACAATGTAATTACGGACCTTGCGAAAGCATAGCATAGCCATCCATGAAGTTTTCTCTTGTATTGAGCAGTGCTCGACAGCATAGTAGAAGTTAGTGTCTCATTCGTGAAAGCGAGTTACGTCGTGGCCGTCGTGGTTCGAAAGCAAGAGGGATGCCAAGTAAGAGTCACATGAAGATACTATTAGTTGATTCAGATCAGTACTAGTAGCGTGACAAAAACATGATGACCTTGCTACGACGGATGCCTTCATCATCGCCCTCAACAATGCCAAAGTACTCGTTATAAAACAACATGAGTTCGGCAATGTCCTTCATTGAGTAACCACAGATGTTTTTGTTCCAGATGGGTGGCACAGAGCCAATGCGCTCTGGCTGGGGAGGTGTAACTAGACCCTGTCGGTCGGCTAGCCGTGGCGTGAGGGCAGGACGCGACCGATATTATGGCCCGGAACCTGGAGGAGGATGATGAGAATACATCTAATCGACGATTGGAGGAATCGTACAGTTTTTCTGAGCGGTTCACAGTATGGTTGGCTCAGCCGATTCCTTGCTATGGTCTGATTATTGAGGGCGATGGCATTAATGCCAAGTAGCTGATCCTCAATATCTTCTAGATGCTTAGATATGTTTGAATTCCCTTCCGTCACTTCAGCCTGAGATGTACTTTCTTTTTCGACATTTGCAACATTGGAACTAGGGGCCTGCAAGGTCACCACAGGGAAGACAGTAAACGGCTCTTGGAGCTTAGGCAGTTTCACCGTAGACCCAGAATTTTCGGCAGTTATTCCTACCCGTCTCCTGTTTGAACGCCTTGTCACGATCAAGTGCAGTGGTACAAGTGCGTTATGTCAACTCGCTCGCGATATCTCCGCTGAGCCAGTCTATTCCTTTCCCGCTGTCTCTCTGCTCTCCTCTTGTCTTCACCGCTAGAGCGGAATTCGATTCAATGTGATGAGATAAGGACTTATATGTACTGACCTCAACTTGCTAAGATCCCGGCTTTTGCGTGTGTTGCCATTTAAGTTGGACATCGCCCCGCGGCCAGGCGTGTAATTCATCCATTCCGCAGGCGCGCGGGAATCCCAGGCTGGAGCGTTCCAACGTGCGCTGGAGTTATCATCCATGGGGCCCTGGGGAGTCATGCGATCGTCAGCGGATGTCAATGATGGTCTGCAGAGGGGACGCGAGAGCAATGTCAGAGCAAAAAGATGATTATGTAAAGCGTCCACACTTGTATTGGGCATTGCCTTTTAGAAATTAGGTAACACGCAGAGACAATTTTGTACAAGCCACAGGCACACATTCAACCAAAATTCTCCCTTTTTACAGACCATCAGCCAGAAATTTCGGAATCAAGATTGGCTTTCGAAGAGGGCCGTAGTTACTCATCCACGCCGACATCCCGCCGGATAGTCAGCACTTTCCCACCCCTTTCTTCGCCAATTTAAGCGCCCGACTCTCGATGGCGTCTTTCACCAAATTGTCCAAGCGCCCGCGTATTCGCTCCAATCTCTCCCTTTCCACTCTCGGATATGTTTATACATCTTACATTCTGCGCGATGGGTTTGTTTCCAGTGCTGTACTTGACATTTCTGTGATGTTTTCGACAGGGTTGGTCATTGGCTGGTCAACATCTGACGACACCTTAGGGGATTAGGAGCATACCTTGCCACAATACTTCACGACTGAGCAGGAGGAGCATCTCAGACTAGCCTCTCTGTTGCAGTTTTGACAGTTTTGCGGTGTGAGGTTGACTTCATCTCCAATACGAAAGAAAGTTGACAAGCTGCACGGGAAGGTCTAGGAGCCATGACACCAGTAAGAAATCCGATGTAGTACGGGGAGTCGATGAAGCTAAAACGTACCTTTACTCGACTCAAGTCCTCAACCCGAACACCCTTATTCCTATCCATGAAATGATGGTTCTGCCCATACATCAAGACCATAACGTGTCCCAACTTCACAGTCTTCGAAAAACTCTCAGGAAGCTTCAGGTGCGGGGCGACTTCGTCACCAGGGCCGGTTGTGACCATCACCACAGGTCCATCGTCGAGGTGGAAAGCAACGACAAAGTGCTCTCCTTTCTTGTCCTTGACCTTGTACGCTGGACGCATCCATGGCATTGGTTCGACAACCTCAGCGAGGAGGCACCAGTGCTTGATAGGATTGGAAACGTCGTAGGGGCCATATTCGAAGAAGTCCATCTGGTTTGGAGAGTACCCATTGTCCACAGGGAGGTCGGAGAGGGTAGGAAATGCTCCTTGGATCGACGTTGACTCTTGAGCATGTAAAGGAGTGGACATTACAAGGAAAATTACCGTATCTCTGAGATTGAAGGTCGAATCGAACATGATGGGAGCCGTTGGACAGTGCAGAGACAAGAAACGGACGTTTAAATGCATGCGAGGACCTTTCGTTAATGGGTACACGAGGACACGGCGTGATGCGGCTCTTCGATTGAGTTCAATTTAACTATCTCTTCTACCGAACATGTGGCAACTCAAATGCTTGTACGGTATCGTCACCTGGATGAGGTAATCGTCCTCAAACCCGGCATTAAACTCAGGTAATTTTCTCTGGGGAAACAGGATGACTTACAAGAACTTAAGGACCTAAACCATCGAGCAGCTAGTCGAGTAACTCTTTTCTTTGTCCGTCAGTGTTTAGCGTCCGCTACGGCTACGAGAGTTCAAAAGAACACCCTCCGAACAATCCGAGAGAGGTGAAAACATTCGCCTTAGTCTTCGACCTGGATCCTCTGCCGGCCGTTGGCGAGAATGATTCTGGCAATGCATGGACACCATGACATTGCCCGGTTTCACGTTCCGCGCCAAACTCTCGGGATGCATGATAGCGCCATCGTAGTCATGACCATGATGGAAGGCGACGAGGGACTGGTCACTGTCCTTATCATTGACTGTGTCCATCGGGCATAGTGGGAGGAAGTCAAGAGCAAAGCCGAAAGTCGTCGTTTATATCTAGGTCAGAAATGGAAATCGCTTCCCACACTCCTCGAATGAAACCATGCTCTGAGTGTCTATCGATATCTCCTAGCCCGACTTCCATCCTTTCGAAACCGAACTCAAGCAAGACTCAAGTTGACTCGCAGTAGACCCATAACATCCTCAACGTCAGCCTCCCAGGTATCTTCTGCAGTCTTGCGTTGGCCTCACAGGTTTGCATTGGAACTTCTTTTACTTCATGCCTCTGTGGCTAATCTCTGGAAAGGACGTATTCACTCACAAAGTTTGCATCAAAGCGGCTCCTTCAAGATGCTGAATGCTGTCAAAAGTCTCATTCTAAATCCCGTTCTCGAGGAGCCTTCTCTTCAGCCCCCCTTTCCTGCTTTGCTTCACTCCAACGAACCAGCAAGTGACGAAGAAGCACAAGTAGTCCGGGAGTTCATTGCTGCCCTCGATGCGCTTAGGGCGACAGCAGCTTTACATCAGGAAGCCTCCACTTTGTATACGCCTCCCAGCCTGCAGGAAGAGCGCTTGTCTTCCCTCATTTCCTCACACAGAGGCATAATTTCCGCCTGCCGACGCATTCCCGATGAGATCTGGCAGAACATCTTCGCGGTCAGTCAGTCGCGGTGTGAGGGCAAGGACACGGTCGATATCGTGGCTGGGAACCTGAAGGAAATGGTTAGGAGGTCCGAGGCAGCCATGGCTATTCGATGATTGAAAAAAACCTACTGTTTTTCTAATCGTTCATAGGATGGATAGTTCTGCCGATTTCGTGCAATGATCCCGTGGTTGAGGACGACGGCGTTGTTGATCTGTTGATCTTTCTTGAGATCACGTAGCTGGTTCTCGATAGCGTCCAGGCGTTGCATGACATCCAAGTTGCCTATCGCTTCCATCGATCCGGGGGCGTACTGGGAGGTGCTAGGAGTGATTTGAACGTGTTTTGGACCAGGAGGAACAGCCATGGTGGCAGTAGTCGTTCAAATACGTTGGGCGAGTCAATTCCAAGTTTCAGACGAAGGTGTTTCCGATCAAAACAACCCGGAACAGCCCGTACTGGGTCTACACCGCCATTTCCGCGAAACGCGTTAGCAGCGTGAAATTCTCACGGAGTTGAGGTATTTTTGGAATGTTGCGTCGACGTGGGCGGAATATTGTGGACAGTTTGACTCTGGGATTTGGACACCGTGACTACATTTAATGTGGGTAGCACTTGTAATCTGATAAGCCGTTCATGAATTTTGGTAGCTTAGACGGTTGCCTGTAACAATGTGCTGTCCATCTTCCTCGGCTTGTTTCTACCACCATCTAATTTGGTCTCATACCATGAAATTGTTTACTCTACCGGCATGTTTTTTGATGTGTTTTTGCGATACTTTTCGATAGATCAACTCCTTGCCTGTATGAACGCGTCGTTCGCATTTGTAGTTGGCGCCGTGTGATCCAAAGTAAAAGTAAACATTCACTCCAATTTCCCCCCCTCAATTACCCGTCGTAAATGAAATCGTTTACATTATTAGAATCATGTCTCAGGTCCGCTCAACTGTGCTTTTGCGATATGTTTCAACAGCTCAGCTACTGGCCCGTATGAATGTGTTGTCCAGATTGGTACTGGGCCCCATCCGACATACAGTAAAGGCGAACGTTCGCTTCAATTTCCCGCCCTCAATTACCCGTCGTAAATGA